GAGGTTATGAAGCCTGCGTATCACAGATAGGACGTCAAAAGACATTTAAAAAGCAGGCAACATATCCTAAGGGTGATTCAACATTATTCAAGTAGGAATATTGAAACCACCCAACTAGAAAGTGCCAAAAAGTTGAAACTAAATATTCAAGCCCTTCAATTGGCGGTACTCCGTAACTGTGCATGTAAGTCCCCTATAGAAGGTTAGTTTAGACAGCTCGTTCTTGAAGGATGCCAAAGAATGAGCCTCAGCACTATAGATGTGGGCAGGGTTTTCCACAGAAAAATACAACGAGGAAAGATGCTGAACTTCATAACGTCAGTGGATGTTGTATACTGCAGGAATCGGGTACTGTGTGGCGACTTTGGTCTGGGTTAAGTTGGTGTTAAGAAGTGGCCTGGATCTATCTCCACAAGTTGATGGATGATTTTGTAAAGCATAATGAGTTGGAGCTTTTGACGGCGTATTTCGAGTGTGTCCCAATTAAGGTGATGTAGCATATCTGAGACGCTGCTTGTGTTATGGTATCTGTTTAATTACATTAAATTGAATTTCCTTTTTACTTTCGTTTGTAGCGAAGCATATACAATCATGTCTGTCTGGATCCTCTTGTCAAGTGATTCTGCCAACTCATGCGCAAGGGTGAGGAGTTCAGTTTTGCAGCTCCGCCTTGTTCTGAAACCATGTTAGCAATCGTGTAGGATGTTACGTCATTCCAGATGTTTCATGGTCTGGCTGACAATGACATGCTCGAGCAGCTTGCAGAATAGGCTTGTGAGGGAGACCGACCGGAAGATTGCGGGATCCTGCCTTGAGCCTTTCTTGTAGATGGCTTGGCTCCAGTCGTCCGGTACCTTACTTTCCTCCATTACGGTTTGAAGGTCATATTGAGGATTGGGGCCAGATCAGAAGCACAGTCTCTTAGTATGCGTGCCGGGGTGTTATCAGGACCTGAAGCCTTCCTTGGGTTGATGTTGAGTAACAACTTCAAGATGCCCTCTTCATTGATCTTTATGGTGTCCATATCCGGAAAGGTGTACCTACTGGTGTTGGGATATTACTATCTGCTTCATGAGTAAATACCGACACGTATTGCTTGTATAACATGTTGGCCTTGTCGCGCGCAGCGTTGAAGAGTCGACCCTTATCTTTAAGTGATGAAATGCCAGAGTTGGTGAGTTAGATATTTTTCCTTATGCAGTCTTTCCGAAGTGACTTGATGAAGCTCCAAAACTTTTTCTGCTTCGGTTGTTTGTCTTTCTCTGTGTCCTCAACTTCCATAATATTGTTGACATATGAATGGTAGGATTGTCTTTAAAATTTTTGGAATTGTGATTTAAAGTTTTTATATCTATTTATATCTGATGCTTTTCCGGTCTCCTTCATCCTGGTGTACAGTTTTAACCTTCTTCTCATGGCCTTTTTCAGTGTACTTGTTATCCATGGTTTCTTTTAATGATCTTCTTTAATGAGTTTTGTGGGAATGTGTTTTCCATTAGAGATAAGAGAGAGAGTTTTTAAATAACAACCAAAGGGTGTTTTATGGAGCGTTTTCCTTTCTGCATAGAGATCACGCAGCCATTTGTTAAGGTTATCATAATTTGCCTTCTGGTAGGTGAAAACCTTCCGCTTCAGTGGTTGTGATCTATGTGGACGTAAGCTGGCTGGTTCGTGGTCGGAGATTCCTGGCAAAACTTCTGTTGTGTTGATTAGATTTATTTCGGCAAAGGAAGCATATACATAGTTGACAATATAACATAGGATAAAATAATGAGCATTATTAAATACTATATCACATACGAGTAAAACTATGACATGCTCACCAAAAACCAAGGATAACACAAAAAAGGGCAAAAAATCTCTTATTTCCATTGTGGTCCTTTTTGTATTGGCGGCATGACATAGAGAGGCAAACCTTAATATAATCATGTTTTAAAAATACTAATAAATCATAAAAATGTATATCACAGTCAAATCTTGAGTTAATGATACTCCTGTTTACAGCTAGGATTTAAAAACACATTACTAAAATTGTAATAAGATAAATGGCAGACAATTTAAAATCCTGAGCCGAAATATGTAAAAACATGTTTTAAAAATTTTTTTTAAAATACTGTTCATAAGATGACTTTTGATGGCAACCTTAAAACTTTGTACCTGTTGATCTCCGTTAACTTTACAGGTAAATCATTCCATAATTTAATACCAGAGAAAGCAAATGATTTAGAACCCTGGCCTTTTGACCTTAGGTAGACAATATCAACCCTTTTGACTAAGTCTTTGTACTATAATTATGAATGGAATCTTGTGAAATAAAGTGTTCAGACATGTAATCCGGAGATAGGCCCATTTTTTTATCTTAAAGACATGACACAAACATTATCTGTTCAACTCTTTTGTGGACCGGTAACCAGTTAAGGGACTTAAAGTGGGATGGGTCAATGTGGGCTCTAGAGTCCAAGTCAAGTACAAATCTCATTATTTTGTTTTGACAAGTTTTGTAACTTATTTTTTAAAGACTGTGTCAAGCTATAATACCAAACAGAGCATGCGTAACCATAGTGACACTGAATAAGAGACATAACCAGAAGTTTCTTGGTATGCTGAGTAAGAAAAACTCTTTCTTGCGGTAAAGAAATTTTTAACCGAGAGTTGGCCTTCTTAAGAACAGACTCGACCATGGCGCAAAATGACAGATTTTGGTCTATAGTAATCCCAAGATACTTGATAGATGAAGTTGATTCAATGGATGTACCAGAACAGGTTATATGCAGGTTAGATTGTGACCTAAGTTTTTGCCTGGACCCAAATAAAATTGACTCGGTTTTACCCAAATGCAATGACAACTTATTGTCCACTAACCATTGGCTGACCAATTCCATATCATCTGTCAATACCTTTTCAACAACAGATAAACTTTTACCAGATACAAGGATACCAGAATCATCAGCATACAAAAAACAAATTTATTTTTGACCACAGCTGACAAATATCATTTACATAAATTAAAAAGAGAAGGGGTCCAATGATTGAGCCCTGAGGAAACACCACATGTTATTTTGGAATTGGAAGAATAAGTACCAGAGACATCTACAAGCTGCTGTCTATCTGATAAATATGATTTGAACCAATTTAGGACGTCAATACTAAGACCTGATGCTTGCAGTTTCATTAAAAGAATGGAATGGTCGACTGTGTCAAACGCTTTCTGCAAATCCAGCAGCACCATACCAACAACATTACCTTTATCATTTTCATACCTGATAAAGTCTGTAAGGTGAATCAGACAAGTATCAGTAGAGAAGCCACTCCTGAAACCTGATTGAAATTTATACAGCAGATCTTTATCCTTAAAAATAAGCTTCAAACCTGGTCATAAACCACCTTTTCAAGGATTTTAGATACAACATTTAAAATGGACACAGGCCGGTAATTACCAACAGACAATTTGTCGTTCTTTTTATAGAGGGGAACAACTCTTGCAGATTTAAGATCATCAGGGACTTGACCTTGGATAAGGGATAAGTTTATTGATATGAGCTAATGGACTAGCAATAACTGGGGATCCATCTCTGATAAAACGTGAGGGTATACCATCTAAGCCAGTAGCTTTTTTTGACACCTAATGAAGTTAAGTATTTAAGAACTTTACTTTCAGAAACAATGGAAAAAGAAAAACTGTTTGCAAAAACACCCTTGTTTGCATAAAAAGTATTAACAAAATTCGTACCAAATTTATGCATACTTTCTGGTAACTTTTCAACAAGTTTACATGCAACTGTTGTATAAAATTTGTTAAATGATTCAGCAATAAGTTTCTTTTCAAAACACACATTATCATCAATATTTAAACAAATATTTGAACTGGTTGAAGATGAACCCTTCTTGGAAGGCAAACCAAGATTTTTAACAGTTTTCCATAAAGACGTTGAGTCATTTTTGTTCTCATCCAGTGTATTAGTAAAATATTCCTTTTTTGCTTTGGCAACAAGATACTGAACTTTGTTCTTGAGAGTCTTAAATGAATCATAATTATCACAGTTTCTATCACATTAGAGAACTATTGTTGGTAAAGAATAAGTCAAGGATGTTACTGGTGTGCTCTGTGTCACACACTTAATTGTTGTTCTATGAATCTGCCATTGGCAATGTCAAGTTATTATTGGCAGAGAGAACCCCTTGTAGCAGATGGAATCACACTGTTGTTCTCCCAGTCGATATCTTCGATGTTAAATTCACCTGAACCCCATCAGAGGTTCTGGACAGACTTGTATCAAGGTGAGAGAGATGTTCTGGTTGGTCCATGTTAGGTGGTCGGTAGAATGCTCCAACATAGATGTTGTTCGCGTCGGGAACAGATATTTGTACCAACAACATCTCTCAGTCACCGGTGTTGATTTCTTCCGGAACAAAACACTGGAGCATCTTGTCAACGAATATAAAGACGCTGCCTCCCTTCCCTTTATTTCTGTCCCGTCTGAAAACGTTATACCAGTCGGGGAAAAACTCATTACTTTGTTGATAAGCTGTAAGCCATGATTCAGTTCCGATGACGATGTTTGCTCCAATATTTTCTCAAATAAATTCCAACGAGGTTTTCTTTCTAATGACTGATTGGCAGTTTATGTTTAGTACTTTTAATGGGCCAGAATAAAACTTGATTGTGACGCCCACATTTTTTAGTTTGTTAACTTTTGATGATCTACTTTGCCAAGGGTCTTTGTAATTCATGTCCACCATTATGACGTCCGCTTCTAGTCCATTGTCTAGGCTATGTAAGTCTTCTTGGTGAAAAACTCATCAAATAAAACTTGCAACTACGCTATCTTTAAACCTATTAGGAACTCAGCTGTACTCTGGTAATCTATGAAAAATTTCCTTCAACGAACGAAATGGTATTTGGTAGTATTGGTTATGAAAATTATTTCAATAGATAAAATAGGTAAAAATATTAAGGACTTCCTGAAAAATATGGATGGATGAATTGTCCGATTACGATGAAATTTTCATTTCGACCTTATATTAATTTATCCTGTTCTTTTCCATTTCCGGTTTCAAGATGAAGTATGTTATTGTTGTGAAATTTCAATAAAATCTCCCCTCATCTGATTCAGTTTTAAATGAATTTAGCAGAAACAATGAATAGTCATAGTTTATTATACACCCTTTATATTCCATATATTATTTCTTTTCAGGATCGAACTGTGTTCGTTCAGTGGGTTCAAAATCTACCCTGGTCACGGCAAAAAAGTTGTCAAGACCGATGGAAGGGTAATTATTTTACATTCTTATCCCTCGTTACATATTGGAATAAATATAAAGCTTTAAGTATTACAAGAAATATAGAATGTTTTCATGTAACCTGTATTTAGTTATTTCTAATTATAAACGGCCGAAGACAACTGTCTCGGTGAAATTTACACAATTTTATAAAATTAAAGAAAAAACCTATTCTTTTACAGACATTTATACTCTACACAACTAAATTGTGGTTTTCATGCAAATTGTGCATTTGCCATGTAAATCATTGTCAATTTTTGTCTAATAGAATCTATGTCTATACCAAAGTGAAACAAGGAACATATGACATTGCTAGGAGATATTTTTACCATAGGCACTCGGTTCCAAAACCTTCTATGATTTTAATTTATTAAAAAAAAAAATCATGTCATGTTTATAAAATACTACAAGGTTTCGCAGCCGCCATGTTTTAACGCAACGGAAGTACGTTGACTGGTGTACAATTTTCATTAAAAAACACTAGTTCCCGATTCGATGAATAGAGACTATTGGCTAATACGGGTACCACAATTATTGACTATTTCGCCGTGGTACCCGCATCAACAATATGCTTTAATATGTGACTCGGGAGTCAGTATTTTTTTTCTAAATTGTACACCAGTCAATGCACTTCCGTTGCGATAAAACATGGCGGCTGCGAAACCTTGTAGTATTTTATATACATGATATGAATTTTTTTTTAAAATAAATTAAAATCATAGAAGGTTTTGGAACCGAGTGCCTATGATTTTTACTTAATCAAGTTGAATGACAGACTATTCTCTCCCTTGCCAGTTCCTCTCCCTGACGGTTCTCTCCCAAACCATTTCCTCCCCTGACGGTTCTCTCCCAAATTTGAAATATGCAGACAGTTCTCCCCCAATTTTTATTTGTTAGTTATCATTTATAAGTTTTGACTTAATCTAATAATATTTTTTGAAGATTATTAAAAGAATGTATTTGATATTAAGTAAAGTGTTTATTTGATTCTGAAAAGTGTTTGTACATTTAACACCTTTTTCAGATATTTTAATCCTATTAACACCTTCATTGTGAGAGGTTAAGATTATTGAACAGTGATTGATATACATACACCTGTAATTATGAGTAGGTCTAGTGATATTCATTAGTTTGTTAAATAGCGAATAAGGTGGTAACAAGTATGTTATAGAAAATAAATAAGCAACAACTGGTATGCAATCACACAAATGAAATAATATAAATTCACATTTACTTTTATACAAAATTGATTAAAGAACATGTAGTCATTAACATGAAACAATATATATTACCAAATAACTAATTTAAATATTTGTTTATCAACACCTTTTTATACCCCCGCACAACAAAGTTGTAAGGGGGGTATACTGGAATCAGCTTGTCCGTCCGGCCGTCCGTCGGTTTTTTCTTGTCCGCCCAATAAATTAAGATATCTTTGACCCTTAGTCTTCATATTTGGCATGGAGGTTAGTCATGATTAGTAGATGACCCCTATTAATTTTGAGGTCACTAGGTCAAGGTCACAGGGGCCTTGACTTCAAAAAGCTTGTCCGCCCAATAACTTAAGATTCCTTTGACCTACAGTCTTCATATTTGGCATGGAGGTTAGTCATGATTAGTAGATGACCCCTATTGATTTTGAGGTCACCAGGTTAAAGGTCAAGGTCACAGGGGCCTTGACTTCAAAAAGCTTGTCCGCCCAATAACTTAAGATTCCTTTGACCTACAGTCGTCATATTTGGCATGGAGGTTAGTCATGATTAGTAGATGACCCCTATTGATTTTGAGGTCGCCAGGTCAAAGGTCAAGGTCACAGGGGCCTTGACTTCAAAAAGCTTGTCCGCCCTATAACTTAAGATTCCTTTGACCCACAGTCTTCATGTTTGGCATGGAGGTTAGTCATGATTAGTAGATGACCCCTATTGATTTTGAGGTCACCAGGTCAAAGGTCAAGGTCACAGGGACTTTGACTTCAAAAAGTTTGTCTGCCCAATAACTTTAGATTCCTTTGACCCACAGTCTTCATATTTGGCATGGATGTTGATTATGACTATAAGGTGACCCCTATTGACTTTGAGGTCACTGGGTCAAAGGTCAAGGTCACAGGGACCTTGACAAAAAAAGCTTTTCTTCTCAATTGCTAAAGAATGTCCTGTCCGCAATGTATTGATTTTGACATTTTCACATTTGAAGCTTGTAGAATACATAACTTAGCAATGCACTGGCTTAGTAACCTCAGATTTGGCAGGGAGGTTGTCCTTGAGCTCTAAATGGCCACTGTTGATTCTGACAAAGTGGTATGCGGGGGTATTCACGCCAAGGTAGTGGCAGTTCTAGTTACAGTTATTTTAATCATTAGATTACACCTTGATTTTTGAATAATGAATTAATAAACACCTTAATTATCTCTAACAGCAAACTGAACACACATGTGTATTGAATTCCTTTCTTCATTACACAAAAGTATGCAATTTAGCAATTAAAATTTATAAATCATTTTTTCTTATAATTTTTTTTCTTATTTATTAAAAAAACAAACAAAAAAACCTCACCCAATAATAGATATCGAATCATTATACCAATCAAGTAAATTAAACACATTAAAAAGTATACGCTAGACCTAATAAAAAAAAATCAGAATAATATACTAATATGCTTAAAATATTTTTTTTATTTATCTATATCAATTAATCATACACATGCCCATGTATTAAACATCTAAATACTCAAATAATTTTTTTTATCTAATTTATATCAATTAATATTATAATTTAATAATAAACTTATCCATTTATTAAACATCTAAATACTTCAATAATAATGTATTAATAAAAATGGGGAGGAACTGTCTGCTTATTTGCAAATATGCAGACGGTTCTCCCCCAAAATAGGGAGAGAACCGTCAGGGAGGAAACGTCAGGGGAGGAACTGGTTAAAGGGAGAGAATAGTCTGACTACCAATCAAGTTAATCAACATCAAATCGCAAATTATTTTTATTCGCTAATGCTCATAAACACATAGCACATTCAGCAAGCAACAATAAAACATGTTTAAACACATTAATTTTGAGTTGTTCATGAACAAAAGTAAAAAGGAATTACCTTTTTACCAAATAGTTTAACTGACACATGTATTTGAAAAATCATGTTTAAATCCTTTTATATTCTTGTTCTTTATACGGTCAATAAACAATTTTATAGCCGTCACACAGTGCACATTTGGGGTGTCCATGGCTGAGTAGTTTAAGTCGTATATTGAGGTGTCGTGGACTTCAAACCACTTGCCTCTCACCACTGTGGGTTCGAATTCTGACAGGGACTTTGTATTATTCCATGCGATAAAGCTATCCAGCTGGCTTACAGAACATCGGTGGTTCTACTCAGATGCCCGTTTGTGCCTGAAATAATCCTCCACCTGTAAAGCTGGAACATCACCATATGGTCAATACTGTGTCGTGGTGACGTAAAACCCAATCAAATAAACAGTGCACATTTCAATAAAGTTGTACAGTAAAAGTATTTTACCAAAAGCTGAGCATAGTGTATTTTTATGCCCCCACAATGTGGGAGCATATAGCGTTGCACTTGTCCGTCCGTCCGTCAGTACGTCCGTCCGTCAGTCCGTCCGTCCGTACGTCCCGAAATCTTGTGAACGCAACTCCTCTTAAACCGGATGGCAGATTTTGCTTAAACTTACAGGGATGAACAACCTTAATGTGTAGATGGTAGTAAAGGAAGGAATTTTTGCTGCGACCAAATTTAACAGAATTATGGCCCTTTGTTGATTTTTTCACTAGATACTATGTAGAATTTTTGTGAACGCAACTCCTCTTAAACTATATGGCAGAATTTGCTTAAACTTACAGGGATGAACAACCTTTATGTATAGATGGTAGTAAAGGAAGGATTTTTTGCTGCGACCAATTTTAACAGAATTATGGCCCTTTGTTGATTTTTTCACTATATACTATGTAGAAATTTTGTGAACGCAACTCCTCTTAAACCGGATGGCAGATTTTGCTTAAACTTACAGGGATGAACAACCTTCAGGTGTAGATGGTTGTAAAGGAAGGAATTTTCGCTGCGACCAAATTTTACAGATTTATGGCCCTTTGTTGATTTTTTCACTATATACTATGTAGAAATTTTGTGAATGCAACTCCTCTTAAACCGGATAGCAGATTTTGCTTAAACTTCCAGGAATGAACAACCTTAATGTGTAGATGGCAATAAAGAAAGGAATTTTTGCTGCAACCAAATTTAACAGAATTATGGCCCTTTTTTTATTTTTTCATTATATACTATGTTGAAATTTTGTGAATGCAACTCCTCTTAAACCGGATGGCAGATTTTGCTTAAACTTCCAGGGATTAACAACCTTAATGTGTAGATGGTAGTAAAGGAAGGAATTTTTTGCTGCGACCAAATTTAACAGAATTATGGCCCTTTGTTGATTTTTAGTTTTCAACTTGTGGCACATGTAGTCCAAAAAATATTTGACCTAGAGTCATAAGATTGACAGAACAGTGGCGTGTGGGGGCATCCGTGTCCTATGGACACATTTCTAGTTTTAATTATTTTAATTTAACTCTGTATAGTAAATCTATAATAATTATGATAATATGTTGTCCAAAATAACCCTGGATAGTATATCATCAAATACATCAGTTGATGCACCACACACTCCTTGTTGTATCATACACTAATCTGATAATATACTAGACCTGTTTATATAGTTTGTAAAATTACACTGTTATACACCAGGTAACCTTTAAAACATTCCACACGATGCATGGCCCATTTCCATGTGAGCAATGTTTACATTGGTCAAAGTTATCAGTAGTTCCGCGCAATGATTTTCCTGCTTATATTACAGAGTCCGATAAAAGGCCTTTTCCCAATTGAAATTTTCTTTAAAAGCATGCAGTTTTCCCAAAAATTTGAACTTACAGTACTGGACACGCGAAACCCGCACAATTTGCGTATTCGCGGCGAACTCTCATGCTTTATAACGCGAGCGAATTCGCGGCAACTTGAGACAATTGCCGCGAATTCAACTCGCGGCGATTTTGCCGTGAACATTTGCCGTGATTCGCGGGGAATAATACATGTTCATTTGTATAATAAATGTAGATCTATTTATAATTGTACTCTGTGAACTTGAAACCAGATATACATGTACAAGTACGAAAATTAATTAGTAGATCTACATGAAGTTGTATCAAGAAAATCTTGTAATTTGCTAAAATGCCCTTTTTCTATTTATCTTTAATGCCAACAGCAAATATAAATAACCACGGCGAAATCAAATAACACCGTTAAAAACTTTCCGTGAATGGCGGAATCATGACCTCAATGTATAAATGCGACGCAGTACAAGTATGCGGCTCCATCGGCAGGTAAATAGTGTACATGTACACATGTAAAAATATTTTTTAGGGGGGATACATATTGAGTTCAAAGTAGAGATATAAATATAATATATGTGTAAAAAGATATTTAGTTACATAAAAAGATACATATTTGATACGACATTAACTTGTTCATTTCTAAATGTATCCCCATATTGAAAACGTTAGTACATAAGACATAAATTCAAGCATGGTCAAATTACCGATGTGATAAACTAATCCTGCGTAAATATTCCCGTACGACCTGGAAGAGTTAGTGGATCACCGGGACATTTCGTTCTTTCGGGTGATCATTACTCAATTTATTACACGTCTGTAAAAAATAACACACGCAAGATTTGTTTCCTATAATTTCTGAATGGCGGATATTTGCACCCCTGTTTTAAAAATGTTAAAATATTTAATTGTTAGTTACCCAAAATTATCGCCGATTGTTGAAATTTCATAGCCCTAAAAGACACAAAAACACTCGCGCAAAAAGAAGCATCCATAAATAAAAGGAATATAATGTTTCCATTGTTAAATAATAAATACAAAATTTACACACGAAATGACCTCTGACAAATGACTGGTCGGCTCTTCTGAAGAATCCGTGAATCTTTGATGTTTACACACCTGTAGTTGTTGCCGAATCATCAAAGAAATGCCGACACTCGATTGACTTCCACCTCATTTTTATTTATCAGAAAAAAACTGTCATTTCTTTTTGTCAAGGAATGATTACACATGTTTGATTATTGCTCAAGTAAAAAGAAATGTTGGATATTGATTGTGTCAATTATTGACATATTATTAATCGTAAGTGCATTTTGATTGTGATATTTTATTAACCAGGTTTTCAATTTTGAAAATCCTGGTTATTAGATTGGGGTATGGCGGGCGGATGGGCGGGCGTCAAACGAAATTGTGTCCGCTCTGTAACTCTTCAACCCTTTGAAGAATTTTGATGAAACTTCAGACAAATGTTTACCACATCAAGATGACGTGCAGAACGCATGTTCCGCATGGCTGGCTCCAAGGTCAAGGTCACAGTGACATTAACATTGAAAATCCTGTCCGCTCTGTAACTCTTCAACCCTTTGAAGAATTTTGATGAAACTTCAGACAAATGTTTACCACATCAAGATGACGTGCAGAACGCATGTTCCGCATGGCTGGCTCCAAGGTCAAGGTCACAGTGACATTAACATTGAAAATCCTGTCCGCTCTGTAACTCTTCAACCCTTTGAAGAATTTTGATGAAACTTCAGACAAATGTTTACCACATCAAGATGACGTGCAGAACGCATGTTCCGCATGGCTGGCTCCAAGGTCAAGGTCACAGCAGAACGCATGTTCCGCATGGCTGGCTCCAAGGTCAAGGTCACAGTGACATTAACATTGAAAATCCTGTCCGCTCTGTAACTCTTCAACCCTTTGAAGAATTTTGATGAAACTTCAGACAAATGTTTACCACATCAAGATGACGTGCAGAACGCATGTTCCGCATGGCTGGCTCCAAGGTCAAGGTCACAGTGACATTAACATTGAAAATCCTGTCCGCTCTGTAACTCTTCAACCCTTTGAAGAATTTTGATGAAACTTCAGACAAATGTTTACCACATCAAGATGACGTGCAGAACGCATGTTCCGCATGGCTGGCTCCAAGGTCAAGGTCACAGTGACATTAACATTGAAAATCCTGTTTACATGATTTTAACTTGATTTGGCAGTCAAAGGTCATATCATCTTTGGAGGTAATTTAAAAAAGATATGATATATTATTTCATGTCTACTTTGTAACTTGTTTTTCATTATACAGAATTACCAATATAATTATAGTGAACAAATTCTTCTGTGCTGAACTCGTCCTACATTTCTCAACGGATTTTGTTCAAACTTTCACAGAAGCTTTGTCATCAAGCACCCTGGCACATATTGTCGGGGCTTTGTGATTGGATAGTTTTTGACCTAATTATGGCCCTTTGTTTTTTTCCTTATACATAATATTATAGTGAACACTTCTTCAGTGGCAATTCCTCCTACATTATTCATGTTTTACATTGCACATAGTTACATTGTTTGTTGCTTGTATTTGTATTTCAAATACAACATATTTATCTACAATGGTGATAATTGAAAACCTGGTTTCATGGCATTGCCATGTTTCTTGTTTACATTTTTATGATCTTGAAGATATTGTGCAATACTTGTGTCTGTTATCAAAACAATAATGCATATGAAAGGACCACAGCTTCCAAAAATTTATTTTTTCAGTCAATTTTATGACAGAATCCCCTCTGCTACCAGAAATGTTTTATTGCATGTTTTACAATTTTCAACAATCATAATTAGCGTATTAGACGTAATAATTAGTTACACCTGTGAATCGGTGCTAAATGTCGCTTTGCATTGTTCTAAAAATAGAATATGTGCGAAAGTAAACAATGGATTTTAATTACATTTGTACTATTATCAAAATAACAATTGGACAATTTGTTATTGTGTGTCTTTGATGTACATGTAGTACCAATTACCTTTTGTAATTTCAATCTCGTTTTATTGTTAACTAATTTTCACCAGCACCTGATTGCTTTGTTTTAGTATACAAAATGTATACGCTGTACATGTTCAAATGCTAAATATTTATAAATATACATGACATTTACAAGATTTTTTTAAAGTTTTCAAAATTAAAGACCACGGGAATGACCAAGTAGTACTTTCTAATACAATTATTGCTGAAGATTCGCCGTAAATTACGGCGATACATCGCGGCGATTTTTTCGTGAACCGCCATGAAATTCGGCGAACTTGCATGCGGCGATGTTTTACCGCGTAGTGTCCCGTCGCGACATAGACTACACTCGCGGCATAACGCGACTTTTGCGGGTTTCGCGTGTCCAGTACTGTAAACCTACTTTTTTACTTCCCAAATTAGCAATTTTAGCAATGATTTTTCCCAAAATTAAGTGGCTAAGGCCTCTTCCAATTAAAGTGAGAAAAATCACGGCTGTGAAACATTGTGCCGGGGGTTCAAGGTTTGAGTCCCTGTCGGGCTGCACATTTTTCTGATCTTGTGACATTTTCTTAAATCAGATCTTAATGTGATACCACTTAAATATAAAACTTATACATATACCAGATATAAACGATCTAGTTATTTTTGTTATTTCAGGTTTTCCAGTTTATCAACTCAAAATCTGAGAGTTCTCATTTGATGAAGAGGAATCCTCGTAAAATTAACTGGACAGTGTTGTACAGAAGGAAGTACAAGAAAGGTCAGTCAGAGGAGATTTCTAAGAAGAGGACACGTAGAACAACAAAGTTCCAGAGAGCAATCACTGGCGCCACTCTTAATGATATCCTCGCAAAGCGCAACCAGAAGCCAGAAGTGAGGAAAGCTCAGAGAGAACAGGCTATCAGGTACCATTCAAAATATATCCTTATATAGATGTAGTAATGATATTCCGCCAGATTGTCTAGTAGAACCTGCCTGAAACATGGTATCTGTAGAAATAAATACATGAGACCAAAACAAAACCTTGTTATTTAAAGAAGACAAGATCAGCCTAAATTTTTTCATGTTGTATAGTTAATACAAATTATTGGTTTACAAGAGTCAATTTTTAACTGTTTTTGTTTACCTTATTAACTCTAATCTTGACCAGCTTAAAATAGCCAGCTGAATTCACTACACATACATGTAAAAGTCTAAATAAGCTTTTGTTCTGGACCTTTGAAACTGCAAAACAAAATTATAAGAAATTGAATGCTTCAAATGGCATGCAAATATCCTATAGAGAGAAAATTTTATACCATAAAGAGACCAGTTTTATTCTTACACCAAAATAACCAATCAAGTGTATTTAGATAACATTTTTCTAGGCTGTATTATTTTCCCCAACCATTCTCGAAATTTGAATTTGTCTCTTGATCACAGAATTGTTTTAATTTTCAGTTCTCAGTATTGTAAAAATGAAGCTATTTAAATAAATTTTTAGCAGAGTAACCTGTTGTCTGGGCCATCCTTAAAAAAATGTTTGTTTGCAGTAACGTGACCGACTCACAAAATTTGCCCCTACTCAAATTTTTTTTTCATGGTCTGGATAAAAAAATTTTTTTTTCAATCAAACAATTATGCCTTGTGCTTTGTTTTCATTCTTTTAAAGGTTAATAGAAGAAATGAAATGTAGGTCTTATTAAATTAGAATTCAGTTATCAATTTGTTAATTGTTACCAGATTATCAAAGCATATATTGTCCAGCATTTTGAAATTCCATGTTTATTTGGGAGTACAGTTCAATAAAAAAAAAAAAATCGACCTACCTACCCACCTTGAAAATTCTGGGTCGGGTTACTGCAAACAAACATTTTTTTAAGGATGGCCCTGCTGTAAAAGTATTTTCTTGAAAATGTTTTAAAATTATGATTATTATTATTATCACTTAACAATTATATAATTAAATGTCTTTATTAGGTGTAATATATGTTATGGTTTGGAAAGATTTAAATGCTTTAAAGTAATTAGGAAGTAACATTGAAATATTGTTACTACTATTTACAGAGCTGCTAAAGAGAAACAGAAAGCCAAGGACGCCCAGAAGAAATCACAGAGGGTAAGATCTTTCTACTGTGTCACAATTTAATACTGCACTAATTTTTTACTGATGGCAAAAAAATCATGCTCAAACATTATGTGAACAAAACAGAGATTTTTTTGCAGTCTTTATTGTTTTTGCTTGAAAGTTTTCGTATGGCATTAACAGTTCAACTTAGAAGGTGCCACTTGCTTCAAATCAAGACCAAAAATTGTTCCTATCCTATCATTGATGTAGTTATTTTGTGTGAGGAAGCTTACTGTTATAATGAGGTGCCCTCTCTGGCCGCAAATGATAATTTTAAGTTAGTACCTACAAAAGAAAGAATGTAAAGCAGCAAATGCTCAATGTTTTTGACATTGTAGTTTTATCATTTTTGGATACATTTAATAACAAAAATTTGAGTATAATATGAAGAGGAGTTACACTTTGTGAAAATATGAAAATGCTGCAGTGTCTAACAAATGATGAGCTTTGATGCTTTTATTATTTGGAATCATATCAGTTACTGATATTTATTAAAGGGTAAGAATAATACTAGAGTTTAAGCACATTTTAAGATGACAATAACTATTTGCATTCATTGTTTAATCACAATCTTGTGTCTATTTTAGGCCACCGCAGCAAAGAGCCAGCCTAAACAGAAAGCTGCTAAACAGGTACAACCCAAGGCTCCAAGAGTTGGCGGAAAACGATAATTTATTGTACATTAATAAGGAAAATAAATCTGGAAAACCCAAAAAGTGTTTTGTTTAAATTGCCTTATTGTAATTCTTGGAAGAACTTTGGTATACAATTTCATTGGAAAGGTTCTGATTCACAACAGTGATATTTTTTAGTATTGCAGGAATGTGCTTCTTAAGGAATAACTTTAAAACTATTATAATCAACTTGAAACTTCATATTAAGAAGTGATTAGCCCCAGAATCAATACTTTTGTACATAATTTTCAAGTTATTGCCCTTTTAAACTGTTCATACTTTGTTCTGGAGCACAACTTCGAAAAGTATTAGTAGTATCGGTTAAATACTATTGAGAAGTGCAAAATGTCAAAGAACTAGAACTGTTGTATAAATTGGGAGTTTTTAGCCCTTTACTGTTCATATATAATTTTTGTCAGGAGCAGAATTCCAATGTATTATCTTGAAACTTTACATATGGATAAATCTTGAGAAGTTCAGTGCCTAGAATTATAAAGGCTCTTGAAAATGAACAAAGAGTACTCTTAATATACATCTAGTCCTACTAGATCTGCGTTGTAAAAGTAAACAACCTCTTGAAATATATCCTTTGTCTGGGCTACTTGCCAAGTGCATTTTTTTTGGACAAAAACTACTTACCCTGGGCTTATAGGCTACAGCTTAATTCTAGTACTGTAACTTGAACATGAAACCAAAGCGAATACAAAACTTTAAATATGTGAGCCTTGTCATGTCAGTGCAATGATGATGCAATTGAGGATATTTCAAGTGAATATTACTCGGAAGTTTAAGCTAATTTAAAGACTCTTTATACATGTACATTATATAGCAGATCTTGACAGTAAAACAAGAGCCCAGATAATATAAGAATTGCCAGAGGAAGGCTTCATTCAAGCTACGGGCCTTAGGTAGTGACTTATTATGAATCTGATCCAAATTTTTTGACTTCCCAAGGGACCACAAGTCACTCAAAATTCAAGCCATAGTTATGACCCTGTATTTTGAACAGGAAATCATGTATAGATTCAGTAGTTTGGTAAAGCATGGCAAGTGCACAATGGGCCATTATTCAGTATAAATCCAGTTGTAGTAATAGGTCCTGTATAGTGACCTCCCAATTATGATCCCAAAAAGATTTGTGGTTACAATTAATCATTTTTATTAGGGCTGTTCAAGATGTTGCAGCTAACACCTACCCAAAGGCTTACATAGATGACATTGTCCAGGTGTGTAGGGTAGCCCTACTTACATTACATCATTGGCTGTAGTCGGGGGGGGGGGGGCTGTTTGTGCCTGAAATAATACACGGAAGGGCACCGAAGGTCCTCCTCCACCAGTAAAGCTGGAAAGTCATCATATAACCTTTAATGTGTTTGTGCGATGTAAAACCCAACCACAAAAATAATTCTTTGAATAGTTTAGCTATAAACAACATTTGTTCACTGCATCTATACAACTCATTGTTGATAGTAAATGATATTAAAACAACACAAAATAAATTGATTCCTAAATTTATATTGTTTCTCGGCATGTAAACACAAACATTTTATCACAGATTTTGAGAAAATAACTCCTGGAATGGATCACAAGTCATTCCAAAACTACACTGTATAACAATAATGCAGTGGCAATAAATTAACATATAACAAAAATATACAATAAACATAATCAGCTGCAATAAAATCTTTAATTATTGTTCATTTAAAATAATGAAATATTCAAGTTCTTTAAGATCAGAATGGAAATAAAATCCAAAATAAAAATATTTTTCTCCATTTTATCTGTATACTAAAATGTCTTGTTTATTTGTGTGAAAATCTAAAACAGTTGACAAAAGATTATTTTGTATGATGCATAGATATTGCATATTTACAGCTACCTTTGTTATGAACTATTTCTATTGACAATATTGGCTATAATTTATGATGTCATTCTTGTAAAAAATCTAGCATTAATTTGACTAAGGTGAAAAATGTTGGTTCTCAGTTCATTCATGTACAGCAAAAACTGGATAAATGTAATAGCAAATGTTTAAAATGTATATGGATATTTGTGAAATATTGAATAAAAATCTAAGATATATTTTTTTGTGAACACATAGAATATTGGACGGAATGTATTCTAATATAACTTTAATACAATGATAAAATTAGAAATGATAAACATGATCTCTCATAAATTACAACAAACAAAAATGAGCCGCGCCAAGACAAAACCAACATAATGCGTTTGCGACCAGCATGGATCCAGACCAGCCTGCGCATCCGCGCAGTCTGATCAGGATCCATGCTGTTCGCTATCAGTTTCTCTACTTGTAATAGAGTTGGTAAGCGAACAGCATGGATCCTGATCAGACTGCGCGAATTCGCAGGCTGGTCTGGATCCATGCTGGTTGCAAACCCACTATGTTGGTTTTGTCGTGACGCAGCTCAAATGAAATCTTTCATGTAAACCAACATTATCACAACAGTTTGTTGGGACGGAATGTAATAATAATAATTGTAAATAGTAAATTTATACCTGGAAAAATGACTGACAAAAAGGTCATCATTGCAACCATTACAATGTTCTAAGTTAAGTTTAAAGTTACATCAAGCTTCTATAATCAACATATGACCATTGTCATAATAATCCAAGCATATTACACACATTAAAATAAATTTACCTATCTAAGATCTATAATATAATTATGGTAAGCAGTTTTTGAAATACTTACAGTATTCCATTCATGTAAATACAGAGTAAAGAAAAAATATTAATTGCTGTTACACTATATTAACATCTTATAACATTTTAATAATGAGACATTGAAGTTTTTGCTAGTTATAGATATCAACACTAATACAAACAACTTTACTGCACAATAAAGAAAAAAATCGTAATTGCTATCTTGATATACAAGTCATCTTTTCCAACAATAAGGTCCTATCAAAAAGAATATACATGTACTCCTTTGAAAGAAGACGAATATTGTCCTAACACAATTAGACAAGATAGGTGTAAGAACAAGAATGTTGAGGTAGAAGTAAATGTTACCATGGTTACAAGAAGTGACAGAAGATTGCACTCTTACATGTTTACATGTAACAAACATTGATATATTAATTACCAGTAATTCAGCAAGTGATGCAGTAATTTCGTTCCTTATTTAGATACGTACAGTATACATAGGTCTGTTCATGGAAAGAATGACCCTTTGACTTATAACTAATTGAATTTGTTAAATAAAAGGTAAAATTTACAGTGACAACAACATGTAGGTAACAAAGTCCTTTTCATACACTGAAAGAAACGTTACAACTTATATGAAAGACGTTACAATGTTTTGATTTATTTCTTATCAAGTTAACCCTTACCACCCTAAATAACTTAAATGGACTTGTCCATGATTCAATCTGGATCAGACCAGTCATCATTTTTAGGGAAGATTTTTAACAATGTATTATTACTTAAATAGCAAACAATGTAGGCCATGATAAGGTGACACAGTAGTGCTGGCTGATCTTGGTCAACACTGATCGCACAAGTAGATTGTGTTTCTGCTAGCAGAATCTGCGTTAACAAGGTCATCAAACTATAACGTTTGACCCTATCTTACATATGTAGAGACATTATATCACATGGAAATGTTCTTACTGAAAAATCGAAACTGTAAGAACATATACAATGAAACATCTCTGGTACAGTTGATGGAAAACAATAGTAATGTATGGCCTTCCTTTCCAATCAAAGCAAATAATGTTCATTAATATTTCTTTAGTACATTTATAAAGACTATACTGGTATGAATTCATGCAAACCCAGATCTATAACTGTAACGGTTATTTACACAATGTAATACATTTGATAATAATGTCTGCAGAATTCAACATTCTAGTTGTTGAAATTTTTAACATTCCGGTGAATATCAATGTCACAGAATCAATTTGTGACATTCTGACTTGTGTAATAAGAGAGATGTGACATTCTGATTTATGTTACAGTAGATATGTGACATTTAATGCGTGTCTATTGGTGTCTGTGTATATTACGTTTCAGATGAGCAGACGTGATTCTCAAACGGGCCCTGTGGTTCCCGGCCTCTATAACCCTCCTCTGTGTAATTGGTGCATGACCTTTGAACCCACTCACCTGAAATACATGATACATTCAGGTCAATATTCAACAAATTTACATTAAATAAAAATTTCACTAAAAAAGTAGTTAAATTCTTGATACTTTGAGACAATCATATATGGTACCATTTCAATATAATATGCATATAGAATATAATGTATTATTCATATTAGATAAAAGAGGAGTGATGTCTATAATTTAAAGACAGATTAATCAATCATCTTCAAACACTAGCAGTTATTATTTTCAATATTTTGCATATTAAATATTTTACAGGTTAAATTACGTCTATAGAAATATAGAAGAAATTTGAAAATTATTTGATGATATAAACCAGCAAAATATTATGTTCAAGTCCATTTACATATTATTCATAAGCTGTTACAGCACATGTATTCCATTCATGTAAACTATAATTATAGACATTTTGATAAACACCTTTACTTTGCATTTATGCTGTGCATTTAGTTACCGTAGTGTTTCATTTATACCTAAACAATATTTTAAAACTATTTATAGAAGGAATTATATCATGAGTGGTTCCATGTACATCTTGGGAGTGAAAATTAGTATAAATAAGAGACAATTTTTTCTCTAAAACATTTTTGCAATGCTACTACTCTAAACATCTAATCCAATGATCATATGACAGCTGTCCAAGAGTATAGATACACACTTCATATTGTCCCGGACTACAGAATATACACTTCATATCTTCCCGGACTACAGAATACACACTTTAGGTTGTCCCGGACTACAGAATACACACTTTACATTGTCCCGGACTAGAGAATACAAACTTCACATCGTCCCGGACTACAGAATACACACTTTATATTGTCCCAGACTACAGAATACACACTTTACATTGTCCCGGACTACAGAATACACACTTTACATTGTCCCAGACTACAGAATACACACTTTACATTGTCCCAGACTACAGAATACACACTTTACATTGTCCCAGACTACAGAATACACACTTTACATTGTCCCAGACTACAGAATACACACTTCATATTGTCCCAGAGTACAGTTTCACACTTCACATTGTCCGGGACTACATATACAAATTTCATATTGTCCCGAACTACAGATACACACTTCATATTGTCCGCAACTACAGAACACACTTCATATTGTCCCAAACTACAGAATACACACTTCATATTGTCCCAGACTACAGAATGCACACTTCAAATTGTCCCAGAGTATAGATATATATACACACTTCACATTGTCCTGCACAACAGAATACACACTTCACATTGTCCCAGACTACAGATACACACTTCACATTGTCCAAGAGTATAGATAGATATAGTACACACTAAGGATTGTCCCTAAATTTGCACACTTCAAACAAGGAGAGATAAGCTTGTCAGAGAAAGATGTGAAACAAGTTACTTAAAGAGGAACAGGGAAACTTCATAGAGGGATAGCTGTTGGGGTTTGCCTTTAATTTGTATGAAACACAATGGCTTCCAACAGTTACATAACTGATTATATGCTGGCAAAAAAAGTACATGTATTATTAAATCATATATGAACAAGTTGCTGAAGCAAATAATTAAATGGATGGATGTCAAACAAAACTTAGTTTTATTTCAAGGAGTTACAAAGGGTTATTCCAGAGAAGGAAAAAGAAAGTACTTAAAAGCAAGCCTTAATGGTATTTCACACCTACAGGGACATGTATAACACCATTGTGGCTAATCCCTAACATCAGTGTTTCTTTAACTACCGTATATGATACTATTTCAAACATTATCCAGACATATTTAAAATCTCGGTAATTAATGGTAAGACAGTTATATAGTCATGGCTCTGTTATAACAAGATTTTGATTATTGTGATAATGTGGAATAAAAACATCAACTATGATAGCTCACAATGAATACAGTGTGACATTAGTAAATTGATCTGGTTTATTTGTTTGAAGGTTGAGTATCATTCACAATTTCACGGCTTACCAACTCATGTAATATATGTTACCCTTGGCAACTGAAATACACATTACAACCTATTTTATAATTATTTTAAAAAAAAAAACATGTATCTAACCCATTGAAATGCTTCTCTTGACATTCATAATATGTACAAATATCCTCCATAATTAACATATATTTTATACACACTACCCTTTACCCCTCATCACAGGTGCATGATACCCGATACCATTGCCACTTTCAAGACTTATATGAACTAATGGATATTGCACTTACAAATATACACCATCTTCAGAATATTGTACATGTTAATTATATTTAAACCCCAACTATCATGTAACCTTTTTGCACTTAAAGCAGCACACCTCCAGAAGAGTTAATACAATTTTAAAGACTTTAAACTTATGGAAAATATATCTACAGTTTAAATGACCACAATCCAAGTAAATTGTTTAATGTTTTATGCAAAATATGGAATAATTTACTCCTCATTATTAATGGACTGAGAAAATACGTGTTTGCATATTTTGAAAAGTTACAGGTCATTACTTTGTAATGTGTATTATGCTAGGTTACATCACTTTGACAACATCTTTACCATTAAAACAATTTTTAAGTAAAAAAATGTCTCCAGATGAGCCAAATTTGTTCAAGAAGATCAAACTTAAGTAAAATGTACTTAATTTTTTAAGAAAAGTAAAAAGATTCAAGATTCAACTCACCATATTTGTACTGCATGAGTACTGCACTAAGGGCTATTTTTTCTTATTTTGACCTGTTTTTGGTTGTTTACGTGGATTGCAGGTGCTGTTTGCATTATGTTTAAATTACTTTCTTTGTTTACTTCACAATTTTTCACTTTAAAATGCATTTTTCAAAATTTTCATGAAAATTAGCATGAATCTGGAAGCATGCTTCTTTAATAAAAACTTAACACAAATCTGGAGAAGTGCTTCTTTAAACTAAAAGTAGAACAGTACAATATTTTTTGGCTTAACACAAAGTCATACAGAAATGTCTTTAACGTGATAGCAATTTATGTTCAAGTCTTCAATTACAAGGAAATATATTTCCTAGGGCAACAAAGCAGAATTGCTATAGGAATGCACAGAAAGTTTTTGTTGAAAGCAAAAGAATATTGTGCAGGAAATGTCAAGATATCAAATTATTTTACCCTTGTTAAAGATGAGATTTTGCCACTCAATATCTCTGAAAACATGCAACATCTTATTTCAATAACTAAGTTTCTAAAACAGCTGGTTAGAGTTGATAACATTCAAACAATGTTAACATTAAATCTGTAAAACATGCAATATTACTAACAAAATAACAATGTGTTATACTTACACAATGGTTACATACTGAGAAATGACAGGACATTTGGTTATATAACAGTTACAGGGAGGGTAAAAAATTAACCTGTAGGACCTAGGAATAGGGGGAGAAAAAAACATTACCCTTTTTACTAGTTTTAGAGAAAATATAAACATTTAAGGAGTAGAAAATTTTAACCACTGTATAAATAAAGTTTACTTATTGTTCAGACATTTTCACCAAAAAAAAAATTACAAATAAACAATAAATGTTAAAGCTGCACAATAGTTTATACAAATACATGTCTTAGTCTACATAATCTACAAAGTATACACATATAGAAAAGCAGAGACCAAACAATGAGCAAATATAAACAGCATGTGTAACACATAAAATATAGAAAGCAGTCCAAGACAGATCCAGAGGAGTTAAAAGTAACTAGAATAAAGAAGACAGTTACAGGCAATATTATGTTACATGTATTATGTCCCTTTGATGAACCTTCTCACCAATATCAAAACAAGGAGTTATTAATGAAATAAATTATCAACCAGACAATGCCATCTCTACTTGATATAAAAAAAGTTCCTACATTATCTAAAGAATCTGGATCTGTCCTAGTATTTTGGATATGCTCTAGTGGTGGTTTTTGGAGCTTACCCTCTGAATCACGGCACTAAGCCATTTTGAATTTACCAGAGCACAGTTTAGCCACCACACTGTTCCTGGGCAAGCTGTCAACCAGTTTACCAGTACTAGATGCTTTTACAAAGAACTGCTAGTTCTTCTGTACATGCCAGAGCAGTGGTACAGTGTGAGCTAACTGGGCGGTGCTCCATATGCTCTAAGTCTGCAATAACATATTATAGATCTGACCTGAAATATTATAGGTCTGCCCTAGACATGTCATAGGCTTGTCCTAGACATTATAAGTCTGCCCCTGACATTTCATAACTTTACCACTGACATTTAATAGGCGTAAACATGCCTTCAAATACCACCCAGACATATCCTAGACCTGCCCCAAAAGACAACATCTACTAGCTTTATATTAACAACAAATATCAGACATCTTACACAATCTTGTGAAGGTTTATTTTCTTGTTGTATAATTTCCTCACATTCAATATCTTCCTGTTAGCATCAATTTTGAATAAAAGAAAATGTGAATTAAGACACTTATTAACAAGAGCTGTCCGTAAGACAGCGCGCTCGACTTTTTTAGTGCTTGCCTATAATACAAAACATTGACAGTTAAGGGCCATAATTCAAATAAAATCTTTGACAGAATTACCTTCTCCTGGACATGTTTGGGAATCATGATTGTAAACAAGTATTCCAACTTTCAAATTAATATCTCAAACAGTTCAGTCAAAAAGTGGACTGGTACTAAAAACTTAACCAAGATTCTAAGTCGATAAAAGGCCTTAATTTTTAAAACAAATCCTTGACAGAGTTACCTTCTCTTGCGTACAGATGGGGGTAATGATGTGAAATAGCATTAAAAGTTTCAAAGCAATATCTCAAAGGGTTAAGGCAATAAGTGGATTTTACCCATATTCAATGTATTTTCTAAGTCAAAAGGGGCATAATTCTGTCAAAAACCTTGACAGAGTTATGTCCTCTTGTCTGTTGATGAAGGTCGTGATGGTAAACAAGTATGGTCAGTTTCAAAGCAATACCTCCAATGGTTTTGAAATAAAGTGAGGTGGTACAAAAAACTTAACCAAGATTCTAAGTCGATAAAAGGCCTTAATTTTTAAAACAAATCCTTGACAGAGTTACCTTCTCTTGCGTACAGATGGGGGTAATGATGTGAAATAGCATTAAAAGTTTCAAAGCAATATCTCAAAGGGTTAAGGCAATAAGTGGATTTTACCCATATTCAATGTATTTTCTAAGTCAAAAAGGGGCATAATTCTGTCAAAAACCTTGACAGAGTTATGTCCTCTTGTCTGTTGATGAAGGTCGTGATGGTAAACAAGTATGGTCAGTTTCAAAGCAATACCTCCAATGGTTTTGAAATAAAGTGAGGTGGTACAAAAAACTTAACCAAGCTCAATACACTTTCTAAGTCAAAAAAGGGCCATAATTCTGTCAAAAACCTTGACAGAGTTATGTACTCTTGTCTGTAGATGGAGGTTATGATGGTGAACAAGTATGGTAAGTTTCAAAGCCATACTTGTAATACTTCTGAAATAAAGTGGGGTGGTACGAAAAACTTAACCAAGGTGTGACGCCAACGCTAACGCCGACGCCGACGCCGGGGCGAGTAGGATAGCTCCCCTTTTCATAGAAAAGTCGAGCTAAAAATTAGTATAGTTCTTCTTTTTCTTTTTCAAACATGAGGAAAATAATGTAACTGTATTGTATGACAATCCACATTAAGACTTTTATATCCAAAAGTTTATTTGTTCACTAAATATTTCAATTTATTAATGATATTGAATTTTCTGTCAAAACCAATTAATATTTAAGATAGATAAGCAGTGAAAAGGTAAGATAATTCCAAAATCTGGACAGAAATTGAACTTTAATGAAGATAACAATGTAGCCTAACATATACAAGAATAAATCTTTAACAAATTTGATTTAAAGAGTTGAGAGAAGATAATTGCACATTTATTTAGCAAGAACTTGAGGTAGCTTTAGAGACAGGTGCATTATTCGAGGTGGCAGTAACGAGTTATGTGTTAAGTTTTGGTGTACTGAACAGACAGGTGTGTGTAAAGTTAGGACATATAGAAACATTGTTAGATATTGTAAAGGAACATAGATGTTTAGTTAACATAAACTTTACGGAAATGAACAAAAAAAAATAAAAGTTAAGGTATAACAGATGAGAGATTTACCTTTCCGTCTTCAGTAAGAAATGAGGATCTCTAGAATGAGTTAGCATATATGTTCCTTTAACTTACAGCATTTCTTACAAGTGTTTCTTTCTATTTATTTTGAAACACTTTCTTTTACTTAGAGAAAATACTATCTTATTTAAGAAAACTTTCATTTTTAGAAATTTTAAAAAGTAATACATTCATTATGACCATCTTAAAATAAAGTATGCAAGTATATACAACCTTTGTTATATTTGACGTTTCCTACAGTTTGATAATGTTTCCTCAAATGTGCACATCATTTGAGTGCTATGTGCACATCATTTGGATATGTGCACATCATTTGAGTGCTATGTGCACATCATTTGGATATGTGCACATCATTTGAGTGCTAGACTATTTCAACTATTTATTATCTAAAAAGCTTTCAAAATAAAATAATCATTCAGTTTTGCCTCAAGTTTAACTTCATACATCAGTAGTTTAAGTTCAGCCAAACTAATCCGAATGTGATTTTGTAAAACTCTCATTATGTCAAGAAATAAGTTTTATTAAAGATTTTAGAAACAATTAGTCCTTGAAGTTGAAATTGTCAATGAAAATCTGTTTATATTTAAGCAGCATTAGACAAGGTATTAATTTGTGAAAAACATATAAATTTAGAGTTTCTAATGTAAAACTTAAATGTAACTCAAAGAAATGTGTGCTTTGGACACAGATGCCCCCACTCATTCATGACCTCTTATTACAGTCATATACTTTAAAAGCAAATACACTATGAATGATTTAAAAGATTGATATTACAGACCTGTCTTAAGCCCAGCTGATGATTTAAGCATTAGTTTGCCCAAACAAATTCTATAATCTGTAATAGTTGAAATTAACCAATTTTCACAATTTACAAGCAAAACCCCAGATGCACAACTGCACATGCTGACCAACATTCCTGTAAAGTTTCATCTGTCTAGGTCAAATATTTTTTAAGCTATGCACAACACAAATCAAGGGCAATTACTCTGACAATCAACATTCCTGTAAAGTTTCTTGACTCCAGCTCAAGCACTTTTAGAGCTACATGTGACATAACATTTTGGAACAGACAAACAAGGGTAAATCTAAATGCTCCCCCTCCCCCAAGAGTGAGGGCATCAAAATTAAACAGATGAAAGGCTTCAAAGCTTTTTTTCCAGTAAGAATTTCATGCAATTTTTTTTTTTATTCATGAAGATCAACTAACGATCATAAAATATTGCAGACAGGTATGTGAGACTATAATTGACATGTGACAATCTCTTGTTGTTGTAAAACAGAAACACTGTGAGTTAACTTACATGTACAGATAACTGTTGTCTTGGCTGCTGCTGGTGGTTGTTGTTGTACAGGTTGACTGGGTGGGGTAGTATTTGGCACAATACCATCTGCAGCTGAAATATTTAAATTTCAAGTTCCACATGTATGAACACAGCATAATAATATATTAACCCTTAAACTGCTTAATTTCTTAAATGAACTTGTCCAGTTTCTACTTTTTGGACTGACCAGCATCAATTTTTGGGATGTCAAATTGAAAATTTGAAGTAGAGCCTGATAAGACTGCACAAGTATTCAGGCTAGTATGGCTCTATACTGGTGACAAAGGCTGATCACCTTCAATTCTAGCAGGGTCAGAGTTAAGAATTTCACTAAATGGAAAATGTATCAGGACAATTCAAATTATGTAATGCGTTAAAAACTACTTTTAATTTTATTATTAATATTATTCATCTATCTATCCAGCTACAATATATATATATGTATTTTATTATTTGATACACTTTTGAACATAAGATTTTCTGATGTTGAACTAAATTATAATGATGACAGTAACTTACTTTTCAGTTTATCATTTAGTCTGTCCAGTGATTCCATCAACCTCTGTTCTTCTACTGACAATGCAGACCTCACTATAATAAACAATATATAATGTTATATACCTGTATGTCACATACCTACATGGACATGTAAATACCTAGAATCATTTTACCATTCTTAATTTAACAAGTTTCAACCTATTCCCTTCAGTAGTTTTTGAGATACCAACTTGCATGCAAAATCATTAAAAAAGAGTGGCACCAATGCTTGGGCGAGTACAATAGCTCTCCCTACTCTTCAAATAGTTGAGCAAATAAATAAATCAAACATGTTCAAGATATGTGTATTAAAGTAGCAACCTTCTGAAAATTTAAATTAATACAAATGAATCATAAACTAATACATGTATTCTATACAAGTTTTCTTACTAGTATTGTGGACATGATGATACAAGCAAATAATTTACAAACCTACCAATAGTAGTGAGTAAATTTATATAAAGACAATTAGAAAGGAGAACACTATAAGGCTCTTCATGTTTAATTGTAACATTCAACATTTAAAGCCTATGTGTTTTACTACAAGAATATTAAGTTGATATACATGTATGTGAAAAAGAATTACCTTTAGGTTGAGGTCTAGCGGAGTTATAGGCAAGTTGTCTAGCTTGAGCCTCCTCCATGGCCTCGTGTATTCTACTCTCAGATACCGACTGTTCCGCTAACTGTTCCGCTGCCAGAAATCCTGCCATACTCTCTGATACTGAAAATAATATATCATAGTTTAGTTTAAACAACATTTACTTATAATCTATACATTTACATAAGGTACATAAAATATAATTTACAGATATTAAAGTTTGATGTCATCACCTGTTTTTGTTTCAATGTCTCTTTCTTAAAAAAGTTAGAAGAATATTCTATAACCCTGGAATGTTTTTCTTATGTCATTAAATGTAATTATCATTAAAACCAGCTACAGTTACAGTTTACAGTACAAAAACCAACACACTGGAGAAAAGAAGCTCTATACATTTTCAAGCTTCCATGAGATTTCTGAACAGTTGAGCAAATTCATGCCATAAAATGTTGTTAAATATACTGATGAGAGAAAAAAAGAAGGTTAATGTAATAAGACTTAAAACCAAGAGAAGAACGTTAATGTAACAAGAAATGTTTGTAAAACATGTATGCCCCCTATCAGCAGCCAATTAGTCATGTGATAAGGTTATTATGCATGACTTCTGACCCAGTGATCAAACAATTAATAAGGGTTATAAAGTATCTACTGGTCATGACCTTGACCTTTGACCCCTTGACCCAAAACTCAATAGGGGTCATCTGCTGGTCACGACCAATGATCATACAAAGTTTGAAGTTCCTAGGCCTAGGCGTTTTTAGTAAATTGATCAGAAACCGTTTTTACCTACAAGGTCAATGTGACCTTGACCTTTAACCCCTTGACCCCAAAATCAATAGGGGTCATCTGCTGGTCATGACCAATCACCATGCCAAGTTTGAAGTTCTTAGGCCTAAGGGTTCTCTTATTATTTGATCGGAAACCGTTTTAACATACAAGGTCAATGTGACCTTGACCTTTGACCCCAAAATCAATAGGGGTCATCTGCTGGTCATGACCAATCACCATGCCAAGTTTTGAAGTTTCTAGGCCGAAGCGTTCTTTAGTTATTGATCAGAAACCATTTTTACTTACAAGGTCATTGTGACCTTGACCTTTGACCCCTTGATCCCAAAATCATTAGGAGTAAAACGCTAGTCATGACAAATCACCATACCAAGTTTGAAGTTCCTAGGCCTAAGCGTTCTTGAGTTATTGATCAGAAACCGTTTTTACTTAAAAGGTCAATGTGACCTTGACCTTTGACCCCTTCACCTAAAACTCAATAGGGGTCATCTGCTGGTCATGACCAATCATCACACAAAGTTTGAAGTCCTAGGCCTAAGCATTTTTAGTTAATTGATCGGAAACCGTTTTTACCTACAAGGTCAATGTGACCTTGACCTTTGACCCCTTGACCCCAAAATCAATAGGTCATCTGCTGGTCATGACCAATCACCATACCAAGTTTGAAGTTCCTAGGCATAAGGGTTTCTTAAGTTATTGATCGGAAAGCATTTTTACCTACAAGGTCAATGTGACCTTGCCCTTTAACCCCTTAACCCAAAAATCAATAGGGGTCATCTGCTGGTCATGACCAATCACCATACCAAGTTTGAAGTTCCTAGGCCTAAGGGTTCTTTAGTTATTGATCGGAAACCGTTTTTACCTAAGAGGTCAATGTGACCTTGACCTTTGACCCCTAGACCCCAAAATCAAAAGGGTCATCTACTGATCATGACCAATCACCATCTCAAGTTTGAAGTCCCTAGGCCTAAGGGTTCTTTCATTATTGATCGGAAACCGTTTTTACCTACAAGGTCAATGTGACCTTGACCTTTGACCCCTTAACGCCAAAATCAATAGGGGTCATCTGATTTGGTCATAACCAATCACCATACCAAGTTTTTGAAGTTCCTAGGCCTAAGGTTCTTTTGTTATTGATCAGAAACCGTTTTTTAATTTAAAAGGTCAATGTGACCTTGACCTTTGACCCCTTGACCCCAAAATCTATACGGGTCATCTACTGATCATGACCAATCACCATACCAAGTTTGAAGTTCCTAGGCCTTAAGGTTCTTTAGTTATTGATCGGAAACCGTTTTTACCTACAAGGTCAATGTGACCTTGACCTTTGACCCTTGACCCCAAAATCAATAGGGGTCATCTACTGATCATGACCAATCACCATACCAAGTTTGAAGTTCCTAGGCCTAAGGTTCTTTTGTTATTGATCAGGAAACCGTTTTTAATTTAAAAGGTCAATGTGACCTTGACCTTTGACCCCTTGACCCCAAAATCTATACGGGGTCATCTACTGATCATGACCAATCACCATACCAAGTTTGAAGTTCCTAGGCCTTAAGGTTCTTTAGTTATTGATCGGAAACCGTTTTTACCTACAAGGTCAATGTGACCTTGACCTTTGACCCTTGACCCCAAAATCAATAGGGTCATCTACTGATCATGACCAATCACCATACCAAGTTTGATGTTCCTAAGCCTTTAGGTTCTTTAAGTATTGATCGGAAAACCGTTTTTTACCTACAAGGTCAATGTGACCTTGACCTTTGACCCCTTGACCCCAAAATCAATAGGGGTCATCTACTGATCATGACCAATCACCATACCAAGTTTGAAGTTCCTAGGCCTTAAGGTTCTTTAGTTATTGATCGGAAACCGTTTTTGCTTACAAGGTCAATGTGACCTTGACCTTTGACCCCTTGACCCCAAAATCATTAGGGGTCATCTACTGATCATGACCAATCACCATACCAAGTTTGAAGTTCCTAGGCCTTAAGGTTCTTTAGTTATTGATCGGAAACCGCTTTTTGCTTTTAAGGTCAATGTGACCTTGACCATTGACCCCTTGACCCCAAAATCAATAGGGGTCATCTACTGGTCATGACTAATCACCATACCAAGTTTGAAGTTCCTAGGCCTTAAGGTTCTTTAGTTATTGATCGGAAACCGCTTTTGCTTTTAAGGTCAATGTGACCTTGACCCATTGACCCCTTGACCCCAAAAATCAATAGGGGGTCATCTACTGGTCATGACTTAATCACCATACCAAGTTTGAAGTTCCTAGGCCTTAAGGTTCTTTAGTTATTGATCGGAAACCGTTTTGCTTTCAAGGTCAATGGACCTTGACCTTTGACCCTTGACCCCAAAATCAATAGGGTCATCTACTGGTCATGACCAATCACCATACCAAGTTTGAAGTTCCTAGGCCTTAAGGGTTCTTTAGTTATTGAATCGGAAACCGTTTTTGCTTTCAAGGTCAATGTGACCTTGACCTTTGACCCCTTGACCCAAAATCAATAGGGTCATCTACTGGTCATGACCAATCACCATACCAAGTTTGAAGTTCCTAGGCCTAAGGGTTCTTTAGTTATCACTCGGAAACCATTTGGTCTACGGACCGACGGACCGACAAGTGCAAAGCAATATACCCCCTTTTTTTCAAAATGGGGGCATAATAACCAAAACAGATGTAAATGTATGACAAATAGATAACTTACCATCAGCACCATTTATAAGAGGCCCTGTTGGCTGGGGTTCTGAGTTACTCTGAATAGGAGCCTGATAAACTGTATATCCTTGCTGCTGTTGTTGTTGTTGTTGTCGTGACTTCAGACTGTTTGGGTTAGGTTGTTGTTTTCTTTGTTGCAGTAGACCGTAACGTCTTGTGTATGTATTAGGTGTATTATCAAGTGAATTTTGTCTGCGTATTGCAGGGTTATTGTTGTTATTGTATCCTGGTTGCTGGGCAACTCTGTTTAAACTGTTAAACTGACCTAATGCATTTCCATCAATATATGTATGGGCAACTGGAGCGGCCTGGCGTGCACTGGCACTTTGACTCTCTGCCTGAGGGGCGTCAGGTGTGGCCTGGGAGTTTCTACTTAAACAAGTGCGTAATTTATCCCAAAGAAAGTTAATTTCTTCATCAGTTGGTGTTCTATCTATTCGTACACCATTCTCATCATATACAGCACCTTCATATTTAGAATTATTCCCACCTTGTGATGGACCATTCACACTGCCTGCTGGGACAGGACCAGTTTTATTATAGCCGGGATAAATGAAAGGAGCACTTTCATTCTTGGGCATTACTATACTTGATACAGCGTAGTTTCCTTTTTGTTGTGGCTGGGTATAACTGACAGAATTTACAGCATACACCGATGCTGGGGCTACAGTTAAAGCAGTCTGATTGGCTCTTGCCATTGCTGGAACTTTCTCCATAAAGTTACTATTGACAACTGTGACTTTCTCGTTTGGATTATCTAGAAGCTGTGTACTTTGTGTAATGATATGTGCAGCAGCCTGGGGTCTCACAACTTGTGTTTTAGCTCGCGGAATCGTGCTTGTACGTACATTTGTGGCACTTGTGGCACGAGGAGGTTTACTGTCTATCTTAGGTGATAAATTCTTTGTTGTAACAGCAGATACTGGGCGAGGTGGCTTGTGATGAACTGAATCTAAACATAGAAACTGCTAATGTCAAACATTATATTAAATTTTGGCTTTTACTTCGTTGTGACAAAAGACTGATTATTTTTTTTAAATTACTTTGATACTTTTTCTCTAACAACTAATTTAATATTTAAAACTGTAGTTAATAACTTATCAAAAATTTAATCTTTAAATCTACTTTGTCCATTTTTGCAAATATTGGTGTTAATTTCACTGTGTCCAACTTTTATCAAGTGAACTTTCAGAAAAGATTATGGCACATTAATTAACAGTCAGTAGCACACAAACAAAATAAATTTACTAGATGGACTTTGTAAGATTGTGACACGAGTTGCATTTTTTTATATTTTAAAACAGTTTGAACATACTTTATTGTTGTTATAACTTACCATCATTTCTCTTGTGGAACAATTTACTGTCACTGTATCCACTAGGCTCAGGTTCATCATATGTTAAATCAGCAAATCTTACATTCTTCTTTGTAGGCTGGAATTACATATAAACTCTTAATTACAGATCATATATAACTCAATATGTTCAATACACAGTGACTGATTTAAATAAAATAATTATCACCCTGAAAAAGAAATGTAAGTTATTAAACTAGCCTAGTAGATTGGAACAAAGACCAATAATAAGTTTTACTATTTGTATGTTTATATAAACATTGCATAATTACAAATGCATGTTAACATTTATAACATGATATGATATTTACATGTTTTCTGTAAAATACACTTTTTTTAAAGAACAAACAAAAACATTTATTTCAGTAGAAAATTTGTTGAAATCACATGCTCGTTTACTCTCCCCACAAGAAATATATTGTTACTTGTCCCATGCGATATAGCCTTACTATGAACTCTTCCCCACTAGGCTGTACTCTCCCCACAAGAAATATATCATTTAAGGCTGTACTCTCCCCACAAGAAATATATCATTTAAGGCTGTACTCTCCCCACAAGAAATATATCATTTAAGGCTGTACTCTCCCCACAAGAAATATATCATTTAAGGCTGTACTCTCCCCGAGAGAAACACATTGTAACATTTAACCCTGTACTTGTCTGTATAAAATGTAAAACTATAATAAGAAATGCTCCTATTGTTCAACAAAGCAGTGAAGTGTATAACAAAGCAAAGATAGGTGAAATTCTGATTTTCTAATCCAACCAAAGATAAGCAAAATGCTGGAAAAATCAGAAAACATTTAATATACTACCAATTATCAATAAGTTTCTACTTTTTATAGCTTAACATTGATATATGCATGTACCGGTATGTACCAAGTGAAACATAATAAAATAGGTCTGTTTGGGTTACAGGCCAGAAACTGTTTCACACTATTTCAATAATACAGTCCTTTAAGTTTACTAATGTTTCAGAAATATATTTGTTCTTGTCTGTTGACAGTTACTAAATGCAATTATTTCTGCCTAAAGTATTTATTTAACACTAAAGAGTCAAAGTTATATTCTTCCATCTGAACATAGCAAGTTTGCAGAACCATACAAAGAAAAATATACTCTACCAATACTATATTAGTATCTACCCATCAAAAAATTGTAACATTATGTTTTGAATGAGAATAAATTAATGTATCTAAGACATGTAATGATAGAAGATTGGTTTCTATAGACATTCTTGGATAAACAATAAACATAACACCATTATACTATGCATAAAATCTGTTTATATGTAAAGAAAATAACTGCTAAAAAAAACAACAAAAAAAACCTTATAGCCTTAAAAGGAGCATTACTTTCATACATTTTCATAAGTTCATAAGCTTTATGTATGAAAACCTTGAAATTTAGGAAAATACCTGAAAACCTTTACCCATGTATTATTATTCAAGTTAATAACTATGACATATGAAATAAATGTAGTATATCAATGAGACACTTGGCATTGTAAACTCAGTGTTAAAATTAGCACCTGTCTTCATGTTTATATTGTAAAACATGCAGTTAATACACACATGTCAATATTTCTAAATGTATATCTAATTTTATTAATTTATCATTATGGACAATAATTTTATGATCATAGTAATGGGATACTAGTGTATATTTCACAGACATATATATATTGTCATATTTCACATGTTATTGTTGATATATTAAATGGGTCACATTGATATTTATATAGTTCACTCACAAACACAACAAAGGGATATAACTATAGTTTATAACTGTAATATATTAACAATGGATTCATTATTGTCTATTTGAAATGAAGCTGCAAAGAAAATCTGAAAGCAAAATCGAGGAATAAAATGGGAATATCAATATATTTCCACACAATGTAACAATTGTTGAGAATCATGTAATCTAAAATGATTAGTTAAACAGAAACAGCTGATTCCAGACAACTAAATACTTTTTGTAGAAAAAAAAAACATACAAACCTATCATATTCATGTTGTAAATATTTATATTTAGCTCAGTCTATCCAGCATTATTTTACACTAAACAGTTTACTTTGATGCTGCATTATCTTTACATTGCTCTACATACATTTTAAAACAACCAGTTAAGATTTGAGATCTGCCTGCATGAAAGCAGCCCAGAGAGACATTTTCATTTATCAAGCAGTCGAAAATGAGTTGTTTTAAAACAACAACTAAAGAACATCAAATTCTGGACGGCCAGAACTATATATTACTGAAAACATACAATAAGTAATATCTACATACGGAGAAGAGATAGAAAATATAACTGCTGAAGCAGAAAATAATGCTGTGAATATTGCATTATAAACTGTAGAGGTGTCAAATTAAACCTAAATTATATAATCTGTAAGCTTTGATCTGAAGCTACATTTATTTCTGTGAATTTCCATTTCAGATCACATGATTCTCCACATTAAATTATGTCTGTTAATAAATAAAGCATAATAATGAATCCACATCTATTAAACAATGATTGTATATTGAAGCATGCATGGTGTCACATACCGTCCCTGCAGGATTCTTAAGTCTCTCCCTCTCTCTTAGCATCTATTTATAGTAACATTTACAATATTTATATACATATATTACCACACATAATCTACAGATATATAATATACCAGAGCAAAGATAGAAAAGCTTGATTAATATCCAATCAAATACAACAACATACATTCTTCTAGAAGTAGTTTTGTCAACAGAATCTACATATTTTCACACATCCCTTTTTTTTTCATTTCACTCCTATGAATAAATTGCAATATTGAGAGAAAAATAAACATAATTTTCATTATAAATTTTCAATAACTGTAAATTTCCAAAATGAAAAACTTACATTTTGTTGATACCATAAATAATTCACAAACATTTAAAGGAAAACAATTATTATACATGTATATCTAATTTGGTGTATTCATCATGTCCTGATATGAAAATACAACACTACAACATCATGCCAATCAAACAAACATCAATACAAGAGGGCCATGATGGCCCTGAGTCACTCACCAGAAACAACTGCTTTTCAGTGTTGGAATGTCAATATGTTCTAATATTAAATTTGAGCATAGAATATGTTTAAACAATAATTTGAAGAAATGCCATGACCTGGTGTATTTAAGCTTTATCTTAAATGGAGTCAATCAAATTAATATGAGCAAACTTGATAAAAGACTACCTAAGAATGCTACAAAGTTTGGTGATCATCTACACTCAATTATTTCAGTAGGAAATGATGTTCGAAGGTTTTTTCTATTTTAGCAGTAGTGGCCCCTAAAAGGGGCTAATCAAATAAATATAAGCAAACTTGATAAAAGACTACCCAAAAATGCTACAGACAAAGTTTGGTGGTCATCCATCAATTGGTTCTGAAGTAGAAGATGTTTAAAGGTTTTTCTATTTTTAGCTTTAGCAGCCCCTAAAAGGGGCCAATCAAATTAATATGAGCAAACTTGATAAAAGACTACCCAAAAATGCTACAGACAAAGTTTGGTGATCATCCATTAATTAGTTCTGTAGGAGAAGATGTTTTAACGTATTTCTATTTTTAATTTTAGCAGCCCCTAAAAGGGGCTAATCAAAATAATATGAGCAAACTTGATAACAAGAGGGCCATAATGGTCCTGAGGTCGCTCACCTGTATATAGGCCCCCGGAGCGGGGCCAGTTTAAACCCCAGGGCTTTTATTTGAACAAACTTGGAAGACACCCATTAGAAGATGTTTCATGATGTTAAGTTTTTACTACACACATATAATGAAAAAACAATGACCAATGCACCCCCCCCCCCCCACCCCTGCAGGGCCAATTTTTAACTAAGGGCTTTTATTTGAACACAAACTTTTGGTAGACACCCACAAGAAGATGTTTCATGTTAAAAAATCTTAGCTCTAGCTCTTTGGGCTCTTAAAAGAAGATTTTTAAAGTTTTTTACTCATAAAGCATATAGGGAAAATCAATGGAACCCCTGCAGGGGTTTTTTTTTACTAACAAATTGACACCGATAAGTCGGCGTCTTCCCTCGGTAAATAGCCAAGTTTTTTTTCCCCCAAAAAAATTCTATTTTTCCTTTAAACTGGATCAGATTTAATATTTACATGGTTTAAAAATATTTATTTTTCTTCATTTTATGCAGGATAAACCACCAAATTGTAGTTCAAAATAACCAAAAACATTGGAAGGAAAACTTCAAGTACTGTCTCAACATGGAGGCAGCCATTTTTTTTTTTCTTGGCTATTATCCCGTACTGAACGGTACTATTTCTGGAAATCAGTTGCTATCAAAATATTGTCATTTTCTTGTTATTTTTAGTAAAGTAATATATTTTGTACTTCTTATTATGAAAATGACTAGTATGGAGCTAAAGTGTGTCACAGATACACTATTATACCGTTATTTACTGTATTAAATTTTCATATAAAAATAGAAGTATAAAAACCATTCACCACCATACATATTAAGAAAATATGTTATACTGCAAAGAATATTTTGCATAATGATAAAGTTTTTAAGGGGAAAAAGATATAGTTGTAACTCTCTACTATGTAGTTAAGTATATAGTATAAATAACGTCATAATAAAGTTTCCCCAAATTCACTTTTTTCGTATATTTTTTCCCCTCCCTACCAGCGTCCAGCGTCTTCCCCTTTTCCTAAAAAAAACCCCTGCCCTGGGACGGGGCCAATTTTGACCCCAGGGCTTTTATTTGAACAAACTTGGTAGACACTCACTAGAAGATGTTTCATGCCAAATATCTAAGCTCTAGCTCTTTGGGTTTTTTAAAAGAAGATATTTAAAGTTTTTTCTTTCGGTTGCCATGGGAGTTCTGCATGGGATTAAATTCTTTGAACAATTTTTAAAGGAGACCACCAAAGGAACATTCCTATGAAGTTTGGATGAAATTGGCTTAATGGTTTATGAGGAGATGTCATTTAAAGTAAAAGTTTACGGACGGCCGGACGCCGGACGAAAAGCGATCACAAAAGCTCACCCTGTCACTGTGTGACAGGTGAGCTAAAAAACTACCCAACAATGCTTCAGACAAAGTTTGGTGATCATCCTTCATTAGTTCTGTAGAAATAGACATTTAAAGGTATTTCTATTTTTAGCTTAAGCGGCCCCTAAAAGGGGCTTATCAAATTAATATGAGCAAACTTGATAAAAGACTACCCAAGAATGCTACAAACAAAGTTTGGTGTTCTTCCATCAATTAGTTCTGTAGAAATAGACATTTAAAGGTATTTCTTTTTTTAGCTTTTGCGGCCCCTAAAAGGGGCCAATCAAAATAATGTTAGCAAAATTGATAAAAGACTACCCAAGAATGCTACAGACAATGTTTGGTGATCCTCCATCAATAAGTTCTCTAAAAATAGACATTTAAAGGTATTTCTATTTTTAGCTTTTGTGGCCCCTAAAAGGGGCCAATCAAAAATTATATGAGCAAACTTGATAAAACACTACCCAATAATGGTACCAACTAAGTTTGGTGATCATCCATCAATTAGTTCTGTAGGAGAAGATGTTTAAAGGTTTTTCTATTTTTAGCCCTAGAGACCCCTAAAAGGGGCCAATCAAAATAATATAAGCAAAATTGATAAAAGACTACCTAAGAATGCTACAGACAAAGTTTGGTGATCATCCATCAATTAGTTCTCTAGAAATAGACATTCTAACTGTATTTCTATTTTTTAGCTTTAGCGGCCCCTAAAAGGGCCAATCAAAATTAATATGAGCAAACTTGATAAAAGACTACCCCAAGAATGCTACAGACAAAGTTTGGTGATCATCATCAATTAGTTCTGTAGGAGAAGATGTTTTAAGGGGTTTTTCTATTTTTAGTCCCTAGAGAACCCTAAAGGGGCCAATCAAAATAATTTAAGCAACCTTGATAAAAGACTACCTAAGAATGCTACAGAAAAAGTTTGGTGATCATCCATTTAATTAGTTCTGTAGAAATAGATGTTTAAAGGTTTTTCTTTTTTAGCTTTAGCGGCCCCTAAAATGGGCCAATCAAAATTAATATGAGCAAACTTTAATAAAAAGACTACCCAAGAATGCTACAGACAAAAATTTGGTTTGATCATCCATCCATTGTTCTGTAGAAGAAGATGTTTAAAAGGTTTTTTCCTATTTTTTAAGCTCTGCTGACCCCTAAAAGGGGCCAATTGGGGGGAATGACATTCATCGAGCAAATTCAAGTGTGGCTGTCACAAGGATGCTACAGAACAAATTTTTGAAGTAAATCTGCTTAGTAGTTTCAAGAGAAGAAGACGATTGTTGACGCATGACGACAGACGACGGACGCCGGATCATCCCCCTTTGATACCAATAGCTCACCCTGAGCCTTCGGCTCTGGTGAGCTAAAAAAAAGTGACTCATCCTTCACATCTATGTGACAATAAAGTCATAGTGCCAAACCTTTCCTTTAAATCAAGACAACAGTGCAAAATCTGTAAACATGTATTTACAGTAATCTATGCTCAAATATTTCCATATCTCACTCTACATAGTGCTGACTGATAAAATCAAATGTATTATACAACAATGACGTGGACAACCTACCCTTTGTTCCTTCTCTTCAGCACTGGTCTGCAGATGAACACGAGTAATCTCCAAGCTGTCACGTATTTCCTTCATATTGCCCGCAGAACAAGACTTCTTTAATATACCACTAGTCTTCTTGCCACTTCCTGTACGCTTTAATATACTCCTTACTTCTATAATATCATAAAACAAACATTGGCATAGTTAAATTATCAATAAAATCTCAATAACTTTTTTTTTTTTTTTTTGATATGCGGAAAATATTATATTAAACATTTATTACATGAAAGAAAAACATTTAATGCAAGGGCATGAGAAATTGTATCAATGTTCAAAAATATAAAGTATATATTAGAGTATAAAATATATAAGAGTATAAAACATTCTTTGAAAGTCAATATTCAAAGCCTGCAAATAGTGTTGCTATCTTTTATTTATGATTGGCATTTATCTGAAACAAAAATGCTTTTTTTTAATTGACCATACTGGAGATATTCAACAAATATAATGACTAAATTCAAACAACCATACTTTCTCAATTTCTTTTACCATTTTTTCAATATACACTGCATGAAACTATTGATTATTCAGTCTTTATGTAATATTAAAGTAGTTACCGGTACCTTTAGGTTCTGGTTCCCGTTCCTCGCAGATCGTACTGACAGAATCTGTATCTCCCGGATCGTCTCCATTCACCATCGATTCTGTTGTCGCCATCTTTAAATGAGTCGCTAGCTCCTCCGGTAAACCCCACGTTACATTTCCATTTGTTTTACCAGTATCACCATTAGTTGTTACAGTACTAGGTGTATCTTGTTTGGTATTTGCGCCGTTGTTGGTCAGCTTTTTGTCTGGCACTATATGCTGCACCGTATGAATTATAATAACCAGCATGTATTGGAGGTTTAGAATGGTAACTGATGTTGAAGATGGCCTTTTGAACCAGCAGAATTTGTTTTCGAAAACTTGTGTGGATTTAAACATCTGACACACTGGTATCAGTCGGTTCCTGGAAACTGGCGAGGAAGTTTTACTGTTGGATTGTGGTGTTACAGATAATCCTGAATGTTACTGTTTCTAAGAAAGACAGACTTTTTCTCTTGCATATTTCTAGGTGGATTTTGTTATTTCTTTCTGTTTATTGTAGAATTTGTGTCAATTAATTGTGTTTCACTAAACAATGTTTGTCTGAGGTACACTAGATTGCGATTTATCACTTACTGCATGTAGTTGACTTTTGAACTTTGAACATTAGAGTTCATCATGGGAACAGTTGTGTTTGTGTGTGTATTTTTACCAGTATATGGACTTGTATGTGTAACAAAGGTTGATGTTGTAGTGGTTACAGTGCTAGCAGGAGTAGGTGGGTGGGGTGAAGGTGTTCCCCAGGCTTTCAACTGAGCTTTTGGTCTCAGGTTCTCTTTTCCTTCTTCACTATCTATATACCCGGAGCCAACTGTTGTTGTTGCCATAGTAACAGCAGCTTGTTGCTGCCTGTATCGTTCCTCTTGTTGTTGTCTCTCTAATTCGTCCTTTTTCTGGCGTTCATATTGTTGCTGTAACAGTTGTTGTTGCCTTTGTTGCTGTTCTAATGCTCTCTGATCTTGTTCCTGCTGTTGTTTTTGTTGCTGCTGCAACATTTGTTTATGTTGTTGTTCTTGAAGCTGTAATTGTATTTCTTTCTGCCTCTGGATATAAAACTGTTGTTTCTGATCTTCTGATCTTGGATTGGTTGTTTGTGAAGCTTGCATTTGAGCATGATAAGAGTCAATGTTTTGTGGCTCCAAATCTACTGCACCATTAACAATATGTGAGTTGTTTCCATATATTTTTATCTCATCTTTACTTTTATCAGCAAACGTCACATTTTTGGCACCATTTACAACATTACTACTTTCATTTTTTTGCGTCATAAATGCATTAAGATCACAACTTTGACGAAGAGTGTCACTTGTGTCTCCGTCCTCTAGGCTGTCAACTGTTGAAAGACTTTCACTCCTATCTAATCCATTACCTTCATTTTGTTCGTAATTTATTACATTTTTATCCACTTCTATTTCTTTCATTATCTGTTTATTGAATTCTCGTAATGTTTTTTGTTGTTGTTCAAGCAATGACTGTTGGTACGATTCTAACTGTTGCTCGAATAAGTTACGACTGTTGTTTAAGTTACGTAAACTTTTATTATGCAGTTCTTCTTGTTTGTTGGTACCATTTCCATTATTGATACTTGGATGGGCATATTTGTTGAAGTATGGTTTACTCAGTGGGTCTGAGTTCTGTCTGTAGAAGGAGGAAGTAGGGCTAGACTGGTTGCGAGTTCGAGCCGAGCCTGACCTTGAACTGGCCGGGCTACCTCGCACAATTCTGAGAGCATCGTCAAGTTGTGTGTGTATATTGGTTCGTCTAGGTGACCATCTTCCACCTGCATATATATAACACATCACTGACAAAACAAGATATTTACTGAATATTTAACAACTCAAAAATGTCACATAATTAAGAATTAAGTCAATTAATTAAGTAATTAAGATATCTGAAAATGTTATTTTACTGATGTTATTTGAGTTTTTAACTGTTGTTTGTGTTAATTTGCATAATGATTAACTTTGTGTGTAACATATTCATTGATATGAATTGAATTTTAAACAGTGTACATTTTAATTTGAAACCTTGAACAATCACAGTTATCTTTCATTATGCTATCATTGAATTCTGCAACTATCTTTAACAAGTAATTGTCAAAGATCATGTATCTCAAGCTTTTCAACTTAAGCTTATTAATATATGAGAAATCATATAAGTAAAACTGTCAAACAATACAAGGAAGAAGGAAAACTCATCAGGAGATTAACTAGATATTACTACTAAGATAATAGTATAAAAACATCCAGTATAACAATACATACTTGTACTACTTGTTCCACTGCCTGGTCTACTTTGTATGTGACCTCTCTGAAATTTTTCTGTAGCTTCTTGTTGTTTCTCTCGTCGTTTGGCAAGAATTTGTTGACGTCTTTTCTCCTCGCGTTCAGCCTCCGACTTTCTCTTTATAGCAAGAGCTCTGAAATAAATATATATAGTATTAGGTAAGCACAAGGTCCATGTTTTAGTAATTGAGTATTCATTTCTTGTCAATTGTCAGACATATACCTGTGGATAATTAACCTATATTAGTACAGTGGATATAGTACATGTATAGATTTGTTCTCGACCAGACAAAATAATACTGCTATTGTTAACAATATCCTGTAAGTTTAGTGGGTCAGTATAAAGAAATATTCTCTAAAACAGATTGACCAGCTTGTAGTGTAAAGACCACACAAGAAAGATTTCCTGTCAACTAGATGGGCCTGATACATCTTTCAATATTATTCAGTTTTTATACATTATATTGACTTCATATTTCAAGGTTTTTATAAAACCCATATTATAACTAATATCTAATTTTCAAAACTTTTTAAGATGAATTTCACCATATTGGTCACATAAAATTAATTCTTTACACATGTGCCACATCCATTACTTGTATATCAAATCTAAAGATCAAACAATTCCCATATAGAATGACTTGGTTACACCAATATATAGTATTAAAATCCAACTTATGCTATCATCTCTTAACTTAAACATTCTTTTTTTGTAAAAGAAATCAAATCACTTTTTTATAATGATTTGATCGTTATAAGTCATAGTTCATTTACCTTCCATTTTGTGTTAGGTTAATCAAAGATTTGTGTCTGTTGGTGGATAAATTTTATATTACTATATAACTCAGTAATGTTACAAATCCATACCTTAGTCTCAACTGCAGCCTTAAAGCTTCATGACCACTTATCATTGCAAATATTTTATATGAAAAACGTGACACAAAACACAGCAATGCATATCTCCATGCAAAATATAAAAATCCAAATCTTAATGTAAGAGCATATAAATTAATCATATACCTTTGATATTTTAAATAGATGGGTAAATTCATGCTTTTAAACTGTTGAAAACATTAAACTGAATTTCTTTTGAAAATCTATTTATATTATCAAGTGTATTGGAAGCTATATCAATAGATTATGGGGATAGAAAATTTCACTTATAAAGATATAGCATGCCTATTTAGAAATGAAAAGGACTTGACATAAAGGAAATTATTGATTGATAACAAATTATGAAAGGTCTGAATCTAATAAGAATGATAAATAAAACATGCAGGATATACTGTTAACATTATAAAAGTAAATGAAGTATTTCTAAAGCTTTGTTGATCAGTATTGAAATATTCTATATGACAATGAATCTATAATTAAGTTGACAGAAATAATCAATATATCATTTATTGTTGTAAACATTGAATTCAATGTTTTTATAATGGCCAGTTAGCATGAATAAGATACATGTTTACTTTTCTCTGTCAAGAATTTTTGATAATTTGACTATTTCTATGACAAATAAAAACATTACTCAACTGTTTTAATAATACATGTATAACCGTATCTATAATTTCAATCTAAACTTCTAAGAATTTCAACAACAGTAATTGCTATCAATTTGATAATCTGTACAAGAATCTTAATAATACTATTTTTCTTGCCCTGAGAACTGTTATGTTTTTAAGTACAAAGCCACTCTTGTCCTGCTTTCAGGGCTGTAGCTAGTTTCTGATCATCAGCAAAATCAACAACACTTTTTTCATTATTATACAGTACGCTCACCGCGGGTTTTGCTTTTTCCGCGATACCACCGCGGACGATTTTTTTTTATCACGGACAAACGCGGGGGTTCGTCCGCGATGAGAAGCCTAATTTCCCCGCGATCCCCGGTGTTCAGTTGTTTCCACCGCGGACAAAATTCTGACGACCGTTCTTCATTTATCGATAAAATCAGTCACCCGTTTCCCGCGCAGGATCGCCATGGTCAGTTGGTCAGTATAAATTTACCTCCAAAATAATAGACGTTTTATTATTTTTTAACGTCATCTTTTTTTCATTAAATGCGACTCTTGTCGCGTTGACTGTCTTAAGGAAGACATTTTACAGTGTAAAAAGTTATGATTTAGCCAATTTATGACTTCAGCTATTGCTAGATTTTTTCTGATAATGAGATAACTGTCGAATATGTTTATATAAATCTTTAATTTAGATTAACTAGCCAATGAAAAACATTTGCTCCATTAGGTAATTTTGAGAACAACTCGGAACTTCAAAGCATTTTCAATTTATAGTAACAAACAATACATATAATACATTCTACAAATACTATTATTCCTATGAACAATAATATCTTAAGATGAAATTAAAATGAAATATTTTTAACTTGAAAATCGGTCGATGGAAGTTCTTAGAAAATAACTGCCATGTGCCCGTTTGCCTTATATACATGTATGTACATGTATACTGTTCATAATAAAATAACAAAAGTATAACGTCAAGTTAAACAAAATTCTGCAAAAAAAAATCTATAAAAAAATAAAAAAGAACAAGCAAACAAACTACTAAAAAAAATGAAAATAAACTTCAACAGTTGATACAAACTTCAAAACATATACATTACGCTCACACCTGTAATTAGATAAATCAAAATATCATTTAATGTATATTTTGGTGAAATAAACGCTTTCTTTTAATGTTCCAAATAAAATATAAGACTTTATGATCAACATGCAAACGCATCTGACAATTGAAAGAGACGTCCTGGAATATTGCCTGAATAAAATTGTTGAGGGTTACGTGTTCAAAGCTTTTAAATAAGAAACAAAAGCTGGCATATAAATTGTTGTAGTACCTTTTTCATAAATGTCATATGCCGATTTTTTCATTATTTGACTTCAAGTTTCTCACTACCATGAAGTTGCGACGACAATGATTTATCTTGATGTCGAATACATATTATACATTACCCAACACAATAACAAGAAGAAGAACAAGAAAAACACTGCATTTGTACATGTACTTTTATTACAACAAAAAAGAAAGAAAACAAACAAATTTTACATATAGTTACATGTATATGTACAGTACATGTCACAGTACATGTACGTACGTATACTGATGTTTAAATACAGTAATTAGTTTTTAAAATTTAAGGTTTCCACAGCGTTGACCGGTGTTTGACCGCCGCGTTCCTCCGCAATTTACCACTGCGTTCCGCGGGGGAAACGATTTCAGCCGCCGATTTATGTCCGCGGTGGTGAAAATTTTCTGTCCGCGGGGTCACACGGACAATATCTGAGCAAATTTTCGTCCGCGGTAAACCTCATCCGCGGGGTCAGGCGGGTTTTGAAAAAGTCGCGCTGAGCGTACTGTAGTACATGTATTAATAAACATTATCTGATGTTAAAAAGTGGGTAATTTAACAATGATAGTTTATTGTACTATAACAGTAATAAAGTAAATATTCATCAGAGGCATTACAATTAACTGTAGAAAAATAAATATACAACAATTTAAACTAGAACTATCACTAAATGTGATTAATACCCCCACAAGTCTGCTTCGGAAATGAGGATGTTACTTTAAGTAACAGAATACCTTGTAAAAGAATTGAAACATAGAGTTATGGTTGTTGGAAATTAAAGATAATTGTGGTTCATGTATGTTGCATTTCCTTTCAATGTGGTTGGCCATTGATGAAGTTTAATTGAATTACTCTGTAATAAGTCCAGACAGACAAAGAAAAAGAACAAAGGGCAAACACTCTATAAATACTGAAGATAGAGTTATAGTTCTTGTGCTTTGCACTTCCTCTTATTGTGCTTGACCATTGTATAAAGTTGTTTTGAATTCCAACCAGTATGTTTTAAGTTATGCTCCGGACAAGGAAAAGTATCAAAGGGCAGTAACTCTGTATTTTGTCAAATTGGAGTTATGGCTATTGTGGAATGCACTTCCTTTGAATGTCCTTGACAACTGTATGAAGTTGTACTGAATTCCAAACAGTAGTTTTCAAGTTATGCTCTGGACAAGGAAAAGTAACAAAGGGCAATAACTCTGTAATTAGTCAAGATGGAGTTATGGTTCTTGTGCACTGCACTTCCCCTTATTGTGCTTGACCATTGTATGAAGTTGTTTTGAATTCCAACCAGTAGTTTTCAAGTCATGCTCTGGACAAGGAAAAGTAACAAAGGGCAGTAACTCTGTAATTAGTCAAGATGGAGTTATGGTTCTTATGCACTGCACTTTCTCTCAATGTGCTTGACCATTGTATGAAGTTATAATGAATTCCAACAATAAGTCTTCAAGTTATGGTCCGGACAAAAGAAAGCAATGGAAAAGTAACAAAGGACAATAACTCTGTAATTAGTCAAGATGGAGTTATGGTTCTTGTGCACTGCACTTCCCCTTATTGTGCTTGACCATTATATGAAGTTGTTTTGAATTCCAACCAGTCGTTTTAAAGTCATGCTCTGGACAAGGAAAAGAAACAAAGGGCAGTAACTCTGTAATAAGTCAAAATGGAGTTATGGTTCTTGTGCACTGCACTTCCTCTCAATGTGCTGGATCATTGTATGAAGTTATAATGAATTCCAACAATTAGTCTTCAAGTTATGGTCCGGACAAAAGAAAGCAATGAAAAAGTAATAAAGGGCAATAACTCTGTAATTACTTTAGATAGAGTTATGGTTCTTGTGCACTGCACTTCCCCTTAGTGTGTTTGACAATTGTATGAAGTTGTTTTGAATTCAAACCAGTAGTTTTCAAGTTATGCCACTGACAAGGAAAAGTAACAAAGGGCAATAACTCTGTAATTAGTCAAGATAGAGTTATGTTTCTTACGCACTGCACTTCCTCTCAATGTGCTTGACCATTGTATGTAGTTATATTGAATTCCAACCATTAGTCTTCAAGTTATGCTCCGGACAAGGAAAATGCAACGGACAAAAAAAATGCATTGGAAAAGCAACAAAGGGCAATAACTCTGTAATTACTTTAGATAGAGTTATGGTTCTTGTGCACTGCACTTCCCCTTATTGTGTTTGACAATTGTATGAAGTTGTTTTGAATTCAAACCAGTAGTTTTCAACTTATGCCCCGGACAAGGAAAAGTAACAAAGGGCAATAACTCTGTAATTAGTCAAGATAGAGTTATGGTTCTTGTGCACTGCACTTCCCCTCAATGTGCTTGACCATTGTATGTAGTTACATTGAATTCCAACCATTAGTTTTCAAGTTATGCTCCGGACAAGGAAAATGCAACGGACGTCTGGACCGACCGACCGACCGACCGACCAACCGACCGACCACCGGGTGACTCCTATATACCCCCCCAAACTTCGTTTTTGGGGGTATAATTATTTGTATTATATAAAACTTAAATGAGTCAACTGTCATGTAAGACACTTCAGATATTTATGACATCACGATAACCCTGATTTAACCCTCCCATTTATAGAGAATGTTGGTTAGATAATAAACCTTCACAGCTTATCTATATCAGATTTAAATCATTTTAAAATAAATATCAGTGCCAAATACCGGTACAGATTAAATAATTTACCTACCCACTATTGAAATATGTACGATTAGCACCTGGGATGAATACAGGATAAGTCTACATTTAAACTAGCCCAAGATATTACAAGTGTTCCTTTATCTATATGAGCATTCCTGTTTGTATTTCTTGGGAATATAATTTATATGTATATAATTAGTAAAGTAGTAGTAGTATAATTTATTTATAAGATATGTTATAAAATAGATTGTGACTAAACTCCACAAAATTTTGAGTATTTTTTTTTTATGCAGCTCCATGCAGAATAAACATGATGCATTTATAATTTGTCAAAATGACCATCATAGCTCAGCTGAGATGGGGCATAATATAATTATGTCAAATGGAAAATATATGTGATGATATCATAGACTAAAATATATTTTAAAGATCAGTAGCAAATTTCTCGTTGTAAATTATCAGACACAGATGATAACATTTCTGTTAATGTGAAATTTTGAAGTTAACAAAATAATGTACATGTATATGATATAGAAGATAATTGATCCATACATAAGGCCATCCTTAAAAAAATGTTTGTTTGCAGTAACCCGACCCAGAATTTTCAAGGTGGGTAAGTAGGTCGATTTTTTTTTATTATTATTATTGAACTGTACTCCCAAATAAACATGGAATTTTAAAATGCTGGACAATTTATGCTTTGATAATCTGGTAACAATTAATAAATTGATAAAAGAATTCTAATTAAATAATACATACATTTTATTTCTTCTATTAACCTTTAAAAGAACAAAAACAAAGCACAAGGCATAATTTTCTAGTTAAAAAAAATTAATTTTTTATCCAGACCATGAAAAAAACTTTAGAGTAGGGGCAAATTTTGTGAGTAGGTCGCGTTACTGCAAACAAACATTTTTTTAAGGATGGCCTAAAACAACAGCTAATGCTCATCTGTTTAAGGGACTCCACTGAGGTTTTTTGACATGAAAGAACTGGAAATATCTTTCTGGGATTTTTGTACCAGTTAATGTAGGACAATAAGAGCAGTTTGTCAGATCATTCCCTCTCCCAGTTTTTCCTAAATTTAGAATTTTATTGTGCAAAATGACCCAAAACTGTAAAGCAATGCAATGCTTTTCATTCAAATAAGGTTAAGAACCACACACACAAAAAATTTGAATTTAATTCTGATTATATGTTTTTACTTTCATTTGCAGATTTTTTTTATTTTAGGTGCTTTACATGACCCATACATGAATTTCAAATCTTATGTTTTTAGGCTTTTTGACCGCAGTTGAGCTCATTTAAGGGCAACAACTATCATAAGATAACTGTCATAAGAACATGTCAAAACAACACTGTTGATACTTAAGTTAACACAGAATATTTTGTTTGACTGAAATGCCAAGAAATGGAAACAAGGAGCAATCTTTTCGTAGCTGTTTTGTTATAGAAAGGGCCAAAGTTTCTTATATTATTGTTAAAGAATGAATGTTCTTTTGTTCTGTTTACAGTTTTCTGACCTTCTAAGTACTACTTTTGCAACACTTGGATGGACAGTCAAAGGGGTTATGCCATACCATAATGTGTCCTGAAGACACACATCTCTGGGTATATTAGACTGGTAAATTATCTTGACTTAACCCTTTCCTTCATGAGCATAACTTTAAGCCATATTGTGAAAAATGGCCGTTTTCATTGGAAAGCCTCCTGTTAAAAGTTCAAACTGCTATGAAACTGTGAAAATGCTTCAATACTGATGAAACTTGGCACAAATGTTGACTGGACCATAGCCTCTGTAAAAGCATGCTCAATCTTAAATTTCAAGTAACATTGGTAACAGAGGGACCCATGTCTCAAAATTGCCAAAAATCACTATTTTGCTTTTTTCCCCCATCAAAACTGATTTGAAAGTGCTGCAAATTCTCAATGGATTGAGATACACAAATGTAGAGTAAAAGGCTTTTCAGCGTTGGTTACATGTTACCTTAAGATCAACCTGAGGCCATTTATAGCATGTCAGGTGTCCAAAATTTTCTTGGCGATAAGGAGGGCGGCCTCCCCCTTCAAAGCCCCTAAATAGAAGCAAAACTAGGGCCTAAATAGGACATTTTTTCACTGTTTGAGGCCTCAAAAAAAAAGGGGGGGGGGATTGAAAAGCCGTCAAAACATGTCTATATTAGGTAAAGGGTTAACTCATTGTTTTCACTACAGCTTTGCAAAATTTGAACAGTGTAACAACAAGTTTTTTGTTCTACTATACATTGTATGCATATATTTTTTACTGGAAATTGGAGATAAATTATTGTTATCTCACTAGGAAGCTAAATCAATCATACTTGACATACAAGTGTTAATTATTTTTTCAGAACTCCTCATTATGAAGCTAATCCTATAAAACTATCCAAAACTCAACAAACGTGGGTTTTCCTAGGCCGATTCCCCGGTACAAACAAACTTTTAACCGTTATAGCTTCACGGTGCACTACAGGTCACAATAGATGAGTTCCTGTTGCACTTATTTTTGAAGCTGTAACTGTAAAAGTTTGTTTGTACCCCCGGATTAGCTGGGAAAACCCAAAATATTCTTAATTTCAGAGTAAGTCTATTGAAAAACCTATTTTATAAGTGTTCAACAAAAACATATGATGAACTATTAGAGATATTTTTAAACATTAGAACATATTAATTCAAATTGAAATAAATGAACCAGTAAAACTAAATACCTTCGACGTCTATTGGTTTCTACAGAAAGTTTCTTTGCTCTTGCAATGGCATCTGACTTCTCATTGACTGCCAGCGTTTTAATTGTGTCTACATGCTGTCGTTCAATATTCTTGAACTGAGACCTACACCTTTGTTAAGGAATTTACAAATTCTATTTACAAATGTATAACAATGATAAACAAAGAATGAGATACTAAAATTTTTGAAAACTGTATTAAAAGGTAAGACAGACAAAAGTAACATTTGTACTTTTGGCAATTTAAAAAAATTATTTACTTATCTCAAACTCAATACAGTTCACTATTTTGCACTTATCAATTATTGTAACCACAGCCCAAGAACCCCAAGGAAAGAGTGAGGTATTTGACTATTGGTTTTATAAAGCCCAGCTTAAGGCCCTGTCCTGAGAACTCAGTTTGATGGTATTTATCAGTGCAGACTGTGAAAGGCAAAATGGTAGGAAGTTTGTTCAGCTTCCCTGCTATCCTCCATCCTACATGTACCCTGAGGAATTGATAACGATTTGCCCTACTGACTATTCACCACACTTTAGTGATGATTCGTCCCAGATTAATGATGATTTGTCTCACTTTAAAACAATCATTTAAAAGTTTCTTTATGTTATCTAAATGAAGAAATATTAATATTAAATGTTTGTTTTAGTATATAGATTTGTGAAATAAAATGTTCTCTGTTTCTAACTTTAACAGAAATTTGTCATTTTAACTGTTAAGTTATCAATATTAATACTTATAACGATTCGCCCTAGTTCTGTGACAATTCGCCCCAATTCATTTATCATCATGCAGGGCCTTTTCACTAGTTTTGGGGAAGGCGCCCAAGCCCTTTTTGTGGGGAAAAAATGTGCGGTTTTAATACTTTTGGGGAAAACAATCGCATTTTCCACTTGCAGTTTAACCGTTATTACTATAAATAAAGACTTATTTAAATCATACATTTGGGGGAAATATCATAATATATTTGCATATTTTCCCCCAAACACACTTATTTTAGGAGCTTTCTGTCCAACATAAGTTACAGGGATTTTTTTACAGATCAATTTATTGCCACTTTTTATTTGCCTAAGAATACATTAACTCATATTTCCTAATTATAGAAAATTTACGTATGACATGTGAGGGTTCTTGATTTGAGGTATCCCTCTAGTGGGTAATTGAATAATTAGCTTTCATTGGACAAAAACAATGATCTATTTTTAAACAAGAAAGTTTGTTAACAAGTTTTTTTCTTCGATGTAACATTTCTCTGAAAGGGAAAATCTTTGCAAGAAGGGGAATTTTAGACTGTTTTTTGGGGAAAAAAGGTAGTAAGTAGGCTTGGGGAAGTAGCCGAATACCGGCTACAGTACAGAAGGGTAAAAAGGCCCTGTCATGGCATCATGTTCTTAATCATTGTCCTTCAAAAAAGTTTAAGTTATACAATAATAAATGTTATTTGCATTTGCTGAAAAATATAGGTTCTTCAAGTTGGTGGTGCGCATTTAAATACTGTATCTTTTTTTAGTTTTAGGCCTTCAGTAACAATTAGTTACTTTATAACTATAAATTTCTAGTTTAAGAAAACAACAAAATATATATGTTAACATACATAGAACTAGAATATACAGTTGTCATAAAAGTATAACAAATAAAAATAAATAAAAACACATATTAGAAATTGTTAGTTCTGCTAAACTCATATTTTATTTATTCTACCTCTAAATCAAATGTTATCTATAAAAACAGGAAAATTCTGCCCCAAACCAAATCGGCCCTGTGCAAAAATCGGCCCTTAGATGTTTCGGCCCTTTCCGCGAGACGTTTCGGCCCTTTTTTATTACATTTAAAAAGGAATTTTTATACTTTAAATTTTTAAAAAATTGAAGTTTATTGATTGATTGATGATACACAAACAATATTTATTTTAAATTTACATATATGTTGTTTTTTTTCAAGGTGTTACAAATTAATTATTTATAGCTTATTGCTAATAGCGGTTAGAATAATATCAAAGAAAACTTCAGAAAATAACAATATTCCACCTGGGAAAACTTATCAGTGACTTAAGTAGGCCTTTCCTAATTAACTGAAACAATACAATGGACAGATACACAAAAATATTCAAACATATCTAAATATTTTAACCATTTTACTTTCTGTCAAATGAAAACAATCAATATTTTTCCAAGTTTTCGCTTATCTAAGGATACGAATAAGCCCCTCCAAGCATTTTTCTACGGATAAAACAACGCTACTTGATGATCGATTCTATTCAATGTCTCTGTTCATTTTTAAGCATCAACTTAAGTAAATATTCCGGTCATTTGAGAAATTTAGATTTTTTGACAACTGCCAGACGCCATATTGTTTTGGTTACACGATGCGCGTGGTTCAGGAATTTGGTCACTGCGCACATGTCTGAGCAGATGCTCGTAAGGGAGAAATCCGATTAAATCCGATTAAATATAGACAGGTGCGCTAACAACGGGACATAACTTAAACGCAGTTGTCGTTCTTGCAGAGAAAAGTACGGTTTACATGTTGGGACATTGTCTAAACATATGGGCTACTTAATATTTGAAATAGAATAGGATAGAATAGTGAACAGAATAGTGAAAAGAATATTATAGAATAGAATAGGGAATAGAATAGAGTAGGGAATAAAGGAAAAAAAATAGTGAATAGAATAGAATATGGAATAGAATATAATAGTGAATAGAATAGAACGGAAAGGATCGTGGAATGGCAGGACAGGGGGGTGAGGAAAGAGAGGGCATGAAGGGAAGGGAAGGGAAAAGTAAATAGAACAGAACTGTTCAACAGATATACTTGAAATTAACAAAGATCTTTCAGATGTGAAGATCTGACATCTTAACATAAAGTACTCATTAGTTTCAATATTATGTAAGAAACAGCTTATGCGAAATCTTTTGTCAGCTGGTATATTTCGATTGATTGATACATTGATTTTTTGCACTTGAAGTCAAAACCTTTTAGAAATAGTTAAATGAATTATAACAGTCAGTTATAAGTTTATTTATACTCGGCGCCGGAATAACCATATGTCCGAGAATTCAGCATCCGTGCCGGTCCACTAAGGTAGTCTCATCGGGGACGTCTTTGTCAAGCTGAGTCTTCCTGATATTCCCATTCTTCGTTCGATCGTGGTAGAGGAGACGACAATACTGGCCAGGCATCATGTTCCATACTGACGATAACAAAAACGGCTCTCATTAGCGCCAACCCTCAAGAGTTAGTCACGACAGGTCAACCAATCACCTCTGGTACTTAAGATGACTTGACCTTGACCTGCCGTGTGCCTTCTCCGCGACGTGCACGCCTCTGGAGGGATTTGGAGAAGTGAATTATAACGATAATGCTTTATTGTATTTATATAGATCTACACGTACATAATATAAAGTTTTACTTGTTCATACCAAAGGTTCAGTAAATGTTTAGTAAATGTCACTTGCCTACCGAAAATCAAAATTATACGGTAAAATATGCATTGTTGTACTTATAAGAGCCGACAAAAGCCAAAATCTCGCTCAAAGCGGTGGTCAAGTCACCATTTTCACGAATGATCTTGAAAAGCAAACAATTTCATGGAAGTAATAGGATAAAGAGTAATGTCTTCGCAGCCGTATGCGGCTATTCCCTTTTTTCAGTTCGGTTAAATGAAATATAAATTGGCCAGTTAACTTACCGCGTTGGAAATCCTGTCAGGTATTCACCATTTATTGCACAATTATGAGTTACTTATTGCACGAATCGTGCGTTATTTTCACATTCCGGCGTTACTGGATATACACGGACGTAATATTATGTCGCAGCTTGAAGTCGATCAATATAAGCTTAAAATTGAATGTAGCACATGTTTCTAGTTTCCATGTGTGTTTAAAGTTCTCTGATGAATAGAACGAGGAAGAAAATAAATGTCAAGAAAAGCATGATAATAATGATCATAGTCAATTTATAGATGTAGTCTAAAATGTTTTGTAATTTACTTATGAATGAGTTTGCTGTGTGATTGATATAGATTAAAGAAAAATTAGTACAGGACCAAGTACCGAGCATTGAGGAACGCGACCTTCTAACTTTATTACAGTAGGAAATATCGGAGAGATAAAAGACTTTCAGAGTTTTGTTATCTCAGCAGTTTTGTTAAACTGGTATTCCATATTGTTGTATTTTAAAGATAAGACTTGTATACCAAACTGTATCGAATGTTTTAGAAATGTCACTAATAGTACATGAGCGAGGAGTGGGGAGAAGGTGGAATATCAAGAGGTCAGAGCCCTCACAATTCCTTAGCTGTGGTGGCCGAGGAAACAGTTGACCAGCGTATCTAAATTTTAAATCTTTTTATATGCACTTACACCAATATTGTGGATGCTAAAGTTTTATAGTACTTCTTGTGACCTTAAGCAAAAATATAATTTCAATTGTCTCAGGTTTTAAAAAAAGCAAGTTGAATGACTGACAATCATAATAAATGAAGAACTTTGTAACTTTGGGTACAATATATAGATTTGATCAGAAAATGAAAACAAGGCCAGATGGTGTATAAATCAGTATAATAAATAATATGGATTTGATATGGATATTTTGGACTTGGGAGATGAAAACGAGGCAAAATTGATCAGGTTGGATCCAATAATGATTTCTATTGGAACATCACGTGATGCAAACGCTGTAGATGTGTACGTTGTTTACATTTTGTAAGGTTTTACAGATATATAATGATAACTTGTATCTAGCTGGAAATTGATTAAATGCAATATTTTGACTTATCTGGAATTTAATTGTATATTTACATCACTAACTTACTTTTTTCAAAATACTGAAATGAGGAAACATGCAGTCGTCATTTAGTGGCACAAATAATCCTCTTAAAAACGAGAGAACGAAGTAAAAAGTCAGGATCATTTTAGGTATTAGTTTATGCCTAGGAAAAAAGGTTAATTCTAATATTCAGCATCACTTCTTTTAAATGAAAATGTTTCGGTATAATACACGTTAAAATTTTCCCGTCCATTCTCGGTATTTTCGAACAGTTTTATGTCCGACTTTCTAATCAAATATCTTCTGAAGATGGTCTTAGTTCGACCTAGAGTTTGAAAGATAACTGTTTATATTTCCGGGAGTTTTATTGTACTGTGTTAAGATATACATTTTAAGTTATTTTATTATTCAGTTAGTGAATTATTAATGCTTGAATGTACTTTATGTTTAGCGGCACTATATATTATGGCAATACATTATGTAGGCTAGCTAATGCCCCTCGTGGCTGAGGGGTTGCCGGTGTAACATTAAATTTTGACCCTGTTGAGAAATGACCCTGAGGGTCATTTTTCAACGTTGAGAATTGACCCTGGGTCATTTCTCAACGGTCACGGGTCAATTCTCAACGTTGAATTTTGACCCACCCGTTAAATTTTGATCAGTAATGTGAAGGTGTTGAAAAATGACCCCGGGTCGTAATTCAACGTTGAAAAGTGACCCCAATTTTTTGATATTTGGAATGTAAGTTTTAAGGTTAAAGTGCATGGAGGTATGAAACGTCAAAAACGCATTAATGGGTAAACTTAAAGCCTGCTGGTGCGTCCGTTCGTTGTTTCCACAGATTGCATTACCTTTAAATCTAATTTATCGTTCTTTATGTAGGTAAAACAAATGAAAAATACAGTTCAGCAACATTTGGGGAATATATATTAAAATCGTGCAATAAAATCGAAGTATTTAAGTTATGAGACGTCGCATGAAACAGGTCATTAATGAACGAGCGTAAATGAGTCATTTTTATTTCGCTGACATTAAATGATATCTCTATACAGACGGCAAATGTCATAACCCTTACTCTTATCCCATTTACGCAGCATCCTAAGTTGGGGCTTGATTTTTGTGTGTTTTGTTTTGTAGTTTAAAATTAATCTTATTTTTAATACATCGGTGAAAATTTAAGTGAAATATGTCACCATCGTACTGTCGTACTGTCGTACTATCGCCATCGTACTGTCGTAGTGTCTTCTACATGACTTCTACAATTCAATGACAGTAACAATGCTTCGATTTTATTACAAGGGCTATTCTAGTTTGTGTTAGGAATGAAATTTGTGAATGGACATGTTTTACCTTTTCTACAATTTATTTTAGTTATTCAATAAAGGTTTACGTGTTTCAGTGTATTAAATTTTCTATTCTACTTTCGGTTTCTAAGGTTTATATATCAAGTACTTGCCCTTTATTACTTTTTTTTCTCAGGAATTTGCAACATTTTGAGCTCGACTTTTCCTACTCAACCCGACATCGTAAAGTTTTTCGTACCAACTCACTTTATTTTAAAATTACTAGACATGGCTTTGAAACTTTCGATACCTGTTTACCATCATAACCTCCATCTACAGACAAGTGTACATAACACTGTCAAGATTTTTGACAGAATTATGAGCCTTTTTGGACTTACAAAGTGTATTGAGCTTGGTTAACACCTCACTTTATTTCAAAACCGTTACAAATACAGCTTTTAAACTAAAGATAGATATGTACTTACCATGAAGACCTAATCAAAAGACAAGAGTATATATAAGTGTCTCGAGTGTTTTATAGAATTATGCCCAACCCTTTGAGATGGTGCTTGAAACTTTGAATGCTGCTTTAATCATTACCCCTATCTATAGACAAGAGATGATAACTCTGTCACGAATTACTTTAAAAAATTTAAGGACCTTGATCGACATATAATATTGCTTAAGTATTTCGTTCCACCTCATTTGATTTCAAAACAGTTTGAGATATTGCTTTGAAACTAAATCATACTTACTTGCCATCATGACATCCATCAACAGACAGGAGTACACAACTCTGTCAAGATTTTGACAGAATTATGCCCCTTTTTAATTCAAAAATACATTGAATATTGCCCTCATCCTTTAAAGATACATGTTTTAACTTTGATTGCTTGTTTATTGGCAAACACGAAAAGTCGAGCGCACTGTCCTACTGACAGCTCTTGTTCAAGCTATTGTACGTTTTCTTTGTAATATTAGTGTCCGTCAATTGAAAAGGAAACTGAATCAGTTAAAGTTGAAAAGACGCCAACACTGGAATCAAAGGTGGAAGTGGCTATCTAGGTACATTTTAAATAAATGTTTCTATTAATTTTGAAGGCGATTCGAATTGCCTGTATATATAATGTTATTGTTGAAGCCTTCCTGAAACGTTTATTCTTTAAGACATTGTTACCTGAAATGTAAGACGGCTACATTACTCAATATACATTAATTCACGAGTGAGACAATTTCATATTTAGGCAAATTCAATTCGAGTTTGAATAAGCCAAATGTTTAACGTTAGCTAACAGTGGCGTCCTTGCGTGGTTAGTACTATGTATTAATTTCATACACATCAAATTAACCTGACTGGGCACAAGTTGAAATTTTAGCTCATTCGGCCTAAAAGATTAGAAATTATAGATTTTAATGGCAACAAAAAGTGAGTTACTCAACACGTTACTACGACAATGACAGATTGAAGTATTTACTATGTAATTATGGTTATCATGTCAAAAATATTTTGAAGAGGCTTCAAAATAACACCTCCTAGCATGGGATTCGAACCCACTGCCTCCGCCAATGCAGAAAAAATGCTAATTACTGTAAATACTAAAAATGCTTGCTCAGCCTGTTCACACTGATACAGTTACTTACAAGTAAACATTCTTTTATGGTTCCAAGCCTATGCATTTTCCACGAAAAAACTACACATTGAATGTTTTCTTCGACAGACTGAGCTTGCAGGCAGTGGTGGGAATCTTGGCTGCCGTTCATGCGCTAACGGAAGGCGACAGTACGATGGTGACACTACGACAGTACGATGGTGACACTACGACAGTACGATGGTGAGAGTACGACAGTACGATGGTGACACTACGACAGTACGATGGACTATCACCATCGTACTGTCGTGCATCGCCATCGTACTGTCGTACTGTCACCATCGTATTGTCGTACTGTCACCATCGTACTGTCATGCTTCGCGTTTTCCGTCCTCAGAGAAAACGCGATGGCCATAACAGTACACCGTACGAAGGACAATTCATGTTTGTTTATAGGGGAGTAAGACTCTCGATTCATATATCAAGGAATAGGGGTTGGAATTGATGTCCTCGGAGTAAAGTAGCTTAAATATCATTGAATAGCTGCAGTTGATAAGCTGGGCACCATTTGACAGACGGGGTACACCATTATGTAAAGGTAATCTTAAAACAAGGTGGGTGCCAAATACTTTCTTCAATTTTCCAAACCTTAAATAACATATTTCACTTAAATTTTCACCGATGTATTAAAAATAAGATTAATTTTAAACTACAAAACAAAACACACAAAAATCAAGCCCCAACTTAGGATGCTGCGTAAATGGGACAAGAGTAAGGGGCAGACACATAATTATGACATTTGCCGTCTGTATAGAGATATCATTTAATGTCAGCGAAATAAAAATGACTCATTTACGCTCGTTCATTAATGACCTGTTTCATGCGACGTCTCATAACTTAAATACTTCGATTTTATTGCACGATTTTAATATATATTCCCCAAATGTTGCTGAACTGTATTTTTCATTTGTTTTACCTACATAAAGAACGATAAATTAGATTTAAAGGTAATGCAATCTGTGGAAACAACGGACGGACGCACCAACAGGCTTTAAGTTTACCCATTAATGCGTTTTTGACGTTTTATACCTCCATGCACTTTAACCTTAAAACTTACATTCCAAATATCAAAAAATTGGGGTCACTTTTCAACGTTGAATTACGACCCGGGGTCATTTTTCAACACCTTCACATTACTGATCAAAATTTAACGGGTGGGTCAAAATTCAACGTTGAGAATTGACCCGTGACTATTGAGAAATGACCCAGGGTCAATTCTCAACGTTGAAAAATGACCCTCAGGGTCATTTCTCAACAGGGTCAAAATTTAATGTTACACCGGTATAAAAATTGTAGCCACCGTCTATACCTACGTGATCGTAAGAGGCGAATAAATGGGTTCGAATTACTTGAGTCTATGCATCTCTTAGCTCCAACAGGTGAGATAGTTTTGACCCCTGGTGTGACTTTGAAGTTTGAACCTGTTTCGGCACCATATGACAATATATAAACTGCATCAAAATGGAGAGTGCTAAGGGTTCAACCATACATATCTGATATAATGTTCCGTACAGTCATCCGTTTTAAAATGGTTAAGTACGCAAATGACCATGCTACATGTATAATATCATGAGGTTATTATTATCAGAGACTAAGATTACAGTATTAAATATAGCTGTGTTATTTTATCCACTGTTTAGTACATACTGAATTCTATTAGACGAGTATACAATGCAACTGTCAAGAGGCGCTAGCCAAGACTGATATTATATATGTGTGCTAAATGTTCTTGTTTGTTGAAAAAAAAATGAGTTGCAAAGTAAGGATAATTTTAATATTTAAAATCAAGCAAACTAACATGTAAAAATTTTAACTTAAACATGAAAAAACCGGAAATGAAACACCATTACCGCGATTTTAATGATGACATACTGTTTTCAAAACGGCCGACATTTGGTCCATTAAATTGACTTTGACGGAATATATTGTTGTTTTCTTGTGCCACACAGTAGAAAGTACCTATATGTTATAGCTTATGACAATTTTTGTACCATAAGTTTCATTTGTTGTTTTCTTTCTGGTTTCAAAGCGTTAAGTACCGTGAAATAAGAGGAGCACAGTATAATAGGGTTTTCATCTGTGTACGAGTCCGATAGAATTCAGTAATGTTCTCAACAATGAATATATGACCTCCTTATTTCACACCACTTTTGTCACATTTTGACACAACTTTGTTAGTTCAAGTACAATAATGATTTGAAATGGATTTTTGGACTCTGAAATAAAGGGTACGGTTAGTATTTCATATGGATGTGTTAGATTCTGTAAATTAAAACGAGGATTGAATCCAATAAATTAATGATTTCTTTTGGAACATAAAGTTGTGCAAATACTGAAAATTCCTTGATTATATTTTATAAGGTGTGAAATCAAAATATATATACAAAAAAAAAAATCAATCGAAATAATTTAATTTTTATATAAGGGAGATAAATGCGTTTATCCTATCCTATTTCCAATCCAGAGCATTTAATAAATATATTGTAATTACATATAATACATCATTATTATTCATTTACTTCTTCATGCTTGGTTATTCTTTACAGGTCAATAACTCAAGTAAACACTTCAAATGTGGTTTTGATTTATTTTGTGTTCCATACATATTCTTATAACAAATGTGGAATACATAATATATAGGTAAAGAGGTTGAAATTGTAGTAAACATCACAGTTTATAAAGTGACCGAAACAGCTGTCATAAACAAATATATATGCATAAAATATACAAGTAACGTGAAACCTGTAATTATCCCACTTTAAAATTGTAACATCTAAAACAGTGCTAAAATCTCTCTTAAACATTGTAGTTAAAATTGGTCAGTCAAAGATGTTACGATGAATGAATTTTTGTATATTTGAAGCACCCAGAATACTGGTTGACAGACGTGGACCATGTAAACTATAGGTGGCCTAGTGGTTAAGGCATCTGCCTCTCAACCCAGAGATTATAGGTTCGAGCCCTACTCGGATCACGACCATGTTTCTTCATATGGCACCAGTACTGGTTGGTTCCAGGAAGCGAACTCGAAAGTGGTAGAACTTGTTAAATTAATATGTTTAAAGCAATCAACCTTTAATATAAATGAGAAATGGAAAACCTGACTCATATAAAAACCTAAACAATTGTTCGATGTTATTTTGCATATACATGTATTGATTAAGTACATGTTTGTACAAACATATAGGTTTTTATTTGTTTGTAAAAAAGCTAATATATAGCCTAACCTATTTTAACTTTGTTGATATTATGAAATGGTCTGGGAAGCCGGAATGTCGACAAAGTTGTAAGTGAATGTAAATATATCGAATTATTAACCAAACAAACACATAATAACACTTTGTTCGGTCACATGGTTCATATCTTGAGTTCAACCTTGTTTCACTCTGATCAATCCAACATAATATACGGTTTATATGCCACAATCACAACAAGCCAAGAGTCGGGTCTTTGTTGACTGGTAGCGTTATTATCCTACTTTAAAACACAATCTTCTCCTTTTATTTACTTTTCACATTGCGATCTTTAGCTTTTCTGCTAGAGAGAGGCTTTACTTGCACTAGTTTACAGTATTTCCTGATTTCAGACGGAGTATCTGAGCAGAACAAACATACAGAAAATACCGTCCATAACTTAACCGGACAAACTAAGTAGCAAATTTAATAGAGGGAACTCGACTTCTAAGGCTGAATTTGATCAAACAGCAGCTAAGATCACCAGGTATTACCGCTCTGAAAATAGCCCTCTACTTTATTTGATTAGCTATGATTGTGTAGATGAGACTTGTCATTCCTTAAGTCATTGTCATAGATTGAAATTTTACATCACTGAATTTCTATATAAAAAATTGCCGTAGTCTCGGCAATCAAATTGATTGCATCCGTTTCAATACTACATGTATTATATATGTGTTACACAAGCAAAACTCGAAAAGCACCATGTATACCTTGCTATTCGAAAACAAGTATGGAATGCAACAGTGCAAAATAACCTCAGACGTGTAAGTTGTGTTTGTCTGTCTCAATAGAATGGAATAAATACATATATATGAACTATTTGCATACTTTTCTGGATTTCAGTCGACCAGAAAGTTTATATAATTTGGAAAGGTGGCTATTGCAACATAAGATACATGTATATCCGTTTAAACAACACCGTTCAAGGTCAGTATTGAGATTTGGTTCAGTAATGAGATTTGGTTCAGTATTGAGATGTTACACTACAGCAACGGGAGCGTTTGCCTCAAACTCGAACAAACTTCCTATTTCGTTACCCTCAATATTCGCGTCATTAATATCTTCTGTATCTGAGTCAGATGAGTCTTCGTCTAAATCTGTAACTTTAACATGTTCCGTGCTAATGTCTGTCTTATCAGCTTCCGGACTGTCTGGTGGTTTCATATCACCTTCTTCTGTCGGCATTCCGAAATCCGGCGGTGGTCGATCATATTCCGCCGGGTTACTGTCGGAAGTCCCACTACTATTACCTGCTGAGGCCGTTTCTTCACTCTTCAACTCATCTTTTTTCTTAATGGATTCAAACAACGAGTTTGATTTATCTATGTCGTTAGAATCTTTGATTTCAATGTCAGTAATTTCTATATTAGTTTCACCAGGGACACCGTTTGATTTTTCAATTTGTGATTTTCTTATTGTATTTTGAGCAATCAGAGAAGCCTTGTATTGTCTAAACGCTTTGATTTTGTCTACAACATCCAAAAACACTTGTTTAATTCCTGTACCTTTGAGTGCATATGTTCCATGTATTGACCAGTCACGGTCTTCAATAGACGTTAGGTCTAACTCTGCTGTAATCACTTCGTTACTCAAAGCACCTGAAACAAATTTCATATAAGATAAAAATGGTTTCAATATAAAAGCTAAAACTATAATATATTGGAAACACAAAGTAGTGATATATTTCCGGCAACCTCTTTTTGGTATTTATAAAGTTATCATATGGAAGGTTATGTAGTACCGGCGGAGAGACCGCTTTCCATCATTTTATGATATTATCTAAACAACATACAACTTCACTGAATTACAAGACAGAGAATCTTCCCAGTGCCTTTAATAAGTACAACGGTCTTCTGATATTTCTCAGACATGTTCCTGCAATATTTAACGACTACCCGTGAGAAACATGCGAATTAAACAGTTGTCTCAAATCAAAATCAGATGACATGAAAGAATAAATGTTACAGTTTTAGCATTATGTGTAATTTGCATAATTTTTGATCATCATATTATTTTTACACAGTTTTAACATAATTAAGTAGTTTCTATATAAATATTCACAAATACGGACGGACTGACAATAAATGGTAAAGTAACTTTTTCAAGAAGAAGAAAAAGTTTATTTCGGTAACTTATGTATTTACAGTATCTTGCTACATACAATAATTACAAATACAATAATTCTGTGGTAAAGTAACTGAACATCTGGTCCAACCTGAATGTTTCGTGAGAAACTTTGTATTTTATTGTATATGGTGTGAAAGAAAAGAACAAAAATTAGTTTAAAAATCTGTAAAATATGAATGTTTCGTATTATGTAGATAGTGTGTATAATAACTGTATAAGTTCTATTATGTGTAGCCAAATATATAAATGTAAAGTATCTAAAAACTCAATTCACTGTATTCTACTTTCAGTTCATTTCTGTATATGGAAACATACATGTAATTATTATCTATGGATCATTAACTTTATATGAGCTATTATGTAAACCCGTGCATTATTCAAATATTTATACGTAACCTAAAACCGTATTTATAAAATGATAGAAATCTGGTGGTGCTTTAGTAAATAAATATGAGCCGCGTCATGACAAAACCAACATCATGGGTTTGCGACCAGCATGGATCCAGATCAGGATCCATGCTGTTCGCTTACAAACCCTATTACAAGTAGAGACGCTGATAACGAACAGTATGGATCCGGCTGTGCAGGCTGATCTGGATCCATGCTGGTCGCAAACCCATTATGTTGGTTTTGTCGTGACGCGGCTCATATTATGCATAAGAAATCAAGTTATAATGTTAACAAATACCAACCATCTTTATCTTGTTTGTTCGCTGCTACAATGAGCGGCACTCGTCTAAGGTAACTTGACTGCAGTATATCATGAAGCTCGAACTTTGCCTCGTCTATCCGGACACTGTCCGAACTGTCCACAACGTAAACAATGGCTACAGGAAATATAAAAAAATGAAATAAAACATTCATGATTGTTTCAATATAGGTTTGCGTTAATAATTGATAAAAAAGGTACAATATATATTTAGCTTCATGATGTAAATCGATGTTTTAGTACATATCTAAAGCTGTGCCTTATTCAAAGCTATATTGCAAATGATACTATTAGGCATTAATTTCATGTCACAGGTCATGCATGAAATCTCTTTGATGAAATTACAATGTTTTATAAATTTAATGGATGCATCTTTGTGGTTTCTTTTAATATTTACATTTAGACATGATTTATTCACCAAAGAACATACATAATGAAATCATCTCCGGTTAGAAATCTTTTTCCGGACCTCCAATAATATATTTAGCTTTAATGTACCAAATTACCAATATATAAGGTGTGCTTTCCGAATAAGTTGGTGTACCTTAAAGAACAAGGTTCGTCGCATCCTAAAAATAATCAGTCTCTGGGAGTTTATAAATTTTAGATTTAGAAATGAGCGTACCCTCTGCACAGTTATACCAGTTTGGCCACAAATAACGTGTAAGTTTACTGCCGGGCATGTCATACACTTGTATCGTAGCACCTCGTCGTGGTGTCATTAGTTCAATATTTATACCCCGAGGTGGAACATTTGCAAATATTGTGTCGTCCAACCTCGCCTTATACAATATCGTCGTCTTGCCTGAAAAAAAATGTGGGAAATTAAAATCTTACAAAATATATAGAAAGTTCAGAGGTCATGTTGATAATATCAATATATTGGACGCCCAAGTAAATAAGACTTCATTACGAAGCATGTACTGACCACACATTTAATTGAATTTAAGCAATGTATTAACGAAGACAAGTTGCAATAAAGGCTGTTATCCTTTCATCCGAGGAGCTTATTGTCATATTACAATTTGAACTTCGAAATTTGTGTCCACCCATTGAGATTTTGTCACTTTTCTTCAAAAACAGTGGAATGCCTTTTGTCCGTGATCCAAAAACGGGTCATTAGTAGTGCGTATTTTTGAACCAGCCATTCTGTAGAATACATGGCAGTATGTTTGTCAAGTTGCAGAGATGATAATAAGCATTCGAAGTAGCCCAACAAGTTGTGCACCAGGGCTTTTTTATATTAAATATACGAAAATCGCAATAAAGGCCGACACGTATATACTAGTAATATGAAGCTTGTTATATCGATCTTGTAGTCGAAATATCTTTTTAAAAAGTCTATGATTATTAAACAAGAGAGTATATCGGATAAATCTAAGTTTATGTGTATAAAACTACAGTACATGTATATTACACAAAGACTTGTTAAAGTGCCAGATAATCAGTACTATAATATTGTACCATTATTACAAACAATCTTACCTGCACCGTCCAGTCCTAGGATCAATACCCGCGGTTCTTTTCCATCAAATACATCAGTTAGATGTTTCATACGATGTCGACAACTTTGTAGTTTCTCTATTATATTCCCCATTTCCTCCGTTACCCGTGCAACACGTGATCGGGTATTTTAATTACTGTCGAGAATTAGCCAGGTCCCGACCTGGGTTGGTACAAGAACAGTACAAAATTGTTATAAAACAAGGATTTATTTTCAGCTTCTCTTGGTTAAACCTTAACATACATAACTGTCGCATACTCCAAGTATTCTTAATAACGAAGTCACTTCACAGTGTATATTCTTTCAGATATTGTTCCATGAACGAAACAGAAATTATACACAATTTATCCGCATTAAAATTTATATTGATTTCAATTTAGCACAAAAATATTGACAAAAACTAACCGATGAATTAAATCCAACCGTACCGGTCAATCTATAACTCTACTGTCATATTTACTTTAATGGAAGCCGCATTTTTGTTCAAAGTATTAAGCCATTAAATACACATTCGATCAATTCTATTTGTTACGGTACAAGTAGCTCTATAATTGCCCGGTCTACTTCAAAATCCGACATTCTTTAGGCAATTGGTAAAATTATTTATAAAGTGCTACAACAAGCGCGATTTTAACAATTACATTGATATATAGATGAAGAACGCCTATACATATAACTCCATGAAAAGACGCACTGGGCTGTGAAAAATTTATTTAAGATTTAATTTAGTGATACGATAACTGTCTAATCTAAACACTTTCTCGCTGTTATTTTCACTTTTCTGCATTAGTAGGTAAGTAGTAAGTATTAGTAAATTCACTTTTCAGAAAACTTTAATGCTTCTTTAGCCGGTGGTGGTGGTGTGTGTGGGAGGGGGGGGGGGGGGGGGGGGTTATAAAATACGTTACATTTTTATAAATTGCCTTTTAAACTTTAATTTATAACCCGATGGGTGACAAGCCGTGCTTTTGGTGTTCAGATCTGTACCAAAAATTAAAAAAAAAATTAAAAAAAATCTCCAAATCAAAGTTGCTTCAACCTACGTCCATATATCTAGACATGTGTGTTTCCTAGACTTTGCACAGCAACCCAATTTGTGAGACACGATTTTAGTTGTTGCTCCCACATCTATTGCGGGAATGTAAAGAAATTATTATGCAACAGAGGATGGAAATGTTGAGATTGCACTGTATTTTAAACGGTACACTCACTATAAATGTTATGTTCGTTTTCCGTATGAATTCTTTTTTCGTGGGCGTCACTAATAATTAATTAAGACGTATTAATGGATTAACAGGTGAAGAAACATAATCCATATGTTTAAAAGTGATTTTAAATGTAAACAGGCCGGCGTTATTTTCTTCAAGATTGTAGCGCGTTATACATGTACAAAAAATGTAGTTTATAGAATACACTTAAAAGAAGGCCATACATATAATTTATTGCCCTGAAGATCTAAGGTGAAGGTCATTTATACATATATGAAGAGGTCACACATTTGTGCTTTAAATGTAAAGGTCATTTGTAGAGTCTGAGAGATATGAAGAGGTTTAAAATATTGCTCGCTGATATATTGAGTTCCCTTATATATCTTGTTTGCAGATATGTTGACTTTGCAGATACTAGTATGTTAACTTTGCTGATATGTCAACTTTGCTGATATGCCAACTTTGCAGATATGTTAACTTTGTTTATTTGTTGACTTTGCTGATATGTTGAGTTTGCTGATATGATGACTTTGCTGATATGATGACTTTGCTGATGTGTTGATTTTGTTGAAATGTTGAGTTTGCTGATATGTTGACTGCTGATATGTTGAGTTTGCTGATATGATGACTTTGCTGATATGATGACTTTGCTGATATGTTGACTTTGTTGATATGTTGACTTTGCTGATATGTTGACTGCTGATATGTTGACTTTGCTGATATGTTGACTTTGCAGATACTAGTATGTTAACTTTGCTGATATGTCAACTTTGCTGATATGTCAGATATGTTAACTTTGTTGATATGTTGAGTTTGCTGATATGATGACTTTGCTGATATGATGACTTTGCTGATATGTTGACTTTGCTGATATGATGACTTTGCTGATATGTTGAGTTTGCTGATATGATGACTTTGCTGATATGTTGACTTTGCTGATATGATGACTTTGCTGATATGTTGACTTTGCTGATACATTGCTTTGCTGATATGTTGACTTTGCTGATACATTGACTTTGCTGATATGTTGACTTTGCTGATATGTTGACTGCTGATATGTTGAGTTTGCTGATATGTTGATTTTGCTAATTTATAGAGTTTGCTGATATGATGACTTTGCTGATACGTTGACTGCTGATATGTTGACTTTGCTGATATGTAGATTAAAAGTAAAGTTAGTTTGTAGGAAAAAGAAGTTGCAAATGTGTTGACTGACGACAAAGGTGGTTGGTATGTAGAGAGGTTGCTAATATGTAAAGGTGATTGTTTAGGGAATAAATGATGAAGAACACTTATATAGTTTTATAAGGAGTACCTGCCAATATGTTGATAAAAGATAATTTGTTTGTGGAAATATATATTTATAGTAAGATTACTGATTTTTATACAAGACCCTTTTGTCACACTGCAATAGAAAACTCTATAAACACAATTCTCGTAACTTTTTTAATTAAATTTCATATTTGAGACATAAAAAAACAGAAAAGGGAATTTAAAGATTTTAAAATTTAAAATTTTTTAAAACCAAATTTTAAAAAATTGTTTCAAAAAACAAAAGCCCTGTTTAAAATTTAAACCATTCAAAATTTAAACCACTATTGTAACTTTTTAATATTTACATCAAGGTACAGCAGTCATGCAATCAACCTTCAATATGAAAGAAGTATAGTTTGAAATTACAAATATGATAACATGATGGTATTTAACATTGACTTAGTTTTATGATCATGATAATACTGTAATGTTAGATGACTAAAGTGATTATATACATGTACAATATATATATAATGGACGCAAAATAATACAAGAGATACAAAATTCTTGTAGTGGCAAGTTAATTAACAATGAACACATTCAAAATGTCTTGCCTATATGGAGACCAAGAAAAAGCAGGGGATAGAAAGAAAGAAAGAATGAAAGAAAGAAGAAAGAAAGAAAGAAAAAGAAAGAAGACGGAAGAAGGAAAGAAAGAATGGAAGGAAGGAAGTGTTAATGATAGAAAAGGGAAGACAATATTTCAATTATCACTGACTAGCATTCTGTAACTTGTTATGTTCAATGTATGATGAAGAAAGCTTAAAGTTATTTGTTGTATTGTAATTCATTTATGGACAACTTAAGAAGAAAAATGCAAACATTCTTCTGTTCTTGTTTCACCAACTAAATCTATCAACTTAATCTATCAATAAAAATAAGCAATATAAAAATGTACATAGAAAATCTTACTGAATTTTGAGAATTGTGCATTTTTTAATAAAGTAAAAATCTCATCACATCATGTAACAAAAATAATTACTAACTACAGCCATATAATCATTACTGGGAATGTTGACAACCATCATATTTATGCCTGTCAAAACTGCCAACAATGGCTGGAAGATATATCAAGGAAGGTTCAACATTTTATATTATTTTTCACATTTTAACAGAAAAACATATTATTACTTTATACATGGCAAAGTAGTAAAAAATGTAGTAAACAGTATAAAAATTATCTTAACTGACAACATTATCAATTGACAAAATTATCTTAACTGACAAAATTATCTTAACTGACAACATTATCAAGTGACAACATTATCAAGTGACAAAATTATCTTAACTGACAACATTATCAAGTGACAAAACTATCTAAACTGACATTATTATCAAGTGACAAAACTATCTTAACTGACAAAATTATCAAGTGACAAAATTATCTTAACTGACAAAATTATCTTAACTGACAACATTATCAAGTGACAAAATTATCTTACCTGACAAAATTATCAAGTGACAAAACTATATTAACTGACAATATTATTAAGTTCAGTCCATTCAATGTTGAAAGGATTTCAATTAGAAAAACACATGTACCAAGACTAAAGAGCTTGGTCAGACTACACATATGTTTACACTAGTCTAGCTATAGTGGTGACAAAGGCAGGATCATGTTCAATTCCAGCCTGGTAATGGTTATTCAATAACAATAATGTACAGCGTATATATGTAACCTGAACCATTACAACATAAATACATGTATATTATCTATATGTATCATTCCATGTACAATATTTATATAACATTTTATCCCTTTTTGTCATGTGTCATGTCTAACAAACATATTAAAGTTATGGACAAGGAAATCCAGTCTTAAAAAAGGTCCTCGTATCAAATGATTATTTGAGCATTATTTGAAGCTTAGTACATTGTTACTAAAGCTTATGTTAAACAACAATACAAGGGTATTATAACAAACCATCAATGACTAATCATGAATTATTATTATACACAGATGAAAACATTAAAGAAAAAAAAAAAGGTGACATAGTAACGTTGAAGTTGACTATACATATTAAACATGGATTTCCAACATCATAAAAATAAAAACATGATCCCTGTAATATAACAACTTGACTCATTTGCAGGGATCATTTTATCATAATTTCATAGTACACATGGTTAGATTCTCGTAAAAAACAACAACTATCTTACACAGAAAAATGTAAACAAAGAAAACAATATAAACAACAAATCTGAGAACACATGACCATGTTTACAATATGTGAAATGAACATATAAACACAATTGTACAATAATGAATAAGTCCACCAAAATACATGAAAATAGTCTTTTATTCTCAATCCGCCCTATATTTTGTTGTTACTATAGTAAATGCTTAAAAAATGTGAACTGGAAATTAAATTGTCTGATGAACACCGGGACAAGTTTAAATGAAAACCAAACAATTTATATAAGATTTATACAGAAATTTCAGTGAAATATGAACTAGATTCTGTGATGTTACATAAACAGCACCACCATTTTAATCTGCAAGTGATTTATCAACCTGCTAGATGCTATAACCTTGACTAGAAATCATAACAAACACAAGAACAATGATCAGTTCTTAAACTTCGCTGAAGACAGAAATAAATTCAGTACCAAAATTTGTAATCATGCACACCAGTATTGTGATCATGTTATTCATGTACACTGTGCTTTCTTTCTCTGTCCAGATTTTACAAATTATCTTAAGAACTAAGATACCCAAAGGATTTCATGAATTCAACATGGTCTGTATTTCATACATTCACCCTCAAAATCTGATTGTGCTATTTCTTTAATTTATTGTCAAGTATTGTGATATATGAATGATTTCATAAATTCACAACTAAAATATGTGATTCTTGCTATTTCATTAATGCACTGTTAAGGACTGTAGTCTCCACACAAAGTCATGTAATGAATATCAAGAACTGTGATATGTATTTTAACCCTTAACCTCCTATATTTCTATAATGGATTCTGTCCAGCTTTGAATTTGAAACAGTCCATTCAAAGTTTAAGGGATTTCAGTATCAAAATACAAAACTTGAGCTGCCACCAGTATAGAGCCTGGTAAGACAGCATACACATGCAGGCTGGCCTGGCTCTATACAGGTGGCAAAGGCTGACCACTCTTGTTTCCAGCAGGTTAAGGGTTAATGCTATTCTCTACAGTAAAGGAATGTGATATCTATAATGCCTTGTAATATTCTTCACTTAAGCATAAGCTGGCTTCAGCTCTGTAAATTTCTTGTGCTTATTTCCTATTTCTGTGCTAAATTCCTCCAATTTTCCAAGAGTCTAGTTGAATTTCTTAGATCTGCTTTAAAACTGGTCATATACTGATATATCCACACAAGTCGATCCTGTATGTTTTATAATCTGAACATTGTTTTAAGCACTATATGTATAATGTCTATATCAAGTATTATCTATTATCTACTTCTAATAAAAATATCGCTGAACAATTTGTCATTACGCTGTTTTGCTATTTTGATATTTTTGTATATCGTTTTCAAAGATTTCTAAATATTTGTTTAATGGCATCTTGCATGGAGAATTGATCAACATTTATAATCTTTCTCCTGTGTCTAGCATCAGCTAAAAGTGCCTTCCATTCATCACTCACCTGAAATATATACACAATATTGAATGAGTGTAGGTTCAATACAAAATTAATTGAACAAGTTGAATAAAATCATACTATACACAACTCTTTGAAATTACACCAAAATAATTTTCTATTTATCACATATCTTAAATAAGAACAGTTTACGGTAAAAAAAGATATCCAAATAAAGTGTAATGCTAACGTTATAGCGCTTTTACTCTATGATTGAATAACGTAAATGAAATCATGTGGCATTGTTATAACACTAGTGTAATATTGTTTTTATTAAATGGCTTTATTATACTCCTGTGTTAATGTGATAAATATATGTTTTTCCCGTCAAAAGTAAAGCAATTTTTATATATCAAAAAAGTTTTATTTGGTTTAAAAATTTACAAACAAAATGATTGGTCCCTTTTTAAAATTTAACTGGTTTGTGGACCCTAATTACAAAATTTTTTTTTAATCATTTTAACAAAAAAACCTTTTAAAACCCATAAAAACCCTCAAATGTCCCGATGCCCAGGTGTTAAACTTAATCAAAAGAAAAAAAATCCCAAAAAGCCTGGTAGAAGTTTAAAAATTTCAGCAAATTTTATATTGGGGAATGAAAATAGCCTTTAAACATTATTAAATTAATGGTTTTATTTAGTCCTAATTTTGAAAATGGGCTGAAAAGCACTTTAAAAATTTTTAAAAGATAAATATGACATTGGCACATTTTATCCTGCGATACATTATGCTTCATCAATAAGATTTATATGGATTGAATTACCACAGTGCAAATCTTAATGGTTTACTTAAATTTACTACATGAAAATGGTAAAACAATTATACCTGTCAGATAAACAACAAATTAAAGTTCTGTTTATCCTTTTTTTTTTCAAAGTTACCAAACAAAGTCTACTTTTTTAGAATCTTATGCTATTTTTTGTTAATTCCATGATGACCTGAAGACAAATCTGATAATAATTAAACAGGACAGACAAGTAAGACATATATTGTAAAACCTAAATTAATACCCTTTAAATCTTGTCTGATTTAACACCATTGTCTACATTTTTATCTTAGTTCAAAACATATGTCTCTAAATATCTTTACTGTTTTTAATATTTCTTAATACCTACAACAATTCCTATACAAAGGCTGCAAATTATTGTTGACATGTTTACCATAACAATGTGTACGAGAGATTTATATATGGACCAACACAACATCTATAACATGTTTATAACAATCTTCTTAAGGTATCAGCAATTGTATATCATTCTTATACTTCATTAAACACAGATTTATGTGATTTATATAAGTACAAATATATAAATATAAATTTTTAAAACTAGCTTCACAAACAATTCATCAGCATGATTCAGGTGAAAATATTTCATCTAGGATAATTCTCCTTGCATATTTACTTCAGTAAAAACAAATCTAGCTGAAAACTATAATGTGAGAAAATAAATGATCCAAAACATTTCACAGTTTATAAATCACTGCTTTAATGAGCTTATTTCTTTATAAACATGATTATGATAATTATATCAATCGTAATGTTCAGTGAAAAATGTATGTCCTTTAGAATTTAAAACCACATTTGATTTCATTGTCACACTTGAAACTAAAAAGTTAAATTTACCTCTAATGACTCAAAACGGCCGACTAAATACATGGCATATTTTGCCCGAGTTAGTGAAACATTCATCCTCTTCCTGTCACCAACAAACCTGAAATATAGAGAAGTATTGTCTCCTAACATCTGACAAATAGAGAACTGGTGTACAAAATAAGAACATATACAGGTATGTAGTCTGTCAACAATATGATGTCGAGATGAGCATTTTATATCAGTATCCCACTGTATCGCAGTTTAAGACCTCACACCCCAATTTTAACATTATAACAGGGTGCCAGTGTATAAAGAACTGAAATGTCAACAAATGGAATCAAACCCACATCAGTAAGGAGAAAGTAATTTGATTTTACATACTAAAACAACATGACCACAGCAGTAAAGGTATGTGTAGTGTACAATCATCATAAATAAACTTACCCTATAGTACCAGACTGATTGGCACGAACACAGGACATAATTATCACATGTTTTTCTCTCCCTTGAAAACCATCCACTGTGGATACTTCAATATTATTGAGATGTCTGAAAGGTACAATAATACATCAATAAAAGCTAAAATCACAGAAAGTCAAAATCTAATTTTGTTGTTGACTTATAATGCTGATTCATTTATACATTATACTACAAACATGGCATTGAACAGTATTGAAGATAAAGCTTATTACACAAAACTATGAAATAGAAGATTGTGATAATTCATATTTTATTGGCAAAAAAATATAAATGATCAATGTTAAGTAACATTTTGGCGGTACAATACAAAGTGCAGAAAAGTATGATACAATACAAATTATACATATTTTTCAGTGTACAATAATTTAAGTAAATTAATTTTCAGTTGCTTGCTAAAATATACAAATTTATGTTAACAATTACATTTTCAGTTGTATATTTCATTACTGATATGAATTTATTATTGATTATTTATTGACTAAAGACCAACAATTATCTCCCTGCAAATGTCAAATCTAAGGTGAAGAGTTCATGTATAATAAATCTAAAAACTTTTACAAGACATACAAAAGCAAATGTGCAAAAATGTCTTTTTCATAATAAAATTGCGATTTATAAAATAGACTGACAGTTGTGTCTTACCTTTTCTCTAACTCTTTGACTATTTCTGACTTCTGTTTAGCATAAGGTGCTATTATACCAATGACCTTTTCAATGACAGAGGAGTTGGTTATGATGAATTTACAAAGTTCTGCAGTAAATATTGCCTCTAGTGGATTACTCATAGATCTGTTACAATAAAGAAGGAAACAATATGAATATGCATGCATGTAGAAAATTGCAAACTTCTCCAAAACTCAAAATTGCAAACTTATTGAATATTTCTGTTGAGATTTAAAGCCAACATATTTAACCAGGTTTTCCGAAGGAAAAAACTGGTTATTAGATTGAGGTATGTCGGCGGGCGGGCGGATGGGCAGACGGGCGATCGGGCGTAAACAATTTCTTCTGTGCGCAACTCCTCCTACATTTTTCAACGGATTTTGACCAAACTTTTACAGAAGCTTTGTCATCAAGTGACCTGCGAAGGCATATTGTCGGGGTTTTGTGATTGGATAATATTTTGACCTAATTATGGCCCTTTGTTTTTTTTCCTTATATGGTTAGAATATATAGGGAATAATTTCTTCTGTGCCCAAACTGTTCCTACATTTCTCAATGGATTTTGACCAAACTTTCACAGAGGCTTTTGTACTCAAGTGCCCTGGCGCATATTGTCGGGGTTTGTGTGATTGAATAATATTTGAACCTAATTATGGCCCTTTTGTTTTTTTCCCAATATAGGATATATAGTGAACAATTTTCTGTGCGCAACTCCTCCTACATTTCTCAACGGAATTTGACCAAACTTCACAGAGGCTTTGTCATCAAGTGCCTTGGGGCATATTGCTTCAGGGTTTTGTGATTGTATAATATTTGACCTTATTATGGCCCTTTGTTTTTTTTCCTATATACAGATTATATAGTGAACAATTTTTACCTATGCGCAACTTCTCCTACATTTCTCAACAGATTTTGACCAAACTTTTACAGAAAGCTTTTTTATCAAGTGCCTTGGCGCACATTATCGGGGTTTTGTGATTGGATAATATTTGACCTAATTATGGCCCTTTGTTTTTTTTCCTTATACAGATTATATAGTGAAAAATTCTTCTGTGCTGAACTCCTACATTTCTCAACAGATTTTGTTCAAACTTTCACAGTAGCTTTGTCATCCAGTGCCCTGGCGCATATTGTCGGGGTTTTGTGATTGAATAATTTTTTTTCTTTAATTATGGCCCTTTGTTTTTTTTTTCTTATACAGAATATAATTATAGTGAACACTTCCTCTGTGGCAATTCCTCCTACATTATTCATGATTTACATTGCACATAGTTACATTGTTTGTTGCTTGTATTTGTATTTCAAATACAACATATTTATCTACAATGGTGATAATTGAAAACCTGGTTTCATGGCATTGCCATGTTTCTTGTTTTGTTTGTACATGTACTAGCCTGCAACCAAGTATACTTTTGCAGATGTAAATGCCCTAAAACAAGATGAAGCTGTGTTATTATTTCTTAATTTGCATACAACATTTTAAAATATTAAGATAAACCTCTATAGAGTAGAGTTTGCAATATATCAAAATATGCTGGATTTTATTTCCATTTTTTTCTGGTATTTTATAAATGGACTTTATATGCTACATTTCTATTTTGCTTAATCTTATGTCAACTGATTGACTCTCTTCTTGTATTTCTAGGCTTGCAATGTTTATGTTATATATTTCACTAAAAATTGGAAATTTTAAAAATTATGGAGAAGGGCAAAATGCCAGTTTTATATGTTTTAAATATTCATTTCAAAAAGGAGTTCAATATTTACTGAAAACAATACGATTTTCTTTGTGTCTTAGATCATATTCTATAATTTAAGCATTCAAACTAGTCAGATATATACCTCATTCACTCAGTTTCATATAGCTTATATCTAAATGATGACATTTATTATCTCATTGGAACTCCTGAGATTAAATGCTTACCTGGTTCCCTGTGAGAAGAGTTCCCTGCCTTCAGAAACATTAAACAACAAATAGGGAACCAGTGGTAGTTGACTTCTGTTCTCAACACATCTGTAAAATCATTGTTATACATTTAGTTTAAATATATCAATTTAGGCCTAATTATGGTGAAAGCTTGATGCTTTTTAATATTTAGACCATCTGTGTCAACTCGTATCAACTATCCCTAGTATAAGAAGTAGACACCTTGATCACTTGGCCAGTTCTCCTCTTGTTCAATGTATGAGCATTGACCTTATTTTGACCATTCTGGAGTTGACCTGTCTTGACTTGAAACGATAAAGGTCTACACTTTAACCACTAGGCAATTGCTTACCCCTCGTTGCCATGGTAACAGGAAATTTAAGCCTGAGCATGTTGTTACAAAGGCAATGGTCCAGTCAACATTTGTGCCAAGTTTGATAAGTATTGAAGCAGTTTTTATAGTTTTATAGCAATTTGAACTTGTAACGGGAAACTTTTCAATAAAAGCAGCCATTTTCCACAAAATGCTCATTAAGTAATGAGTTAAATGCAGATGAAAAAAACATTGATAAAACTGAGACAGTTTTTAAGTCAAAATCTCTTTGAGGTTCAGCCTAACTAAAGAAACAAGATTATGTTTAGGGGGCAATATAAATAGTAAACAAACATTTGATCCACTCTGTGATGTAACATACAACAAAGTATTGTCTATTTTAGAAAATAAAAGAACATCAGCATTCACATAATCATATCTAAATTTGCATGTTTATAAAGCTTAATATTCTTATCTTCAAAATCTTTGAAATTAATCATGGAAGATTTAAAATTAATCAAAGAACTACACGTCCACTGACCCTTAACACGCTGACTTTGTATAATGGATTTGCCTTGCTTTTAATTAAGAACAGTCCATTTAATGTTTAATGGATTTCAGTATCAAAATACAAGAATTGAGCCACCAACAGTATACAGCTTGGTCAGACTGCATGGGTAATAACTCTTGATTCCCAGCAGGGTAAAATCTCAATTAACATAAAACTATGTCCAAAACCATCACAAACTGTTTTTCTATTCATCTAAAAGAACACACATAACTTAATAATTAAAACATCACAATAAATAAACAACATACTTGTCATTTGTTATTTTCCCCTCATAGATATAGTTGTTGGGGAAAGCAGCAATTTCCGGGTCCATTCTATACTGTCTGTTTAATAAGATGACAGGATTTATACTCTGTCCTTTAAAATGTCCATCCAATCTCTCAAACAATGACATGTTGAACTGGTTCTCTGTTGCTTTCTGATAAATATAAAAGTTTGATAAATTATAGCCCAGATCAAATAAAGGTTATGTTGCATATTTACATTGAAAACATTGCTAAAGAACTACTTCTGTAAGAGAAATAGGGGCCAAAAAAGTATAAATCAAAGTGCTGCAAAGGCAGGGCAGTAAATGCTCAAAGCATCATAGTATTTCAAATACAATTTCATGTCATACTCTGTAAAGCAAGAACTTTAAAACACCTGCAGAATGACTGATCAACTTGCTTCTTCAGAATCAGTCCCATGTAACTTACCCCTTTAACTTCATTTGTTGGGATATAGCAACATGTGAAGTTTTAAAGATGAAATAGTAATACTAGATTTTTAAAATTTATTTATTTATTTTTTGGAGGGTGGGGTTAAGTTGCACCAACAAAGTATAGGTTATATGGCAACTTTCCAGTTTTACAGGTGGAGGAAGACCGCAGGTGCCCCTATGTGTGTTATTTCAGTCATGCACAAGTACCTGATTAGAAACACTGATGCTCCATAAGCTAGCTGGATATAGCTTCCTTACATGAAAGAATCCAAGGAAATACTAGAGATAAAAACATGAATATTTACAATACCTGTGAGAGAACTGTTGGAGGAAGTTGTTCTGGATCACCCACCAGGATTAGTTTGGTTACACCATATTGTAGGGGAATCAATGTCTCTAACTCTATAGCTTGTGTTGCCTGAAATATAAACATATTCACTGAAATACATTCATAAATGAGGTATAAAGCTATATCTAATGATATTGATTTTTTCACAATATTTTATAACAGTAATACTATGTTTCCATAACCTTATGGTCAATTATCAAAAGAGTTGTAACATAGAATGTTTCTGTTATTTAACAAGCATGAATACTGTACGTAAATAGAATAAAATGTTACGGAACAAAATATTATGCTGCTATTTTAATTAAAAGTAGAATTTAGCAATTATTTGTGCATAATCAATTTACACACAAGGAAAAACACTAACGTATTTCTTAAATTCACTTTTGCAATTATTCTTTTTCAAAATTCAAACAAATACTTTGTAAAGTGCAGGCAGTAGAGGTATAGCTTTATACACTTCATACATTAATATAAATATTCACTAATTCACTTAAAATGCATGCTAGAGTCTAGAACAACAAACTACAACTTTGACTTCAAAGACATGTAGTAAGTTTCATTTGAATGAAATATGAATTGCATGCAAAACCTATACCATCAGGCTACACAAGAAGAATAACCATACAATTCTTTGAATAGTTGAACTAAAATTAGCACATTTTGTATGAAAAATAAGGTAAAGACTTTATTCATTTTTAAATACATTTATCTGACCTCACATGTTTATTCATATGGTAATAAATGGTGCAGAATATAGATAACATTTAAAGTCAAGTTAACCAGTCTCCTGTAAAAATCAATAATTTCACAGTCTACTACATAGCAACAATACAAAATAATCTATACTTAGAATGACGTATATGTTTCAATGTGATATTAGGGAGAGAAACCTTCAATGTAAAAAAAATAAAAATATATTACATCATAAAATGATATATTATTTGAACAAAGTTATAAGAAAGGTTGATAATATGCTTCTTCCACACCAGTACACTAAAAGTGGTAAATATAGAGTTAAACAATCATAGAAGTGTTACACAACCAATGTATTTTCCTTCAATATGGGGCAATAACTCTCCCAAATTTGTTTGCTATTTACTTATACACCTGGGAAGTTAGGGATTTTTTTATAACTCAATAAGAGAACGAGAGGAAGTAAGAACTTCTACCCTAACATATAATTATAACAGATGATATCTTCACTACAAAAGATGATATCTTCATTACAACAGATGATATCTTCATTATAACAAATGATATCTTCCGATGATATCTTCATTATAACAGATCATATCTTAAGATGATATCTTCATTATAACAGATGATATCTTCAGACAATATCTTCATTATAACAGATGATATCTTCATTATAACAGATGATATCTTCATTATAACAGATGATATCTTCATTATAACAGATGATATCTTCATTATAACAGATGATATCTTCATTATAACAGATGATATCTTCATTATAAAAGATGATATCTTCACTATAAAGGATAGTAAAGGATAGTGCTCAAATAAAATGTACAGGAATGAAGATAGTTCTTTAAGTTTTAGGTTAATTTCTAAATGATAACAAAATTTATAAAGTCACACGGAAAACAAGTAAAAAGGACACCTTAAATAGAAGTTGTTCCTCTTTGAAAAATCATCAATATCAATATGCTATAATTAAATTTCAATGTTTACAAAATGGGTATTTTCTTAATAGCTACGAGAAATAATTATCATGTCATTGTTATGCAAAGCATTGCTAACATTTCTTTTTATATTGAAAACTTAGAAATAACATAATTTTGCTATTTTGGTTAAACAGATTTACTTCAACTGAGTATCTTTTTAAAAGATAATTCTTGTTTTAAGTATCATTAAAGAAATAAATTTTAAGTATCATTAAAGAAATAAATGGCAAGGAACCAAGACCTTTATGTGCAAGATTCAAGACCCCAGCAAGCAACAGTGAAAAAGTACTTAAGATCTTTCTTAAAACATCTAGAAAATCAACCTATATAATATCACCATGTATATCCAGTAACGCAGGAATGTGCTTATAACGTTGGAATTGTGCAAAAGTAACACAGAATTGTGCAATTTAGTGGCTGAAACGAGTACCTCAATAAGTAAATGGACCAATATTTTCTATTGTGCACCAAATTGGAAGAAATGAGTTAGCGCATACGGTTGCTGAAACATCATACTTTAAACCTCATCAAAAAAAATTCCATGAAAAAAGTTTATTTTTTAAAATTTGTGAAAATGACGACCTGACTAGCATATTGATGATGATTTTTAGTTTCGTTGATATCTTTAAATACAATAATGCTGTATCATAACATTTTATATCAAACATAATAAAACATTATAACACGCTTAACAATATTCCCCTGCCAAACAGACAGTGTTATCATGTGCTTTATTACACGATATATGCACAGCATAAAAAAGGAATGCTTACATGTCATATGACATCAGATATTACGTTAATATACGAAATTGCATCAGGAAAATTACGTCTAAACTCAATGTAGTTCAACATATTTTTATCACTCTTGGAAATGGATGTTAATTTTTCTTGCATTATTGCAAAAGTACAATAATGCATGGTTTATTTTTCATTTTATATTAAACATAATAAAACAAGATAACAACATACCTCATCAACAATAACAACATCAAAGCCTGGACCTGTCATATTCTGGAATGCCGACCTTAATTCTCCACCACCTATTTTACTCAATGTGCCCGCAATGACATGAGCTTTCAGTAGTAAATTACACTGTGCCTGTCTCTCCTGTTGCTTGTCTATGTACGCCTTTGGCTACAAGATATATGTTATATGCTGTGTAAACTAGATGATTCAACCACATTGTGTAATGTTACTTACAATATCATAATGTACCATATAGTGAAGATAATTCAATCAAACTATGCATGGACTTTTAGGATGAAATGAGTAATTCCATGTCATATGATAATGTGAAGTGAATGATCTTTCAAAGTAGAAAGAAGATCTATACAAATACAATGATAACTAAAGGTGTATCTGTACAGTATTGAATCTACAAGAATATAATATTCTACATATCACATATTCAAAATAAGAACGGTTTAGAGTTAAAAAAGTGTCATATTTTATTGCTGCATCTATAGTGTAATGCTAACATTTGCATGATTTAATGCTATAATTGTACATAACATAAATGACGTCACATCAGAGTGTTATTACACTAGTGTAACATCCTTTTTATTAAACGTCTTTATTGCACTCCTAAGCCATTATTTATGTGATAATAATTTTATGATTTTTTCACATTATTGCATCATTGCCACTGAATTCCTTATCATTTCAGCAACTTATATACATACATGAACATGTATTTTCTGTATTCTTACACACATCACATTTTCCCCCTATTAAACAGACACTGCAGTCCTGAGTTTTATTATACCATATATACATGGCATAAAATATGTTTACACCTCATATTACATCTGACATGATGTAAGGAAAATTACTTCTTCCCTGAATGTAGTTTTTGTTTTTTTGAACATTATTAGCATTTTAGAATGGAGAAAAGGATATTAATTTTTAATTGTATTGTCTTTATTGTAGTATTATAGTACACAGTTTATCGTTCAAATGCTTTAAAACTTTTCACCAGACTTCAGAATTTTATTCCAGTGCATTTGAACTCAAGCCTTACATTATTCTACAACAACTCACTAAAATTTGATTTCTATTTCCTAAATTAAATGAAATGAAGGTGAATTACGTCACAAGGAGCTTCAATTTCAGATAACATAACAAATATAAAATATCATAAATATATTGATATAACTCACACTTACCAAGACATATTTGCTCTCAAGGACTTCTTTCTGTTTTTCTAACTTCTTTAAATCAGATCTATGTTTCTGTCTCTGTATGAAAATAAATATGTAAATATATGAAGATATCCTGTAAATATATGAAGATATCCTGTAAATATATGAAGATATCCTGTAAATATATAAAGATATCCTGTAGATATATGAAGATATCCTGTAAATATATGAAGATATCCTGTAAATATATGAAGATATCCTGTAAATATATGAAGATATCCTGTAAATATATGAAGATATCCTGTAGATATATGAAGATATCCTGTAAATATATGAAAATATCCTGTAAATATATAAAGATATCCTGTAAATATATGAAGATATCCTGTAAATATATGAAGATATCCTGTAAATATATGAAGATATCCTGTAAATATATGAAGATATCCTGTAAATATAGGAAGATATGCTGTAAATATATGAAGATATCCTGTAAATATATAAAGATATCCTGTAATATATGAAGATATCCTATAAATATGTGAAGATATCCTATAAATATATGAAGATATCCTGTAAATATGTGAAGATATCCTGTAAATATGTGAAGATATCCTATAAATATATGAAGATATCCTGTAAATATGTGAAGATATGAAGAAATCCTGTTAAATATATGAATATATGAAGATATCCTGTAAATGTGTGAATATTTGAAGATATCCTGTAAATATGTGAACAAATGAAGATATCCTGTTAAAAATATGAATATATGAAGATATCCTGTAAATATATGAAGATATCCTATAAATATATGAAGATATTCTATAAATATATGAAGATATCCTGTAAATATGTGAAGATATCCTGTAAATATATGAAGATATCCTGTAAATATATGAAGATATCCTGTAAATATATGAAGATATCCTGTAAATATATGAAGATATCCTGTAAATATGTGAAGATATCCTGTAAATATATGAAGATATCCTGTAAATATGTGAAGATATCCTGTAAATATATGAAGATATCCTATAAATATGTGAAGATATCCTGTAAATATATGAAGATATCATGTAAATATGTGAATATATCCTGTAAATATATGAAGATATCCTATAAATATATGAAGATATCCTGTAAATATATGAAGATATCCTATAAATATATGAAGATATCCTGTAAATATATGAATATATCCTGTAAATATATCCTGTAAATATATGAAGATATCCTGTAAATATATGAAGATATCCTGTAAGTATATTTAAGATATCCTGTAAATATATGTAGATATCCTGTAAATATATGAAGATATCCTAGAAATATATGAGATATCCTGTAAATATATGAAGATATCCTGTAAATATATGAAGATATCCTGTAAATATATGAAGATATCCTGTAAATATATGAGATATCCTGTAAATATATTTAAGATATCCTGTAAATATATGAAGATATCCTGTAAATATGTGAAGATATCCTGTAAATATATGAAGATATCCTGTAAATATATGAAGATATCCTGTAAATATATGAAGATATCCTGTAAATATAGGAAGATATCCTGTAAATATAGGAAGATATGCTGTAAATATAGGAATATATCTAGTAAATATGTGGTTATATGAAGATATCTTGTAAATATATTGAAGATAACCTGTAAATATATGAAGATATCCTGTAATTATATTAAGATATCCTGTAAATATATGAATATATGAAGAAATCTAGTAAATATGTGGTTATATGAAGATATCCTATAAATATATGAACAAATGAAGATATATTGTAAATAGATGTTTGTAAATATATGAAGATATTTAGTAAATATATGAACAAATGATGATATATTGTAAATAGATGAAGATATCTAGTAAATATGTGAACATATGAAGATTTCTAGTAAATATGTGAATATATGAAGATTTCTAGTAAATATGTGAATATATGAAGATATCCTACAAATATGTGAATATATCCTGTATAATATAAGAACAAATGAAGATATTCCATATATATGTAAATATATGAAGATATCTAGTAAATATGTGAACATATGAAGATTTCTAGTAAATATGTGAATATATGAAGATATCTAGTAAATATGTGAATATATGAAGATTTCTAGTAAATATGTGAATATATCCTGTATAATATAAGAACAAATGAAGATATTCCATAGATATGTAAATATATGAAGATATCTAGTAAATATGTGAACATATGAAGATTTCTAGTAAATATGTGAATATATGAAGATTTCTAGTAAATATGTGAATAAATGAAGATATCTAGTAAATATGTGAATATATCCTGTATAATATAAGAACAAATGAAGATATTCCATAAATATGTAAATGTATGAAGATATCTAGTAAATGTAAGAATATATCATGTAAATATATGAATATATGAAGATATCCAGTAAATATATGAATATATGAAGATATCCAGTAAATATGTGAATATATGAAGATTTGTAGTAAATATGTGAATATATGAAGATTTCTAGTAAATATGTGAATATATGAAGATATCCTACAAATATGTGAATATATCCTGTATAATATAAGAACAAATGAAAATATTCCATAAATATGTAAATGTATGAAGATATCTAGTAAATGTAAGAATATATCATGTAAATATATGAATATATGAAGATATCCAGTAAATATATGAATATATGAAGATATCCAGTAAATATGTGAATATATGAAGATTTGTAGTAAATATGTGAATATATGAAGATTTCTAGTAAATATGTGAATATATGAAGATATCCTACAAATATGTGAATATATCCTGTATAATATAAGAACAAATGAAAATATTCCATAAATATGTAAATGTATGAAGATATCTAGTAAATATAAGAATATATCATGTAAATATATGAATATATGAAGATATCCAGTAAATATACGAATATATGAAGATATCCAGTAAATATGTGAATATATGAAGATTTCTAGTAAATATGTGAATATATGAAGATTTCTAGTAAATATGTGAATATATGAAGATTTCTAGTAAATATGTGAATATATGAAGATATCCAACAAATATGTGAATATATCCTGTATAAGAACAAATGAAAATATTCCATAAATATGTAAATGTATGAAGATATCTAGTAAATATAAGAATATATCATGTAAATATATGAATATATGAAGATATCCAGTAAATATATGAATATATGAAGATATCTAGTAAATATGTGAACAATTGAAGAAATCCTGTTAATAAATGAATATATGAAGATATCTTGTAAATATATGAAGATATATTGTGTTAGTTAAGCATTTGAACCCTGGTAGTGATAATGACTTGCCTATACCACCAATGTTGAGCCAAGTCAGCTGATACTTCATTCAATATGATCTTCCTCTATACTGTTGTCTACACAATTTTAACATTTTAATATCAAAACACTAACATCAAAAATGGAAACTTTAAGGTTCAAAGCAGATTAAGTCCGTTATATTATAAAAATTGTATTAGTTTAACATATTTCCTGGAAAAAATTCATTTAGTATTTCCTGTAAATAATTCATTTACAGAAAGCTTGTGCTCATGTTAGATACCTTGATTGCAAATTTGACTTATGTTGTATTAAATAATTTGTTTCTAAGATACTTTTATACCACCAATCTTATATGTAAATCTATCATATTGTACAACACTTCTGAATATGTAATTTCATAAAAATGTAATCAATGCAACAAATAAAGCAGTTTCATTTTTAATTTGCAGACAAACTTTACAACACATTACTCTTAATTTGCATATATCCTTAGGGGATACTTTATCAACATTTGTGAGAACACTTATGTGTATCTGCATACATATACATTAGAAATAGCAGGTTTCATTTCATGAAATGTTCCAACAGATCATACTCTGCTAACAGCAAACTTTGGCTTATAAATCCAATTTATTTTAAATGTATGCTATTCCTGAAAATAATTCATTTGAAAACTTAAGCATTTCTTGTTGTTTATTCAAAAAAGCAAAATCATATAATTAACAATAAAGTCAACAATTACCTGGTACTGATCTTTAGCAGTTTCTATAGTTCTAGTAACAGCAATAATTTTATTCTGTAGAGTTTTTCTCTCTTCCTGCAAGCTCATTGGTAATTGTTTCAGAAGTTCTTCTTTCTGAGCTAAAATATAACATCAAACATTAAATAACAGTCAATAACAAAGATGATTACCAAAGTGGCCTTGAAAAAGCTGTACTCAGACATGAGACTATAATATTTTTATGCTTTATACATTCATATATCACATACAATGTAGAGTGCAGTACTTGGCATAGATCAAAGCTCCATATTAACACAGAAATATCTTACTAAATTAAAACAAATTTCTAAAAAACAATTTACTTTCATTATACTTTTTCTACTTTTATTCTTTCGTCTGAAATTTTATTGTTCATTAATTTTCTGCACAACAGCAATAGACTAAACTCCAAACATAGCCGATAAAACAACCAAATTGCTGTTACTAAATAGGTACATGTGTAGGAAAAATTAAAATAAACAATTAATAATCAAATAAGTTTTGTTTTCGATCAAAACATTTTCAAATTTAACAAACACTTTTTTTTCTTCCAAATAAATTGCCTAATAGTTATCCACACATTGGTTTTGAGGACCTTAACCAGACCCATTTTAGTTGTTCTATTTATAGCATAAACATAGTAAAAGTAAAGTTTATTTTGAATATCAACAACTCAAGGAATAAGTGCATATGTTATTCTTGAACAGAAACATTTTTCTTCATAAACTATATTATAAATTACTGTTTTTTCTTAACATTAGTTAAAATTTTGTGCCGAGCATAGTGTATAATCACTCTATATGACTGCTCTGTACCAGCCTCAAGCCATACAAATTCTTTTTAATTTCAGACTAGTTTCAAACTTTTAATCTTACTGTTAGAGAATCTGCTTATCCTGATGTCATCTGAGTGGAATATCATGAAAGTATCTTTATTTTATATAATTTTCTGCTTGTATTACTCAGGCTTGACATTTGAATTGGGAATTAATCTGGTTCAAAAGACTGATGAGCAAAAACAACAGCATAAAGGAGCACATCTTACAGTAGTCTACATCACCTGTTAATGTAATTACCTTGACGTAAATTCTTCTCCACCAAATTATCTAGACAAAGTGAGTGTATATCTTCATGTACACTAGACTTCTTCCCTAACCTCACCAATTTTATCTGATCATTTTTATCTGAAATAACAGTTAGCAACATTAAAAATATCATAAAAACATTATAATTTAAAATTATCAGGTGAAACTTAAAACAATAAATGAAAATGCTACTTTTGTTTGTAAGAAAATAATCTAAGGTAAAAAGGTCTATAGAACACTTACATGTTTCAATTTTTAAATTGAAAAACTTAATGTTCCAGAATGAAATATAAGACAAGATAAATATTACATACATAAAGATGTTTGCAAAAACTTCATGATTAGTAAATTACTGTCCTTCTAATAAACACTTTTACTCCTATATTCAACTGAATGATTTTGTATTTAAAATTTTTTACTTCTGGCCAACTGTTTAAGAAACTAGAAATGTGTCCATAGGACACGGGTGCCCCCACAAAAATGTGGACAAATATTTCTATAATTTATATGATTCAATGTGGTTTTACTTAAACTAATTTTACTGATACCTATATTTCTGTTGTATTTAATAAGTCGCCTTAAGAGTTCATCTACAGCTGCATTAGAAGGTGCCGTCAGACAGATCCGACATTTTCCTCTCATTACCTGTAATACATGTATTACAATAAAATATACCTATAATACATTTACATTATCAATATAATAATCTATATTGAATGAAAAGTCATAAAATATAAGTTCATAAATATAAATCATTTAAAGACAAGTGTGGATAGCATCATTGGTAAATGATATATGAAGTTGCATATAAAAGTGTAAGGGTGAGTTTTGCCATGGCAAGCAGTAACACAGAAGTGCGTAGCAAAGCCTCATGATTCATTGTCCATGTAGACCACAGTCATGACTTTTTACGATGTGGTATTAAACTGCCGGGACTTATTCCTGTTTTGACCTTGGTTTGAAAGTTAAGAAAAAGATAATGGTAATGGAACAACATGTACAAGATACCATTAAAATATACCTGTTTTATGCTAACTATAAAACCTGTTGTATGTTACATATTATATAACAGACAGGAACTATAGAACCAGACAATGTAAATGAGAAAGAGATATACCGAGAGAACTTACTTTAACAATATGTTTGATGATACCCACTATGGTGTGTGATTTACCGGTCCCTGGCGGTCCCTGTAACAGACAGATTCTAGGTAGTTCCTTTGGTAACATCACAATTCTACCTGCTGTATTTATAGCCTTTGATTGACTCTCATTATACTTATCCTATAATAAATACATTAGATAAATACACATTCATATACACATATATCTATGTATGTATTATTTATCATATAATTCTCTTTTTAACTGGGTTTTAGGTCACAACGACTCTCTTTATTGACATAGCAATTTTCCAGAATTTCAGATTTTGTTAAGATAATTACAAGCTATCATTAGTCATTCATAGATTACTCAGGTTTAGGGATCTCACAAATTTACTCATCACTTGTTAAAGAAGGTTGATAATTATGAAAATGTTCATGGATATATTTTGATTTTATTATTGTTAATAGATAAAAGGCCCTTGCAGAGTGAATAAGGTTGCTGACTTAAAATCACTGGCCTTTAATTGATATGTTGATGCCTATCTCCACTGGTAATTGGCAAAATCCAGAATTAAGACTTTACTAAACTTTAACCAATTATAAAATTGTAAATATTGTTATAAGAATCTCACCTGTGCACCTTGAACACTGGCAGGTGCTTTATCACAGTATGTCATATTAGCTGTAGGGTAGAGAAGATCTCGACATAATGGACTTCTAGGAATACAAGACAATCCTGTAAACTGTCGCCATGTGTTCATAATGGTACTTATTGACTGAAACAATAAACATATACCTGTATAAATATCTTTATATCACATCATATAATCTAACACCGGCCACCAGAACAAACTGGAATATCTAGCCTCTAGGATAATTGTTTGCATACTCCAACGAGTTTCTGCTACCCCAAAACTAAATATTCCGGTTTGTGAAAACAGCTGGAGTATGATTCTTTTTCTTCATATCACATATTATGATATAAATCATATTTGGAAAAGAAATTACTAAAATTAGTACTTCCAGTTGGCATTTTTTCTTACAGTAGTGTAAGAATTTAAAACTTAATAGATGAACTTTTTGACATACCTGTAGATGAACTTTTTGACATACCTGTAGATGAACTTTTTAACATACATGTAAATGAACTATTTAACATACCTGTAGATGAACTTTTTAACATACCTGTAAATGAACTATGACCTTGTCACTGGGAATGAAGGACCTGCTTCTAACTCTCACATTTACTTTCACTGATATACAGTTCCTTAATCCCTTCCTTATTTCACCTGAAATATATTTATATGTAACTGTTTAATAAATGGACATAATAACTGACATTCTTCCTTTATTCCTGTATATTATAATCCTGGTATGAAATTAAATAAACAGCTACACTTGTGATTGTTATTCATGACAGATTTTAAACATCTATATATACCTGTATAAAATGATCATACATGCACAGTTTCTGTTATTATGCAAGTTGTGTTTATTCAATATGTGTAACATTTTAGATCAATTATTTTTGAGTTTGTTACAGCAAACAAGATCATATTGTTATAATTATATAATTTATTTAAAGAAGGTTACACATTAAGAACATACATTGTTACTCCATGTCTTCAATAAAGAGCAAAGCGAATATATATTTAATTTATGTAGTACTGGTATCTCATGCAATACTAAAAATTTAAATAAAATATTCAATCCAAATATTCAAACTACATGTAGATACATGTAGTTACTTAACACAAAGTATAAATTTGAGATCAAGTTGTAAAGAAACCATCAGTCAGTAATTCATATCATTAAATCTGTTTCATGTTAAATATCTTAGACTTGTCAATCTTTTAATCCGGACAAAATCATTCATCATTTTAAAGTAAAATTTCAAAGTAGGTATTAAGTGAATAGTCAAAACAGTGCAGACCATGATCAGATGTCACTGATATGTAAGCTGACCTTTGGATTGCACTGGTTGCATCAGCATTGGTAGAACCTGTTGCCACCAGCAGGCAAATAGTTAATAAATTACACACTTGTGTATATGTAAAACAAAATTTAACATCTTAGACAACTTGAATCTTTATTATATTTATACAAAAATATGAACAAAGATGAGAACAAATAAAGTTAGTATACCCATCTCCTTGTAGTGGGCACATATCCTGTCTACGGAGAAATCCCTGTATTTAACGTTATCAACATAACCCGACATTGTGTAATCCAAGTTTCTTTTGTTCTGATTGTCCATCTTCATATCACCATTGATTGTTAGTTTAACTAAATCTCCTTCTGTAACATTGTTACCTATATCACGCTCCGAGATCAATCCTTTAATTATACAAAATAAAAACTTCAATTACATGACTCAAAATCTTCATTATATAATATAAAAGAGGGCTATAATGGCAATAGATCTTTTACATGAGCTTGGACTCTTAACCTAAAAGCATAAACACTTTTCATTTTTAGGTCATTTTTCACATTGAAAATAATGAAATTATTTAATTATTCTGGAAAATGGAGTGAGTTGGTGATCTGAATATTTCAAACCTACATCAAATAATATAAATTATAATATTAGTCATAAATATTTTTGACAGGGTATATAGCCCTATATAAACAGTTGTTTGTAAATATAACCATAGCCACCAGGCGAGGGTTTTATTGCAAACAACAGTTTATTTTCGGCCATATAACCTGTCAGGAATATTTATGACAAATTTATAATACTGCAAACTTCCCTTTTAAGATAAAAAATGAAGAATTTTTCATGAACTGAAAGCAGCAGTGTATATAAAACTATAAAAATGTCATGATTATCCAATGAAAAGTGACATTACAAACATGCAGTATTATAAATCTTGATACATATTTCAAGTACAGTCATGTTAAAAAAAACCCACCTCAGTGCAGTCCCTTTAAGGCAATGAAACTACAAAAAAAGCTTACCAAGTAGAGTATAGACAATGAGTTTGTCTCCACCTGGAGCCTGGTGACTGAACATCATCTTATGTTCAACAAGTTTTCTTCTATTCTTTCTCTCTCTCCATGTACTGTAACACTAATATAAAATCATTTCTTTAATTACAGAATACATAACTTCAAATGTGACTTATATATAAAGTAAACTCCATTTAAAATTTTTTTTTTTTTTTTTTTTTTGACAATGTTTATAATACATTTTGAACAGATTGATTGTAAAAACAGACAACTACACTGATGACCTCAGTTACATACAAGAAAGACAAAACAGACAGTAATCAAACCAAGTAAAGCATTTATCCCAAAGGAATTTTTCAGAAATTCACTTGATGTCATACTTACATGATCATGATGATATACCACATTGCACTTATCATGTTGAAAGTTTTTATAATGATGTAGGAAGAACAGTGTTTTAGCTGATTAAAAATGTTATATGAAGTCTCTATACATTTATTCCTTTTAGAAGAGAGCATTTCTAACAACAACATTCACAAAGCAACTTATAACATGTAATTTACATGAAAAATAAAATAAAATGAAGGTAAAATATTCAACATACAAGTTTGACATGATATAAAATTAAAACAAATACTTACACTTTCCCATGTTTCATGGAGTAATAAAGGCAGCATAAATTTCTCGCTGTATTCCTTGAACGACACATATTTTCCTATAAGAGGGAACAACATATGGTTGCCATGACCACACAGATCATTGGTTACATCAGGAGGGGGAACACGTCTGTCCAACTGCTCCATCTTCTCTATAATATAAAATATACAGTACTGTCAGTGTTACAATTAAATATTATATTAATATATTTCAATAAGTACAAGATTAAAACAATACATGGAATTTGGTGCAGTGTGATAAGTATAGCTGTCTTGGAATTAAATTCCCCTCACCATTTTAAAGAATATAAATCTTTATGTTATCAAATATTTTTAAAAAAATCTATCAACAGTAAAATTACATTGGTTTCATTATTCTATGGTTGATTCCCGAAAAAGTAGTAACATAGAATGTCTCTGTTATTTAACACACATGAATAATGTACGTAAACAGAATAAAATGTTCCGGCACAAAATATTATTTTTCTATTTTAAGTAGGGTTTTATCTGATTAGCAATGACGTTGTGCATGCGCCATCGCTTTAGGCAATTTATTGCCATTTTTATTTCATACAAGCATTTTAGAACTATTCCTTTTTAAAATCCAAACAACAATTTTTGCATCAGATATATAGCTTTATACACTTTTTTTCATCCCATCAGTCAGCAACTTAACCACTTACTTGCTCCAAATAAAACACATATTGGGGCTTTTCAGATCTTCCTACACCAATAAAGCAGGAAAGTTGCCATTCAACTTCATGGAGTAATAGAGGCAGCATGGAGATTTTATTTATTTTATAGAGAAGATAGATCTAACTTATGTGAGATTTATTATACTCAAATTTACCACTCTGAACATCATAAATGGTCTTGTTCATCTTTCAATGTCTCTAGACATCTCTAGTTTTTCCCAGAACATTTCTTTCTGAAATAATATTATCAAAGCAAAGCTTATTCATATCTTAAGAACAATATAAGCAAACTGAAACAAACACAATTCAATCTATAGCTATACATACCTCTTTCCTCAAACCAATTTGGTGACCACTTCAATATCACTCTCAAAAAGTTGTCCCATTTTAGAGTTGAAACATTGTTAAATGTGTTGTATATATTATCGTTGAGAAGAGGCTGTAATGGCTGCCTGCTTGGTGCTACAATTGTTGGTGGTTCATTTATACTGGAACATGTTACTGGTGGATGACTGCTCTGTTTCTGTTTAATAAATAATAGTTACTTCTATAATGCTATAACTTCAAAGTATGAAACAAGCAGAAATTTAGCACAGGTAACATGTTCACTAATAGTAATGTTAAGATCATAGTATGAAGTATACAGGAATTACAGCATGGATATACCCACTCTCTGGATGAATGAAACACTCATAAACATATAAACACTTTGACAATTACAGGAATATAATCTAATACCAATTAACTTATTCTTAGTTAACGACGAAGCAATCAACAAGTCTCAAAGCATTATTCAATGTTAACGAAACCAACAACAAGTCTCAAAACAATGTTAATACCCAACACATGGAGACTGATAAGGTAAATCCTTTGCAATTTTTTTTTTAAAAATTCATAAGGACAACTGGCATTAATAATGCAAATACTTGGAACTTCAGGGGTGTCTGTGGCCGAGTGGTTAAGGTCGTTGACTTCAAACTACTTGTCCCTTACCGCTGTGGGTTCGAATCCCGACAGGGACTTTGGATTCTTTCATATAAGGAAGCTATCCAGCTAGCTTAGGGAACGTTGGTGGTTCTACTCAGGTGCCCATTCATGCCTGAAATAATGCAAGGAAGGGCACCTGAGGTCTTCCTCCACCAGTAAAGCTGGAATGTCGCCAAATGACCTATACTGTGTCGGTGTGACAAAAAACCCAAACAAACAAACAAACTTGGAAGTTCAATTTGTGAAAATTTTGTTCATTAAGCTTACAACAGTAAAATACAAACCTGAAGTAGTACAGATGATTCTATATGAGTTCTTACTGTAGGAACCGGTCTACTTGTACTCCGACATACAGAAGTTCCACTTGTCACTGATGTAGGTAAGTTTACCACATTTTGTGTAGTAGTCCCTGAGATCACTGGAATTGTCCCTGTACAAGATGTAGATACATTTATCGCATTTTGTGTGGTGTTTCCTGAGATCACTGGTATGGCCCCTTTATATGATGTAGAAGTCAAACTAGTAACTAAAGATGAGCTTATAACTGTTGATAAAGAGGTAGATACTATTGATGATAACCCTGTAGATACTATAGAAGAACATACCACAGTTGTCTTTTCTCCTATTTCACTTAAACCTGATAAAACTGGAGCTATATTTCTATTTGGAATATCTCTGTTAACATCTGATTCAGATTTAGAGTCATTTTCCTTCCCTTTATATTTTGGATCATTTTGATCTGCAGAATGTTTAGAATTGGAGTACTTTTGTTTCTCATGTTTATTCCCACTGCTGTGCCTTTCTTTCATTGTTTCCTTTTTATTATCATGTTTCTTTATGTCAGCACTTCTATTCTTTTCCTTCTTACTTTCACCACTCTTTTGTTTATATTTATCATTATCTCTTTCAGCTCTTCTGTGTTTATCTTTATTTTCTCTTTCTTTCCTGGAATCTCCACTTTTACTCCTCTCACGAGTACTTCTCTTTTCTCTATCCTTTGACACTCTGTTATCAGTCTTACTTTTACTAACATTTTCTTTGTCTACCTTAGAACTTAAACTTTTTCCATCTTCATTCCTATTACTGTGTTTGTCTGATTTGGAATGAGAACTTGATTTGTTAGTAGTGCTTTCTGTCTTCTTAGCTTTATGATATGTGTCAGCTTTACTGACTGATGATTGTTCAGCAAGTCTTACATCGCCACTAGCACTCCTACCTCTTTGTACAATGCTTTCTGACTGTGTTGTACTTAAATGTTTATCATTTTCTTTGGAGTTATTTAAGTTTTTTGAGGTACTTTCAGCACTAGAAATTGAGGCGTGTAGAATAGAAGTTACAGAGGTAGATTGGACACTAGTTGGTACAGCAGTAGTAATTGATGTTGATACAGTCGATGTTGATATAAACAACATAGATGTTGTTGTATTTGTAGACTCCATCTGTTTATCTGTAAATACAAATAAATAATAGTGTTACAGGGTGAGAAAAAGAGCTGTCACAGGAGACAGCGAAGCTCGACTAATAAAATACTGGACGCAGTAAGGAGGACAAACTATGAAAGAAAAATCAATTATGTATAATTATGTATTAAGTTATAGTAAAAAAATAACATTTGTTAACATAAATTCCAAGATCAAGGGGAATAATTCTAGAAATAGTCATGCTAGAGTTATGGACCTTGCCACACAACATTTGTGTAATGATAAGAAATATATATTTGAAGTTTGAAGTAGATACCTTAAAAAATAAAGAAGTTATTATATTTCTTAAAGAAAATCTTAAGTTCAAAGAGAGATAAATCTGTAAATATTGCTTCAAGAGTTATGAACATTGTCACATAAAATGTAATTGATGATAAGGAATTTAGTATTTGAAGTTTGAGGTAGATACCTTTAAAAATAAAAAAGTTAAAATAAAAAATAACATTTTTCTAGTAAATTAATCTAAGTTTATGGGGAGATAATTTTTGCAATATTGGCGCTAGAGTTATGAACCTTGTCACATAAGATGTGGATGATGATAACGTAAATATATTTGAAGTATGAAGTTGATCCCCTTAGAAATAAATAAGTTAGAGTAAAAAATAATATTTTGTATGGAAAATTCTAAGTTCAAGGGGAGATAAATCTGAAAATATTGGTGCTAGAGTTATGAACCTTGTCACATAAGATGTTGTTGATGATAAGGAACATATATTTGAAGTTTGAAGTTGACACCTTAAGAAATGACAAAGTTATAGTGAAAAATATTTTACTGCACCAAAACTTTAATCTAAAATCTGGACGCGGACGCCGACGCCGGGGCGAGTAGGACAGCTCTCCATATACTTCGTATAGTCGAGCTAAAAAGTGAAGCCTAACCAGGACTTGAACCAGGAAATCCTGGAATACTGTTCTGCCGCACTTCCCAAATAGTTAACCTGCCACTTACATATCTTCTTCTCTAATTATGGAACAGTTCAATACAGTAACAATAATAACAACAGATGTCAGATGGGTAATGCACTAGAGTATTTTCAGAACTTGATAAGTAGAACAAAAGCCATGCATGATTTATTAATTTCACAAAGTGAAATATAATAATGTGGTTATAGAGATAAAATCTGAATGCAAAATTTTAACCAAGATTTCAAAGTTTGAAAAGTTCAAGAATTTAGACCAAAAAAAATCAATAAAAAAATCTGACCAAACAACCAACTAACTGACAAGCTCACTCATATAAACCCAACAAACAAAGTTGAATACATAAATAAGTACATGTATTTAAATATTACAATTGTTTGCTTGTAAAACAAATCATGCAAGAATTTTCTAAATAAAGAAATATGAACGATTCCGTATAATTATTGTAAAGCTACCACTTCTACCACATTTAACACTAATGCCAACATGATATCATAGTGCCACTTTTCTTTAAACAATCAAGCTTAACAATGAATAACACATAGAAGAAATTTCAGATTAGTCATGTATGACCTAAATAAAATCTAGTCTGCAATTTTCATATAATTTGCTTTCGAGGGATCACTTTTTTCCCCCAGATATATGTACATAAAGACAGTATTCATAACTACTTACCAGTGGTAGAGTGTGGAGTAGATACCTTTCCCTTCAATAGCAAACCTGTTGAATTCAACAATGGTAAACCTTGGTCAATAATTTGACTTTCTGTTGGTAAGGTAACATCTTCCAGCTCCGATGAGGTGACTGTTGCTGGAATAAAACAACATTCCATGTTAGATCTCACACAAATATATACCTCACACTGATAAACAATAGCTGTTCATATTTACACAGCTTGCATTAACTATTCTCAGTGCTTGAAAGTAAAACAAAAGATTATAAGTAAACAAAAGGGGTATAACTCAGAAAAAATTTAAGTCATGTTTACAGGTTTCGGTCAGTGGACTAATATTATACTCCCTAGGACATGTTTTGAAGTTTCATGTGATTGTCTACAGTGACTAAGGTGACCTGCACAAAATCTTTACCAGGAATTTTGAAAGTTCACAAAAAGTATAACTTTGAAAATGACCTCAATTATGATCCTAAAGACATGTGTCAAAAATTCATCATAGATTTAATTATTTTATCAGTTATATCTGCAAAAGACAATCAAGAATTCTGCCCATTATTCAAATGACAGAAGGGAATTTATTTCAGTATTCTGTTGTCCATCACTTCAGGTTTTCTTTACCTTTTAAAGACAACTTTTACTATATAATTATCGATAACTTTAATATTTATATTACCTGTCGGTCCCATCTTTACTCTTTTTATGGAATCTGGGTGAGTGGCATTGTACATTGCACGCTCCTTTAACTGTGATCTAGCAGCCATCATTTTTGCCTGTAGTGAGAATCCTTCATCTTCCTTTCTCTTTCTTTTCTTAACAGTCTCATTCTTTGCTCCTTTCTTACCTAAATGTTTTGATGGAATCTTTTTTGATAGCCACATGTCAGATTTTGTAGCATCCAACATTTCTATGCCTGCATTACTGCTACCTAAATTTTGCGAATGCTTTGATTTAAATGTACTAAATATACCAGAAACTCTTTTCTCTGCTGTGGTTTTCAGTTTTTGTGGTTCTATTGTAACTGTTTTTCTTTCTGGTAAAATAAATCTTGGTTTCTTAGCTACACTGCTTTCAAACTGGGCATCAAATTTGACATTCTTTCCTGTAGTTTCAGCATATGGTCTTTTTAATATACTTTTGGTCCCTAAGACAGTCTTTTTACCAATATCATTTACTTTGTTAGAAGTTGGTTTACTTTGATCAGATAAAGCATTAACTTCATCTTCTGTAGATTCTGTTAATAGATTCAAGTCCTCTTCATCATTTGATTGTAAAATATCAGGAAGTTCATCACATTGGGTCTCCATATAATATGCCTCATCATTGTCATCATCAAAATCTATTGTGAATTGTTTATACTTATTATTTTCTAACAGTTTGTCTATTTGCTTTACTTCATTTACTGGATACTTTTCATGTTCATCACTTTCATCACTTGAAAATTTAAAAACATCTTTCTGTGTTGCAATACTGAAAACATCTTCTTCTTCTGATTGTTCATTTTCATCTTCATTTATATCTTCACCATAAGCCTGAGTAGCTGCCTGATAAACATCATAATCAACATCAGTATCCTTCTGTGTTACTTCACTTGAATCTTTCTCAGTGCTTTTGGATAAAATACAAATATCATCTATATTTTCATTGTTATTTTCAGTGTCACTTACATCAATCTGCGTTTCCATGTTATAAATATCGTCTACATCCAATCCTTGGTGTTCAGTTACATCATCCACATAAGCTTGGGTATCTTGTAAAAAGGCATCATCATCACCTTCAGTAGTCACAGTACTTAAATCCTTTATAAATACTTTGTTCATATCACTTTTTGACAATTTATTTACCTCTTTTTGTGCCACAATATCACATAGTTCTTTACTTTTCTTTGTATCTTTACTTGAATTGTTATCCTTATTCTTCATAATGCTTGTCTTCTTTTTAATGCCTGTCATTTTAAACACATCTTTTTGTGTTGCCATATTGAAGACATCTTCTTCTTCAGTTGGTTCACTTTGATCCTTATCAAAAGCCTGTGTGGCTGCCATGTATACATCATCATCAACAGAAGCATTCCAATCTTTCATATCACAAACAGATTTTTCCTTACTTTCTGGTATAGTTACAATACCTTTTTTTCTTTTCTTAATACTCATTTTCATATTACTTGCATCTTTTTGGGTTGCCATATTGTAGAAGTCATCTTCTTCTTGTGTTTCATTACTATCTTGTTCGTTTTTATTTTCAATAGAGTCTTGATTGATTGATTGATAAAAATCATCACCAGAAGAGGATTCTTGTTTTTTTACTTTCTTCAAATTTTTATCTTTTCTTTCATTTAAAAGACTGACACTTTCAATACTACTTTCATCACTGCTCAATTTTATACAATCATCAATCTGTGTTGCCATGTTGAAAATATTCCCTTCATTACTTTGTTCACCATTTTTGTCGTCCATATAAGCCTGAGTAGCTTGTAGATAGGCATCATTGTCTGATGACTGATTCTCATCATCTATTTCAGATATAATAATTATACTGCTATCACAGCTTTCTTGACAGTCTGCGGAATCAGCAGAATCAACCTGGGTGGCCATATCATACACATCTTGGTCATCTATCTTCTCTTTTTCTACTTCCTTTACCATCTCAAAATCAACTTGAGTAGCCTTGAAGTAAGCATCATTAGTAATAGAGGTATCTGACATAGCTATTTCAATTTGTTTTTTTCTTGGTGCTCTATCAACCTGAGTTAATATGTAAGAATCATCAGAATCCTGATTATCTGGAGAAGAAATGGATTCTGTATTTGCATGGTAAGCAATATTATCATCACTAAATTCTTCATATTCAATACCAAGATTCTGTCTTAATCTTTTATTTCTCAAGTTATTATCTTGCTGCTTTAGTGGAATATATGACTTAAGCTGAGGATCTTCACCAGAAAATGATTCATCAGATAGATCTTCTTGTGAGGCTTCATCAAACTGCACCCTGTTTGATGCATCACTACGTTCTAGATCATTGACTTGTGTTTGAATCTCATATAACTCATTCTCTGCACTTTGCCTTGGCTTCTGTAAGGGGAGTTTTTTACTTCCAGGACCTTTTTGGGAAACATTGCCACTAACTGAAGAAAATTCTGGTTCATCTGCTTGTGTTTGAACCAAGTATAAATCATTAACATTATCTTTGTCTGTTTTGTCCTCAGTATCATCTGTATCAATATCGGTCTCATTTACTTGTGTTTGCTCTCCAAATATTGCTTCCATATCTTTATCATCATATTTGTTACCATCACTTTGTTTTAAAAATGTTTCAACTTGGGTATTAACTTCATAAGCATCTTTTGGAGGGTCAATAATCATAAAGTCACTATCATCTGATAAAGTCTCGTAATCATAATTTCTTTCGTTACTGGATTCATTACGTTTAATAATATTTGTCTCTTCACTGACTGGCTTACTATCACTATCTGAAATATCTGAAAATTTTAGTGAATGCAATTCAAAAATACTAACACTGTTGCTTGTATTTTCATCTGTTATGTTTGGATCCACCTGTGTTTCTTCCATATATGGATTCCTTTTTTTATTTACACTTTCGTCTTCTGAAGTCTCATTATCTTCACTGTGAGACACAACTTCTTTTCTTGAGGCTAAAGTTTTCTGATATTGATTTTCTAAATGGAAAGCACTTTCTGATAAAAGATTGTCATCACTAGAACCGAAGTCTTCATCTAAATTGCGATCTGATTTCATATTCTCAGAATTATTGTCTTCAGTTTCAGTTTTAAAAAGCTGTTTGTTCTTATCTCTTGAAATATGAGCATCAGCCACATAAGTGTCAAGGACAAGCTCATCTTCTTTCACTGACAATACAGGCCCATCACTAGACTCAAATCCATCTTTTTCATTTGCACTGTCTTTTGAACATTGCAAAGTCCTTGGCTTAGGTGTTCTCTGTTCAGATATTAGACTAACATCACTCAAGCTATGATCAGGACTTACCATATGTGTATTAGTGATTGTCTGCTTTTGTAAACTTTGGAACATATTTTCAGGTTCAAAGTCACTTCCATTATCAGACCAATCTTCAGCACTAGAATAGTCCTCAAACGTATACTCAAATGATGTTTCCTGTGATCCAAAACAACCTGGTTCCTGTTTCTCCTGCTTCACCCTAATATCTAGTTTATCATCTGTACAAATATCTAGTTTATCATCTGCACAAGGATCTTGAGTATCATCATCCGATACCAGAATTACAGGCTGGGATACAGACATAATCATTTCATCATCATCATCACTTAGAAATATTGTGTCTGGTTCCTGTGTGTAGCACTTAAGCCAGTCTGGTTCGTCTTTTATTACAAGCTCTTCTTTACCTTCAACATTTTCAGTATTTTCCTCCCCTGGTTCTTGTGTTTGGTCAGATGATGCAGGAGAGTCATTATTGTTCCCTTGATTGCCACTAACATCATCAGTTTGAGTTACTTCATCCTCTTCTGTTAAAGTAACAGGATTAGCAGTAGTTGCTGACCTAATTATTTGTTTGAAGTTTTGAGACATCTGCACAAGTCTTTTAGGTAAATCAGCAAAAAGGTCTTGTGATGCAGAACATTCTTCATCAGAGTCAAGATTTATTATGTTATCCTCTACATCACCTTCTTCACCTGAGGATTCGTCAGGAGGGCCAGCAATGAGATCTGCATTACCATCCAACTGCATGATCGATGAAGATCTCTTAATCTGTTTACTTTTTTTAAACAATTGCTTAGCATGTGATAGAACAGAATCTTTTGGACTTGTGTTTTTGTTAAAGGTATTATCATTATTTGAATGAGGTTTACCACCAGACCTTTTTTCATCTGTTATTAATGATTGCATTTTCTGGTACTTTTTAGCAGATTTATTTTCACGAGGGTTTTCATCTTCACTTGAATCGGAGCTACTATCGCTATGATTTCTTCTTCTAAGGTGTTTACCTGCACTCTCTGAACATGTCATTTTATAACCACCTTGCTTGATTGTTTCACTTTCAAACTTTTCATCTGACTTATCATTTTCTTGCAGAGTTTCAGTGACAGGTTTATTTTTAACTGCATCATCTTCATCTGTCCTGTCAACAGATTGAATTTTTTCAGTCTCAACAGGAGTCTCTAATTTTGTATCATGTTCCGGCGAAAAATTTTCTTTAACTACAGTAGATTCTGGATCAACATGTAAGTCATAATCAACCCTGCTTGCTTCATCATGTAGGTTTTGTACCATTGAATTATCCTCTTTATCAGATAAATCACTGATATCAAAACAAACTGAGTCTTCTGACCCAAGAGATCCTTCAAAATCGTCATCACTCTCTTCTATAATAGGTCTTCTCTCTTTTGGTGAAATTATCCTTTCCAAGTCAGAGGACTCACTTTGTTCAGTAGAAGAGCAAGTAATAGGAATGATTCTTCTGAATGCTTTGTTGTTTTTATTTTCAGCAATGGTTTTTGAATTTTCTGTAGATTTCTTATCTTGCAAATTACTATCATTTTTATCTTGCAAATTACTATCATTTTCTTTTTCCATAATCTCAGGTTCATATTTTCTTTTCAATTTAGTCTTCAACATCTTGATATCCTTATCATCTAACCTTTTCAAAGCAACTCTAGGAAGAATTAATTTAATATCTTTCCAGTACAGAGACTTATTCACTCTTTTCAAGAATTTTACAAATTCTTTTTTCTGTTTACCATGCTTGCAGGTGGATTTTTGTTCAGTAGAACTTGATTCATATCCTGGCGTTTCTACACAATCTGATGTATTGTCATCTGTAACCAAAAACTGTTTCAGTTGTTTTGATTTCTTCACAAAATTCGTTTGAATAGTTTTCTTCTTGTCTTTATTCAAAAACATACTCATTTTGGCAAACGGATCTACATCAGAAGAGCTATCTTCAGAGATAAGAATGAGGCGTTTTACAGTTTCTCTGTTCTCTGTAGACTTTATCCTGTTATTTTTTGTAGATTTTGTTATGGCACCCTCCTTACATGCTTTCAAACTTGAGGATATTGGAGAATTATAACCAGAGGAAATTTCATCACTCATTTGATCAAATATATTTTCCCTGGATTTTATTGGTATATTTTTCTTTTTCTTGAATTCTTTCACTTTACTTCTATGAATATCATAAAGCTTAACATAAGCTGTTTTCATATACTTTTCATCATTTAATCTCTCTTTAGTTTTCACCGGATATTCAAAGTTATTATCATTTTTCAAGTTTTTGTTATCCTCATCACTGGAAATTCCACCTACCACATCTATAATTTCATCTTCTTGTTCCAATTTTTCAAACAAATTAACTCTAGAATGGGTATTAACTTTATTTTCAATAGGCTTTTCATTCTCCATTGCTAGTTTTTTAAACAAATTAATTTTAACATTGGTATCATTTTTATTTTCTGTTGTTTTTTCATTTTCCAGTGCCATTTTTTCAAATAAATTCATTTTAGAATCATTTTCAAATCTATGCTCTTTGGATTTGTCTTTATGTTTATGTTCGTTAATCTCCAATTTCTGCTGACTTTGTAAATTTCTATTTTCATTGACATCCTTTTTATCATTATCCGGGCTAAAATGGTATCTACCAGGATTAGAATCTTCATGACTGGATCTATGTTCACTTCTAAAACTTGATTGATGTTTATCTTTGGAACTTGAACTGTATTTACTCTCCTTAGAACTAGAACTGTGTTTACTATCTTTAGAACTAGAACTGTATTTTCTGTCTCTAGAACTATATTTATTGTCATTAGACTTATATTTACTATCCTTAGAACTATATTTATTGTCTTTAGAACTAGAACTATATTTATTGTCTTTAGAACTAGAACTGTGTTTATCATAATGATTGTCTTTTTGAGATTTTTTATGATGATTATCTGATTTTTTATGTTTGTCGCTATGTCCACTATGATAACTTTTAGTGTGTTTATGTTTGTCTGATTTATCAGAATCTTGGTCTCTAGACTTTGATCTATCATGCCTATGAGTTGACCTATCCTTTGAATGATGACTTGACAAACTGTCTGAACTATTCCTTCTTCTGCTCAAGTCATTTGCCTTATACCTAAACTTATCATTTTCATTCATTTGTTTGTCTTTGTCCCCATTTGCATTCTTTTGTTTCACTTTCTCGCTATCAATCATTGTTTTGCTCCGTGATTTTATATCCAACTTTTTGTTAATTAGTTTTCCAAGCACATTTTCATCTGGCTTTCTTACCTTTAATTGTTCATGCACTATTTGTGTATCAGATTTATCCAAATGTGTACTTTCATGGTGACTCAATTCAGTGCAAGCATCTGGAGATAATTTTTCACTTATTTCTCTAGAATTAACTTTACCAATTTTATTGCTATCATCAGTATCATGATATAGCTTGTTATCTCCTGTGCCACTATTTTCATCACATTTATTTACATTTTCAGATTCACTGACCTTGTTTAGAGTGTTACTCATGTTATTGCTTTTTGAATGACTTTCACCACTTTCTAGCTTTCTCTGATTATTAGCCTCATTTTCCAAACTCTGATTGTAAAAGTACCTATTCATTCTTTCCTTTGCAAGTCTCCATTCTCTGTAAGTTCTGTACTCTCCAGTCTGCTGTGAGGCCTTCTGCTTTCTTTTATGGCTTATTTCTTCTTTAGATTCCTTTGTTACATTTTTTGACCGTTCTATTTTTCCTTCACATACTACTTTGGAATTTACTGGACTCTTAAAATTTTCATCAATTTCAGATTCTGTCTCTGTTCTTTTCATCTCACTTTCACTATTATCAGGAATTTCTTCTATTTTCTCAACACATTCATGGTCAGTTTCATTTAAAACGTTTGAAGGATTATCAGACAATCTTTCAACAATAACATCACTATCTTGAACTACTTTACTATTCTGAAGTTCTAATTCTTTATCTAATACTACATTTCCAAGATGTTTCTCATTCAAATCACCTTGTACATGTTTCTTGGGTTGAATTTTTTGTTGCAAAATTTCCATAGTTTTTTGCATACCCTCAAGTGTTTTTGTTAATTGTGTTTGAATAATGATATTTTGTAACTGCTGAATCTCTGCATCACTGACTGATTGTGTGTCTGTAACACTTTCAGTTTCATTACTTCCACTCTCAGGCTGTTTTACAGGCATCTGTATACTATTCAATGAAGAATCAACATCGTGATCTGTAGAAAAATCTGTCTCATTATCATCATACACAGAAACAAATGTGTCTCTTTCCATGAGTGGATGAGTAGGGATTGAAGCTGTGGGTGTAGGTAATAGACCTTGCGAAGGATAAACTTTTCTAATTACATCCTTATCAACTGTTGCTGAAGGGTTAGAATGTAATAAAAGTTTGCTTGTTGGTGTTGGAAGGAGACCATGAGAAGGAATATTTTCAACTTCTTCTGGACTGGCTGTTGGGGTAGGTAGAAGTCCTGTCGAAACATGTGTTGAATGAATATCAGGAGGAGTTGGAAGAAGCCCAGTTGAATAGCGAAGAGTGTCTCTTATAGAATAAACATGTACAGTATCTGCTAATGGTTGTACATCATCACTTATGTCAGAATCAACTGGAACTGGAAGAAGGCCCTCTGTAATATTAGGCTCTATATCTGGAGTGCTAAGTAGACTCTTTCTTTGTTTGAAAGAAGACATAAGTTTATGACTATGACCTTGCACAATGGTGTCCTTGCTGGTTTCAATTTTTTTATATGGTAACAATGTTTTATGCTGCCTTTTCTTTTCATAATTTTTGTAATCACAAAAAGAATCATTCTCAGTTAAATGTTGCGAAGTAGCAGATGGTCTGGTCTTTGTGCCTCTTCCCTTAACATGATCTACGTGAGAGGTTTTCCTCCAATGACCATGTTTATACCCCCTGTCATGCGTCATAACATCATGTTTTTGACCTAGCTTAAATCCTCTGCCTTGTTCTGTTAAATTATGTTCATGACCATATTTATATTCCCTAGCATGTGTTTCTGTACCTTGTTCCTGGTCAAACATATGAGCACTTTTGTCCATTAATACATCACGTCCTTTACCATGTTCATATTTCACACTATGACTTTTAAAACTTTTTGGAAATTGTATACTAGAGGGATCAGAATGGTTGTGTCCGTGTTCAGTGACATTGTTGTCCTGGGCATACTCATTTTTCCTATGAACTCCTCTAATACCGCGTCTTCTTGCATATGTCTCACCAGTATCCATATAATATCGCCTGCCACCATCAGCATTTTTTTCACCAGGGACACGTCTATACACATCATGATGAATGTAATCATCATCAACAGAAGTTGTTCTATCTCTATTATATTTTGTATGACTTCCAAATTTTCCACTGACATCAATATCACTCCTATGTCCTTGTACATTCTTCGTATAATCAGTTTCTGACTTTCTACTGCCAGTTTCATAGCTGTTTCGCATACTGTAAGGATCATGTCTCTCTCTCACTCTACACTCTTGAAAACTATAGTCAGTACTTTCTTCTTGGTAAGTATCTTCATAAACATCATCATTGTACAATTGTCTTTCTGCATTGTAAGCATGCTGTTGTTCTGTATAATCTGCTTGCTCACCATCATCATACACTGGCTGATCCTCTGTGTATCTGTGACCTCTAGCAGGATTGTATTTGTAAGCCATTTCTGCGTCCCCTGAAAATGTAACATTAATTTAAAATCACTAGTTTAAAAGTGCTGAAATATGTCATATAATTAGTATTCTGATGGGGGTGGGGGAAAGACCTTATGGATGTAATACATGCAAAGAACAAGGCTGCATGATCAGAATGCTGCAGGCCAGGCAGCCACTTAAATAAATGGAAGTAAATGTTTTTTCTCCATATAACAATAATTTTCTTTTCAAAAATGTTCTTTACAGAACATTCACAAAATAAATCATTGTGAATTGTACAACAATACACTAGGACAATAGTAAATTTTCTCCCCCTGGTTGCTCGCACCTTTGCTAGGTATGTTTCCACCACAGCCACAGCTGCAGTTTCAGCAAATAGGTTGAATGCAAGGGTTTATTAAGCAAAGTATGTAGACAATACATCAAGAAGTTACAAAGTTATGATCAACGTCAAAATTTGCGGACAGCAATGGGAATGCCAACATGACTGTAACAATACCTCTATTTTTTCCTACAAAAATATCAAGCCAATATAAATGTTATCTTCAGTTATAAATTCAGTAACAAATATTAAAATCATGTCAACAATTATGTTCCTATATATATTACAGGTAGTCGGCATGTTTCAAAGACTTATCAAAACCACACCATGCTACTGTACAACCCTGTTACAACATAAAATTTATATATAATGACTAAATGATCAATTTAAGAAAAAAGAATTTAATGCAGACTATAGAGATTGATTATTTTAAATTAAATTTATATGGTGGGAGAGGGAGGGATGATCATGATAGTCTTTGACACATGCTGATTACATGTGACATGTACTGTACATGTTTATATTCTAATCGGTTCACACGAATTAAGTCATTACGGGGTCTTGCATAATTCCTAGGTGCCATGGCTATTATTACTATATTAGTTATAAAGATTGTTGACAGGTTATATGGCCCTATATAAACGGCTGTTTGTAAATATAACCTGAGCCGCTAGGCCATATAACCTGTCAATAATCTTTATAACGAATTTATAATACAGCAAACATCATTTTTTAGAAAAAAAAAGTAAGATTTCTTCATGAATTGACAACAGCCGTGTATATAAAACTATATAAACGTCACGATTATCCAATGAAAAGCACCGTTACAAACGTGCAGTATTATAATGATTATTATAACTTATGTATCATTGTGAAGTATATTTTTTTTCTTTTAGAATTACTTTTTACACTATCCCAACACTGCCACACTGAGTTGTGTCCAGGGGCATCAATGTTAATAGTTCTGGCTTTCAAAACATTATAAGCCGCTTTTTAATAATTTTGTTTTTCATCTGATGTGGCATTAAAGTTTTGGATAAGACCCATTAGGAAACCTAACCAGAATAATATAAATTGATTTAACCCTATTTTTCACTTGCAAACACCCTTGTCCCAATCAATTCTTGTGCATTTTGTGATAAAACAATTATTTTTATATCGTTCTATACCATTTAAAGAATCAAAATATTAATACCGTCATTAAAATAGCCTATTTAACTGTAAAACATCAATTACGCCGACTACAGTCAGCCTTGACATTTAGGAGCTACGTGAGACCTCGTCACTCGCGGAAACTGATTAGAGTTGTGTACTATATTTAGAACATTTTTGTTGACATGATTCAATATTTATAATTCAAGATAATGCTTTTTTATTTATTTTCTTTAATTTTAGTACTTAAATATGATTATATTGATACACAAGAGCTGTCACCCAAGTGACGAATGTCCCAAAAAGGTTTCTTAAGCATGCAAGTATTATGAAATAAAAGAGAATAAAAGTTACTAATTGTTGAATATTGTTCTTGATAGCATGAACCTTCAAAATATAAGTGTGACCTTCACCTTTGAAGAAATGGACGCGACAAAATGTTGTTATGAGATAGACAATGTGTGCCAATTATTTCAAAATCCCACAATGCATGATGAAGTTACAGGTTGTGTATGTGGGGACACATGGACAGACGGACATGTGCCTTAGCCGCCACACATTGTCTTGATGTGGTAGACATTTGTGCCAAGTTATTTTAAAATCCTTCCATGCATGACAAAGTTACAGTCCGGACATGAATGTGTATCTTCAAACTCTTCTCGAGAGAATGAGTACCTTCAAACTACAAGTGTGACCTTGACCTTGAAGGTAGGGACATGGATCTTTGTTGTGACACATCATATTGATGTGGTAGACATTTATGCCTAGTTATTTTAAAATCCTTCTATGCATGACAAAGTTTCAGCCCGGACACGAATGTGTGTACCTATAAACTCCCAATTGTGATAAAGTGAAACTTCAAAATGAAGATGTGACCTTGACCTTTGAGGTAGAGACGAAATTCTTGGATGCGACACATCGTCTTGATGTGGTAGACATTTATGCCTAGTTATTTTAAAATCATTCAATGCATGACAAAGTTACAGTCTGGACACGAATTAAGTGGGGACGCACAGACGGACGGACGAGGTAGGGACGTAATTCTTGTACGCGACACATTGTCTTGATGTGATAAACATTTGTGCCAAGTTATTTTAAAATCCCCCCATGTATGACAAAGTTACAGTCCGGACACAAATTAAGTGGGGACGCATAGACAAGGATGGACAGACAGACGAGGTAAGGACGTTATTCTTGGACACGACACATCGTCTTGATGTGGTAGACATTTGTGCCAGGTTATATCAAAATCCCTCCATGTATGACAAAGTTACAATCCGGACATGCATTAAGTGGGGACGCACAGACAGATGTTCTAACAGGAGAGTAATAATGTGGCTACTCTATTGTTCTCTCTATTGTTCTTTTTAGCCACTCAAAAGAAAATAGCCACATAAAAGCATTATAGAATGAATGACATCAAAGAGCAAGAACAGTTACCTATTGTTCCTCTAGCCACATAATTACTGTCCTGTGAGTGCGGACTGACGGACAGTGCGATTATATTATGCCTCCCTTTGGTATCATAAAAAGTTAGAAAATCACCTTTTTCAATATCTTTAAAAAAAGTAATTTATAAAAAAGTTGGAAGCACATGGGTTAATAAAGGTCAGTCTCGTAATCACGTGGTCAAACATTTTGGCAATATGGCGGCCAAGTGTTTAATTTTTTACCTGTTAGAAACTTTTAGTTAGTTTATGTTCGTATTAAGATTTTAATTTGTCCATCCTTGGCTAAGGCTCCCACGTTTACAATTGTTTGTAAACGTTTACACGATTGCTAAGAACCGAAACGATACCGTTTAAACGGTGGTACCTCTATGTACTATACACACCATGTCTTTGAGTTGCCAAATGATGTCTTCCTTTCTATTTTTTATACATTGTACAAATAAAGAATGTGCAGGGCTCAAGATTGCATTGTAACCCCATTTTTTACCAAAAATGTATAATGTCACGAGCAATTTTGCACAGTAATGCTGTGTGGAGGGTTGTAAACACCTATTTTCCATTTGTTTAGTTTGGAATAAACCACACGAATTGATAAAATCCATGATTATAGGCAATGATTAAAAATTTTGTAAGACAATATGGTCATTTCGATTAAACGGTAAAGAATATCGTAAACGTTTATGAATGAAAATCGAAACGAATCCGTGTAATCGTGGGGGCCTTATCCTTGGCATATCAACAGATTATAAATAGTTTTATCAAGGTATGCTTCACTTTACTTCATGGCATGTCAGATGAATGAATACGAGCGTGTCAGATTCCTGGCACGATTATTGGTGGACTTTCCCTATGGGTCTGTCTTCAGCGTTCACGTCATGTCATACTTAGCTGAAGACCTTTAGCTACACTGTTTATATCATTTAACATGAAATAAGTGATGACACGACATTATGTTGAATATACTAACCTTGAAAATCTATAGACAAGGGTATAGTACCTTCTTCTAATCAGTAAGCCATTACTTGCTTGACCTAAAGCTTAAACCACACCACTGTAGACGAGCATCCGAACATGCTTCCATTTAATAAAATGTTTGTGTCAACAAAAAAAAATCAAGCATGGCAAATAAATACAATAATCTAATCTCTCTTGACAAAAAAAATGTTTATCTGGAGATACAACTTTATGTATTTGCACTTCATACATTTGCAGTAGACTTCACATACACTTTCTCTTTCAATTTTTACCTCTGGTTGTTGTTGTGTAGGTAAGACACCACTAACTTGGTAAACACCACTAAAAGTTTTCCTTCTGCAAGCAGTATAGAGCATGGCTAGCGAACAAATTGTGCACCAGGGCTTTTTATTATATAGAAAGTGGTTGCTCTTTGCAAAAGGCCAACATCTATGAAGTATCAATTTTATAAATTAGTCGGTCTTACTGTAAAAATATTGTGAATAAGGGCTTGGTCAGCCTTCACATGCATGCAGTCTGACCAGGATCTCAGTGGCATCCCATCAGCTGACACTGACAAAAATATCTAAGTCATAAAATGGCAATGCCCTTATAAGTAAGAACTAACAAAAATAATGAGCATTTATGGATGATTGCCTTATAACCATCCCTGTCCTTCGTCCCAACTTTTGTTACCAGTTTCTAAGGCAACTTACAGCTATAGTGTGGTGGACACTAGAAGTTGCGTGTGTTTTTAATTTTGTTTCTACATCATCATGATGTGGCAGACATTTGTGTCAAGTTATAAATCCTTCTAAAGCACAACAAAGTGACAGTCCAGATACAAATGTGTACTTTTCAAACTCTTCTTGTGAGAATGAGTACCTTCAAACTATAATTTAATATTAACTGTGACACATAAAAAAAGTGTCAAGTCTTTTGTAAGAAATTGCATAATTTTGTTTTTAAATTGAATTAAGCTTTAAATAAATTAAAAGCACAATTAAATATCTCTTATTAATTATTCCATAATAGCCATTTATAGTAACAAGAGCTGTCGGATGGGCAGCATAATTGACTAATCTGTGTTTGATAATAATTTGAAGAACCAAGCAAAGTCTATGTATGTTCACAATGGGGATTATTTCAGTAACATTCATACCAGAATGCGTCTTGGGCAATGTTCTTCTATAACCTCATTTACAAGTACATATCCAAGTTCAACAATAATCACTAAGATATAATGGAGACCTATTTAGTCAATAAAACAATTGGGACAGGTAAAGCACAATCCTTTAAAGTTCAAAATGTTTTGTTATTTTTGCATCATGAAACAAATGTCTGTCTAACTTGCACTATGAGGTTAACTTTTGACCAGATGAGCCACACCCTATGAAGTTTAACTTATGTAGGTCTAACCATTCTTTGGCCATCTCAAATGAATTTTTTGCACAATATAGTTGCTGCTCACAAAAACAAATCAACAAAAGAAAGTGAACATTGATGTTAAAGATTCTGTAACACAATTTTTTTATGTTTTTATATCATAAATATGATGCTCAAATTAAGATTTATCAATTTTGTAAGTTCCAAAAAACATTATTTATAAAGATATAACCGAATTTGACATTTCATGTAAATAACGGGACGGAATAAAAAATTTATTTTCTATAAAGTCTAATTAAGTCAAATTTTTCAATAAGAAATGAATGCATAAATTTTAATGATTACATATATGTACAAATATTTGCAGTACATATTTTACATATTCTTCGATGTTTGAAAATTGTTTTATTAGCATAAATATATAAATATATATAATTTCACTAAAGTGTGGTATACAACTAAGCCGTCCGGTTAGCTCAATAGGACTACTAGAGCGTTGGACTCTGAATCGTTGGACTCTAAATCGGGTGACCCGTGTTTGATTCCCAGTGTGATTGATCATGAAATCCTTTCTATGGTCATTCTATGGTCATTCGCACTGTACCTCTGCTCTGGTATGTACAGAAGTTTCAGTTCCTTGCGAAAATGAAAGCAACTAGTACTGGTAAACTGCTTGACAGCCTGCCCAGGAACGATGTGATTCAGATTTTGTGTTTGATTTCATGATACCTGGAAGTTATAAAACTCAAAAATGTAAAACAGAAGCTTTTATGTTTTTAATTTTATTATTTTCAATAACAGTGCTTTATGCAACATACTCTCATAAATTCTCTATACACATTTCTCTAAACTTTCGCTACACAACCTGCAATGATCTCAGATTAAAAATTATGCATAGGTTGAAGTGTTCATTAGTAAGCATTTTCAAAATTAAATTGATGCTTCACTCAACCAATTTAATTTTTAAATTGCTAAATACTGATAAAAAATAACCAATTTGTGTTTGAAATTATTTTTTTTATCATATTGAATTCCCCACTAAAAATCTCTTATGAAGCAATTTAGGTCATCAACAGGTAGACAGGGCAGACTGTGGCACGGAAAATCAATACCATACCTGTATATGGAAAAAATCTCTGAGTGTAAAATATCATGTAGCCAGACCTAAAATTTATTATTTGTTGTTGGTAAATTGCTCTACCTAGAGAAATCCTGCTGACCTAATGTTTTAAGTGACCATCATTTTCTGTAAGTCCTGTTAGAACACATTTGAAAAACTGCAATCCTATTGGACAATAATAATTTCAAACACTAAATTTCATTAATACTTAATAACATGTGCTTTTGAAAAGATAATCAACAATTAACCCTTTCCCTCATGAGCATATTGTGAAAAATGGCCGTTTTCACTGAAAAGCCTCCTGTTACAAGTTCAAACTGCTATGAAACTATGAAAAATGCTTCAATACTAATCAAACTTGGCACAAATGTTGACTGGACCATTGCCTTTGTAACGATATGCTCAGTCTTAAATTTCCTGTTACCATGGCAACGAGGGGACATCTCAAAATTGCCAAAAATCACTATTTTGCCTCGATTTTTTCCATCAAAATTTATTTCAAAGTGCTGCAACTTCTCAAGGGATTGAGATAGAGTCAAAGGCTTTTCAGCGTTGGTTACACGTTACCTTATGATCGACCTGGGGTCATTTTAGCCTCTCACAAGTCCAAAATTTTCTTGGCGACATTTCTCAAACGGAAACATGTGTTTGGGGCCCAAATAGGACATTTTTTCACTATTTCAGGCCTAAAAAAGGGGGGGGGGTGGTGGGTCGAAAGTGCGTTGTTTCGCGTATATATGAGGTAAAAGGTTAAAACAAATAATCAATTATTGTTCCTAAACATTCTACTCAACAAAAAAAACGTAACTTCATATACATTTAAAACTGACATAAATCAGAAAATTTCACTCATAAAAGGATAAAAATTCTGAAATATCATCAGAAATAGATTGGTAAAACATTCTACTCAACAGAAGAAACATAACTTCATATACATTTAAAACTGACATCAATTGGAGAATTTCACAAATAAAAGCATAACAATTCTGAAATATCATTAGAAATAGATTGGTGAAAAATTACTTCCCAATATTTTTTATCATCATTTCTGTTATCTTTGTAACACTGCAGATCAATATTAAAACACAACATGCATGGGAAATGTTAACTTACATTTTAATAATGGCCAAAGAGCTGAAACATCTGTTAATTGAAAGAGTTAAAAAAAAGTTTCAAATTGCTTTATATATTTATAAAAGGAAAATGAAACATTGTATGTAGCATTGAGAAATGTGTGGTGGGGAGGGCCAAGTAATTAACATGTCAGACTTATCTTAATCTAATAATCTCTAGCCATTAGGGTTCAAATCCCATCAGGAGCAAGAAACTTTTCACTCATTGTTCACTATTGGTTAGTTCCAGGAGAGGGTCTATAACCTTAGTTTCCTACACAATCAAACTAAAATAAATTCTGTATAAACTTAATATGAAATATAAAAGATACATAAATGTAAATTTAATGTAAGATAGCATAAGTAAGGTAAGGGTTTGCAGCTTTAGCATAATGTACTAAAACACAGTAAGAAGAATTTCATGTAGTTAATTAACTTCCTCCTGAATTGTTCACCTCAAACTGTTTCCTCCACACTCGAATGATGACAATAGGTTTCCCTGACTTTGTCAACCGTTTGGAAACTTTGATAACTTTAACACGTTGAACTAAAAGTTTATCATCCTTTCTTGAATGAATAACATCTACAGAATCCCCTACTTCAAGCTGAAAATAAATAGATAAATGAGCCGCGCCATGATAAAAGCAACCTACTGCGTTTGCGACCAGCATGGATCCAGACCAGCCTGCGCATCTGGGCAGTTTGATCAGGATCCATGCTGTCCGCTATCAGTTTCTCTACTTGTAATAGGGTTTGTAAGCAAACTGCATGGATCCTGATCAGACAGCACGGATGCGCAGGCTGGTCTGGATCCATGCTGGTCGCACACGCATTATGTTGGTAATGGTTTTGTCATGACGCCGCTCAAATAAATCAAGCAGGTACAAATTAATTATCTAAAAAATTTAATTTCGGTTGTGTTTATAATGGTATTCATATAACCTATGACCATAATTAAACTTCAATCATGCATAATTATATAACCCACTAACAACATAATGTACCTATTGAATATCATATACATGTATTAGGTGAATTAATTCCCATCAAGTTATCTTGAACACACTGTTTCTTTTATCATATAAACATAACATATGTAAATAATAATTATCATATTTGCATAACTATGTAAATTATCATATCATTATAACTTATATAAATTATCATAATTATTTGCATATCTTATGTCTATTATCACATTTACATAGCATAAGTAAATTATTATATTCATTTTACTGTAAATTATCATATTTACATAATACATGTACTGTAAATTATCATATTCACATAACATATGTAAATCATTATAACCACATAACATATGTATATTATTATACTCATATGACATATGTATATTATTATAACCACATTACGTATGTATATTATTACACTCATATAACATAATTATATGTATTATTATAACCACATAACATATGTATATTATTATACTCACATAACATATGTATATTATTATCATTATACTCACATAACATATGTATATTATTATAACTACATAACATATGTATATAATTATACTCACATAACATATGTATATTATTATCATTATACTCACATAACATATGTATATTATTATCATTATACTCACATAACAGATGTATATTATCATAACCACATAACATATGTAAATTATTATATTCACATAACATATGTATATTATTATACTCACATGTTTATTATCATAACCACATAACATATGTATATCATAATACTCACGTAACATATGTATATTATTATACTCACATAACATATGTATATTATTATTATAACCACATAACATATGTATATTATTATTATACTGACATAACATAATGTATATTATTATATTCAAATAACATATGTATATTATTATAACCACATAACATATGTATATTATTATAACCACATAACATATGTAAATTACCATATTCACACAACTTATTTAAATTAACATATTCACATAACTAATGTAAATTATGACATTCATGTAAATCACAAGTGCCAACTATGATTAACATTAAGGTAACATAACAAGTAATAGCTGATTTTTCCACATGACCAATTGGCAGAAAATATAATTATGTTGTTACAATTAAAGAATCATTGTCCTCAATCTACATTGTAATTCCAGGAAAACAAGTTACAGTAAAGACTCTAAATTGTGAATTCAATGTCCATAAATATAGCATTTTTTCCACTGATCTAACTGGGCATATTGTCACCTTAGTGCAGTAACAGGTTAACTCCTATTGAATTAATATAAAGCGTTAACCTGTTACTGCACAAGGTGACAATATAACAATAAGGAACAGTTTAAAGTATTATAACAAATTACACAGTCTACCACATGCTCTTCCTTATACATGTAAATAACATTTGAACTCATAGCATGAGCATCATCCTCAATATATTAACATAATTCTTATAAAATAACAATGCCTTTTTAATAAATATCTTGATGACTTTAAGTCTAAAATACAATATAACTGCAACATCATGAGGATAAATTATAATATTATATACTATTAAAATTATATCAATGATTTAATTATGTCTTACCTGTTTTGCTTTCTTCGTCAATGTTTTTCCTTGAAACATAAATTTGCTGCCATAAAACAATTTTTCTGTTTCACTGAAAGAAAAAAATGAACAAGAATTCTAATATGAATAATTTAAGTGCTATTTATGCTTAAAAATTTAAATCACATCAATATAAAATGTATACAATTTTATTTATCAGAACCAGAAATATTGCTAATTAGCATATGTCTTGCCATTTTAATATAAATAGCACCTAACATAATAAAGCTAGCTTTAATATCAAAGAACTTAACATAACTAAGATATACAAAATTTAGCACATGTACATTAAGGACACCTGCTTGTTTTTGCATAAGATTTAATTGTGTCATACAATTTCAAATCCTTGATAAAGGACTATATTTTTCTTTATCGAAAAAACAACAGCTTATGTACATGTAATAAAGTTCACAAGCTGATATTTTAGGATTATTTTTTTAAATATTGTATATACATGTACATAGGCTACATAAATTTTAAAAACCCAAACCTTAATTGTTAAGGTTATAAGGGAACTTTCCAGCTACCTGATCATAGATGCACTCCTATGAATTATTCCAGACACAAGTTGATATATGAAGTAGAACCACCAAACTTTCTACATGTATTATTTAACTAAATATAGCTTCCACAAATGAAAGACTTTTAAATCTTAATTTATTATCTGGTATTTCCAATTTTTAATACTTGATGCTAAACTTATACTCTAGTGTACAAGTTTTAAATTCCTGCTAAAATAATAATCTCTTTTCTCAGCTTATAATTATGATGCTAAACTTATAATCTAGTTTAATAGCTACCTTATAATTGATGCTAAACTTATAATATGATATACAATGTACTAGCTTTTATTTATTGTTCATCTTATAATCTAGAACAATGTACATTGTATTCTTAAATCTAATTTTTAGTACTAAATTTTCAATCCATGCAAAACTAATGATCTGGTATTCTAGTTGTCTTTTTTTTTAATTGATGCTAAACTTCTAATCTAGTATAATACAAGCTCTTTATTCCTCCTAAATTTAATATAATCTAGTTTGCTTATAGCTCATGCAAAACTTATAATCTGGTATATATGCTTTTAATACCTGTTAAACTTATAGTCTAGTTTATATGCTTTTAATACCTGTTAAACTTATAGTCTAGTATACTACTGATGCTAAACCTACACTTTTAATTCCTGTCAAACTAATTATCTAGTAAACTAGCTTATAATTGATGCCAAACCTGATAATCTAGTATAATTTCTGCTGAACTCATTACCTGGTACAATAGGTTAAGTTAATGCTAAACTTATAGTCTATTGTAGTATACAAGCTTTTAATTTCTGCCAAACTTATAATCCAGTACAATAGCTTATAACTGATGCTAAACTTATAATCCAGTACAATAGCTTATAACTGATGCTAAACTTATAATCCAGTACAATAGCTTATAACTGATGCTAAACTTATAATCCAGTACAATAGCTTATAACTGATGCTAAACTTATAATCTAGTGTACAAGCTTTTACTTCTCAATTACCTTATAATCTAGTACATTAGCTTATAATTGATACTAAACTTATAATCTACTCTAGTATACAAACTTTCAATTCCAGCTAAACTTATAATGTAGTTTAATACCTTATAATTTAAACTTAAGATATAATCTAGTATATAAGCTTTCAATTCCTGCTAAACTTATAATCTAGTATACAAGCTTTTAATTCATCATCATCATCTTCAGTACCGTAATCGCCTCACTCTTTATAGAGCATAATTGCGATGAATTCCTCCTAAACTAATAATCTAGTGTAATAGCTTATAATTGATGCTAATTATACATGATACACTATACAAATCTCCTCTTTACTTAACATTAATATAACCATATATATTATATTGAACACCTTTTTGAAATTCCTAATCCTGTATGTATAATACTATCAGCCCTTTGAGAATGAACACTCATGTGTTTATATGCTGCTGGAGCCTCATAGTCTATTTCTAAATCACTGTATGATGCTTCATCATCATCTTCTTCTTCACTGTCATCATCATCATCACTTCCATCATCTTTATTCTATCAAAATAAAGTTAACATACATAGAAGATATAAATTTAACCAATCTTAAACAAAGAGAAATTCACTCATTTTAAATTTCAGGCAGCAAAATGATTCAAAGATAATATTCAAAGGCATACCAATATTAGATTAAAAGATTATAATGATAAATATGAAATTATTTCAACACACAAGCTAGATTTTTTTGACAGATCTTTCCTTAAAATATACATGTATTTTTGCAAACAGGGAAAACAGGGAACAAAGAAAAAAGTGAACTGAATTTAAACTCCATGATGCCTGATAACAATCCCTTTTAATAAAGGGAAAAAGTGCTGCTGGCATTATATTATTCTGTAATTTGCATTTTTACATTTAGGTAAAATACATGTAGCATATCATAGCAGGTCTGCTGCTCACTGTCTAATAATATGTCAAGTCAATTCAAGATTTGCAAAAAAAAAAGAAATAAAAATGGATGACAACTAATGTTTTTTTTTCTTTCGACAATTTTAACACATTTTTGGTCATTCAGGTAATTCTCAGAGGACAGTGGATTGAACAAGACACCCCTTGGTAAGAAATCAAATGCTCTACCTATTGAGCTTATTAAAGGTTCCAGAGAGATTTTTGCCATAATGTCCTAGTAAGTGAACAGGTAATTAATGTGCAAAAAAAGTTACATCATTACCTCTTTCTTTGTTGATTTTCTTTTATTTGTTTTGCACCGTATCATTTGTTTATTCAAACAAGGAGCTCCCATGTGTACCTGACTATTAATACAGGACTGTTTCCAGGATTTTTCATCATAAAAGTCAGATTTTTGTAGCGTTGAGAAATTTATATTTGTTGAGCTACATGGCAGATGAATTAAAGGTTGACGGACAAAGTTAAAAATAAAGTGCGATTTTGCAACGTTCCTTATTGCTGAATTCATGCTAACTACTTGCAGATCTCTTTTTATAACGTACTAAAAATGTGTACTAAAAAAAAAGCTGTAAGTGTAAAACTGTAGATGTTTGATTTTAAGTGATCAAAACTATTGCATAGACTGTCAAACGTGTGACAGTACTTGGCATCTAGTAAGTCTTTTACAGCTCTAGAATATATGGTGAATTATAACTTATAGTTTAACTGCCAATTAATTAAAGTTAAAACAAATACAGAACTGCCTAAATTTTTGACAGCTGAACATTGACATTCAACCAGTCAAAATGAAAGTAGAATGTTGATTGTTCCGAGTTTCGTATTAAGCGGCTGTAATTAATAATTATGTGGAATATAAACTATTCTGATTATAATCTAATATAAGCAAAATTTATAACCTTTATGTTTATATATATAGATCTTTTATTTCAAATAAAAATAAAATAATTTTTACAAAAATTATATACGAAATTATTACTTAAACATGACTTTATAGCTTTGTATGATTCTCCCGCATTATTCCAATTTACACGGTTTATAAAATTTACAAGAGCAAGGTAGATCTGTCATAGAATTGTTGAAGAGACATACCTGTTCCATACTGCAATTTGCTGGCCGCTATAAATTTTTGTTCAATGTTGGCAATTGTCAATTTATTTTACTTTAGACTCGAAGTCAACGTTTCGCCCCACTGACGTTTCGCCTCATAACTACTCGCCCCACATTAGTGACGTTTCGACTTAGATTAGTGATGATTTTACACAAAATTATTTTTGCAGTATTTATCAGTTTATGTTCCTTCTAAATATCACTCAAATTCTTGGGTTGTTATGTGTTAGTCAGTTAGTGTTATTGGTTAGGTTAGAGGGTTAGGCTAGGATAATAACGTCTGCATTTTGCTGCGACAGATTCTTAAAGTGCTCCCAAAAATTGATCAATTTAACTTTTGGGTTATCAATGTTAAAGCTGATGCCGGTTCGCCACTGTTCATAGTCCTAATTATAAGACCTATATGTAACCTATTTCATATTTATCATTTATTAATCTGATATTTTTCATTTTCCATGTTATGTTAGGTCTTAACAGATCACTGCAAAAAGTGTAGCAAACAATTTGACATTAGACATCGATTTAGATCTAATGCATTTAAACAATTACGAAAGTGTGTATTTACATTAATTTTGACCTATTTATGAACAAAACTAAAAAATAAATACCTTTTATCAAAAAAATTAAACTGTCAAATCCGAAAATTCATGATTAAATCCTCTCATTTAATTAAATTTCTTGTACAGCCGATAAACAAATGGCCGCCATACAGTGCACAAAATCTGATTGGCTAATTCAAATGCAAGTCAGAAGTTTCTAACGGAATATTTTTTATTGCAATAATTGCCCATGCACCGTCAGGGTGTTCGAATATATTTTTTCGTTCAAAAATTTGGAATCAATCTGTAAAGCACTTTACTTAACCAGGCCGATAGGCAAAAATAGATTGATATTTATATTTTATTTTTAATTGATAAGTACATCAGTGTTCAATCTAGAGCGCGCCATTGCGCCATTGACCCCCTGAAAAGACCGCCGGCGCAAAACAAATTCAACTGTGGGCCCGATGGGCGCACTCGTAGAAAATATCCTAAATGACATTAGAATGCATTCTTATACCTGATTAAGTGCATAAAAAAGGGTTCTTGTGAATAATATTAATAAATACTGAATTCAAAACTGAAGTTTGTATAGAAAAACAAGAGCATGTTGGTAAGAACCGCACTGTCGGTAACCCTTCGCTACGTTTTCTCGGCCGGGGTCTGTAAATACTATGTAGACTTGTTCTTCGTACCGTAACTATTACTTACTTTTGAGTCACAGTTTTTATAAACAAAACAAATCGTCACAGATAATCCAATACGTGCGTGTAGTTATAGTTTTTTCACGGTCAAAACAAATAAATATGTCATAACTTTCGGGAGGAAAAAAACTATATATTTGTGAAAAGTGCAAGTTAATTATAGAGAAGTGTGCATAAATTATTACGAAACGCCTTCATCCAATTAAAAAAGTCTTAAAGATGGAACTAATCAAACACAATTGGCTAGGGAGTGTCTGACAATTGAGTTAATAAACTTTGATTGGTCTTTGGCTGGTAGGCACCCAAACATTGTGCATATCATTAATCAATACAGACATCTTAAGCGTGACGTAAGAACTACTGCCCTGACAAAAGATCAAAGGTACCGGTATGTCAATATACATTGTCTTAGCACCTGTTGACACTTTGTTTTTTGCTTGGATATATTGAGAAGGGTAAATATTTTTAGCGACTATTGTAAGTTTATATTCTTCATCAACAAAGCTAATTGCAAAATATGAATTTCTTTTATATATCGGGCGCTGATTAAAAAACTGAACATTATTATCAAATATCCCTGGTAACATTAAAATAAGATTCATATGTTTCTTTGAACAATTTGTCATTGTTTCTTTACCAATCAGTTCTTAAAATTGAGCCTGCATCAACGCTAACAGAACTCTCAAAAGAGGTCAAAATAATATCATTTTTTTAGTGAGTTGATTGTTTTGGAATTTTGCAACCGTTTTTGGTCTATATATGGTACGTGAACAAGTAACTTAAAAGATACAATACCTTATTTGAATTTGATGTTCTTTTAAGTGTGGGACCCCCTTTTTTCTCAAATGACCCCCTTTTGAAAAGTTTATGGGCCCGAAGGGCCCCCTGGGAATTTGTTCTAGATTGAACACTGGTACATTGTTTGAGAGGTTTTGTTAATGATTGAGCATGAAGTTGAAAGACAATAAGCTTTTGAATAAAGCTTGAAAGGCCAGACAATGGACAGAATGATGATGTGCCACATACAAGAATCAGGTCCCTAGCGCATAAGTCAAGGTCACACTTGTAAAACAAAATCCACAATATAAATTTTTATAAAAGTTAAGCTGATGTTTGTGTAAGATCTGCAACAAATGAACAGGGTACAAATATGGCTCATCTGGTTATACAGTGGAACCTGTCTAATCCGAACTCGTCCGGACCAGAAGAAAAGTTCGGATTAGAAAGGTTTCCGGATTAGAAAGGTTTCCGAATTAGAAGGTTTTTTACATGTTTTTTTCATGTTATTTGCAAAATAGTTTAAGGAAAGAAAACGGGAATATATTTGAAATTGCAATTTAGATATGTTATTTTTGCAGTCTCTTATCGTTCATTTTAATACATCTGAATACAAAAATAAAGAAACAAAAATAAATAAATAAGCAACAATATTATGTCCTCTAGGGTAAGTTAACCTACGATGTTAAACAGAAGGCCGAGACATGATTAGATATTCGTACCAGCATTTGTCAGTTGTTGTTTACTCTTATCCGATTCAGCGACTATCCGAATTTACTGACAGTTTACATTAATTTTCATTACTTAATCACGTATCATTGAATCCAATACAAAGGATTAAAAGATATTTCTATTGCATTATATCAAAATATTTATAGAAGCTGACGAAAAACAATCAATTAAGCAATTATAGAAGATATCAAGGCAAGCTAAGTGTAATTTTCACACCTTCGCAGATCATACGTTTCACCCATTAATCAAGCGAAATAACACTTATCAGTTTGGTGTATGTTTACACCTGCAAGATGTGCGATAATTTGTTATTTTGAATGAAGGTGTGACATTTGGCAAAATGTGTTCGGATCGGAGAGGTAAATTTTAGAGTAAAATAAGAACAAAAATTGAAAAAATCGTCCGGAATTCGGAGAAGACAGGTTCCGGATCCGAAAGGTTTTTTACTTTTAAAAATAGAACGGATAAAATCGGGACCGGACACTTCGTTCGGATTAGAAAGGATTCCGGATTAGAAGGGTTCGGATTAGCAAGGCTCCACTGTACTTTATTTTATCCTGTATCACTCTTCTAATATGGAATCATCCATTACTCTTTTCATTTTAGGTTTACCTTTTAATTTACATATTTTTATGCCACCGCAGCATCAGCAACTTCCAAAGTTGTTCAATGAATTTGATTCCATGCAGAAATCTGGTTGCCATGCCAACCGAAAGGAATTATAAGAATAAATAAAAAGATCTTGTTAAGACCCGACCCACAAGGCCTAGAGCATAGATAGTTTGCATAAGGCATTGTCTGGTAGACCTCTACCAAGATTGTTCAAATTATAGCCCTAGGGTCAAAATTGGCCCTGCCGTGGTGGTGGTCATTGATTTTCATATATTTTACATATAGTAAAAACTTAAAAGATTCTTCGTGTCTGAAGGTACTATAGGCTTAGAGTTTTGATATTTTGTGTATAATATCATCTATAGGTCCCTTACCAAAGTTGCTCAAATTTTGCCCCTTGTGTCAAAATTATCTCAGCCCCCCCCCGGGGGGGAGGGGGGTATAGGTTTTCCTTATATATGTATGTTGTTAAAATTTAAAAAGTTTTTTTCCCTGAATTGACAAGGCTAGAAGTTAGGTATTTTGCATGAAACATGGTGTAGTGGACCTCTACCCAAGACTGTTAAAATTATAGCCTTGGGGTCAAAATTGGCCCTGCCCTGGCGGTCATTGATTTTCACTATGTACATATAGTAAAAACAGAAACTAAAACAGATGTTTCAGCGTTTTTTTTCTCTGGGAATGGTGCTGGTACCAGACTGATTGGGAAAAATGCGTTATTTTGACTTAAATTTGGATTTTTTTCATGCATTTTTTCAGCTACAAATAAGATTAGTCATCATGAATAAAGATAGCTAACAGCTTCCACTGTCCAGGTAGAACTATTGAATGGTGATTTATATGAATATATTGGATATTTAAATGATTTCAAAGAAATCATTTTGTCTTGTGGGAATTTTGAACAGCCATATTGGGACTTTAAACAATGGAAATTGAGAATTTTAATGTCTTTTTTCTATTGAGAACAGTACCATTTTAGGGTAGTAGTTCTATAAAGAAAGAAAAAACTGTGTTTTCTGAATAGGAGAAAGCTAGAGCTTAGATATTTGACATGAAACATTGTTTGGTGGTTCTGTGTCAAGATTGATTTAATTAAACCCTTGGGTTTAATTTTGCCATGCCCAACGGGACAGTGACCTACTTTCTTGACTGTAAAACCATGTAAAGTTGCATAATTAACCGGCCACTGAATTTAAAGAAACTGGCAAATACCCGGTATCAGTGAATTTGCTAAAATTGCTGATTTGGGAAGTAAAAAGGCTGGTTTAAGTTCAGATTTTTGGGAAAACTGCATGATTTTAAAGAAAAAATTTCAATTGGGAAGAGGCCTTTCTTTGGAGTCTGTTATATAAGAAGGAAAATAACTGGGTATCACTTCTTTTCTTTTTACAAGTTGAAGTATATACTTACCTTATGTAAATAGCACTGATACTATGAATTTAATGACCATTACACAGACTTGACAATTTATTTTTTTCAGGTATATTGTTATAGGTACTGTTACCACTATGGAAGTGAATGATTCTGGTGTGTCTGTGCAAACAGCCAAACCAGATGAGGCTGATTCCTCGATAGTAGCAAGTTCAAGTCCTGTTGTATTTCAATGTACACAATGTAACACTATTGTTGGAGATTCAACTGCATGGGTGACTTCAAACGAACTTATGAGAACTATAACTCTAGGCAGTAAGTATCCTACATATCATCATCACCTTAGTGCATAAACTGGTTGAGTCCTTCTTAAGTTAAAAGGAGTTAACCAGTTATTGCATTAAGGAGATAATAATGATATGTTTCTGCTCTTGATTTTATTGAAATGTAACTCATGTTTTCCAGGTCATTCTTGTCGTTCTGTCAGTTTGATAACTTTGGCATAAAATTTTACCGTAATGTATTGCTGATGTGTGTTAGAATTAAAAATTCTTTGTTAACAAGTTAAGCTTTATTTTTAATTGAGGTTTATTAAGTCATATTAAAACTATATATACAAAAATGTAGGTCATATGGCGATTTTCCAGCTTTACTTGTGTAGGAATACCAGGGCTGTCAGGAAAGTTCATAGACAAGGCTATAAAATTATTATAAGAAGTCATATTAATATGATGATTAAATATTTTGCTTAAATATTTATTCTGCTATAAGTTTCTAAATTAAAAAATATGATAAAAATTGTATTCGCAAATCACCAATCACCATGGCAACATGATCAAAGAATCACGGAGCACTTTGATTTCATGACAATAGCTACTCAAATAAAAAGTTGCTAAAAATTGTAATTTAGGGAACTAATAATGATTATAATCTTTGATTTAAAAACAAAATCAACCATAAATTGTTAAAGGCAACTTGTGTTTAATTGTCAAACACGATTAAGAAGCGGTGATGACAATATTTTATATAAGAAACGTATCAGATAACCAAAAGTAGCATGGCCGAATTGTCGTAGATTGCGTTACAACAAATGAACATTCCTTGAAAAAGACAGACATCTCACACACTGTATGGGAATCAGTGACACCTTTGTTGTTGTTTATTTTTTTTAATGTATATGAAATTCATAAAGTAATAGCAAGGGAACATAACATGTATAAAGTATACGCCAGACAGGTTCCATGGCTGTTTAAATGGAAGAAATTGAAAAGTGGATTAGCATCAAGTTAAATTGACGCCGTTGACGTTGTCAAAGTGCTCCATGACGATGTATATATGTTGTATGTTAATACTGTAAAAATACAAGCGTAAGTCACAATTCAATAATTTTTGATAAATGTGTTCGCTAGATATGTATATTTTTGCTGACAGAATTTGTACAACATATGTATTGTTATACAATGAAAAATGAAGAAGTATATTAACTTTCCGGACATCCCTCGTATGTCAGATGCCACCTGTCAATCAAGCACTGAGCATAGCCAAGCAGCACCTTGACCAACTAGCAACTGACAATGACCACAATGCAGTGATCATACACATTTCTAGTCTGAAATTAAAACAATAATTTTGTGAACAAATATATAGCTTTATACCCTTTTGAATTGAATAATAATAGTGAGAAACAAAATGGTTATTTTTTTACTATTAAGGTAACAAACTTTTAATATATGTATTGAAAATCTTATTTTATTTTTACCATGAGACGAGAGGAAAAATAAATGAAGTGAAAAATTATTCAATTTAATGATTGGTCACTTATTTTAATGTTGTGTCAAGCATATTAGCAATAACATTTTCAAAAACATCTTGATGGAGACTTTTTTGAAAACCTTACATGTATGTTGAACAACTTTTTTTTCAGGAGTTACTAGTAAAGTTGGTGTAAACTCTAATATTCAGATTTCTGAAAGTGGAATTGACAAAGGAAGGTAATATGTTGTTTTTAAATAAGAAATACAGACTCGGTATAGATATCTTTAAAGCCATTATTTTATAAAACCTTTTCCACCACAATTTTTCTTTTCTTGCTCTGGATTTTAATTTATTTATTAAGCATATATTTTTTTGTTCTTTATTCCCTTACACTTTTAATTTTTTCATAAGAACTTCATTTATTGAATGATATTATTTTGGTAATTCCATAAACCAAAACCCTTGATATGGGTTTAGATTAATTTGGTCAAGGTCACTTGTTTTAAAGAAATAGTTTTCTACTTTTGATCCTAGGCTGTGTTAAATTTGTCAAAACAAAGTGATCGTTCCTTAGAATTGCTAGCAACAAGGCATAATGTTAGCTGAAATTTTGATATACCAATGAAATCTTTATTGTATCAGTGTACGTTTGTAGCATAATATAATTGGAGAATGTTTATGTGATATATTTCAGTACATTTTCAACAGTATTCTGCATGTCTTGTAAGGAAGTTTTGGGCAAACAGTACATGGCATCTCCACCAGATCTTGATTACATAAGAGGCAGATTTACCTTCCATGTGGAGAAGTTAAACAGGTAAGTGTATCTACTACAGTCACCAACCTAAAATACCACATATCAGGCACACATAGGCAATTGTGCATAGTCATTAGTATAGCCCCTTACTTAAATTTTAAAGTTATCAATGGGAAACTTGGAGTGCTTGCTTATTAGGACAAGAGTCATCTGCAAGACAAGGAATCTATTCATCTTTAAAACTTAGAATTTTTGTCAAATTTGCCTATTTAGTAGAATGATTTCAAAAGTATGAAATATATCAACATGACTTGTGGAACACTTATTTATCTTGACAAGGCACATTTGTAATATAAGGGGCATTATTCTGGACGCTGTATTTTTAGAGTAATGCCCCTTTTGACTAAGACTTTTTGTCAAAATTGTTATTGTTGGTAACATGGTTCCAAAACTATCAAAGCTATCAAAATGAAACTTGCAATACTTTATTATCGTGACATCAGTTTTAAGACAACGGACATTATCCTGAAAGCAATACTTATTATAATATAGGAGTTATGCCCCTTTTAATCTTATAATATTTATAAAAACTGGTAATTGATGGTGGTTGCTCTTTACAGATGAGTAATGCAGTGCTCAGGTTTTCATGTCCTGTATATAGCACCAGTTGAGTTGTATTTAATCTTGATAAATTTCGGCATAGTATTATTTGTATAGAAATATTTTTTAGGAATCTTGCAGATAATTACATGGTCTCATATTTGAGCAATTTAGGTTAGAAATGAATCAACATAATAATTTCCTTTGTTAGTATGCATGCATGTCATGGTTTAAAATAACTTCTCCCCTATAGTGTGTTGTAAAATCTGAATTTACTTTTTTGGTCAAATTCAGAATCTTTATTTATGTCAACCGAAGGCCATAGATAATGCTGAAAAAGGCATGCATTTGCGGTTTAGAAGAAAGGCGTCTATAACCAAATGTTTAATAATCTTAAAGAATGTTTATTTTTAACCAAAAGTTGACGCCCGCCCGCAGACTGGAAGCAAGTTCAAGGTCATTTGCTTACAATAGAATTTTCAGCTTCTACTCAATAACATCAGTGCACTTTGACCTATTGATTGCTGTCACATCAACACTTGGTCGTTGAAAACCTGGTTTTCGTCGCATTGCGGCGCTTCTTGTGTTAAAGCTTGCATGGATTTGAAATGACTGGATGCTTTAAACACTTACCAAATTACAAACATATTTGATAAGCTGAACTTTTGTTTGTATAACACTCCCAACAATAAATTCCTTGATTAAATTTATGCACTTGTTATTTTACCTAGTGCACAAAATCTTCAAAATAAAAAAAAAAGAAAGAAATAAACATGTACATGAATCCTGCATTATAGCATCCTTGACTTAACTCTGCAAAAGTTACAAAATTATTTAGTGGAAATTGTGTTTCAGCTACCTGGTTGGAAGTGTGGAGAAATTGGAAAAATTTGACCTAGCAGACATGTTAAATATACCATCACCTGATTACATTATGGCTAGGATGAGCAAGGTATGCATTATACTTATATGCATTTTTAGCTGGTGTATGTAATGTAATATATATAGAAAAAAATTATACTAACCAGTCAATATAAATCTTTTCAGTACATACCATATTCACCAGCTAAAAAGTCCATTTTTGTTTTGTTTTTGTTATCCCTCGCCAATGGAATCGGGAGGGGGATTTGTTTTGGCATTGTCCGTCCGTCAGTCATTCCATCCATCAGTCCGTTTGAATTTCGTTTCCAAGCTAGTTCTATGCAACTACTGGCTGGAATTCAAAGAAACTTTATGGGAACCATCAATACCAAGAGGAGATGCGAAAATCGTCTCCTTGTTCCAGTCCAACTCTTGAACACAGAGTTATGGCCCTTGATTATGCACATATTGCAATAATCATTTCTGCGCTACTTCTCTGCAACTGCTGGCAGGAATTCAACAAAACTTTATGGGAACCATCAATACCAAGTGGAGATGGGCAGATCGTCACCTTGTTTGGGTCCGACCCTTGAACACAGAGTTATGGCCCTTGATTAGTTATGCAGTATGCATATATAGCAATAATCACTTGAAATAATGCACTTAGCGGAACCTTCCACCAGTTAAGCTGAAGTTTTTCTTCACCATATGACCTTTAAAAGATTGTTGGTGTGACTATAATGGCAATCCAGCTTCCCCTTCCCTCCCAGCCATGCCAAAAAATCAAAACAACAAAAAGCAACAAAAAAATAAACAATTTTGAATTTGCTGATGTGCATTTGTTGCTATCGAAGCCAAACATGCACCGCTAAAAAAGTGATAATATTTGAGCCGCGTCACAACAAAACCAACATAATGCAGTCTGATCAGGATCCATGCTGTTCGCTTACAAACCCTATAACAAGTAATGAAACTGATAGTGAACAGCATGGATCCTGATCAGACTGTGCTGGTCACAACCCATTATGTTGGTTTTGTTGTGACGCAGCTCATTTCTTGTTATATTTCAGATGCAGTTTCTGATTGTGTCAATGAATGATAGAATCAAGAACCTTGAGGCTTGTCTGAATACTGGAGAGTCTGATCACAAACTGCCTGATAATTTCACCAGACAGTCAACACTCCAAGGTGAGACAGAGAGTGTCTCCTCCACTGACCATTTCTCTACACGACCACGCTCAGATTCCTTCCATTCTGCTGGTACAGATGACACTGTTACACATCAAGGAGAGGAAGGTGTTTTAAATAGAGAAGAATCTTTCTTGCCATGGCATAATAATGAAAGCATTAAATATGACCATGCCATTGACCAACAAACAAGAGAGAAAGTCAGAAAAAGTAATAAAGTGTCAGAGCAAAGAGCCAGTAATAGAAATTTAATGCTACGTGAAGGTGTTTTTCAGCAGTTAAGCTCCAGATTGGGACAGCATGAAAACTTTACAGGACCGGATGATAATCCTGTACATGGAAACAATAAAAACATTGAAGAATCAGATAACATGTATATTAATGATAACAGTAGAAGAATCAGCAGTAATGGAAGGAAGGAACAAATGGAAAAAGAAAGAAGAAATTCAGGGAATGATAGACAAAGTAGTCGATATAGAGCACAAGGTCAACACAAGGATTTACAAAGATCTAATTGGAACAATGTTAACCAGTCTGAGAGAAGTGGTAGTCATAATGAGTCGACCACACCCAGTGAAAATAGGTCTGTGCCTAGAAAACAAGTTGTCATGGAAACATGGCCATCTCCAGGGGTTGAGAGAACGGGTAGAGAAAATAAAAAAAGGAAATTGTAAAACATTTATGACAGCCAGAAATCATTTTATGAAGCATTTTTCAATGTTAGTTAATATGTCTGATGGATAGCAAGGCTTAAAGTAGGGAATCATCAATTAACATTACATTGAACATTATTTTGTTGAATTGAAAGATAAAGTTTTAAGTTTTTTATGCTTCCTGAAAAAGTTGTTAAAAAACAGATACCCGTCCATCTGTAATTCTGTGGTGCTTTTTAGCTCACCTGAGGACAATGTCTTCAAGGTGAGCTTTTGTGATGGCCCATTGTTTGTTGTCCGTGCGTCAACAATTTTTTTAAACAACTTCTCCTCCTAAACAGTTTGGCCAAATTTGTTGAAACTTTGCAGAAGCTATCAAAGTTGTTCAAAGAATTAGATTCCATAAAGAACTCTGGTTGCCGCAACCAAATGATTATTTTACAAAAAATCATAAAAAATCTTCTTGTAAAAAAACCGAAAGAGTTAGAGGTTGTTCAAATAAAACCCTAGGGTCAAAATTGGCTCCACCCCAAGGGGTCATTGATTTTCCTGATATATACATGTATGTAGTAAAAACTTAAAAAATCTTCTTGGGAAAATCTAAAAGAGGTAGAGCTGAGATATTTGGCATGAAACATGCTCTAGTGTATGTCTACCAAAATAAAACACCTAACATCAAAATTGACCCCAACCCAAGGGGATCGAGGTTGACAGTTCAATCCCCAGCTAGGTCAAATGTTTGTTTTCCTTCTCTTTTTCTCTCATCTTTTTATAAGCTCACCTCTCATAGTGACAGGCTGAACTGTTTAGTAAAGTGGCTGCCAGAGCTAAAATTTGAAAACAACATCTCAGCCATTGGTTCAGTTTTAAAATAACTTTACACAAAAATTTTTCTTGGTGACAATGCTCAAAAATTGTTCAGATTAAGCTGTCCCTTGTTTTAAATTGTGCTTCTGGGGTAAAAAAGGGGTCCACTTTGACCTTTTAACCTATTTCTCAGGTGAGCGATCCAGGGCCCTCTTGTTTGTACAGTTTCACCTAACAATTTCAGTTAATGATCTTCCATATTTGGAAGGCATATACCTTTAATGGTCCTCTAACTTTGGATAAACTTTGGGTCACTAGGGTCAGATTTCACAGGTACGAATGATACATGTAGAAACATACAAGTTTGGGGAGCATCCATTGCATCATCTTTAGTAATTTTAATGTTTCTTTTGAAGTTACCTAGTTCAGCTCTATCTTCCATCTTGAAGCTTTCAGATATTGATGATCACAAGTTTTTTGTTGTACTCTCACCTGCTTTATAGTGTCACCTGTTGCGTAATATTTTATACTAAAAACTTCATTTCAAAATTAAGTGACATTGATTGATTTTGAAACATATTGTTTTTGTGCCCCACTATAGGGGGGGGGGGGGATTTAGATTTACCCTTGTCTGTCCGTCCTTTCCCTTTTTGTGTCGCACATAACTCATGAAACCTTACAGGAATGTTGATCAGCATGTGAAGTTGTGCACCTGGGTATTTTCATGTGGATATATTTAGTATTTTTAACCAGGTTTTCCGGTCGGGCGGGCGTTAACAATTTCTTCTGTGCGCAACTCCTCCTACATTTTTCAACGGATTTTGACCAAACTTTCACAGAAGCTTCGTCATCAAGTGACCTGGCACATATTGTTGGGGTTTTGTGATTGGATAATATTTGACCTAATTATGGCCCTTTGTTTTTTTTCCTTATATAGAATATATAGTGAATAATTTCTTCTGTGCCCAACTGTTCCTACATTTCTCAATGGATTTTGACCAAACTTTCACAGAGGCTTTGTCATCAAGTGCCCTGGCGCATATTGTCTGGGTTTTGTGATTGGATAATATTTGACCTAATTATGGCCCTTTGTTTTTTTTCCCAATATAGGATATATAGTGAACAATTTCTTGTGCGCTACTCCTACATTTCTCAACGGAATTTGGCCAAACTTTCACAGAGGCTTTGTCATCAAGTGCTTTAAGGCATATTGTCAGGGTTTTGTGATTGTATAATATTTGACCTAATTATGGCCCTTTGTTATTTTTCCTTATACAGATTATATAGTGAACAATTTTTACCATGCGCAACTTCTTTTACATTTCTCAACAGATTTTGCCCAAACTTTCACAGAAGCTTTGTTATCAAATGCCCTGGCACACATTATCGGGGTTTGTGATTGGATAATATTTTTGACCTAATTATGGCCCTTTGTTTTTTTTTTTCCTTATACAGATTATATAGTGAACAATTTTTACCATGCGCAACCTCCTACATTTCTCAACAGATTTTGACCAAACTTTCACAGAGGCTTTGTCAATCAAGTGCCCTGGCGCACATTATCGGGGTTTTGTGATTGGATAATATTTGACCTAATTATGGCCCTTTGTTTTTTTTTCCTTAATACAGAATAATTATATTTAGTGAAAAAAATTTTTCTGTGCTCAACTCCTACATTTTCTCAACGGATTTGTTCAAACTTTCACAGTAGCTTTGTCATCCAGTGCCCTGGCGCATAATTGTCGGGGTTTTGTGATTTGAAATAATTTTTTATTTAATTATGGGCCCTTTGTTTTTTTTTCCTTATACAGAACTTTATAATTATTAGTGAACACTTCCTCTATGGCAATTCCTCCTACATTATTCATGTTTTACATTGCACATAGTTACATTGTTTGTTGCTTGTATTTGTATTTCAAATACAACATATTTATCTACAATGGTGATAATTGAAAACCTGGTTTCATGGCATATATTTAGTATTTTTAGAGTTATTGCCCTTGATTTAGTTAAAATTTCCAACTTGTATCACACGTAATTAAAAAAATATTTGACCTAGAGTCATGAAACTTTACAGGAATGTGGATCAGCATGTGTTGTTGTGCACCTGGGTATTTTCTGGTGGATATATTTAGTATTTTTAGAGTTATTCCCCTTGAATTAGTAAACATTTCCAATTTTCAACTTGTGTCGCACATAACTAAAAAAGTATTTGACCTATAGTCATGAAACCTTAGAGGAATGTTGCTCAGCATGTGTAGTTGTACACCTGGGTATTTTTGTGTGGATATTTTTAGTATTTTTAGAGTTATTGCCCTTGACTTATTAAAAATTTACAATATTTAACTTGTGTTGCACATAACTCAAAAAGTTTATGACCTGTAGGCCTGAAAGTTTACAAGAATGTTGGTCAGCATGTGTAGTTATGCACCTTGGGGTTTTCTTGTGGCTTTATACAGTTTTTGTAGTATTTGCCCATTACTCAATAAAAGATTTTTACTATCTTTTAGTTTTCAATTTGGGCACATGTAGCCAAAAAAAAAAAATTTGACCCAGAGACATAAGATTGACAAATCGGTGGAGTGTGGGGGCACCCGTGTCCTATGGACACATTTCTAGTTTGTTTTGTCTGTTTGTCTATATCTCATATAAGAAAACTTGAACATTGTTGTTAAATTTCCAGTTTGTGAGTCACTTTGTCTTCAATCATTAAAGAAATTCCTTTTTGTTTGTTTTTTACGATCATTCAGTACATGTTTGATGAACAGATTTGGACATGGCAAATTGTGTCTTACAAACATGTTCATTATTCTTTTATATATAGATACATACATGTACTTTGATAGATAATTTCATGTTTTGAAAATATTTAAACTTACTCTTGAATTTTATTTGTCATTGACTCGATACAAAAACAAGCAATAGTTGATCATTTATGAAAATGTTTGTTACCTGGCAGCATTTGTAGATAAAATGTACCATAAATCAGAATTTAACATTAATGAGCCGCGTCACGACAAAACAAACGCAATGTGTTTGTGACCAGCATGGATCCAGACCAGCTGCATACGCGCAGTCTGGTCAGGATCCATGCTGTTCACTTAGAAACCCTATTACAAGTAGAGAAACTGATAGTGAACAGCATGGATCCTGATCAGACTTTGCGGATGTGCAGGCTGGTCTGGATCCATGCTGGTTGCAAACGCATTACATTGGTTTTGTCGTGACGCAGCTCATTTATTTTTGCTCTTCCATTAGATTATCTGAGCACAAAGTCTGTCGTATGGTCCTCTACAAAAATTGTTCATTTATTTGGATCAGGTGAAAAAGAGGCTGCCAAAGTTAAAAATAGAAAACATCTCATAAAATATTTAAATCTTCTGCTCAACTGCTGGATGGAATGAAACTTTACAGGAAAGATCATTAGTTGGTCCTTTACAATAATTGCTTAAATGTATCGGGTTTGCTCACCAAGATTGCAGCCAGAGCTGAAATTAGAAATAAGTATTATACGTCTTCTTCACTGCTTGGTAGATTTTGATGATGAAACTTTGCAGTAAAGATAGATCAGTTTGTCCTTTACAAAAATTGTTTATATTGATCGTGACTGCAAAACAAGGATGGCCATCAGAGCAAAAACTACAGGAATGATCATATGATGATCTTTAACAAATGAGCCACACGTCACAACAAAACCAACGTAGTGGGTTGGCGACCAGCATGGATCCAGACCAGCCTGCGCATCCGCGCAGTCTGATCAGGATCCATGCTGTTCCCTTACCATCTCTATTACAAGTAGAGAAACTGATAGCGAACAGCATGGATCCTGATCAGACTGCGCGGATGCGCAGGCTGGTCTGGATCCATGCTTGTCACAAACGCGCTATGTTGGTTTTGTTACGACGCGGCTCAAATTATGCTTATATCATTCTGGTCAGTGAAACAAAATGGCCACTGAGTATAGAAATAAGACTTACATATAAACAACATCTTTTCCTTAGTTGCTTTGCAGATTCTGATGAATCCTGATAAGAATGACCTAATAGTGAAATCTTGTTCATGTAAACCATATCCTCGTATTATGATTATTTTGGGCCATCTTGATCCTTTAATTATGTGAATGGAATTATTTGAAATATATAAATAATTTCACTTGTCATAAAGCAATGGTTCAGTTAACATTATCTCCAGGTTAGTTATGATTAGCAGAAATAATAAATTGTGAAATTTAGATGAACTGAATTATTTGTTTTATTATTTGTAATATGTTACAATATGCTGTGTTGACATTTGAAAATAAAGAATTTTGTAAATACATACTGTTGTAAAAGTATCTAAAATTTCTTCAATAAATATGTAATATATAACAGTAAGTAATATAGAACATATTAATAATGTTGAGCAGTCTGTTAATACACGAATAGTCTTTAAATGAAATACACACTTTTTCTGCCCTGTAAGCTCAATAGAGGGAGCATGAGATTTGTAATCTTGGGTTAGCTGTTCCATCCTCAAGTGAGATGAAATTCATGTGTCACAATTTATCTCGGACATTGAGTCCAATGGTCATTTGTCTCTCACTGATGTTTCAGAAATCATGTGTGATTTGTTGTTGGTCATTTTAGGAGAAATTGGTCACAATTTGCCAAAAGAAGAGTTGTCAAAACTTATGGCTAATCATCATACACATAGGCACAGATTATTGCCCTCAAAAACTTTTGCCAATTTGTCTACATGTACATTTTGTATCTTTAAACCAGGACAGTTATCTTTGACATTTTGAAATTTGCTGCTTATTTTGGAGATACACTGTATTTTCTGCATACCAAGAACACTAATATTGCTGTTATGATAGCTCTATGCAAACTATTTTTGAAGCATTGCAAAATAATTGTACTTGTAACAAATATTTGCATATTTTGTCCCCAAATATTTAAAAACAGTTTAAAGCTGCCCTCATTATCAAGTCCTGAAATAATTAAAATCAAACATTGACTTAAAAAGATAAAACTTTATAATTTTATAAATTTTATTTGAAAAACAACAACTTTGGTTTACTCAAATTGAATTAAATATAATCTAGTGTTACATATACTCACTATAAACTATTAGAAGAAGTAAACAATAAAGTATAAATCTGAAACATCTGTACAACACATAGAGGAATGTTAATATGTCAAAACATCAGCTTGTCTACCAGATTAATACTCTTTACAGGCCAAAATGAAATTTAAGTGTTTATATTTAATAACTTCGTTTTACTTTTTTACTAACATTTCAAAAAAAATTTGGTACAAACATAAACAAATTAACATGTGTGGATAACAAAACATTAATAGATTCATTGTAAAGTTTGTGACATTGACTCCACTGAAGCAATACAAATGTATGTCAAAGTAACAATTCTATAGGCACTCCATTATACCCTGCATTACTATTAAATGTACACATTGATTATAGTCAAATAATCTGAAGGTTAATCTCAGAAATTAACTCTATATTGTTCAGGCAAATAACACAGACATGTTTATATAATATAATATCACAGATATGGTTGGTTACAGGATAACGTAACCATGGTAACCAGTTTCAGTATATTGTCCAGGTAACTTGTTTCATTGGAGCAGATCGTGAAACTGTAAGATCTTCTAGAGCTTGTCTTGATTGTTCTAAAAGTAGAAATGATTTAATCTTAATCTATTTGAAATATTATTATTTCAAACTTAAATTTGTATGACAAATCTTGGTATTGATACCAAAAGATTGAGTATAAGTATGACAACAACAAGTACTCAATATTATTGTGAAAATCATATACACAGAATGGTCATCTCATTTTTATCATACATGTACTTCATACAATGAAACAGTAAAGTTAAGAAAAACAATTATTGTGGATATTTATGTACAAGGGGCATTACATAAACTAATAAAACAGCATAAAACTAATTCATTCATGTGTATAACTCTTCCAATGATTTTTGGTGTACTTATATATAAGTATTGTTACTCTTCCTGAAGGACACTTTGCTTGATGGGCACACATTTCTTGTGCTGGCTCAGTTGGACTGTGTTGTGCTATTGCCTTTTTTAGCATGCTAAAATATGGTCGATTTAATGTAAGGACAAAGGGTATAAAAATTCGGCCAAAACTAGGCTATTCTGCAACCAATATCCATGCAGATTTGAAGACAATGCATTACAATATGGTGCGGTTGCAAAATGGGACCGTCACTTTAACCCTTTACCACATATATACACGAAACAACGCACCCTTTTGGGCCTCAAATAGTAAAAAAATGTCCTATTTGGGCCCCAAACATAAGTTTTCCTTTGAGAAATGTTGCTAAAAAAAATTGAGCACTTTTTCGGCGCCGCCCCCCATCCAAAAGATACATCAGGGGGTTGCCAGAAGGGGGATGTGCCCCCTTCTGTTAGGGGGGTTTGAAGGGGGCGGAGTCCCCCTCATCGCCAAGAAAATTTTGGACTTGTGAGAGGCTAAAAATGACCCCAGGTCGATCATAATGTAACGTTTCACCAACGCTGAAAAGCCTTTGACTCTATCTCAATCCCTTGAGAAGTTGCAGCACTTTGAAATAAATTTTGATGGAAAAAATCGAGACAAAATAGTGATTTTTGGCAATTTTGAGATGTCCCCTCGTTGCCATGGTAACAGGAAATTTAAGACTGAGCATGTCGTTACAAAGGCAATGGTCCAGTCAACATTTGTGCCAAGTTTGATTAGTATTGAAGCATTTTTCATAGTTTCATAGCAGTTTGAACTTGTAACAGGAGGCTTTTCAGTGAAAACGGCCATTTTTCGCAATATGCTCATGGGGGAAAGGGTTAACTAAAAAAAATATAATGTTACAAAACAACAATTTTTCACCAAAATTAGGTGAAAGACCACATGTTAACATGGAAAAACTAGTTTTTAGGTGATTCCAAAGTTTTTCATCATTTTTTGTTAACCCTTTACCACATACGCAAAACAACGCACTTTCGACCCCCCCCCCCCTTTTTTTGGGCCTCAAATAGTAAAAAAGTGTCCTATTTGACCCCCAAACATAAGTTTTCGTTTGAGAAATGTTGCTAAAAAAATTGAGCACTTTTTCGGCGCCGCCCCCCATCCAAAAGATACATCAGGGGGTTGCCAGAAGGGGGATGTGCCCCCTTCTGTTAGGGGGGTTTAAAGGGGGGCGGAGTCCCCCTCATCGCCAAGAAAATTTTGGACTTGTGAGAGGCTAAAAATGACCCCAGGTCGATCATAATGTAACGTTTAACCAACGCTGAAAAGCCTTTGACTCTATCTCAATCCCTTGAGAAGTTGCAGCACTTTGAAATAAATTTTGATGGAAAAAATCGAGGCAAAATAGTGATTTTTGGCAATTTTGAGATGTCCCCTCGTTGCCATGGTAACAGGAAATTTAAGACTGAGCATGTCGTTACAAAGGCAATGGTCCAGTCAACATTTGTGCCAAGTTTGATTAGTATTGAAGCATTTTTCATAGTTTCATAGCAGTTTGAACTTGTAACAGGAGGCTTTTCAGTGAAAACGGCCATTTTTCACAATATGCTCATGGGGGAAAGGGTTAAACAAGGGTCAGTTGATGACAATGAAAGACCAACATGTCCAACCTCAGCCAAGTCCATAAAAGAAATGTTGATAATCAAAGAACTGGTTGATAGTGATGCAAGATATACAGTGGAAGAATTAGCTCGGGCATCAGTTGTCAGTTTATCAAATACTAACTAATCGATTAGAGCTGAAGAAGTGCAAGATGGGCCTCCCATATTTTAACACAGGAACAAAAGGAAAAGGGTGTTTAATTAGCTTTTGCAGTTATTTAAAAATTTAATCAATTTGACATGACAACGTTTAATGGAAATTGTTACTGGAGACCAAACTTGGATTTTATCATTTTGAGGAGGAAAGCAAAGAAAAAAAGGTTTGGGTGAGTTCAGACAGTAATCACACGAAGAGATAAGACTGTTAGTAAGACAATGTATGCTATTTTCTATGATGGGCATGGTCCAGTACTTTGTCAGTTACAGGAAAGTTTAACAAGGTCATTAAAATTCATCTAGACAGCCACCTACGCACAGGCACACAACAATGCATCCCCTCATAAATCAGCTATTGTAACCAACAATTTGCAGGAAATCAATCTTAATCATTCAGCATTCACCTTGTAGTCCTGATCTTGCCCCTTGTGACTTGGTTGTTTCCAAAGTTTAAAGAAATGCTGGGTCATTGAGCATCCTGACCTTGCCCCTTGTGACTTGGTTGTTTCCAAAGTTTAAAGAACTGCTGGGTCATTGAACATCCTGACCTTGCCCCTTGTGACTTGGTTGTTTCCAAAGTTTAAAGAAATGCTGGGTCATTGAGCATCCTGACCTTGCCCCTTGTGACTTGGTTGTTTCCAAAGTTTAAAGAAATGCTGGGTCATTGAGCATCCTGACCTTGCCCCTTGTGACTTGGTTTGTATCAAAAGTTAAAAGAAATGCTGGCAGCTCATCATTATGAATCCAGAACTAGTATTGGCTGTAGCGTTTATCAATGTATGCAACATATACCCGCTTCTGATTATCCCTGATGCTTTCCTCAAATGGATAGAATGTTCTGAACAGGTAATTTATTTCTACAAAGGGGGAGCTTTGAGGGACTGAAAAAAAAAAAATAATTTTAAACACTTACAATAAGCTCTGTCAGGCTGTTTTATAATTTATGAAATGCCCATCATAGTCAACAGTGTATATATACCTGTGATGTTGGGACAACCATGGAAAATGAGTATATTGATCTGAGGACAGAACTGCATGATAGCCTCAACTGCTTCATCTGTTACATTCTTACAACCATTTATATGCATTTCCTGTTATATATAAATAATTCTGATGATAATAACATTTATAAAAAATGTTTTAGACATCAATCAGTGTGCAAAAGTTCTAAATAGCCCATAAATCCACACAATGCAGCCATCATAATTGCTTTGTTTCCATGGTTTGATACAATAGATTATTAGAAATGATTTTTGTCATGTAAATACATGTAGATCAAATTACCTTACTTATAGTTCTTATAAAATATTTTGAATATGATGATAAAAAGTTTCGTAATTGAAGTAACTTCTTTATTTGTCACTGCATGCACTGTGTTTAATAAACTACAACAAGTGCAACATTGTCGCAATATACGCCCATCACAGAAGCTTTTGACAGAGATGTGGGCATTAACGCTAAGCATATAGGAGATATTCTCTTGGCAATATCCTGAAAATATCTGGATATATTATCATCTCTATTTATTTTTTATCTGAATTTTGACCCTGACTGCCCACCCGCGAGGGGGGGAATTTTAATACATATAATTTTCAAACAGGCATATAAAAATTATGTAAAGCTTCAGGTATAATAAACAAAACACTACAAATGATGTGTACCATCAGTCTTTTAAACACAATAAATTATGTCAAGCTTCAGGCATATTACAACTATATACATGTATTATGTAAAGCTTTTGGCATATAGAGCTATAATAAAATTAATCGTGTAACGCTTACAGTAAGAGCTGCAGCACATTGTCCCGACACGAGTTGCATTATTCCTGCGTCAGATACCTGTAACATCATTAGGTATATTTGTTATGCTACACATAATGGGTGTGTAATTATTTAGTTCTACCTTGTATAAAGCATGCAAAGCAAGATATAGATTTCGAAGTAGGGTTCATTTATATACTTTTATATTACTAAGCTCTAAGTAAATCTGAAATTTTTAGGAAATGTTTTTAGGTCTTATTATCTTGAATAAAACATGTAAGCATAACAACATGAAGTATGAAACAAGTATATTTAATATATTTTAATTAAATCAGAATTTTTACACGTTTGCAACTTTTAAGTTATACATACCAATGTGTTTGAGATATTTATGCTTTTGAGAAATTTACTGTTTTCCCCAAGCACTCTGAGAGAGGAGTCTGATATATTCTGACATCCACCGATGTTTAGTAATCGTAATTGAGGGCATGACCTTGACAATGTTTCCACGGCAACATCTGTAATGTTGATGCATCTCCGAAGATAAACAGTCTGAAGATGACGACAAGATCTGGCCAGATTACATATACCTGGAATAAATACAGTCAGTTTGTATGTTAACTTATACTAAAGATATAACTTATATCATTTAAGGTCTTAAATGTATTTCTATGAATCAATCAGTTAAGACATGCTTTCAACATTCATGTGCATAATAAGAAAAGACAAGATCCTGATCATCTGAGCCAATGCTAGCAAACTAATGTTTTAACTTTTAACTACACTTTAACAAGATAATCCTGTTCTCATTATGACAAATATTATAATTTAATTGACATTTAAACAATACACAAGCATTGTATTTCATTACACTGTACATCATAATTTTGGTAAACAATTCTTTAGGGAATACGTTTCCATTATGAACAAACAGCGATTTTATTCTGAATACCTTCTGAAGTGATATTAGTTCTAGACTGTTTGTTAGAGTTTAGATCAATCTTGCGGAGTTGTGGACATTTACATATAGCAGATAAACCAACATCTGATATCTCACAATCAGCTAGATCTAATACCTTCACTTTGTCATGTAATATCTGAAATATTAACAACAGTATATCATTCATCATTTAAAGGGAAATTTCAACAATGTATCATTACTGTAATTTACATAAACAATACAAATTTGTCTTCAAATGTGTCTTCAAGGTAAAGAAACAAGATCAATGTTAACTTTTAAAGCATCATCAGTGTCTTGAGAAGCATTCATATTACACAATACTTAAATTTTATCTTGTCTCAAAATCACAAATGTTAACTTCCAGAATGAATGAACAAGTTGTAAGAACACTTTACTTGTGCCTTATGGCAATTTATACTCTCAATACTATATGTATTTAATAAAAGGTTTAAGTATTGCATACTTACTTTTCCAATGTTAGAATCTGTAAGGAATCCTCGCTTTGACATCAGATATATACATTTGTCCTTCAAATTAGCTGGCAGACTGCCAACATTGTCAACATTCTTTTCAAAGTTGTTCACAACAGACTTTATACAACTGAAAATAAATCAAGACAGATTGAGACATTTAGCTTACAGAAACATTGTTTTGTATTAAGTCTTGTTGCCCTTAAATTCAATTAGTTTTTAATCACTATAGCTACTTTTCACAGCTGATGTTTAATCATATAATATTTAACTTAAGTATGACTAATGATACGCCGGCACTATTGAACACTATCATTTTTATATAAAATCAGCAGTAATGAAATTTATTAAAAATATAAATTTACAAGTCTCAGTATACTTAACTTCAAACAATCACTTGTTATTGTAACCAACAAAGAGGTGCTAGTCAGGCGACAGTGTTTTAACATCAGGACCTTGACCCCAGGGGCAGAAAAAGTAAACCCAACCTGGGTCTTCATATATTATAAGTTTCCTTTATACCAAGTTTGACTCCTAACTGTAGTTATTGATTTTTCTATTTGTTTTTAGTAAAGTGACCTTGACCCAAGGGGGTCCAAATGTAATCCCAACTGGGGTCTTCACATAAGCTTGCTATATACCAAGTTTTTATTACAATATCACATTCCTAATAAAGGTTATTGCCTGAAAACTATTTTCCTATTTTTAGTAATGGTGACCTTGACCCCAGGGGGTCCCAAAGCAATACCAGCCAGGTCTTCACAAAAGCTTGCTATATACCAAGTTTGGTTACAACATCTCATTTCTAACTCTAGTTATTTTCCGGAAACCAATTTTCTATTTTTAGTAACAGTGACCTTAACCCAGGGGGACCAAAAGCAATACTAACGGGGGTTTCCACACAAGGTTGCTATTATACCAAGTTTGATTACAATAACTTATTCCAAACTCTAGTTTTCATCTGGAAACCAGTGTTTTTTTTCCCCCATGACCCATACCCATGGAATTGGGAATTTCAGTAATGTTTTGTTAAAAATTGGGGAAAAATGCATGACTTAAATTTTGCAGTGATTAATGAATGCAAAGAATAACTGTATAGGATGGCATCTTCAAACAAAAGGCCCTTATTTTCAAATGTTTTTAGAATTTGTTATTCAATATTTTTATTTTGTAACTTTCAATTGGGAAATTTTTCCAGGGCATTGGGAATTTTAATAATATACAATTTTCAATTGCGAATATGACCAAATATCAGCTATAAAATAAGCCAAAAAAATCCCTGGGAAATAATGATAAAGACTGACCAACTGACAAGCTGACTCCTATATATCCCCTAAACTTCATATTGTGGGGGTATAATAAAACAATAGCTGTGAGAAGGGCAACCTACTTGACTATTCTCAGTGTGTGATAGTAAAAGTGTGTGAAGTTTAAAACATATTTCCCTCTTAAGGGCTAAACTTTAGAATATGTCCGCAGCTATTTCTAACATTATGATTTTATCATATCATTTTTTTGATATTTGTTTCTCTACAAAATCACTCAGATTACTTCTTAGTGTTAGTGTTACAGGTGAGTAGTGTTATTATGGGTTAGGATGAAAAGGTTATGGGTTAGGAAAGGGATTTTAAAACATTGATTTTGCTGCAGACAGATTCTAAAAGTGCTCCCCTCTGTAGTTTTAAAGATGTGTATATAATTTGCTAATTTTTAGAAGTCAGTTTTGTCTATACATTTTACTGTGTATATGATTGTATGCTTGGGGTTTTTCTGCTTAAATGTTTATATGTTTTATGTAGTCTGTGATGTTTATCTTATCTGTAATGTTCATCTTAATGGATAATTATTTATATCAGATTTTAATACGGGGAAGTCAAAGACCAGGCCCGCGAAGCGGGTCCGGGCTTTGGCTTGCCCGGCTATAGACTACATGTGTATATTCAAAAGAAAATCAAATAAAAAAACAATTAAAAAATATATATATAGAATTCTATACCTATCAATGAAATTTTCAGTGTCAGTTCTAGTCGGGCGCCGCCATTTACAATGTAACTTAATGATAATGGCGGGGTATTCCGATAACGGAACAAATCTCAACTTTTCGGATTAATAATAATCGTCGAGTCTTCCGAATGAAAACAGAAGTGATGTATTAAATACCGAATGACACCTTTAAAACAGATAGAGTGAAAATAAATTTTTTAACGACTTCCCCATTCATAGGCTTTGCCTAATTTCATATTAAACATTACTTCTTACCTTTGTATGATATTGATGACTGTTAGTGCAATGCTATTTGCCTTATCTACTGTAACCATGTTTTTCATATATCATATCTTTAACAAACGTATCATATTTCAGTAGTCGGTGACTCTGTGTAAAGAGCTCATCAGAGCTTATGTTTATTATTGTATGTATCCAACTTATAAATAAAATTTACTTGATTTGACTTGAACAACTTACATGCAAAAACTTAAGTTAATAGTGCACTAACAAAGTTCTATGCTCCTGTGTTTATGAATAAATTATGCAAATGAGCCGCCATGTTGGAGTTTCGGTAAGCGTGTTGGAAATTGCTACCTGTTTGTTTTGAAAGCTCGTCCTAACTAACAGTTTCCTTGAATGTAGGAAAACTTGGTTTTGTTTGATTGCATATTGAATGATAGGTATTACAAAATAAATATAATGAAAATCGATCAATAAATAATTGTATACGAGCGTTATAAAGTCAATTTAATTCACCAGAATAATAAGGTTCTGTTGCAGGGTATCGGTAAAAGACTGATTTTTTTTTCCGTTTTTGAAATTTATTTGATCACGGAGACAATTTTTCTCAAACAGGTTTATGAATATACTTTACGTTGCAACAGAGTTTACCATGTGTCCATTCCTTATTTAAATTGTCTGAGAAGTTAAATCTGTTTGTTTACATGTAAATGTGAACCGTCATTTTGACCGACTGGAATAAAAACTACCATGACGATGATAATACGGATATGTAATAAAAATTATGCCGTGTAGTGCAAAGTTTTGGACATTGAAATTAAAATTAACACATACTCAACATTTGACTCAAACTGTTCTTTGTCAGCAAAATTGAAACCGAAAGTAGTGGTTGTTCTAGAATTAAATCGAATGAAATGGGTGGGATTTAACCACCGTGCATGCCCTGTGCGAACGTATTGTTTACATCCGGTCGTAGCATAGGGTAATAGTGCAAACTTTGTTAGTGTAGTGTAAACTGTAACACCGATGCTGATGCCATTGATTGAATTTTTTAGCTAAATACAATAAAGGCAATACAGACAATACAGCTAGCCAATACCTTCCACAACTGAATTGCTTGTATTATACATGCATGAATCATATTTTATCTGTTTATATCAATGAGTCATTTTAAAAGAATTTGTATCAACTTTGTTTGAGTTTCATAGCTCCAAAATATTTATCACTATGAAAAATTCAACGAAACAGCACTAAAATGGTATATGCTTTCTTCGAGACGTCATGTCATACACAACTATAAACGGTGTCAAACACTTTCCTTAGCATCCTAATTTTGTTTACATTTGTATGGTCGCGAAAATACATGTCACACTCGCTAAACGCGACAGTCAGCAAAAAAATTTTCAGAACGAGAAGATTATAACGATAAAATGAATAAAGAATTTACCTGTCCATTAAAGTCGTCACCGATCCATAAATAATACCAGAAACATCGAGCTTAACCATTGCAGACATTTCGAGTGATTCCGATATGTTTGGTTAAGTAAAATTAAGTGCGAACAAAATAAAATAGAGCGCTGTGGGCTTGAAAACAAGAGGGCCAAGATGGCCCTAGATCGCTCACCTGACCCATCGAGCACATCAGAACAATTACCTAGATTTGTAAGCATTCTGACCAAGTTTCATGAAAGGTGACTAGAGTGTTAACAAGAACCTAAAAATCATCAAAACAAACTTTCAGACCAACAGTAGCCACAATCTAGAGTGTTAACAAGATTTTTTTATTTTTAGCTCCTGTGACCTAGTTTTTCATCCGAGATGACCCATGTTCGATCTTATCTGAGCAATTACCTAGACAAGCATCCTGACCAAGTTTGATAATAATTGAGTTAAAAATGTGACCACTAGAGTGTTAACATGTTAACGAACAAGTGTGGACGGACGACAGACGACGAACGACGAACATTCAACAATCCTAAAAGCTCACCCTGAGCTAGCTCAGGTGAGCTAAAAAGTGTTTAAAACATGACACCATCACACCAGCAACACGGATAACACAAAAAAGAGAGACACTTATTTCCATTGTGGCCCACTGTGTTGGTGGCAAGACATAGCGAGACTTTATCCAGTGCAAATAAATACTTTCAATTAAATATTATCATTTATTATCAAAGTTAGATTGCAATTATTTTAACACCGACTAGACTTACAGCATTGTATCACATTATTCAATTAAGATAGAATAAATTAACGAAGAAGCAAATGATAAAATTAATAAGCATTAGATAGTTAGCTTAAGACAAAATTCAAACATTCGAGATCATTGAGTCCAGCACTTTTAAGTGTTGAGAATTGAACACCACTCAAGCCGGTACTAGAGGGCGTGAAGGATGTTGCATTTTTATTATCCCTCATGCACAGACTCAATCAAAAAGAGTCTGCAGTTTTCACGTAATTTTGCTGTATTTAATGCTTCCGTGGGATCACGTTTTTTCCAGATATTCCATTAAATAATAATAAAATTATTCAATTATAAAATTCATTATATCACCTTCACAAACTTAAACCTATTGATAAAACATTTGGCAAAATACCAAGACGCAACCATGAAAAAGTAGGAATGAGAATTTAAAAATGAGATTACTTAAACTAAAAGAAATTCATCATTAAATATGAAAATGATTAATGAAATGAGTTAAAACCATTCCTATAAAGAAAAAAAACATATATAGATTTAAAAACTCATATAAAAAGTATTGAAAAATTACAAACTTTCCATTAGGTACTTCTTAACAGATACTTTGAAAGAAGGTAGCCGGCAAATTTTAGATAATTCAGCTGGCAAACTGTTCCACAACGAACAACCCACAAAGTGAAGGACTTGGAATCAAATTAAACCTTTGGGATTGTAAATGCACCCTTGTTGTAACCTGATCCTGTAAGAATGAACAGTGTTCTGTGTGAAATATTATTCCATGTAATCTGGAGCAAGACCATTTTTTGCTTTAAAAACATGACAAAGGATGATCTGATCTACACGTTTATTAAATGGTACAGTATACCAGTTGAGTGAGCGAAAGTGATTTGGACCAGTATGTGACTTGGCTTTCTTTAGAGATTCTTTTTTTCTCTATTTTGACATCATGACCAAGGACAAAATATGGCAAACAATATCAACAAGAACCTAATCAGCTTGTTCTGAATTACTTGAAGTTTATTTTTAAGGAACTGGGACAGGTTGAACATATTGAGCAGCATTTGTTCTTATGTGTAATAGTTCTTGTATTTATTTATTATCATCAGATAAAAATGCAACAGCAGTTTAATAACAACATCAGTTATTGCATATTTTTTCATTCGTCAAATTTTAATTATTCATACATGTATTTTATGTACAACTTTCCGTCCGTTATGCGATTGGTAGTCAACCTGTTACTCTTTATATTTACGATGCACTGATCTTTGTACAAAATCAGTGACATGTGCCAAAATAACATGTACTAGCGGCAGACTGTAAGCTGTGATAAATACACGGGAAAACGCACCTTTGAGCATCATAGAATAAAGGATTTTCTGGAGGAGCATGCCTGCGTATTCCCCCCGCCCCAGAACCAGCAAATTTGCCGCACGTGCGCATCATAAAACGGTGTCGATGGACCTGTATCAGTTGAGTTTTTCCTTTATGGACCAATGAAGAAACAGCACTGTTACATATCAATACAGTTTTCAAATCCTTACTGAAGATTGAAAAGTGTACTGAATATATCTTTCAGAACAAAGAAAAAAGTCCGAACCATGTGATAACAAGAAATAGAATCCCTAAAGAACGCCCAACACGTCAAAATAGAGAAAATAAGAATCTTAAAAGAAAGTCCAAAACGACAAAATTGAAAATGTTGCAGGCTCGGTTTGATTGAGCCTGTTCATGGACGGTACTGTAAAGTGCAAACTACCGTCCACGCCCCTATCACAGGCTTAAGCAGAATTCTACATTTTAACATGAAAAAGGTGAAATTTTGAATTTAGAAACATCTGAATATGTATTCATACGGTGGTTATCATGGAACCTTCAATGTGACACGTTCTTGCCATTCCATAAAAAGCGGCGTATGGTCCCCAATTAAAGAAATGTGTGTGCCTTAAACGAGAAAACAATGGGCGGAACTAAAAAAATTTTGAATTTTGAGAGGGGGTCAGAGTTTATGAAGCCTGCATATCACAGATAAGACGTCAAAAGACAAAGTTAAAAAGCAGGCAACATATCCTAAGGGTGATTCAACATTATTCAAGTTGGAATATTGGAACCATCCAACTAGAAAATGCCAAAAAGTGAAAACTAAATGCACCACAAACACAACAACAATGTCATGCTAAACGATCTTTAAGTATAAAAATATAACATCCCTGATTGCATGTACGGGGCGACTTTTTACAGCTTCCACACGGCACAAACAACGCTGATGTGGCAATAAAATAGAGAAAATAAGAATCTCTAAAGAAAGTCCAAAACGACAAAATTGAAAATGTTGCAGTTGAGTCTGGTTATGGACGGTACTGCTAAATGCAAACTGCCGTCCATTTCCGTGTTTTAATGTTGAATTCTGCTTAAACCGGTGCATGTTCATGTATGTAAAGTGGTTTTATCATCAATATGTTTGTTGTAAACACATTATGACACAAAATTTCATTAATGAATACATAAATATTACGTACAAAATAATGGTACAAAATTTTCTTATTTTGGATTAATATTTTTACATGTTGTTTGTATGTCTTGTTTTTGAGTATATATTTAGATTATAAAATACATAGTTAATTCTTTCTCTTTCAGGTTTTATTTTTCTGTGTATAATGGCGATCATTTTATTCCGATTAATAACATTTGTCCTTCTTTTTCAGCTTTTATCATTTGTGAATACGGTTTAACATAGATTAAAAAAATCATATTTTACAGACTTCAATTAATCATGAAATGTGTATATTTGTGTTAATTTTAAATCATTTTCCTTTTTTCAGGCTTCACTTATATATACGTACATGTATATATTTTTGTGATGTTGTTTGTTTACTGAGATCATTTGTGTTGAGTTATGTTTTTATGTAAAATATAACTATTATAGGCCCCCTAAGTACTAAAGAAAATAATAAATAATAGGTTTAAATTTTTAATATCTTGTCTTTAATTGCATGAAAATGTGTGATAAACAACAGATTTAATTAGACCCACGATAATTGACGTGCCCTTTATACAATGATAGATATTTTTTGCACTATATAAATTAAGTTCGACGAAACTACAACCTGTTTTATTATATAAGATTAGTTCGCCGAACCGGTAGTTCGACGAAACCCCTCTCACCCACGGTAACTTGCATCATGAACAGGCTCAATCAAACCGAGCCTGCAAAATTTTCAATGTTGTCGTGCTGTGCTTTCTTTTTCTCTTAACCATCCATCCGGTTTAGGACGATGCCTTTTGATCATTCGTTAGAATATTATAAGTCATGTGACTTTCAGAAACGTCACCAAAATGGCTGACGGACCTACGAAAACAGATATTCAAACAATTTTTAAAAGACTACGATCTATACCTACAAATAAGGTTAAATGATAATTTATTTTATGTCTTTTTATTGTGTCATTCTATTTATTCCGCAATTTATCCATTTTGTTCCAAGAGTGACATAATAAACAAATGTTGACAGCCGGTGCGCTGTGGAACGTGCCATGTCACTGATGGTGTTGTTGACAAATTATGACTTTATCATTATGACTATTTTTATCACAATGGCTTACTCTATCATCTACAACATTTTCATGTCAAAATTCTTAAAAGATATGCAATTAGACCCTGTTCTAGGTGTCGTTTTGTAAAAACAGATGTTTTTCAAATTTTGACATAACACAAGAAAGAAAAAGAAATTAAAAATCTAAATCTCTGATGAGATTGTATATCTATTTCTCATCAAAGCATCATGAGTTGACATATTTTCATTATTGTAAAACTCTAAATAAAATTTGATGTCATTTTTTGGGAGGGAGGAGGTTTATTGTTGTTGAAGTATGCACTCGACCCTAAACCAACCTGGCTTGGGTGAATAGGTAGGGTCAAATTGACCTTTTACCAACTCGGCACATGACAACTGCCTGTGCTCTCTAATAAACCTAATATGAAATTAGGTGCTACCTATGGCGCGGAAAGCTCTTATGAATTATGATTTTAGCATAACATAGTTAGTGTACTTGTAAACCAGATCTTTTTTGAATAAACAAAACGTATAAATTGGTGGTGTTCAACCTGTCACCGGAAACGCTCGGCCTATTCCGAAAAACTCCGGACCTCTGCGCATGCGTCGGCGTTTGGAAAATCCCGTCCGCCATTTTTGTTAATCTCTAATCACAGTTGTTGTTTTTACGTTATTTTTAATGTGCTAATTTATCAAAAAGGATATGTTTGAATAACTTTTTATATTTATAGTCGTTACTATAATTCTTATCAATGAAATGCAGGTTTATTTTCTGATTTTGTACATCATTCTTTCACCGGAAGTGTTACTAAGCATGCGTCTGCAATAGTCTGAATTATGTAGACGCTCATTAAAAGCGTTCAAAAGGATTTCAAAATGGCGGCGCCCAGTTAACTTAGGATTTTTTCGCAGCCCATTAGGTATAGGATATATATTTTTTTGAAATTTTCATATAGTTTGAATTTGATTTCCTTTAAACTGATACGCGTCATACATGTTATCTAAGAGCGCTACAGCCCTCGCGGGGCCTTCGGCCCCGCTCGGACTTTCCGCGTATTAGGATATAGATTGTTTAGTTAATAATAACTTTTTTAAAGAGTGATTTACTAATATGAAAAAGGCAAAGCCTCAAAGCGAGCTCGATGTACTTTTAACTTGAAATAGTATGAAATAATCTCTCATTTTTATTTCAAATGCAGTGACGAGTGCGTGTGACGTCACACGTACTGTGTTACATATGGCTCCGCCCCTGTCGTTAAATGAATAACGCGTTTTGAAAACGTTGATAAAACTTTGTTTGTTTATTTTATTTCACTCTATAATTTTTAAAGCGAAATAAAAATTATTAAAATTGAAATAAATGTAAAACTTTAAACGTTTGCGACATTAAAATAGCGTACTTGATTTGATTGTTTTGCACGTGCTGTTTGGCGCTACATTGTGACGTCACGTAAACAATACTTTAAACGTCTGTACAGCGTTAACGACTGAATAAAAGATATTGGTGTTCGGATTCATTTTCTTAGTTAGACCATTTTCTTTCATTCTAGATAGTTTTCACATCAAAGTTCGACAAAAAAATGTTTTTATTTATCAGAGTTTTCAAACAAAATGGCGCCTTCAATTTTCATTTTACATTTTCCGTTTTAAAACTGTCATTCGATATTTTATACACAGCTTCCGTTATTCTGGTTCCCTGTCCAATTATGATTCCCATAGACGTGCGCGGGTGACCAGTCTACATATCCGTTTTCAGTCAGAATTCCTTAGTTTTTATCGTTATCTTTAAATTCGAAAAGTTGCGATGTGTCCAATTCGTTTTTTCGGACGAAAGTTTTCAAAACCATCACTTAGCAGGTACTCGCGTTACCGTAAAGCTCGCTTTGCGAGCAGGCCCTTCGGGCCAGCTCGTCAAGCTCCCTATAAAACAATTCAGAGGTATGATCACTAACAAATCGAAATTAAAAAAGTCAACATCATATTGATGTTGAAATTATTTTTTTTTTTAAAGACATGTCAAGACAAGATGTTTTTTGATTGATTCATAAATAAAGTTTTTAGATTGGATTTTGTGTCAATGAATGTAATTACATTAAACACTGTTTCTTCTTTATAGTACGCTAATTGTAATGCTGTTTGAACAATCTTTTCTAAAAAATATCTGAACTAGACTAAACATCATTGCCAGATACCCGTGGCAGAATTATTTAACATTTTCTCAGTTGTTGGTTTTTTGGCCTATATCCAGTCAATTAGAGGTGGGTCAAAAACAGCTTTTTCACTGCTTGCCTCACAATTTCATAAGGCAATTATTAAACCAATCAAAACGCTTGTTCTATGTGATGTTTGGTATGACAGACAAAATTGCAGCAAACAATTAAATTCAGGTGTGAAAAGGTGAATATAAAAAGTGTGAACAATGTGTTGATGATGTTGTGAAGGAAAATTTTGTGTATACGTCTATTAGAAGAGAATAATTGTTTTACAACATCTATATTGTACAGTACTTACCCATTCAAAAAGTAACTAAACATGTCATCTGAATAACAAATTTTCCTTCTGAGACAAATTAAAAAAAATCCCTCATTGCGTTTTTCAGCAATGTTTTGACTGTGGGAGTAACAATCCAACATGGGCAAGTGTAACATATGGAGTGTTTCTATGTATAGATTGTTCTGCAGTACACAGATCACTGGGTGTTCATGTCACATTTATACGCTCCACTCAACTTGATACAAACTGGACATGGCTGCAACTTCGAGCAATGCAAGTTGGAGGCAATTCCAATGCTGTGAGTATATTGATTACTGATCTACAATGAATTGCTTACAAAATCATACATTAAGTTTGTAACAATTCTAATATTTTAAATAGGTTTTTAATTAACCAATTATATCAATAGTGATTTATTTAAATACTAGTTAATTTGTTTGATTCTCTAAAGCTCTAATTAAAGGATGTCCAATTTAGACAGTTCTAAGTCATTTAGAGATTAGTGTATATATAAGTTTGTTGATGGTCCTATTTCTAGAAGGTGTTTTTCACCAGTCTATTGTTAATTTTTTCTCCAGTCTATTGTTAATGGGTCCACGACCCTTTGAGTTGTGAAAATAAGTGCTGCAATGACATTATTTGTGAATATATTCCTATTTTATACTGTTAAAATTTAGCTACTAAATGGGGAACCAAAGAAAGTTCAAATCATGTGTTTGAAAATGCCTTTATTAATGATAAAGAACTTATTGAATATAATCCTACAATTTTGTGTCTCTGTTTCCCATGTTTTGAAGTTATTGACAATTTTGTCACTAACTTTTATTTAACATTTGTAAATTTTCATAAAAAAATTGTGGAAAAAAATGCTTTGTGAAAGGGGCCCAAATCCCGCACCAAAGCTCTGTGGAAAAAAGAACAGTGTTAAAGTACGACAAATGTAAGAACATATGAGATTTTGTATCTGTTTGTTTATTGTTGGAATATTCATGTATTATTATAAAGTAAATTTTTTGTTAAAAAATGGAATTTTGTAAAATGAAGAAGTTTTTGGTTGATGAAAATGCAGTGTGTAATGTGTATCTAAGCATTTCATTCTTACATGTTGCAATGCATTAATGAGAGGTGTTTTTTTTCATTTTTCAAGATGTCTTTTTTCCGACAACATGGTTGTACAACAAATGATGCCCAGCAGAAATATCACAGTAGAGCTGCCAGAATGTATAAAGATAAATTACATTCTTTAGCCACTCAGGCTATGAGACTCCATGGCAGTAAGGTAACTATGGTTATTTTAATTATAGTTATTTATAAAATATACAGTGAGGCTGAGCTGTTAGAGCCATGTGTTGCTATGTTGTATTTTAAAGTCTTGTATTTTCACTGCATGTGTGTCATTATAATATGCAGCTTAGATTAACATGTATGTCTATGTTCCTAGATTATATTCAGGAGGAAAGTTTAAATGATAGTTATCTAATTACCATTAATACCTAAAGTAAATAAACTAATGGAATGGTCTTCCAAGGGTTCAGTGGCTCTTACTTTAACATTTTAAACTGATCAAATATTTGATTAAAATTTGAATGCAAAACAAAACTTGAAATAAGTTTTAAAGTCAAGAAAATATATAAGAGCAAATTCAGAAGGCATTACTACATTTTACATTCTTCTGCCGTATAAACAAGATACATGATGTAAGACTTCCTTGTTTAAGCCATTTTATATATAATAACAATACAAAATGGAAACCTTCCTCTTTCTTTATTTATACTTATGTCAAAAAACGAAGATTAATTTTTTGAGTTAATAATTTATAAAAATAAAAGTTTGTGTAATGATATTGCTTTAAAATTATTTGTAATGTTATATTGATAAAAATGTATATGATTGCATTCATAAGAGAAACATTTATTTTTGTTACAATCAATGATATTTTTGAGGAAAAGTGAGAAAAAAATTATAAATTTTTTAACTCAGAGATTGTTGGAGACCAGGAAAGGTTCAGATGGCAAGGTCAGATTTGGGAGATATATTTATATACTTTCACATCAGTTAAAAATCTTGTGTTGTAGTGTATTTCACTATATTGTTTCCTATAATTTATTTCAAAGACATCTTCTCGTTTATGTCTTGATATTAATTGTAAAAACTGTCACATACACAGTAGTTTTAGCTGGTAGAGAAATCAATATTTAAAGTACATGTACAAACATTTTGGTGTGTTAATGTCTTTGCTACTACCTTTTCTCAGTTTTTTAAAACTTGAACATTGTAGATTATATTGACCGAAATAAATCTGTGTTTGTTGAATTGATGTTTATCTGCAAAAAAAAACAACAACAGAAAAAAAACATACAAACAAAAATAAGAAAGTTCAATCAATTTGCTTTAAAAACTAACATTATTATTTCATTTTTAAATTTTATATGAAACAATATTAGATATTGACAGTTTTTTATAGTTAAGGTGTTATTTATACCAAGATAAAAATGTGAGCATTAGTACTGTTATATCTTTTCATAGTTTTATTCTTTGTTCACATGGCTATTTACTTTTTACAGTTGCACTCTAAAGTGCGAAAATCTGATGTTAAAGTATAATACATTGTTACTTATTTAAAATGCTTGTTTATTTGCAATTCATATATAATCTGCTTCAATATTATCTTAATTTAGAGCATTATTAACATGTGGGCATATTTTAGATGATAGTTTAGTAGTTAAATGTATAGTTGCCAGGGTTTAAATCTGATAGAAGAAAGATGGAAATTTAACTGTTGAATCTAGACATATTGTTTCCTCTTTCATGGGGTATACCTCTCTTCATTGAGTCAGGGCCGACAAAGTCTCATTTTTATTTACTAGTCTGTTTTTTTTCTGAGGCATTTCTTAACTTGTCTGTATGATATTTATATAGTAAATTCTTGGAAATTGCTACTTGTCCGTACAGGTTGTGGGAGAACCTGGGCAATACAGACAGTTGACTTTTGCCGCCCCCTGATAAGATACCAAGATATTTTTGTATTTTGCTCTGTGAATGTTTATATACTTGTTTGAGCAGTACATTTAAGAATTTTTCAGTTGTCTTTTATTATTATTATAATGTTGACCAAGGTAGCATATAGGAGGTGGTAAAGAAGCTTGTCATGTTGTCATGAACAATAAGAGATGAACATTGTTCATATTTAATTTGTGAAATGTAAAACATTATGTTCACATAATTGAATATATAAAGTGATCATAGTGTAAGTAAATATGCAATGCTTATATCTTGATGTGTAATCATTCATGTTTAAATTAGAGATTTTTTTTAAACAGGGGTAATAAGTCCAATAGGATATGTTTTTATCCTGAAAGAGGAAACAAACAGTTTATTTGAGTTTTTATGAATGCAGCAGCATATGGGTTAAATGCATGTGACTTGCGGACCTTCATTATAAGTTCTTGTCATATGAGGAACCTCATATCATAGATGGTTTTTGCTTTGGAAAACATTATTATATTTGATGTGTCACAAAGTGATTTATTAGCATAAAGGAGTCTATAAATATCAGTCTCTTGGAGTTCTTTAAACATGATTTGCACAGCAAATTTCTCATTTAAAAAGCTGGCTCTTAACACATGTTTGCAGAAACTTGGCTTTAGTTGCAAATAATAAGTGGATTATATTGTACTTACAATTGTGATATCTGTTATAAAACTACCTTAAATTCTATTTATTACTTATTCCAAAATTTCTTTATTAGTTCCAATGTATATATGATAAAACATTGTTGTATTTTTATTTTAGTTACATATAGAAAGTCATCATGATCCACAATCACCAGAAACTAAGGAGGTTGATTTTTTTGCTGAACATTCCGACATACAGCGTGAGGAGGAACCTCAACCTAACATGCCCGTCACCGAGGGTCAGAAACTAACACAGCCTATTTCTATTGAGAATGGTAGCGTTAAGAAGGAGGCGGTGTCTCTAGGAGAAGGGGAGGGGCCTAATGTAGAGCATGCCTTAAGTATGTCCCCCACAGAAGCAATGGCTAAGGCAGAACCAAGGAAAGCTCTTATAGGTGCCAAGAAAGCACCAGCTAAGAAAGGGGTATGCACAGATTAGATATTCATTTAAAATTTGTTACTTTCTAATGTATAAGTTATTACATATGATAGTGTGATTTAGTTGATCAAAATGATTTTATGTAATAATTAAGGTTTTTCTTATTGAGTCAATTGTTACATAATATTATAATCCAAAATATTTGTGAATTTTTTTTCTGTTCATTTATCTTGTCTAATATTCTGGAATATTAGGCCACTCCTGATACTATTTAAATTTGTTGTAAACTGAGTGGTAAGAGTGTGTTTGGTGAGAGGCTGAGTGGTGAGAGACTTTTTGCTGAGTGGTAAGCATCTGGTTGTTGAGTGGTTAAAGTCTAGTTGCTGAGTGGTTACTGAGTGGCAAGAGTCTGGTGGCTGAGTGGTTAAAGTGTTGTTGCTTAGTGGTTGAATCTGATCACTGAGTGGTACGAGACTGGTAGCTGAGAGGTTAGTCTTGTTGCTGAGTGGTTGCTTAGCTGGTTTCTCTGGTCACTGAGTGGCAAGAGTTTGGTCACTGAGTGGTTAAGAGTCGGAGTGTGGTTGCTTAGTGACTAGAGTCTGGTGACAGAGTTGTTAGAGTGTTGTTTCTGAGTAGTTAACTATTTGGATGTGACGGCTTGCCAGGCTCAATACTGATGTCATAGTTAAGTATTTATTGTTGTTGTCAAGGTGAGGATATATTAACATATTTACTGTATTTTACAGAAAGGAGGATTTGGAGCACAGAAAGTAAAGACAGACTTTAAAGAGATAGAGAATCGTGCAGAGCAAAGAGATAAAGAACGCGAGTCAATGGCCGCAAACATGGCAATACAGGAAGCTAAAACTAAAGAAGAACAGGAAAAACAAATGTAAATATTGATTAAATATTATTGTCTTTATGGTAGTACTAATGTATTGAGCAGAAGGGAAATGGGAGTATTTTTATATTATTGTAAATGGATTGTAAGATTATATTTCTTCCATTGTGGCTTATACCGCAGCTAATGCTCTACAGTAACTGGTATGCTGACATTAATAATTTTAATGTTTATTTGAAAATAAGTTTAAAGTTACATCCTCATTTTCTAGGAGCAAAGGGCAGTGCATAATATGGAAAAGACAAATAGAACCTTTAACTTTATGGGGTTTTTTTGTGTGTGACATATGTTTAAATCAGATAAACAAATATTAACTTTAAAATGTTTTATTGATGTATGATGCAATGTTAGAGAGAAAATTGTACATTGCTCATAGAAAACTGTCTATATGTATAGAGTTGATTTACTTCAATCAATATAAAGCTAACATTGTCTTCAATATGTCATATTGACATGTTGCTAGATATAATACTCTGAACATATTTAATATGATATATAATTATGACATAAAGTTCTCAAGGGAAATTAAATGTTTTAATATACTTTTTAGCTTACAGCAGATCGATGATTCTGTGCATGTACCTAGTTCATATAAAATGATGCACACTGACAGAGACAAAATCTGGTGTCTTCATCCAAGTGTAAAGTTAGAAAGTCATCATTTGACCCTAACAGTGTTTTTTTTGTGAATTGATATTCAATATAATTAATAGCAAGGCTGTGACAAGCTTATCAAGATATTAGTTACAGTGTCTATACAAATTACCTACAGTCATCAAATTTAGCACTGGCCCGGTGGCTCACGGCCAGTGAAAAATAGTTCAGGCCAGTGAAAATTTCAAGAAAATTTAGATAAATATATAGTAGAATAAATTCAAAACTGGAATTCGGGCTAGTAAATTCAAAATCTTAAATTCATTGACAGTACCTATTACATGTATATTTTAGAGCAGGCAGATGACTATTATAATCATGATATTACAGTGTGTGTATATAAATAAAGTGTATTATAATTTACAGGGCAAGTATGTGAGCGACCATAAATAAAGTGTATTGTATTTTACAGGGCAAGTATGCGACTAGCTTATCAAGATATGAGTATGGAAAGGAAGAAACAAGAAGAGAAGTTGAAAACTTCAGATCCAAAGAAAGCTGAACAGATGGAAAGATTGGGGATGGGATATGGAGGTTCTAGGTAGATAGATATCTTTTTATGTTTGCTTTAATCATGCAACCGTGTCAATTAAATGTATTGTTTAGTAAAATATACTTACATGAACTTGTGATATATATCGGTTGATTGTGAGAAATATTGATGACTGCAAATGTTACAATTGACTATGGTGAAAGTGGACTGTGGATTACAAAAAAAACAACTTAGAATAAAAATTTATTGTAATATAAATTGAGAAAAGAAGCAATATTAATGTCAAATTAGTTTATGGTTTTTATTAATTCAATGCCAATCAAGTGATAAAAACCTATGAATTCAGTGATTTTAATCTACACTATCAGTATAGAATCTACTGCCCTTAACTCTAAGCCTGCTTATGGCAACAAATTCTGCCAAATTTTGAAAAATAATAAAGTTCATTTATGATATATAGCATGGTAGAAATTGTTAAAATGTACTTGTTGAATATTTGAGTGGTGAGCAACTTTTTGTGGTCTCCATCATGTTTATATGAAAGTCCTGTAATGGAATAGCACTATGTTAAGTTTATGTATTTATTTAAAAACGGTAGCTTGACGTTAAAACATTAAATCCCCGAAAATCTGTGTCAAAGTTAATTATTTAAATTGAAATCAGGTATTTTTTCTCGCATTTTTTGAGTGATTTATTATGTGATGATCTTAATATGAGTTGCAGCATTTGTTTTATATGTTTATATATATAAGTGATATATTTGTATGTTGTTTACAGAGGTATAAGCCATTCAGCTATGACAGATATGCAAACTATAGAACAAGTGGGTGTAGACAATAACAAATATAATGCAGATAAATATGAAAGACGCAGTAATAAAAATTCCTTCTTTGAAGACGAGATGGAATCATACAGCGGAGGTTTCTCATCAGGACCACCCAAGTAAGTTATCATAAAAATGCCTAAAATGTGATAAAATTCCATTTAAATTGTTTAAAAAATTTATTCACAGACAGAAAACCAAAATTAAATTAAAAAAAGAACACAGCTTATCTTTAACATAACATTATAACTTAGTAATATTCTAAACCAGTTATAGTTATAGTTCATACAAATTTTAATTATGCCCCTGCCATGTAATGGCCGGGGCATATAGTGTTACCCTGTTCCGTCATTCCGTCCTTCCGTCCTTCTGTCATTCCGTCATCATCAGTTTCCGTTCATTATCTTAAGAACGGTTGCACACATTCAACTCAAATTTGACATATGGATATGTCATGAGAAAATACAGGTCAAGTTCGAATTTGGTCATGGTTCGATGATTTTTGGCAGAGTTATGCCCCTTTTACTTTGAAAATAATATGAAATTTCAGTTTCCGTTCATTATCTCCCCAACGGTACAACACATTCAACTCAAACTTGACATATGGATATGTCATGAGAAAATACAGGTCAAGTTCGAATTTGGTCATGGTTCGATGATTTTTGGCAGAGTTATGCCCCTTTTACTTTGAAAATAATATGAAATTTTCAGTTTCCGTTCATTATCTCCCCAAAGGTACAACACATTCAACTCAAACTTGACATATGGATATGTTTTTGGAATGCGCAGGTCAAGTTCAAATTTGGTCATGGTTCAATGATTTTTGGCAGAGTTATGCCCCTTTCACTTTGAAAGTAATATGAAATTTTCAGTTTCCGTTTATTATCTCCCCAATGGTACAACACATTCAACTCAAATTTGACATATGGATATGTTTTTGGAATGCCCAGGCCAAGTTCGAGTTTGGTCATGGTTCAATGATTTTTGGCAGAGTAATGCCCCTTTCACTTTGAAAATAACATGAAATTTACAGTTTCTGTTCATTATCTACCCAACAGTGTTACATATTCAACTTAAATTTGACATATGGATATGTCAAAGGAATGGACAGGCCAAGTTGGAATTTGGTCATGGTTTGATGATTTTTTGGCAGAGTTATGTCCCTTTCACTTTGAAAATAATATAGATACATCTTAGGAATAAGCAGTTTAAGTTTGAATTTGGTTGTAGTTCAATGATTTAAGACAAACTTATCTTTCATGAATGTTGGAAAAATTTTGAACTTTCACTTTCAGCACTCTTACTTTTAGCCATTATTTTGGCTACAAATATGCAATATGCTATTTTTAAAATGTTTAGACTGAATAATTTCAGTGCCTTGAACATTGTATGAAAATGGTTTGTGTTAACATTGAAAAGTTTTAAGGGCTTTGAACTTAAAATGAAAAAAATAATTAAAGCACCATCTGAAATTTTGGCTGCATGCGGGGGCATCCGTGGCATGATGACACATTTCTAGTTTAGTTTGATTGTGTTGGAAGCAGTTGTTTTCTTGAGCAAGAAACTTTACATTCATTGCTTAGTACTGGTTGGTTCAAGGAACGGATTTGAGAGTGTTCAATAAGCTTATAGCTTCCAACACAATCAAACTATACCAGTTTTAAATACATTTGTTTATGTTTACTTGTAATTTGTGTCTGATATTGTTTATGCTGAATTAAGTGAATAATGATAAATAATAAAAGCTTATGATCCAGTTTAAACACAAGTTATAAGTAAAAGAATAAAAAAATCTTACAGGTTTTTGAATAGAAGTGAACAAAGCATTTTATTGTACTCATAAATTATGAATAATTTGTTATATGATAGATCATATTGGAAGTAATTGTAATTATATTTGTAGATATGACAGTCCGTTTGGAACATCAGAAAGAAGTCGTAAAAATGATGATTTTAGCAGTGGCTGGGGTTCCAGTAATAGTGGAGGTGGGTGGGGTATGGACAGATTTGAAACTAAACAAGACACGTTCTCTGATACTTCAAGAAATGATGACAGGTTAGTGTGTTATATATAATGTAATGTCGTAAAGTAGATTTTAATAGATTAAGGATTTCTTCATATGTATTTTTCTAAGTTTCAGATTATCATATTTGACATATAAGATTTAACATAAATTGTTGAAATATAAAATATCTGTCGGTTTAATCAAGCATACCACACCAGTAAAAAAAAAGTTACAATTTAAATTTTTCTTCCTTCTGCACATAATTTTAGTGGTGTTGGGTATTTTAGGTGTTTTGAAAGTGTAATATATGTATATTTATTTTATTGGCAAACAAAGCAATGCTGAGGAAGATAATGTGGAGGAAGAAGGGTAATTGTCACCTGTCACCATTTATAATGTCATGTGCTTTAAATATTCTCTCAGTTATTTGTTACCTAGTCAATTATCTCTTCAACATCTATATTTAAATGACATAGTGGCACCTCATCGTCTTTTGGAATGGAGTTTGAAAATTTAAATTGATTTTTTCGAAAGCAAAAAAAATACATTTGAAAATTTCAATTGTTTTAAAGTTAATATGCAGAAATATTTTGTGTTTTTCCACTTATTAATTTATTTATACATTTATTTATTTAATGCACATGGTACATAATGAGGGAAATATCTTTCCTGTGATAAATATCACAAATCTTGGGTTATATTCATCATGTATATTTTATGTTTATTTATATCACTTTCATTTTGATAGACATATGAGAGTCACCTAATTGATATGATTCGGATTAATTGTATAAAATATTTAATATGGTAGGTCTCAATGTCATGGATTTGCTTCACTCTTGCCCTAATAAGTTAAAATAGTATACTTGAATTTAGAGCTGCTCATTCTAAGTGTACATCTAAAATTATGAAAATAGAACAACCTATGGTATAGACCATTGTCGAGCAAGCTGATCTGGCTCTATATTGGTACATTAGAAAGTTCATTTTTCTGCTATCATTATAAGTGTTGAATGTATAGAGGTATCTATTATGGTAAGAACATTAAACCTGTCAGCGAAACTTAACAACTTAACACCTGTTAAGATACCTTTAAACTTGTAATTATCAGAAAATAATCTAGTTTTTCTCAGCCATGTAAGCTGGAATATTAATTATGTTATTGTATATTAAAACCTGACAATAATGATGAATATGTTGGAAATTTGATTCATTTATATTATTATGGATATATATATATACCATCTTTGGTACTGGTTATATAGACCTGTATATTATCGTATGATTTATACCTGTAGTCATTTCTCTTTCTTTATTCATATTTTATGTTTATATACTGTCAATCAGGAAATATTGATGCATAAATCTCATTGTACAACATCTATTTTGGTGACCAATTAGTCATAATGTTCAAGCTATATACTATTTAACAAATTAAATATAATTTTTGCCGAGTTTACCCTGGATATGTAATCGCCAAATTTGACAAGATTTGGATTTTTTTTTTTTTTTTACTTTGGCAAACCATTAAACTCTTAGCATACAAGTGAAATGTAAGGCATTACGTCCATGGCAGAAGAGAAAATATTGTTTTATCTTATCTCACAGCTGGCATAATTAAGCCATTTTAATTAACAGTAATATTATAGAATATCTCATATCTGTGTTATATATTTTATTAATAGCAAATATTTTTTGATTGACAGTATTTATTGTAGGGACTGATTAGTCCGACAAATGAGGGATCACACTAGCTCAGTTCTTGAATATGATTTCCCATACCTTATAATGACAAATTTTATTTAGTTTATACACACATAAAGTACAAAAAACTTACTAAATTTCCAGCATTCAATGCAGTTATTGAGTTGATTCCTATTTAATATAGTCATGTTATTTTGAAATTACTCAAATAATAATAATAACCACAGTAAATGATATTATTTGTTTCAATCCATGGTCTGTACAAAAAATTTAAACATAAGTAATCTAGGAAGTTAATTGTGTGCTTTAAAAAAAAAGCAGTACATATTGAGTAACAAAAAAATCGAAGATAAAAGGGCACATGTTGTTGCCATATAAAATTGGATTGATAGGTATTGGGTGTAAGTGAATGAAGAAATTACAATTTTTACTATACGATTTTACAATTTGTAATTATTAGAGACTGTATATATACTATGATAATTTGTATTATTTCAGACCTGCTCGAACTAGAAAGGCCTACGATAATACAGAATCATCAAGCACGGAGGCCCAGAAAAAGTTTGGTAATGCCAAGGCCATCTCCTCAGACCAATACTTTGGTAAAAATGATATGGATGTAAGTACATACAAACTGACTATTATACCATTCCAATAATACATATAGCCAAGTAACATTATATTGTAAATTGATACTGTTTTAGTTATACACTTACCCAACTGAATAACTGTTGAGTGCTTTGATTGTTTTGAAAGATATTAGTTGTCTCCCTTTGAAGTGCTTAATTATAAATGGATAAAGTGTTTGCAAACTCATTGTCACGATTTTTAAGGTGCACTTTGTAAATATGAGAGATAAATACAAAACTGTTGTTCTCATAATTTGTGTCACAAAGTTTATAGTTGTAATTTAAACAGAAACAATTTCAAGATCAATATTGATAAACAAGGTTAAGTGGCAAACAGATATTACAAAAAAATACAAGAAACCGACTGCAAGAATACTTATACTTTTAACACTTTATCAGTTATATATGGTTGATTCAAAGATTCAACAGTTTATTTCAAGGAATATGTGCTTCCGGACCAAAATACACACCAACATGTATAAATTAAACATACATTGTTAATGAGTTGTGATAATACATTTTATATAGAGGATATTAATGTGTGTGACATATTTTACAGTTTGAGACGAGACAGAACTTGAACAAGTTTGAAGGTTCATCAAGTATATCAAGTGCTGAATTATTTGGTAATGGTGATAAGTCTCGTAAATCAGGTAGTGGGTACTACGGTAGCGGGCCAGATTTCCAGGACGTGAAGGATAGTGTAAAACAAGGCGTGTCAAAAGTTGCCGGTCGATTATCTAACATTGCTAGTGGCGTGATGAGCTCATTACAGGTGTGTATTATACGTAGGTTCCATCATGTATAGATGGAATGTGCATCTAGTATATTTATATGTATTATAACATTGTTAAACTTGCAAGGTCTTAAATTGTTTCAGCTTGAGATGTGTCTAATATACATATATAAGATATTTGTTGTTTTTTCTGAGTAAATATGAAATATATCTCATTATAGAATGATGCTGTAGAATGAAATGTTTCTAATATTGTCAGGAGCATTTAACAGAAAGGAAATGTACTTTTGAATTAAAATTTGCAAGCCTTATTTAAGTACTACATTTGAAAAATCATTATCTAATAATATGTATTGCCCTTCAATCTATGCTTAAAATGTCATCAAGGGGCGTCCGTGGCCGAGTGGTTAAGGTCGTTGACTTCAAACCACTTGCCCCTCACCGCTGTGGGTTCGAATCTCGACAGGGACTTTGGATTCTTTCATGTGAGGAAGCTATCCAGCTAGCTTACGGAATGTCAGTGGTTCTACTCAGATGCCCGTTCGTGCCTGAAATATAAACGGAAGGGCACCTGAGGTCTTCCTCCACCAGTAAAGCTGGAACGTCGCGATATGACCTATACTGTGTCGATGTGACGTAAAACCCAATAAAAAAAAAAAAAAAAAATAAATAAAATGTCATCACAATAAGTTCTTCTCTAGATGAAATTGAATTGAATTTTAACAATTTTGAAGGCATTTTTCTTTATGAATTTTATAATTAAGAGAAACTGATTGTATTGTGAACATTATTTAACAATAGACTGATACAAAAGTGGAACTGAAGTATAAACATTACTTAAAACTGAGTATGGGAAAATATTTATGTGTTTCAAACTTTCAATTATTGTATGAAATGGAGATTGGGAATAGAGTATATTTTTACCTATATTTACCTATATCCTGGTTTCTGGTTTTTATATTGGTAAAATTGTTATATATCAAATATTTAGCTATTACCTATGATTATTTTCAGAGAAATAAGTAACTTAAGATGTATGTGTGTAAGATATAGGTAATTTCCTTTATTTGTAAGCCTGGGAGAATAAATGAACAACCTAAATTCATGTTGTATACCTGAAGCTGTTTCGCTTTCAGCTTGTACAATTAAACACTCAATTATTTCATCGTTTCCTCTAAGATAATATTATATTTAAGGTCATATTTATCTATATTTTGCTCTGAGTCAGAAAACTGATTTAATATTAATAGGTTTTACCTTTATTGATGAAGAAAAATCAAATTTGTTAACTGTAAGTTACACAATAAAAGGAAATGTGTTTCCTGATTCCTGTATTATGTATTACATGTTGGGTGTTTAAAGGTATCCGGCATACGAGGGCAATGTATACTCCTGGTACAGTTACACCACTCTCTATACACATGGTTAAAATGTTGGGTTTTTCAATTTGACAAACATTTATACTGGTTAACAAGTTCTGTCAACTTTATTTTCAGTTTTATAACCTGCTTGCTAAATAAAGTCTGCAAATAACATAATGTTTCAGTCAGACATGCAATTATCATCATTATTATCATTACCATTTTTCATTTTCACAATAATTTTTATCATCATCACATCAATAACTTCCATTATCATGATCATTATCATCATTTCCATCATAATAATCATCATCATCATCATCATCATCATCATCATCACCACCATCATCACCACCATCATCATCATCATTATTATCATCATTCTGCATTTTGGGAAGAATTATCGCTAAAATTAAAAATATGAGAAAGTAAGAAGTTTGTTTCATGTATTGGGAAAACTGCATGATTATAAAGAAAATTCCTTTTTTAGACTTCAGTTATATAAATAATAAGGTGAAAAACCCCTCCAAAATAATCTCAAGCGTAATGAAATTTCCATTATAGCCTTCTATGTTATGATTTAATTTCAACAATTTGTTTAATGTGTAACAGAATAATGGTTATCTGTGGTCAAGTGGTTATGTTTGCCTACTCTGAAGCCCATTCTCTTTATTATCATAATTATAAATTCCAACAGAAACATTGAAATCAAACAACCTATTTTAACAAAGTTCAAGGGAGGAGGGGGGGAAGAGAAATTCTGGTGCAAGCTTGTACCTTAGTAAAATTATATACACAGGTGTGATTGAGTTCTTCTTCACTTGAAAACTTGCCATATTACTTTAAGAATTTTAATTGGACATTTAAAACCTAACAACACAACAAACAGGAACAAACACAGGAGAGAAAACTGTTCAAAAGTGTCTTATGTTGTTACCTCATCATTATGACATACATATTATCTTTGATCTTGTACCTATAAGTAACCTTACACTGTTTTATTATGTGAAGGGACACTGTAGTGCATGCATTGTTTACTTTCAGGACTGAAACATCATAGAGTATGTGCTACACTGTGTTGTCTGGTATATTAGCTTCCTCTCTTTGTTCTTGTGTTGCAATGTTCTCTATCTGTGACTAGCCTCTTGTCTTTTAATTAACCATTAACACTTCATTATACCATGTTTTCTTGTCTTATATATATCCATATTTTTACCATTATAGTGTATCCGAGAATTTGTTATTTTCATGGAATGAATTAATCACTAATATTAAAGATCCTGTATGTTTTGTGATTGATATTTTTACTGTATGAATACCACACTAGCAAAAAATTATATATGTACATATTTATGCAAATAAAACAATTTTCAAACATCGAAGAATATGTAAAATGTGTACTGCAAATATTTGTGCACATTATATTTAATCAATAAATTACAGGCATTCATTTCTTATTGGAAAATTTGACTTAGAATTTATAGAAAATATATTTCTAATTACCTCCCTTTATTTACATGAAATGTTAAATTGGGTAATATCTTTATAAATAATGCTTATTGGAACTTACAATATTGACAAATCTTAATTTGAGCATCATATTTATGAAATAAAACCATGAAAAAATTGTGTTACAGGATCTTTAAAATCTCTGGATATCATGACATCTCTGTCACTTCTACAGTAGTCATATTTTATGACAATGACAATGAGCTATTTTTTTTCATGATCTTAAAATACAACTTATCTGTTGTTTATTCAGGGGCATCTGTTAATTTTAAACAATCAGCTCATTTGAGGTAACATTTTCACCCAATCAGTATGAAACTAGGACAGAATGCTTCCTTCAATAAATTACAGGTCAATATTATATTTAAAGGGTAAAATGACTATGTCATTGCATCAAAGCAAATGAAAAACTTGTTAACTTTATAGTCATCACATAGTTTACCCAAACAATTGTTCAAATTGCTTTCATTATTTTAATAAAGGCAGTGAATTTGAAGATGGATCATCTTTGATCAAAACTAGGTCACATCATAATTGATTATGGATTATCTTTGATCAAAACTAGGTCACATCATAATTGATTATGGATTATCTTTGATCAAAATTAGGTCACATCATAATTGATTATGGATTATCTTTGATCAAAACTAGGTCACATCATAATTGATTATGGATTTTATCTTTGATCAAAACAAGGTCACATCATAATTGATTATGGATTATCTTTGATCAAAACTGGGTCACATCATAATTGATTATGGATTATCTTTGATCAAAACTGGGTCACATCATAATTGATTATGGATTATCTTTGACTCGAAACTAGGTCACATCATAATTGATTATGGATTATCTTTGATCGAAACTGGGTCACATCATAATTGATTATGGATTATCTTTGATCAGAACTAGGTCACATCATAATTGATTATGGATTATCTTTGATCAATACTAGGTCACATCATAATTGATTATGGATTATCTTTGATCGAAACTGGGTCACATCATAATTGATTATGGATTATCTTTGATCAGAACTAGGTCACATCATAATTGATTATGGATTATCTTTGATCAATACTAGGTCACATCATAATTGATTATGGATTATCTTTGATCAAAACTGGGTCACATCATAATTGATTATGGATTATCTTTGATCAGAACTAGGTCACATCATAATTGATTATGGATTATCTTTGATCAATACTAGGTCACATCATAATTGATTATGGATTATCTTTGATCAGAACTAGGTCTTATCATTACTGAATGTACAAATTTTTTAAAATCAAACTAGGTTATGTCATAAAAATGTTGACATAAAGTGTACAAATTAGGTTAAAGATATATAGAATATTTTCTTGGATGACAAACACAGGTCAATTTCTAAAATATGTTATAAAAAGTATTTTAGCTATTAAACTCTGATGACCAATCCTTGGCTCATAAAGCCCGATATTCTTGGGTTTTTTTGAAGGATTTATTTATTTTTGAAGATTTTAGTTGTTTTGCAGAGTTTGTTTCATAAATGTAGAGATACTTCATCGTTTTTTCACACATACATTTTGTAAGACAAAGTTGCATCTTGCTAGATTATAAAAATCTTGTAGGCTGTATACCTTTGTTTGAATATATTTGATATAATTATACAGTATATGAGACAAATATAAATGGTGTATTTTTCTTGGCTATATTTCAACTTTTACATATCATATGCATATATAGGAACAAACAAATAGATTTTTTAAACCATGAATAACATAGCTAGAAGTGCATGACTAACTGAATACCCCATGTCTTTCTGATTTCTTTTGTATGTAGCCAATAATAAATATCTGAAGATACTAATTGATAACATCTGAGATATAAAGATTGCTAGAGCTTCTTGTCAATTAACCTTTTAACTGCTGAATTTTCATGTAGCAAACAGTCTGTCAAAGATTCAGTGATTTCAAGGTCAAAATACAAAAACGGAGCTGCCAACAGTATAGAGCCTGTTCAGACTACACAGATATACAGGCTGGCCTGACTCTATACTGGTTTCAAAGGCTAATCATTTTCAGATTCAGGAGGTTAAAGGTTAAATGTAAACAATATCATAATTTCATATCCCAGTTTTATTACATACCTGTATTTAGCGCATGCATCATTTGCACAAATTTATATATGACATGACCGAAAGAAAATCATTATTATATAACCGGTATGATACGAAATGACCTTGCTGACATAATAGTAATGTTGTGTTATGGTTCAAATTGGAAGAGGTTTATTAAAAAAATGAGTTATTGTTAAGAGTATCTTGATCTATAACATATACTTAGTTGTCATGGAATTTTCTAGAAAACATGAGAAGCTAGCGTAGTAAAATCCTGCATAGTAAATTACATCTTCCAGATCAAGGTACTTCTCATATAATAACCCTATTGTAAAAGATTTATGCACTTGAATTGCATTATATTTAAATTGCTTTACAGTTGTTGTGTGTTTGTTTCTGTGATTTGCACATTTATTTTATTTTATTTGTAACTATGTGTGTGATTTAGAAGCTAAAACATGAAAACTAATCATTTTAGTATTTCTATATTCTTAACTTATTAGTGTATATATTGAAACAATGCTTGATGGTCCTCCACCAGTTAAGCTTGAAAGTTGCTCTACAGTATGGCAGTGACTTAAAACCCAACAGATCAAATTTCACCATTATCAATCTTGAATATATGAGCCGCGTCACGACAAAACCAACATAGTGCGTTTACGACCAGCATGGATCCAGACCAGCTTGCGCATCCGCACAGTCTGATCAGGATCCATGCTGTTCGCTATCAGTTTCTCTACTTGTTATAGGGTTTGTAAGCGAACAGCATGGATTCTGATCAGACTGCGCGGATGCGCAGGCTGGATATTGTTATATTTAAGAAACTATTCATAAGCCCTTCACTCCATTGTAAAGTGTTTGTATTTATAAGAAGAAAGCCTCTGTATTCTCAGCTAGTCTTCACAACATGATAATCAGTTTCTTGTTAAGTTATTAATGAATGTATCACTATACTGACATTTAAACAATGTTTGCTGATTTGTTTATTATTTTTCAAGAGACAAGATAAGACATATTGAAGGAGCTTCCTGTAAATACATGTCATAGTATATCGGTTATTATAGTTTCCCTTTTTACTCCAATCTTAATTTTCTTGATTAGTATGAACATTCAAGTCATATATTTAAATCTGTGTGTTACAACTTCTAGGTGTTTTAATGATGGTTTATTTTACAATTTTCAAGTTGTTTATTACCGGACTATTATTATACTTTGTTATCTAACTCAATCACTAGAGCATTAGGTTTCTAAAATAATTAGAACTGCTAGTTTCTTGGATCTGTTTTAAATTGTTTCATTGTTAATGCAGATAATTGATGTTGATATGCCACCAATATAAAGTAAGGATAGTTTGTACATGTGTGCAGGTTGACCTTTCTCTAAACTGCTGGCAGCAGAAGTTGACCTGTAATTGTATTGAAACCCCTCAACAATAACAATAAATTATTCTGTGAAGACCATTATACACATTTAGTTAATTCAGAATGTTGAAACACATTTAATTTGTTAACTTATGTAATATTTGCTATTCTATGATAAACAAGCAGTGTGCATAAAAAAAAATCTTGAAAAGATATGTCAAACTAAAAATATTTCTGTTCTTATAGAACTAATGTAAAAAACCCATACATTCCTACTATACTTTAACCCATTGCTTCATGAGCATTTTGTGAAAAATGGCTGTTTTCATTGAAAAGTCTCCCGTTACAAGTTCAAATTGCTATAATACTATAAAAACTGCTTCAACACTAATCAAACTTGGCACAAATGTTGACTGGACCATTGCCCCCGAAAAAAAGGTCACTTTTTTTAACAACATTTCTCAAACAAAAACAAGTGTTTAGGGCCTAAATAAGGCATTTTTTCATCATTTGAGACAACAAAAAGGGGGGGGGGGGTGAAAAAGGCGTGTATATGAAGTAATGGGTTAATAAATAAACATATAAGTTCCTTGTTTGTAAAAAGCTTAACTGTTTCTTTCTTTATATTCAGCTTTTTATCACTTGTATTTTAAGATTTTTAATTGCATATCAATGATTTAATAACACGAGCTTTATTCTCTTTTTCAGGACAAATATGGATCATAGTGTATATTGAAAAATAACAGAACAGAAAATATAACATTACTGGCCAGCTGACCCATAATGCCCTGTACTGTGTCAGTGTCTTACAGCATGATGTCAGTGTCATCTAGAAACTAGGTCAAGGTCGTTCAACAAATGTAAAATGAGAGTACTGAAGTTCATTTATTCAATATTTACAGACAATCTAAATGTGGGTTAAAGAAAATATTTATATTATGTAGTTGTTATGGATTGCAACAGTAAGCCTGGACTTTGATATCAGTTTTCAAATTCTTTTGTCAGTTTTAAATATGGCTTTTTTCAGTCAGTGTAATTTTTGGAATTAGGAAAGTATGGTGACAACTGTGAAACTAAACAATAACAAATAACAATAAAATAACAAAAACCTTGTTTTTTGATATATTTTATCTCGGAATATTAAAAAGGTTGAAGTTAACATGACAAATTTAGTGTTTAAATAGGAAGTGGGTTTGCTCATCGGAACTTTAATGGTATGAAAAAACTGAAGTAAAAGATCTTGCAATTAGATTATTTTATTTATTTGTTAAATAACATTATTGTTTCATGTCATTGTTGCAATTAAGAAAATTTGTAATGACAAATGTAATTTATTACTTAATTGATTGTAATGAAACAACTAGAGTAAATTTATATCACACAAAATTGTTTCTAAAAACATGATACATTTCTTTGCAAGTTTTAATTGGTGTATGTCTCCCACTCAAGTTGATATGTGGTTTTCCTTAAAATTTTAATCAACCTTTTGCACTTTATTGCATAATATTTTATGTGTGAATTAGAATTGATAACATTTTCACAGTGTGAACTTATTGAAAATGGTATTAATGTGGTATATATTAAGAACATCAATTTTGAAATATGAGAAATATAAAAAACTTTCACATTTGATGTTTGAAAGATTAGACATTATTTTGATCTGTATTGTTCAGTTATTTAAAAATTACTTTAGAATATTTGATTTTTCTGTCTTGTTATATTAAGATTGTAGATGAGGGAAATTTAGTTGTTATTTCTGGAGTTAATTAACCATTGTGAGATAATATTAAGTTATGTGCATATGTTTTAATTACTTATCATTTTCATAAATCAAAAGTTTCTGTTGTAATAGTTACTTTGATCAGACTAAAATACAAATTTCAGATAAATAATGGAATAGAATATGCTGTCTGTATAAATGGTAAAACACTAACAAAAATTTTTTTTGATTTTTGCATCAGACAAGGTTTCAGTGTTTAGTTACAACTTTTCAAAACTTTGAGGAAATTCTATTTTTAGAATATATAATAAATTCAAGCCAATTGTTGTGTGGTTTGGCATCCAGGAGTCTGTTTTAAACTTGTTTTTTTATTGTAAATGTTGTGTCATCATGTTATATTTCTCATTGCTGGATGTTGATTTATAATTCTCATGTGGTTACTGAAATGGAATTTCAAGTCATTTCATTTTTGTGTGGCTGACAGCTTGAATATGATTTTTTTTATAAACATCGTAACAACATAGAATTTTTGTCATACATGTGACTACTGCATTTAAGTCCTGATTTGGTAGTCTAGCGTTAAGTTGACAAACCTCGTATCTGTTTGTATGGTAGCTTTACTTATTACTGGTATACTGGTGTTTTTGTGTTAACTGCACATGCAAAATATCCGCATTAACAATTACAAACATTGGTGTATATTTCTGCTTATAAGCACGATATGTTAGCTGAAATGAAAAACTACCAACAGTTTTAAGCATTATGACCTAATACACCTTGATTACACTTAAAACACTATTACCAAAATAAAAAAATAATAAAGAATAAAGATTTCCTAACAATGACATTTGGTCACATACCTATCTACGGGTTATTTCAGGTGACACGCCACCACTTTACTGATAACTGCCAACACTTGCTTTATTTCAGATATGTCCTTATAAATTCTGTCTTGTTATATTGTGTGTATGAAAGTATAAGAGTATTTTATTTCATCAGTGAATATGTTCAGAGATCTGTATTGTCATATTTGTTAATTAAGTCAATGTCTAGTAATTAACTGTCTTTCAGGGGATGTAGATTTATCTTTAAAAACTTTCTGTGTTTGATTTTTTATTTTTTGAATATTCTGTTTTTTTCCAGCTGTCTTTAGCATATAATATTTTAGAGCATGCTCACTTGAATAAGGGTTAAACTGAAAACAAAGTAGCATTGAATACATCATTGGCTAAGATATGCAGTAGTTTAATATGTTGTTGCCAATTAAGTTTCTGTAACGCGTCAGATTTGTTACAATGGTTCATTCTTGCACGATATACATTGCAATATTTAGATACTAAAAAGTCAATAGAAATAATTTTTATCTCAAGATGGATAGATTAAAAACAATGCAAATTATTTTACCCGAAATTAATTGGTGAAGACCTTGTTAAGGTACATGGTTTTTACAGCTTGTAGTTCAGAAAAAAACTTTGCTTAGGGTAATCTTGTATTTTGCAAAATTTTAGTTTAACACTGTTTTCTTTTTAAGAAAATTGTTTGTCTTATTATGTGTAAAGATCATATGAATTTTGCAATATTGTCCGGAGTAAGGGCCCCTTGTATATATTATAATGCTTTTCTTGCAAAACATGGCGGAGACTCGTTTCTACTTTCATTTTTTCGTCTTCAAAATTTGTACGTGCAGGAGAAGTTGAATGTGAATGCATTGTTGTGTTTGGTGTAGTGTGTGTAGTGAATGAATTCTCGGGTTAATTACAGATCAGTAAAGTGGTACATACATAATGTTTCATTAAAATATATCTATTTATGAAAATAAAATAATTATAAAAGCAGCTCAATAATTAGTTATTTTGTATATTCTCCAGTCCTGTAAGTTAATGACATGTAACACATTTTCTATGGCAGATATTAAGTTGCTTTAAAGTGAATTGCATTAAGAGCAAATTTGTTTCTGATTACAAGCAATATTTCCGTAGTATACCTTGACCTTAGTGCATTATTCTTATTGCCAAATTGTTAAAGGTTCAAAATAAATCCCAAAAGTTTTGCACTCGGAATTCCCTAGTTACCGACCAGCACTATGACAACATAAATGTAAGCTGTCATGGTAGAGAAAAATCTGATATAATTTATACATAACCTCAGATCCCCTTTCAAAATTCCATTTTATTTAGTTCCGCCCATTGTTTTCTCGTTTAGGGCACAAGCATTTTTTTTACTTGGGGACCATATGCCGCTTTTCATGGAATGGCACTAATAACGTGTCATATAAAAGGTTCCATGATGACCGCCATATTAACACAACTGCAGATGTTTCAAAATTCTAAATTTTACCAGTTCATGTTAAATGTTGAATTCTGCTTAAGCCGGTGCTAGCGGGCGTGGACGGTAACTTGCACTTTCCAGTACCATCCATGAACAGGCTCAATCAAACCGAGCCTGCAACATTTTCAATTTTGTTGTGTTGGGCTTTCTTTAGAGATTCTGTATTTATCTATTTTATTGTCACATCCGTGTTACTTGTGCCGTGTGGCGGCTGTAAAAAGTCTCACCATACTTTTGATCAATGATGTTATATTTTCGATCCTTGAAGATCGTTAAGTACGACATTATTGTTGTGTATACATGTTATGAGGGATTTTTGTTTCTTCTATTTAGCTTTTTCAACTTGGGTGGTTCCAGTATTCCTACTTGAATACTGTATAATCACCCTTAGGATATGTTGCCTGCTTTTTAAATTTGTCTTTTGACGTCCTATCTGTGATATGCAGGCTTCATAACCTCAGATCCCCTTTTAAAATTCCATTTTATTTAGTTCCGCCCATTGTTTTCTCGTTTAGGGCACACACACTTTTTTACTTGGGGACCATATGCTGCTTTTCATGGAATAGCACTAACGTGTCATATAAAAGGTTCCATGATGACCGCCATATGAACACATCTGTGGATGTTTCAAAATTCTAAATTTTACCAGTTCATGTTAAATGTTGAATTCTGCTTAAGCCGGTGCTAGGGTGCGTGGACGGTAACTTGCACTTTCCAGTACTGTCCATGAACAGGCTCAATCAAACCGAGCCTGCAACATTTTCAATTTTGTCGTGTTGGACTTTCTTAAGGGATTCTGTATTTATCTATTTGATGATATCACAAATTAAGCTGGATTGCCAGCTTCTTTGCTGAAAAACCGATCTGATTGCAAAATATGTCTTGGGAGTTTCTCTTCTAGTATAACAATATATATTCATAATATGAAGTACAAACATGACACGTCCGTAATGTTTTTTTCAACACCAAATACATGACTACAAACATGACACGTCCGTAAAGTTCTTTTCCACACCAAATACAAGAGTACAAACATGACACGTCCGTAAAGGTTTTTTCCACACCAAATACAGGAGTACAAACATGACACGTCCGTAAAGTTATTTTCCACACCAAATACATGACTACAAACATGAGACGTCCGTAAAGTTCTTTTCCACACCAAATACCGGAGTACAAACATGACACGCCCGTAAAGTCCTTTTCCACACCAAATACATGACTACAAACATGACACGTCCGTAAAATTCTTTTCCGCACCAAATACATGACTACAAACATGACACGTCCGTAAAATTCTTTTCCACACCAAATACAGGAGTACAAACATGACACGTCCGTAAAGTTCTTTTCCACACCAAATACAGGAGTACAAACATGACACGTCCGTAAAGTTCTTTTCCACACCAAATACAGGAGTACAAACATGACACGTCCGTAAAGTTCTTTTCCACACCAAATACAGGAGTACAAACATGACACGTCCGTAAAATTCTTTTCCACACCAAATACAGGAGTACAAACATGACACGTCCTTAAAGTCCTTTTCCACACCAAAAAACATGACTACAAACATGACACGTCCGTAAAATTCTTTTCCGCACCAAATACAGGAGTACAAACATGACACGTCCGTAAAGTCCTTTTCCACACCAAATACAGGAGTACAAACATGACACGTCCTTAAAGTCCTTTTCCACACCAAATACATGACTACAAACATGACACGTCCGTAAAATTCTTTTCCGCACCAAATACAGGAGTACAAACATGACACGTCCGTAAAGTCCTTTTCCACACCAAATACAGGAGTACAAACATGACACGTCCGTAAAGTCCTTTTCCACACCAAATACATGACTACAAACATGACACGTCCTTAAAGTGCTTTTCCACACCAAATACAGAAGTACAAACATGACACGTCCGTAAAGTCCTTTTCCGCACCAAATACAGGAGTACAAACATGACACGTCCGTAAAATTCTTTTCCGCACCAAATACAGGAGTACAAACATGACACGTCCGTAAAATTCTTTTCCGCACCAAATACAGGAGTACAAACATGACACGTCCGTAAAATTCTATTCCGCACCAAATACAGGAGTACAAACATGACACGTCCGTAAAATTCTTTTCCGCACCAAATACAGGAGTACAAACATGACACGTCCGTAAAATTCTTTTCCCCACCAAATACAGGAGTACAAACATGACACGTCCGTAAAGTCCTTTTCCGCACCAAATACAGGAGTACAAACATGACACGCCCGTAAAGTCATTTTCCCCACTAAATACAGGAGTACAATTATGACACGTCCGTAGAGTCCTTTTCCCCACTAAATACAGGAGTACAAATATGACACTTCCGTAGAGTCCTTTTCCACACCAAATACAGGAGTACAATTATGACACGTCCGTTAAGTCCTTTTCCCCACTAAATACAGGAGTACAAATATGACACGTCCGTAAAATTCTTTTCCACACCAAATACGGGAGTACAAACATGACACGTCCGTAAAGTCCTTTTCCCCACTAAATACGGGAGTACAAATATGACACGTCCGTAAAGTCCTTTTCCCCACTAAATACAGGAGTACAAATATGACACGTCCGTAAAATTCTTTTCCACACCAAATACGGGAGTACAAACATGACACGCCCGTAGAGTCCTTTCCCCCACTAAATACAGGAGTAGAATTATGACACGTCCGTAGAGTCCTTTTCCCTACTAAATACGGGAGTACAAATATGACACGCCCGTAAAGTCCTTTTCCCCACTAAATACAGGAGTACAATTATGACACGTCCGTAGAGTCCTTTTCCCCACTAAATACAGGAGTACAAATATGACACTTCCGTAGAGTCCTTTTCCACACCAAATACAGGAGTACAATTATGACACGTCCGTAAAGTCCTTCTCCCCACTAAATACAGGAGTACAATTATGACACGTCCGTAAAGTCCTTTTCCCCACTAAATACGGGAGTACAAATATGACACTTCCGTAGAGTCCTTTTCCACACCAAATACAGGTACGTAAATTTATTTCGCAAAAAGATCGTGACAGTGCCATTTCTAGAATTAACGTGTGTAAAGCTTATTTACGAAATTTAAGATCAAAATATAATAAAGGTCAAGTTTCTAAAACTGAAATCTGCTTTAGACTGGTTGACGAATAATGTCCCCCCCGCCACCCCCCCCCAAAAAACAGGACAGAAACGCAAGTCTCTTGGAATATTCTTATGTATTATTAAATTATGACATGAACTACGAAATTTAGCCGTACTTAATCTAAACTTTTCAACATCAAGTATTGCAATATTTTTTTCTGGATTAAAATTTTGTTTAAAAGGTAGGCCTATATAATTTACTAATTTTCAACCTTTGCACATATTGCTTTTCAAAAAGTTTTTCATTTATTACTTTGTTGTACCCATTCATAACCAAACCCATTTGAATAAAGGTTGCTTTTTTACATCTGTTGCCCAAGTTGTGTGCCCTACACTATCATAATGAACAAAAATTTCATAGCAAAGTTTTACATATCTATTTCTTTGTAAATCAAGCAATCGTAACCAATACTTAATACATCGTTTTGCTGAATAAATATGCATTGGGAAACTGCCTTCATAACCTTATATTGCATCATTACATGCATTTGCTTTTACTTTTAAGACTCTTTTACAGGCATAATTTTGTACATTTCTATACATTGTGACTGTTTTATTTCCCATAATTCGGCTTCTTTGATTGTTTCACTGATTTTTACATTCATTTATGTAGGCCCTACTTATGCTGGCATCTATTATTGCCATGGGTAAAATAGAGAACATAGAAATCCCTAAAGAAAGTCCAAAATGGCAATATTGAAAATGTTGCAGGCTTTGTTTAACTGAGCCTGTTCATGGACGGTACTGGAATAAGAGGTTAATACACGGCAGGAGAGGGCCGGAAGGTGATAATCGGTCCGCAAAATGAATAATGGACCCGAGGGCTTTATCCCGAGGGCCATTATTCATTCAGGACCGATTATCACCTCCCGGCCCTACTCTGACGTGTATTAATGTCTTTAATACACTTGGTAGATTTAAAATTAGCATTTTTTTAAAAAAAATACAACAACAAAGTTCTTTCGTTGAAATTCTTGTCTACTCTTCTACTGTTCTGTACAGAGATGTTTACTGTTTTGTGTGTTCAAAGCAGTAGAATTTAGAAGCAAGTTTTATTTTCATTTTTTTCGGAATGGATTTGTCGTATTATTTCTTCAAATTTCAATAGAAACAAAAATGTGTTTGTACTAAATACGCTTAAGCTCTTACAATAAAAATAAAGCAATTCGTGCTGACAACCTACTTTCACTTTTACAGTTAAATGTTTGATGACGTAAAATATGACGTCATTGTTTCAGTTTGTGCACGTGCACATGTTCTGCGGGCTGATAACTAGTTCTCGGCCCCAGGCCGCAAACTCATATTAGTGTCCAGCTTTATTTGTCATCCAATGATAACGCTGTATTTCTTAAAAAATATGTGTGTTAATTTTCATAGAAAAAAGAAAGTCGATACTAGATCTATATTGAAATTCGTTCATAGTCGCCTTCTATTTTTCATAGTGCTTCATAGTACCGCGTAGTGACTTAATCAATGGCCAAATAAAGCTGACACTAAATATGTTAGTGTTCATCCTTAGCTGTTCTACAGAAAGTAGAAACATTCTCCTGTCGCTATCGCTCCCGTCGAAGTTTCTAATTTCTGTAGAACAGCACGGATGAACACTAACATATACATAGGTCACGTGACACTCATAATCAGTTGAAATCATAGGCAATTTTGTTACTATATATAGTAACAAGTGTATTAATGTAGGTTCCCTAGCACCGGCTTAAGCAGAATTCAACTTTTAAACATGAAAATGGTGAAATTTTGAATTTAGAAACATCCGAAGATGTCTTCATACGCGTTTATCATGAAACCTTCAATGTGACACTTTCGTGCCATTCAATGAAAAGCGGTGTATGGTCCCCAAGTAGAAGGAATCGTGTGCTCTAAACAAGAAATCAATGGGTGGAACTTTTGAAAGGGGATCAGAGGTTATGAAGCCTGCATATCACAGATTACACATGAAAAGACAAATTCAAAAAGCAGGCAACATATCCTAAGGGTGATTCCAGTAGGAATTTTGGAACCACCGAACTAGAAAAATGCTGAAAAGTAAAAAATTAAAATACCACAACACAACAATAATGTCGTGCTGAACGATCTTCGAGGATCGGAAATATAACATCCCTGATTGAATGTGCGGGGCGACTTTTTACGGCCTCCACACGGCACAAATAACCCTGATCATGTTGCAATAAGATAGAGAAAATAGAAATCCCTAAAGAAAGTCCGAAACTGCCATATTGAAAATGTTGCAGGCTCGGTTTGAAAATGTTGCAGACTCGGTTTGATTGATTTTTGAAAAGGGCAACATATCGTATTTAAATAACTGGTAAGTCTTTAGTGATTCCGTTTTGTAAATTAAAAAATGAATACATGTTTGAATCAGTAATCTTTGCTTATATAAACAACCATTTAAAATTCGTTACGATAAATTTCAACTTATTTTACTTCCGATAATTGACATAACGTCCATAGTGACAGATACTGTTCTAGGATGTTTGCCTTTGTTTACATAAAGATTAAAAACAATGCGCAGACTGAAGCCAAATAAATAAATCATAACGTAAAACGTCATATTTTCATTTGCCTTAATATTTAGCGCAGCAGGCAGACCGTCTGTGTTAGTGTTGTATTCCGCCGTGCTTTAAATTATCAACAGAATTTACGAAACTCTTTACAATTTTCAACATTTAAGCATTAACATAATCGACTCATGGTTAGGTACTACTACATTTGAGTGTTTTAGGTTTCTTTCTAATTTGACCGGTATTGTTTCAAAAAGTTACAAATGAGTGAGATGGAAAAAAGTATAGTGTTGATATGCACTTTGTAAAGTTTGAGGAAAACGTCAAACATCAGGAAAAAGCATTATTAGAAATGTAAAAAATATAATGAAATAATTTGTGTTATATATTGATCCATATACATTGTATTCAAATTGTCAATATTTCGTACCCGTAGCATGGGAAGGAAAATGAAATAAAATAAAAAAAAAACACAACTTTCCAAAGTTACCTTACGACCAAATTATCATTCCAGAAAAAACTAATGGCATTAAACTATTGAAAAAACACTTCAGGGTTTAATTCGCGCTTCTTTAAATAAGAGTGATCCCTGCTTTGTCATTTAACTTTTATTATCATGCAATCAAAAACTACGCAGTTAAAAGAACTGAATATGAAATAGATCCCTTTTTACATGTATGTGTTTTCTTTCATTAAATTTTCGTACGGGTTAAGACGCAATTTCTTTGTATGATAATTCTTTTTCGCCTATGACGATTTCACGATTGCATAACGTGTGCTGTGTTGATCCGTGAAGAAATGTAAATTGATACTGCATGTCATGGAAGAGGTCAGACGACTGTATAAACGTATAAACTAGTTTTGTCTATATAAACAAATGACGAGACAGTTTTTACGGCTTAGAACAAATTTACCAACTAGGATAAATGGATAATACTGCAAAGGTAAGGACTCTTAAACATGATTCAAATGTATACGTATATATACATGTTTATTGCATATAAGTGTTCTTTATTTATATCTAAATATCAACATTAAATAATCTATAATCTTTCTGCTACAAGTATTTCACCACTTTGCTTGTAAAAGATTATTATGATATGATTTCTTTCTTTGTGCAGACTAACCAAGACTTTGTTTTGGTTTGAATCTAACAACAACTAATTCAGACAATGTTTATACCTAGAGCAGAGGAGTATGCAGTAAACTAAAACATTCGTTGTATATTTTTTATTTTTAAACTTTATGGGAATGATTGTACTATTATATAAATAATATAGAAGTAATATGCTAGTACAGGTAACTATACAAATATTTTGTGTCATTCTTTTAGATTAAATATAGTGTATTATAATGACTACCATTGTCATCTGTTATGCACCAGACATTTAATCTGTAATTTACTAACACAACCGTTTTCATCTGTAGTACACAATGAATAATTCTTAAACAAATAGAAATGCCCGAGAGTCAACTAAAGGATGCATTTTTGTCACAATGTTCAAGAATCATTGCCTGAACTTGCATTTTTTATTGTTTTTTTTATTTTTACATTATAGACTAACTTTGGATGAATGTAGATAAATAAAATACAGAAGAATAAGATGGAGATTCTCACATTGCTGGCCTTACTTTCTCTAACTGTGCTACACATAACAGATGTGAAAAGTTCAGAAATAAGTCTAACAACTAAAATCGGAAATCTAAACGGCATAATTGAAAATGTGGAATTAAACGGGGACACTAAAAATGTATCTCAATTTCTCGGAATTCCATTTGCAAAGCCACCGATTGGTGAAAGAAGATTTCTCAGACCTGAAGCTTACGGCACAGTAGCATCGCCATATAATGCCACGTTCTTCAGACCACACTGCATGCAAAGTCCAGTTGTGAATCCGTCTATCAAATACTTCCAAATGAGCGAAGATTGTTTGCATTTAAATGTATTCATTCCCGGTAATACAGCATCTTCTGATAAGAAGTATGCAGTAATGATATTTATACATGGCGGTGGATTTACGTTGAGCGGTTCGGAAATATTTTCGGGTGACAAATTGAGTGCATTTAACAACGTTATTGTTGTGACAGTTAATTATCGTCTCAATACGTTTGGATTTTTAAGTAACGGCACAAAATCCTCTGGTAATTTAGGTCTGTGGGATCAAAGACTTGCTCTCCAATGGGTTCACGATAATATAGCTGACTTTGGTGGGGACCCAGAGAAAGTCACTTTATTTGGTAATTCAGCAGGTGCGGCCAGTGTTTTGTACCAAGTTATGAATCCTGCAAACAAAGGACTGTTCTGCCGGATTATAACGCAGAGTGGCTCAGTACTGGCTCTATGGGCACGGCAATATAATCCGGCTGAAAAGTTTAAAGAATTTATATCAGAAATCAAATGTAACAGGGAAAGATACGATGAAATTCTTGTTTGTCTCCAATCAAAAGACGCTGCAGATCTAGTAACAAACCGTTTCGCTCCAGTTATAGACAACGATTTCATTTTGGAAGACTTTGTTGCAACATTTTCTAAACAAGGTAATGACATACCTTCAGGCTTGGATTTCTTTTCCGAGGTTGACTTTCTATCTGGAGTACAGAGTAAAGATGGTGCATTCGATATAAATAGGAGAGCGGAACAATATAAACAGTTTGGTATAGATTTAGCAAACGGGGTATCAAGGAGTACTTTTGAAAGTAAGATTGTCCCGTCAATGCTGTCTGAAGTATATGGTTCTACAGAACCACCAGTTTTAAAACAAGCCGTCATACAGCAATACATCGACTGGTCTAGACCTGATGATGCTACGTTAATAAGAGACAAAATCGTCGACTTTTTTTCGGACGTCTATTTCTTTGTACCTGCTATAAAAGTGCTGAAGAAACACCGTTTATTGAGGAAAACTAACAAAACGTCATATTTCTATGTTTTTGATCATAAGTCGTCATTGGACTTAAGAAATATTTGGTTAAAGGGATCAAACCATGCCACGGAGTTACCTTATGTATTCGGACTCCCGGATGCAATGAAAGTTGCGGCAGGGTTGCCTCCGGGTTCGCCAATAACACTTACCCCGACTGAAATGAAATTTTCTAGTGTCGTCATGAAATTGTGGACCAACTTTGCAAAAACAGGGTAACATAATTGACTTTGTTATTCGTTTTCATTAGATACCTTATAATAAGTATTAAATTTAATTAACTTGTTACAACATGCATCCAATATTTATGTATTATAAACGTGTATTACTAGTATTGAAAGACAAAATTCAAATATCGCAATAACATAATAATGTTTTTGCATTAAATTCTTAGTTCTTGATCAATCTGTTAACATCCTTCTAGGATTTTTATCTTTACTTGAAGTAATGTCATAAAGCAATTAATAATTCATGTTGATCTTTTCTTTTAGTAATCCAAACTTACCGACGAAGGATGACGTCCAAGAAGTGCCCTCTTGGCCACAGTATGATATCAATTCGCAGTCATATTTGGAGTTTTCGTTAAATATGACGACAGAGTCCGTGAAGAACCACTTTTCTGGATCAAGGATAGAATTCTGGACAACTCTTGTTCCGTTGTTAGAGAATTGTAAAACATGTGGCGATCAGAATTGCTCTCACTCTCGGCAGACTTCACAAGCACATTCTTTATCAAAACTCGCTCCAGTACAAGTAGCTCTCTTATTGTTTGTCCAAATATCCATATGTATGACGAATTATATGTAATTTTTGTTTGTCTTTACTATTTCCCCTGTTGTTCCCTATTGGATCATTCTTTTTTTCTTTTCTTCTTTACTTCTTCTTCTTCGTCTTCTTATTTTTACTTATTATTATTATTTTTATTATAATTATTATTATTATTATTATAACTATTATTTTTATTATTATTCAAACATTTAGAAGTTTCGCTTCAGTTTTGTTATACCTAGACCAGAATAAAAAAAATGTGTTGAAGGTTATGATTGTCGAGAACGCTTAAGAAAATGATCATTAGGACTATTAATCTTTTTAAAAGTAGACTATATACATTAAACATATAAAGTGAACGGACATTATCAGTAGAAAAAGTTTAAGCATTTTATAACCTCAGAATATTATTATAAGAAGCTTACAACTTTGAGCAGTGTCCTGCGAAATTATCCAATAGTGTCATGCGATAGTATCCAGTGGTGTCATGCGAAAGAATACACTGGTGTCAGCAAAGAATTTAGTGGTTTTTATTCTGTATTCTGATATCATTCATTTTTTGGATTGAGTTCTAGTGCTTTAAAAGATGAAGAAAAACAGCCAGACACACAGGCAAATCCGAAGCTATTTCAATGAACCTTTATCTTCAAAGGGAATGATAAAAGCATAATGGATTGGCCTATTACGTATCCCATGGAAATATTTTTTTCGCATTACGCGTCAACGATGCAATGTTATGTATTTTCCCTACATGTGAGCTGATTTTATTTTAAGTATATCATGAAATCGCAAAAGAAGTTTCTTTATCATGATATTGTCAGATTTTTTATTTTTAATGGATATTAAAACACAAAGCGAGTCAGAAAATATCACAAATTTATCATGGGTATGCTGTTCTATGTATGACAATGCTAAATCTATAGCTTTTGCATCAGCAGTAAAAATTGATGCATTATCTGGTAACCTCATACTAGATGTAAAATCATTTTCATACACAGCCGCACCTACTTTGCAACCCTCCTTTGAACCGTCCGTATAAACATGTATAAAATTTTCATGTTCTTCCTTAATTGCTAGAAACTTCTCTTTGAAATGTTCATGTGAATTTGATTTTTTTTTATATTTGAAAGGTTAATATTTATTTAAGGGTAATTATAAGACCAAGGTGACGTAATTAACGTTTTATTAATGTTCAGAACACTAAAAAGGGCATTATTTAATTATTTTACATAACCAACAAAGTAGATACAATATAACAAAAGAGCACGCCTGTAAAATGCAACAAACCTGGACGAATAAGAAATATACGTTGATGACTACACGACTCGTTTAACCTATGTACTAATGACGTACATATATTTTCAATTTAAAACAACAAGTTATAGTCATTTTTTAAGTCGGGTTTTAAAGAGATGATAACCCTTTTTATTAAAGCCGACATATGTTTACATAACATGATAACAATATTTACAGAACGTATAAAAACATGTTGAAATGACATTAATATTTCAAATACGGTTCATGAAGTTAAAGAAATAACAATAAACAAGGAATGACAAAAACAATCTTTGTTACAAGTATTCGTTACAGATTAGAATATTATATTGCAGAACAAGGTCAACATGGAGTAAAAACGCATTAGTAATTTATAACACAGATAAAACATGTAAGATAAGATTACACTGATTTTGAATAAAGCAAAAGCAAGTTAACAAAAATATAATAGGTAGACCAAACAAGATATAATATTTTACTTGCTAAACAGTCTGTGCTTATTCCTCGTTTTTGACGCCAGGTGACCCTTATTCCAAATGGACCTAGAAATCACCAAAACAAACCTTCAGACAAATATCCAGGATAATTGAAATCATCAAAACAAACCTTTAACCAGATGTCCAGGATAATTGTATCAAAACAGAGTGTTAACAATTTTTTTTCTATTTTAGCTCTTGTGACCTAGTTTTTCATTAGAAATGACCAATGTTCGAACTCATCCGAGCAATTACCTAGAAAAGCATCCTGACCAAGTCTGATGACAATTGAGTCAAAAATGTGACCACTTGAGTGTTAACAAGGTTTTCCCATATTCGGGCAGTGTGACCCAGTTGTTGACCACAGGTGACCCATATTCGAAGATCACTTAGAAATCATCAAAATAAATTTTCAAACCAAATTTAAGGATATTTTTTATCAAAACGTTAGCCACTAGTGTTTACAAGATTTTTCTATTTTTTAGCTCCTCTGATCTAGTTCTTCATCCAAAATGACCAATGTTCGAACTCATTCGATCAATAACCTAGACAAGCATCCTGACAAAATTGATGATGATTGAGGAAAAAATGTTCCGCTAGAGTGTCAACGAACAAATCTGGATGGGCAACGGATGACGGATATTAAATGATCCTAAAAGCTCGCACTGAGCAAGCTTAGGTTAGCTTAAAAGGATTGTTGAATTCGAATGTCATGTACTGGTATATGTATATCATTTTTGTAACCGCTGAGGTGGTAGAACCATGAACTCGCCTTGTTGTGAATTTGGAAATTAAGGCTATTGAGAATTTACTTTGCTTATCATTATAAACGTTATATACAAACATTACTAGTACTGAACAAGATATGATACATTTTGAGACGTTAAATTGCATATAATAATGTGCAACTAAGATAAGTATGCAGGCCTACCAATGAAAAACAATAATATCAAAATTTCGACCTAGCTTTATCAACATCTCTAGTTCATATTCCATATCTTACTTAGATGTGTGAAAATTTAATTAAACTCCTTAAAATAGTGTACCAGTAGGTAGAGTCGCGGAACGGTATTCCGAGGTCACGGTTTTGAGTCTCGGTCAGACTTTAGGGTAAACGCACGTTTTTTCGTGTTTTAACGTCTGCATAGTCCCGATGAACAGTTGGTGCCCGAGCCCGGAACCTCTGGACTGTGCAGACGTTAAAACACGGAAAAAACGTGCATTAACCCTATATTATCTCACCTTGTAACGTTCCGAGGACATATTCATGTAAATATGAAGGTAAATAACACGCACGCAAGGTTTTTATCTACAAATGCATGTTTTTTCTCCGTGAATGTACACCTGTGCATGCAGTTTTTATCAAGGAATGCTAGATTATGAGTTTGTTTTACGTATGCAGAGTGTTGATCCAAAAATCATCATTTAATGGCGGCCATATTTGATTTTGAAGCCATATTTAATTTTCTACATATGCTGCTAAAATACTATTCCAAGCAGTTGCTATTATTGACCTACAATGTCATTTTCATGCTATAAATAACATCCTTTTGTCATGTCCCATGTACATTGTACATTTTGGCGGCCATCTTGTATTTTTAAAAAGTGGATTCCTGGCTAAAATAAAATGAAATACAATTTCCTGCCACCATGTCAAGTTTCACAGAAGGTGCAGCATTATTTACTAGTGAATAAATAGCTCTCCCTATCCTTCAAATAGTCGAGCTAAAACAAGAGATTTAGTCATTAGCCATTGAATATAGAATGGCTTATTAGCCAATCCTTTGATTTGAACCGAGCGACAATGTGACATCGCGACAACACGCTGCATGATAACGCGCCGTTTGGCGTACATCGTTAGCGACAGGACGACAAGACGAAAGTCCAACAACTCGCCGTTTGGCGCTTTTTCCTGTTGTCACTATCGCCAACACGACGCATAAAAGCGTTCCAAATCAGTCACCATACTGGGAAGCTTTCTGTTGAAAATGTGTCAAGAGTTCAATCGTATACATGTACATGCACAGTGCGTTTCCTGGAGTGCAGGTATTAGAGGAGGGGTACTGACGTCTTCCTTCTCTAGTAAATCTGAAAGCTGGCCAGATGAAAAAGAAAAACAAAAAACAAAAAAAGAGAAAAAAAAACAAAAACAAAAAAAAACAAAAAAAAACAACAAAACAACCAACTAGAAATATGTCACGGGTGCCCCCACATTCCACTGTTTTGTCAATCTACTGACCTTGGGCTACACATGATACAAGTTGAAAACTGAAAATCTGTTACAATAGCCAATGGCAAAAACTCTACAAATACTGAATATATCCACAAGCAAACGCCAAGGTGCAAACTTCACATGCTGACCAACATTCTTGTATAATATCAGGACTACAGGTCAAATACTTTTTGAGCTATGCATGGTTTGACTAAGTATAAATTATATACTTAATTTACACGAAGTCAATGGCAATAACTATTAGAAAACTAAAACAATCAACATGCAAAACCCCAGATGCACAGCTTCAAAGTGATGTTGATCATCATTTCTGTAAAGTTGGTTGATTCTTACTTAAGCACTCAAGGAACACATTACTCAACATTTTGGAATGTCTTTTTTACTGAGTCAAGGGCAATAACTCTACAAATACTGAACATATCTACAATCAAACCCGCAGGTGCACAACTACATATGCCAACCCATATTTATATAAAGTTTCATGTCTCAAAGTCAAATACTTTTTGACATATACACGACACAAGTTGAAAAGTGCAAATGTTTACTTAGTTAAGGGCAATAACTCTGCAAGTACTGAAAAAAAGCCACAACCGAAACCTCTGATGCACAATTACACATTCTTACCAACATTCCTATAAATTTTCACGACTCTAGGTCAAATAATTTTAGCTACGCAAGATACAAGTTAAAAATTGAAAATTGTCTATTAAGTCAAGGGCAATAACTCTGACAAAGCAGAATTAATCCATAAGCAAAACAACAGGTACACAACTTCACATGCTTATCAACATTCCTATAATGTTTCATGACTATGTCAAACATTTTTGAGCTACGTGCGACACTAAATGAAAATTGTAAATTATACCTAGTTAAAGGGCAATAACTCAAAAAATACAGAATAAATCCACAAGCAAACCCCAAAGGGCATTCCTGTTGAGTTTCATGACTATAGGTCACATACTGTTTAAACTACGCACGACACAAATTGAAAAAAATGCAAATTTTTACTAAGTCAAGGGCCATAACTCTGACAAAACATTATAATTCAACAAGCGAAACCCATGGGCACAATTACACATGCTGACCGATATTCCTGTAAAGTTTCATCACTCTAGGTCAAATACTTTTTGAGCTACGAGCGACACAAAACAGAACGGGCGGACGGACGGACGAACGGATGGACGGACAAGGGTAAATTTAAATGCCCCCCTCCTTCTTTAGTGGGGGCACAACAAGTCATTTTCATATCAGAAGTAATATTTCAAACTATCAATCGTTATTGTCCTAGCAATTTCTACGTAAATTTTAGTTTCATGCACGTATCTACGGTGGCACAAAGGTGACATGTGTGTGTTTTTATTTATCTCGTGGTCACGAGATACTATGTCGTGGCCACGAGTTACTAAGTCGTGGCCACGAGATAGCTAAGTCGTGGCCACGAGATACTATGTCGTGGTCACGAGTTACTAAGTCGTGGCCACGAGATAGCTAAGTCGTGGCCACGAGAAACTATGTCGTGGCCACGAGTTACTAAGTCGTGGCCACGAGTTACTAAGTCGTGGCCACGAGATAGCTAAGTCATGGCCACGAGATACTATGTCGTTTTGGTTAATTATCTCGTTGCCACGACTTAGCTATCTCGTTCCTACGACTTAGTGGCCACGAGATAAATAAAAACACACACATGTCGCCTTTGTGCCACCGTACGTATCTGTATGTCGAGGTTAATTGCGGTGCTAGTGCGCATTGACGGTAGTATTTTTTATTTACCTAAACCGTCATTGATCACGTTCAATAAAACTTGTAAAGACTGTTAATTTACAATTTTGTCTTGTTGAACGTTCTTTACTCTTTTCATCTTATTTTTTACATTATATTCTGTGTGTATAGTTAAAGAAATCTTAATTGGTTAAGATTAGTTATTTATCTATTTTTTCGTTGTTGTATAAAAATTATAACAGTAACAGTTCAAATTGATATATTTTTAACTAACCACAATAAAGAAAATACATAAATCATTGTACAATTATTTTTTGTATGTCAAAACTTATAAAGGAATACATGTAGTAAGTATAAGTATGAGAACTGACATGAGTAAACCGCTTCTATTGTATGTACAAGTAATGTCGACTCTATAGAAAATGTGCGTAACCTGCACTATGTAAGCTATAAGATTTACCAAAATGAATGAGATATTAATTAATATAAATCTTCACATCCGTTAAATGTAAGCGCTCCTACCTTCAATAGTGCGATATTTAGTATCACAATAGAATTAAACACACCAAAATATCAGACAGATATACAGCACTATACAAAAAAGAATGAGTTTGTGTTCGATACTGCAGTCCATTGTTTATAATTCAAGTTGTTACTCTACTGACGTGATACTTTTAATACAAGTTCAATACAATAACAGTACAATAACGATTGTTGATGACCATTTATCTTCGTGTATGCTTACTGTAATAAGTCAATCAAGAAATCCAGTGTCTGCAAGAATCTGTCCATATTCATGCTCGGATACTGTAAAAAATACGAAAAGAAAAGAAACATATTTCTAAAATCAATTAATGAAACCAATTAAAATGTAAATGAAAAGTATATTTTAACAGTTTACAGGTCCTTATACGAGTAATATATATGTACTATATCGCTTAGGTGTTTACATAATGATGTTACGGGCAATTTATTAAAAAATACCTTGAACTGTTCTAAGATCTTCATAGTCAGGTGACTTAAACCCAGTGTCGCTGCTTGATGCTGAAAAATAAACCTTTCTTTATACTGGTACTAGTATTCTTGTAATACATCAATGCAACTCACCGAGTTAATGACTTCATAACGAATTAAAAAAATATGGTTGAAATATACAAGTGTCACACTTTTAATACATGCTATCTATTATCTTTTGAACAACAACAACAACAAAGACAACTTACAATGCCTGTATATTTATCTTGCGTGTATAATTAAAAGACTAGCAAATCATTTTAAATGGAAATACCTTGTACAATTCCATGCTTGTTGACACTGCCAGCATTTGCTGAATTTCCACATTCTAGTTCGATGCCTGAAAGTATTTGAATAATGATGTTACTAATTTATCTAAATTGTCGGTCCGTCGGTCTGTTTGTCCGTCGGATAACCACATGGTTTCCGCTGATTACTTTAAACACTATTTATCAAAAAGTCTTCATATTTCACATTTTCACATACTGATTGGTCATAACTAAGAGATGACCCCTATTGATTTTGAGGTCACTAGTTTTAAGGTCATGGTCACAAGGGTCTTAAATGTCAGAATGGTTTTCGCTCATTATCTTGAAAACGTTTTTATCACTAAGTCTTCATATTTCACTTTTTGATTGCTTATAACTAGTAGATGACCACTATCGATGTATTTAGGTCAAAGGTAAAGGTCACAGGAACCTTTAATCTGTCTGTTCATCCGTCCGGTCACCACATGGTTTCCGCTCATTATTTTAATAACTATTTATCACAAAGTCTTCATATTTCACATACTGATTGGTTATAACTGGTAGATAATCCCTATTGAATTTTTAAGTAACTAGGTAAGGGTCAAGCTCACGCGAGCCTTAAATGTCAGAGTTGTTTCCGCTAATTATCTTGAAAACTATCACAAAGTCTTGATATTTGACATATTAATTTTTCATATGTATAAATTACCACTACTCATTCTGGTGTCACTAGTTCAAATGTCAAGGTCACAGGGGCCTATTTATTTGGTGTCACTAGTTCAAAGGTCACAGGGGCCTTAAATGTCAGAATGGTTTCGCTCAATTATCTTGAGAACTATTTATCAGTAAATCTTCTATTTCACATATTAACTGGCTATAACTAGTAGATGACCCCTATTAATTGTGGGGTCTTTAGGTAAAGGTCAAGGTCACAAAGACCTTAAATGTCAGAATGGTTTCCTTTCATTATCTTTAAAACTACTTGTTATCAAGTCTTTGTGTTTCACATTTTAATTGATCATCACTAGTAGATGACTTCTATTTTTTGAGGTCACTAGATCAAATGACAAGGTAACAATACCCTTGAATGTTAAAAGGGTTTCCGCTTATTCTCTCGTTACACCAATTAGCAAACAAGTCAAAATTTCACACTTTGATTGGTCAGAACTAGTAGATGACTTTTTGTGAGATTGGGGTCACTAATTCATAGATCAAAGTCACAGGGACCTTACATGTCGGATTGGTTTCCCGCTCATATCTTTAAAACTATTTATCAAAAAGTCTTCATATTTCGCATATTGATTGGTCATAACTAGAAGATGACCTTTATTGATTTAGGGTCACTAGGTCAAAGGTAAAGGCCACAGTAACCTCAAATATAAAAGTGGTTTCCGATTAATAACTATTGAATGGCAAGTCTTACAAATGTCAAAATTGGTATGATCTATAATCATGACCAGTAGATGGGCTTTATAGATAAATGGGGTTACTTGGTCAAAGTTCATGGTCACAGTAACTATGTTTGTCAAAATTGTTTCCGTTCGTTATCTTGAAAACTAGTGGTCATCAAGTGTTTTTATTTCGCATTTTGATAAGTCATGACGAGTATTTTGGGTACACTTGGTTTAAGGTCTATATCACCTTCATGCACCAATTGATGGCATGTTTCTGTAACAACATTACCAATAGTGTGAGTCAAGGGCTAGAAAGGGGGGCATAATGTGTCGTTCGACATTTCTTGTTTCCTTTTGAAACTCGGTAGTGAGAACAAATTATTATCTTGATAGGAAGTCATTAAATTAAGAACTGGCCGTGCAAAATGGAGATTTAAGGGGAGCGGTGCCAGTCTGCCTCTCAATCAAGGGATCTTGAAATTGAGTTGATGAAGTATTGGTTGGTTCTAGGAAGCGGACTCGGAAATGACAAACATTAGTGCAAGAACCTGTTTTGCAATCGAGCTTAAATAAATAATGTTTAAAATGGATATGAAGAGCATAAAATTCATGATGAATTAGAAAAGTGTCCATAGGACACGGGTGCCCAAACACTCTTGTTCAAATATTTTTGGGCTACACTACATAAGTACCAACATTTTTGTAAACTTTCATGCCTACAGGTCACATACTTTTTGAGTTATGCATGAACAAGTTGAATTATTCAAATTTTTACTTTATACTAAGTCAAGGGCAATAACTATGACAAAACTGAAACAAATCCACATGAAAAACCCCACAGAGATGTTTCATGGCAAAATCCTTTTTGTGCTATGTGCGACACAAAATGAAAATTGCCAAATTTTTACTAAGTCAAGGGCAATAACTTCGACCAAATAAAATCAATTCACAATAAAAACCCAAGGTGCACAATTTCACATGCTGAGCAAGATTCATGAAAGGTTCATGACTCTAGGTCAAATACTTTTTGAGCTAATGATAATGTGCAACACGAATTGAGAATTGCAAATTTTTACAAAGGCGAGGGCAATTACTCTGACAAAACTGAAAAAAAATCTACAAGCAAAACCCAAGATGAACAACTTCACATGCTGAGCAACATTCCTGTAAAGTTTCATGACTCCTGGTCAAATACTTTTTTTTTGCTTTGTGCGACACAAGTTGAAAAAGTGTAAATATTTACCAAGTAAAGGGCAAAAATTCTACAATACTTAATAAATCCACACGCAAATACTTAGGTGGACAACTACACATGCTGACTTACATTCCATGAGTCAAGTTTCATGACTCTAGGTCAAATACTTTTTGAGCTACGTGCGAAAAAAGATGAGCACGGACCGACGGACGGACGTTCTAACGGGACAGTAATTATGTAGCTACTCTATTGTTCTCTCTATTGTTCTTTTTAGCCACACAAAAGAAAATAGCCACATAAAAAGCATTACGGAATGAAGGACATCAAAGAGAAAGAACAGTTACCTATTGTCCCTCTTGCCACATTATTACTGTCCCGTGAGAGCGGAAGGACTGACGGAGGGACAAGGGTAAATCTAAATGCCCCTCCATAGTGTAGGCACAAAAATCAATTATTCGTTAGAAAAAACATATACATTTACCAGAGTTTTCATAAATAGGTCCTTTTGTCTTGTAAGTATCATTGACCCTGTAAAGTAAATGAAATGTTTGACTTATTTCATTTAGATCATTTGACTTATAACAGATACATATACAGTACTCAAAAACTATTGTAATATATTCATGTTGCCAAGACAATATATTGAATAGAAGTAATTTTAAATGCACGAAAGTAAAAAGCTAATCTGAAATATTATGATGTGTTGCATTTGTTGAAATCGTTTTTTGAAAGTACCGAACCGAAAGAAATGGCTTTCAGGATAATCTCTCTCCTGCAAATGCATCAAATTTAATATGTTGATAATAAGCTTAGGGTAAATTTAATATTCTTGTTGTTTTAGAGAAATGTAACTTTAAAAAAGTTAATCAAGTAATTCAAAGTCATAAGGAGGGGCATAACTAAGAAAAATAATAAAGTTACATGTCCTAAAGAAATGCATTCCAATTTAAAAATGTAACAAGTTTTCCAAGTTTGAAGTGACATTGTTTTCAGGAAAAAAAACACAGCAAAAAGGCATAGCTTCCTTTCTGAAATGTTGTCACATGTATAACAAGTTTAAAGAGTTCTGGTGTCTGAGAAAATAAACCTTCGCAAAAAGTTTAAACAAGGCTAAACGTCTCAGTTGAAAAGGGGGTATTACTTTGCAAATAAATTTAGAAATGGCTTTTGTAATGGCATTCTTCTATGACAATAAATATGTATACTAAGTGTAAAAGTGAATACGTTTTATAGTTTCTGAGAAAAGGTAAACCAATGTCAATGCCAACGGCGAAGCCAACGAGAGGGACATGACAATAGCTTGACTATTGGTGTTTTTTTAAGCGGAACTAAAAAGGCGAAAACTATTTAGAAGTGTTGACATACTTTATATATTGTACAGCTTTATTAACGTTCATGTTAGGTAAGTTCTATCTGGACTTTAATTCAGTTGAATATATAAACAATCTTTACCTTTTCCGATATTTCGTAACCACAAGCATGATGTTAACAACTATTGATACAGCAAGAATTGTTCCAAGGGATATAGCAGCGGTATTTACTGACTGCTCTGAGGAGCTTGAGTCTAAAATTTTATTCCATAAAAAAACATCAGTAAACAGCACAATGATCTAGAAAAAAGCGTGCTACATGGGTATAATACATAAGACATATTTTAAAGTTTAAACATTTTGTATCTCTATAAATTCACCAGGGCATAACATTTAATTATATGACTTGCATATCATATTGAATACTGATACTCTATACGTAAATGCGTGTATAATTGCTGTCGCAGTAACTATTAATTAATCCCTATCATTTAAATAATCATCATCAACATTATTTTCATCATCATAGCCAACAGCATCAGCATCCCCTTTCACAATCATCATCATTACAAATGTATGGTTCAAAATCGATCTGTTTTAAATTAATCTTACCTAAATCAAGAGGGCAAATGTGGTCATTCTTTACTCTAATTCGGCAACCTTTTGTACATTGGCCGTTTTCTTTCTTACAAAGTGTACCGTTGCAATAAACAGAACATTTCTCAGAACATCGTAAACTATGGAAACCATCTACGCATCCAAGTAAACACTTTCCATTACTTTGTTGACATATACTCCCACTCGTTGTTGTTTGTATCTTACATGTAGAGGCGCATGCAAAATTGCATTTATCACCATAAAAGTTTACTTTGCAACCGTCACAAAGACCGGTTTCGATATGACAGGACTTTAGACAGTTCTGAGGACATTGTTGGTCACATTGGTCATTGAAGTATCCAGACTTACATTGTTTACACCTAGTGTCTGACAAACATGTGATACAGTTGTTATTATTGATACAACATCTGTCACCAGAATAATTGTCTAAACAGCCATAAGAGCAATTGCCAGTATCTCTGTCACATACACCGCTCAAACAATGAGTCGGGCATCTCTCAGAGCAAAGTGAACCATTAAAACCAAGACGACATCTATCACATTTCTCTCCATCGAAGTTGTCATTACAATTAATACAATTACCAGAGCTTTTCAAGCAGCCTTTCTCGTCACAATTTTTTGGACAGTCACTGTGGCATGATTCTCCAAATTTACCAGACATACAGTGATTGCATTGTCCTCCTTCAAAATTATCAAGACATCCATTTGAGCATTCACCATTACTTCTCTTGCATTGCTGATTTTTACAGCCAACAGAACAAGACAGTGTACAGTACTGTCCATACCAGCCCGTTAAACAAACATCACATTTATCCCCAACGATCGTTTCTTTAGTACATCCTTCTGTACAATCCCCGGAATCTTTATCACATACGTTACCTTTACACCCAGTAGGACATTGTTGATCGCACATAATTCCATATTTTCCAGTTCTGCATTTGTCACATCTTTCTCCAGCAAAATTAGGAGAACAATGGCAGTTTCCAGTCAGTATATAGCAAGTGTTTGACATACAACCAGCTGCACAACTTTTCTCGCAGTTTGCACCATAAAGACCAGTTTTACAAAGCAAGCAACTGTTATAGGACAAACATTGTTCACAGTTATCTCGACATTTGTATGTACAGTCATTCAACAAGGGGAGCTTAATGTTGTCGTACTGCTTACCTTTGTAATACCCATTCTTACACGATCCACAATCAGTATTCGACAAACACGTGGCACAGTTACCTGGACATAAACTATTACATAAATTACCGGTATCGTAATATCCGTCCTTACATGATGTACATTTATTATCTTCACAATTACAATTTTCAGAACAGTAACGATTACGACAATCATTGTCACCATTGTCGTTATTGTATCCCTCCTTGCACGATGTGCATGCGGCACCATTAGTACATGTTTTACATCCGGATAAACATTGTGATGTGCAGTCACTAGCATTGCCGGGGTAATAGCCATCATAACATTCAGTACACGTATCTTCATGACCAGGGCATTGTGTACAATTGTGTGTACATCGCGAGTAGCACCGAGCACCTCTATGACCATCAATACAACCTAGAGTACAATCTGCATTAGTCCATTGCCCTGGTCCACATTTTCTATCTATACAGCATGCACAATCTACTTTACATAATTCGTCTATTTCTGTAATGGGGAAAAACAATATTTCATTTCATTAGCACTACCAACACCTTTTTGTGCTTCATGTATGTATTTTCTTTTAATTTGGATGATATAATACGCTTTCAGTTAACAAACATAAATATTACATAGCTGTCTGTAATAAAGATTGATGTAAATTAAATTACCTCCTTCTACCTGATTGTTGCTAATATTTAACCATATACACCATGAAAACAAGATCTGAAATATATATTATGAAACTTCATAAATAATACATGTACTTCTTTTCTAAGACTGGTTAAACCATGCATATTCATAAATGATAAATAATAATGGTATTATTTGAATTTAAACAACTGAGTTTTTGCCACACTCTTTTAAACATTAACCAAAATTAAATAGGTTCTGTAAATGTTTTTAGAAAATTTGAAACGCTCTTAGAACTTGTACAAATTTCTAAACTTTTGATATCAGTGTATCATATTTACAAATGAACAAATAATTGAAGAAAATTACTGAAAGTTGAATATCATCAACTTTATTTAATGAAATGAAAACTACAATTTGGATAAAGGGTAAAATGTAAAATAAAAACTACGTATTTAAAAGCATACTAATATAATAACTATCAAAACATTGATTTAACGAATTTGTAATGTGAAGGGAAAAGATAAATAGATTTAAAATAAAGATAATAAGTACGGCAAATACATGATATTAGAAAATCAAAAGACAGGCGATGTTATTTAATGTACATTTCCAAAGGAATTTCCTCGGGAAGTGTCATCCGGTGACATTGAAAAGAAAATGGGAACACGATGTAGAGCTCTACCATAAAGAAACCGTGTGCTAATAGGATCATTAATTAATTGCTGAAGAATAAACACTTCTACTTTGGAAAATGTAAAATAAAATTATCTGACTTCAGCTGACCTATCAAAAATATCCGATCAGCTATTTGCATTTGTAGGTTTCGTGAAATAGTTTCTCATTTTTAGACAGTGAAATACTACCAGACATTCGTTGATAAACGCCATCAATACTTTGAATTCTCTAAGCAAAATTTTGGAAGACCTTTCGATGCCCCCTCCCTTTTTTATCAAATAGAATAAAGCATACTTTACTATTTGCATCGCCAAAATCTGTAACGACATTTAGTTAGATGTAAGATAGAGTAATACAGAATCCTTAGAGAAAGCCCAACACAACAAAATTGAAAATGTTGCAGGCTCGGTTTGATTGAGCCTGTTCATGGACGGTACTGGAAAGTGCAAGTTACCGTCCACGCCCCCTAGTACCGGCTTAAGCTAATTGCACCGGCTAAGCTGTAAAGGTAATTTTAATAAGCTTGAAGGTAAATACACTAATCAGGGTATTATATGCTGTATCAGTCTGTTTGTTTGTTTCATTTACGCCTTTTCCCAACAGTATTTCAGTCATATAGGCGGGTAGTTTCCTAACCATCGTTCCTGGAGTGTTACACCAGTACTAGACTACCTTCCTCCGTGCTAAACTACCAAAGCATCTCCCGGGGATCGAACCCACGCCAGAGAGGTAACTGGATTAAAAGTCATGGACTCTAACCCCTCGACCACGGAGGTGGTCATAAATGTCACACCATGATAAAGAAACATGAGAGAGATATTTTGCAGTTGTGGAAGATTTGTGTGTTCAAATTGCGGGACAGTTAGAATGTTTGATTCTGCGAAAAATAGCAACACATTAGCTTTTTTTGTCAGTCTCTGGATACGCTCTAATCAGGAATAAGCGGTGGTGTGTTTTAAGGTTTTAGGCGGTCAAACTTATTAATGCACAAATACCAACAAAGACTACTGGTACTGTATTTTCATGGTGAACAAATCTTTGTATTTAGTGCGTTTGTCCGACTGTTACGTTTTTTTGTCAGGTATCAGAGCTTTCTGCTATATAATATTTTACTGAGATTATAATTGAATGTTTTCGTGAATTGTTAAATATTGTATAGAGTAAATGCTTCAGTGATTTATTTATCTCATATTACTTTATAGGTACCTTATATTCAAAATGAGCATCAATGAAAGCAGTTATCAATCATTCTTATGTTCAGAGTTACATGTATTAGCTTTAATTCTACAGACCATATAATATCTCAATTGATATGTTAATAAACAAATCCTAAGAACAAGGAATCAGCAGCTGTCAGAGACATTTTGTTTGACCATTCAAAATTACTAAACCAATTATAAGAATTTTAATCAGAAAATGGGAAACTTTATAATTACGTATAATTGGTAAAATACAAAACAGCAAAATAAAATTTATGTTAAGAGAAAATCGTTCAACTGAGAATTGTATTCTAATTTTAAAGTTTTGATGTTATTAAATTTTACTTCATCAGTCTTTATTAATTTTAACGAGTGTGATTTGACAAAATTCTGAGTTTTGTTAATTAAATATAATTCATATATAACACTCACAACTTCGTGGTCTAATGTTTACTTTATAACAATATGATAAAAGACATTGTTTAGCACACATATCATTGTTTTAAGAGTTTTAAGACTAACTAACTGATCAAGATTAAGTATGAGAGTGAGATAGCATGAATGGAATCCCGGGTAAACAGTAGTTGCCTTGTTCAAGGGCTTGTCTGGTCCTAGCTACTTTACATATAGGACTTCGGTCACACCTGTAAGAAACTTGACATTTACCATCGAGATTATCACAAGACGAAGGTGTAACAACTCAACAACAGATCCACACCCGTGAATGTGATTTCCATTTACTAATATTATAATTGATATTATGATCTCAGAAGCATTCTAAAAGAAGGTTTAAAGTACATGCATATATCAATTGCATTTAATTGGAAGGATAACTTATAACCAATTGTTCCATAAAAGACTAGTGATAATTAGATATTTAAATAAAACTACACTAAAATGCTTCTTACTTTTTATTAGCATTTATACTTTTTATGATGATATACAATTTTTATATTTCATTAATTGCACGAAAATAAAAAGGATGATTTACTTTAATTAGAGATATAGTTGGAGAGATAATGAGTATTCGATTAACAATAATTGTGACTAAGGTGAAATTGCAATTGCTTTTGGGATGTTTAACTGGACATCAAAATGAAAATAAATATGATATCAGAAGTAACACCCGTCGGGACAGGTTGATATTGTTTGTCTTAACCACACTTCTTCTAATAGTACATCAGTTATAAACACCACATGTGAAAATCTAAATAGTGAGTTACCACCCAACCAGGAAACTATAGATTCTCTGAATGAGTTTCATGACGAAACAACGGAAGAAATTTTAGAAAACAGTGACATACTTAATAATAGTGCCTATGATAGTGAACACCTGTATGACATTTTTGATGATGTTTAAAACCTCAAAAACGTAGGAAAATAGGAAAAGACCGATAATTGGTCATCTTTATATTAATAGTATTAGATATAAATTTCAGGAAATTAGACCCATTTTTGATGAAAATTTTGTTGATATTTTCTGTATTTCTGAAACCAAAATTGATCATTCTTTCAGTGATAACCTGTTCTCAGTTGATGGCTACAAGTAACACAGATGTGATAGAGATGCCCATGGTGGAGGCTTGCTGACACTAATACGGGCTGATTTACCTATTAAACGCCGTACAGACTTAGAAAATCAAGGTCTGGAAAATTTATGTTTTGAATTGAATTTGTTTAAAGGAAAGTGGGGAATTAATTTTATACATAGACCACCTTCAATGTCTGACCATCTTTTTGAATCAAGGCTATTTGAAACATTAGACAAATTATTCATTGAGTTTGACCATGCAATTATAACTGGGGACTTAAACTATGATATGCTAAATCCTACCAAAAGTAAACTCCTTACAAACATTATGGATAGTTTCAACCTGGTAAATCTAATTGACAAACCAACATGTTTGAAGAATTTAGATAACACAACTCCTATTGATGTAATTTTAACAAACACCTCTTCTTCGCTATGTAATTCATCAGTTATCAGTAGCAGCATAAGTGACTGCCACAGTATGATATTTACTACTCTAAAGAACAGGCTAATAACGTTTCTAAAAAGAACACTTAAAAGAATTTCAAATTGATAATGTAACAATTGATAATGTAACAATAAAATGTGAAGATTGTGTTAAACTGCTAGGGGTAGACATAGACCTTTTACTTAACTTTGATATACAGGTCACCAGACTTGTAAAAAACTGCCAATCAATTAAACGTGCTCTTAAGAATTAGGAAATTTTTAAATTCAGAATGTCTTCTTCGTATTTACAAATCTTTTATCAGATCTAATTTTAACTACTGCCCCCCTTGTCTGGCATTTTTGCTCTAAAACAAACACAGAAAAGCTTGAAAAACTCCAGCAAAGAGCTCTAAAAATAGTATTTAATGATTTTAATTCTTTAATGACACATTATTAAAAAAAGTAAATATGCCTACTTTACATTTATCAAGAATTAAAACTATAGCCAAAGAAGTGTTTAAATGCCTGTATAGAAAATCACCACCATATATAAATGATTTAATTCAATTTAAAAATTCCAATTATTCTTTTAGGTATCAAAAAAGTGTAAATATTCCAAGGGTCAAAACAGTAACATACGGTAAGAATTCCTTTAGGTTTGAAGGCGCCCAGATATGGAATAGTCTCCCTAATTACATCCGAAAGGTTGAAAACTACAAAGAGTTTGGGAGACTGATCCAGGTCTGGAGTGGCCCAAATTGTAAATGTGCTATGTCTCTGTAAATTTGCTATGTGTTTGTTATTTTGCTTAGTTTTAATTTCTGTAAAATGCTTAGACTACTACTAGTTGAATCTTTGCTGTATGATTTGTATGCTTTGTTCATTAAAACTCCTTATTCTCCCTTCGATTAGGCTGTGCATGCAACTTAATTTAGTTAACTTTGTTTGTTACCCTGTATGTGCTTTATCTTGTTTCTTTTTTATGCTGTTTTAGTTCTATCATAAATTTTTATGTACTTTTTTTTAAGAAGTAAGTCAATTTATTTATCTGTTTATTTTTTTTTTATTTTTTTTTAGGAAACTTTCAATTACGTATAAATTCTACATGTTAACTTATAACTATTCCTATTTTATTAATTTTATATTTTTATTATAATTATTTTTATTTATTTCACATTACTACATGTATCATACTTAAATTTCTATACTACAGTCATTTATTACTTTTATAAATTGTTATTACCTTTAATACAATA